AACAGTAGCATCAGCCTTTGGTCCAGCCAGTTTTAGATTACCACACAGCCCAGGACAGCCGTTAAGCTATCCGATGCGGTCAGGCAGATCGCTGCTGATGGTCCTGCGAGGCGCCATCAGCTCACTCACCCAGTGGTTTGCACACAAGGGCCTACTGAGTTGTAATGGGCTAGGCCTGTGCGCAAGCACGTTCTGAAGAAGAAGGGTAAAAAGGGCCCACCTACCGGCCCCAGGACAACTGCTTTGAATACTAGTGTTTTGTACGGTGTGTCAACACCTGCCTCATAGTTTACAATCAAAAACAGTTGCAGGACTGCCAAGTACCCCAAGACCACGTTGGAAAAGCCTAGTGAATCAGACCCAGCTGGGCCCAGATCGGTTGCAGCCAGCTTTCAGTGGCCAAAGATGTTTCTTTCACGTTTGATTGCCAAGTTTGGCAAGGCTCCTGTTCACCAGCGGTTTTACAACTGGCGATGGGCAGTGACAACTGCGTTCTCTGGCGTCGGATGTCCAGAAACTGCCCATGCCCTGGACTTCATCATATGACATGTGTTCACTACAGCCGTTTGTTGAATCAGCATTGATTCCTTCGAACTTCAAGGCCCCAAAATTGTATCCCCATGATCCTTTCCTCTGAGGCCCTCCTGTCACTGCAGAGCGAAGTGGCCAAGGCCTTCAAGGAGAAGTCGGCTTCCCATGTTAAGTTGGTATGGGCATGTGAGAAGGATGTTGGGTGTCAAAGGGTGCTAAGTGCTACCTATGGTGGATGTTGCTTTGATGACATCATGACGATGTCCCACGAGAAGTCGACAGCGTGGTGTGCTACCCATTGCAAGTACTGTCCCACTGCATTCCCACCATCTGCAGAAGGGCGATACTTTGAAGAATTAACTAACCATCGCGCTTTATATTTGAGTGGTTGTGTTTGTACCATGTTAAGTTTAGCCCTCATATAAGGTTCTCTGTACAAATGTTTGGTTGAACATCCAAGGAACCAAGGTGAGGATTGGAGGCGCGGCTGGCAGCCTTCAATTGGGTGATTAGCCGCCCAACCCCATGTTATATCGTAGTCATATTAATATCATATTGGGATGTTAAGATATGACACGATATCAACGTAAAAGGGTAGCAATAGACCATACTATCAATATAAGATATTGATATGCCCGATGCCCGAAACTTCATAATCCAGAATCTCGCCTGCGCATCTCCTTCAGGTGCTCCATGCACACCTTTTTCGAAGATGGGAAACATGATGATGGAGCAGGACCCAGTGTACCAAACCCATGAGAAGTTCTATGACATGTCGTCCCAGGATGGAACCCAGGTTATGGTGCTGGAGAATGTTCCAGAGTATGGCATCGAACAGAAGGTTCGGGCCAATATGGGTTCTCACTGGAAAGTCAGATGTGCAAAGGTGGACCCCCGTCACTTTGGCATGGGCACTGCACGTCCACGCCACTACGGCATTGCATGGGATTCTAGGAAGGTGACATGGAACCCTGACATGACTCTGGAGTCTATTTTGACTTCGCTGTATGCCCGACCAATGACGAATGCGTTGAGCTACTTCACCCTGAAAGCACTGCCTTGCGCTGAGTCAGAAGCAGAAGATACTTCAGCCAAATCTATAAACAATTTTTGTTTTGGAAGTTACCCAGCTGTGTGTAGTCTACAAGAGGTCCATGAAATAAACCCATAGTGCCCCTATTCTCTCACATCACACTCTCCCAGGAGCAGACCTTGAACGAGTACCACGACAAGAACTTGGTCACCAAGAAGTGGTCTATTGCAGACCTGACACAACTCCCACGAAACGGCAGGGCAAGGACTGACACGGCGGAGGGGCACTTGCCTACCTTAACCACGAACTCGGGACGGTTGTTTTCGCAGGCTTGATATAATCAATAAAACATCTTGGTTGAATAAAGATTGTTGCTTCCCTTTTTTGGTGCGAATGACTTATTTGATCTAGGGCACACCCCAAGTGAAAAGTCCATTTCCTGCAAGGTGCATCAGCGAGTGCTCAGTGGCACTGAAATGTTGGCATCGCATTGCTTGCCGATCAGCAGGCAACAGTCCCAGGCTTGTGGATCCCCCAAGCTCTGTGTGGATGATCTACGTGAAAGGGCTGTCGTTAAGATGGCAGGGAACGCAATGTCAGTTCCTTGTGTAGGAGCGTTCATATGTGCTGCAGTGATGGCACTGGATGTCCAATAGAACAGTACAAAGATCCAGGATTTTTCAAGCATATCTAATTCAAACATACGAACATGCAAAATTCATCGCTTGAATGAGCAGCCTATGAGTAAGGAAGCACATGCCAGCAAAAAACAATGGAGCGATTTTGTTTTAGATTTCGGCCGTAGTAATGTTCAACCATTGCGGGTTGTGAAAAGTTGGATCTTGTTAGCTTAGCAAACACTGCATTCTGTAGCCCGTTTGGCGACCAGTGTGGGGTAAAGGAAGGCGAGAAAGGGTGATGGGTAAGCGTGGGGCAGCTTCGACGCCACCATCAGCCAAAGCGTTGAAAGTGGAACAGCCCCCATGGGTATCCAAGATGGGACTGATTCTTGAGATGCCTGGTTTGGAACATATAGCATTTATGTTATCTTTCAATTTCTTCACACATAGGTGGTAATGACTTCCCCTCACAGCAAAAATGCTTCAGACTTGCCAAAGCCTGCCCTTAGGAACTTTGACCCGATGAGGGATGAGCATCCTGTGGGCTGGCTCCTGTCCAAGCTCACCCCCGATGTTTATCTCCCTTTGAACACTTGGTTGAATGAGGTTTTGGAAGAAGATCACCATCCGTCTGTGGTCACTATGCCGGACCCCTTGCCACCAAAATTGTATTGTTTCAACTGTTGAATTTCAACTATATATTTCCCATAATTCCAGCAGACTCCGCGCACTCATGGTTTTATTCCACCTGCTGCGGCTCCCTGCGTCCAGGACCAGACTCAGTCGACTGCTTTCAATGTGCTGTTGACAGCTTTCGCTTTCAAGGCTCCTTGGGATGGGCTGCCGTGTCTCCAGGATTGGGGAACGCATGCTACCAACATTTGGTCCCAGGGATACGAAGGCTGGCGTGAGAGCATCGAGATTCGACCAGTTCATGCAGAGCTTTTGGGACAACCTATGGATTTTGGGACCGTAGAGGCATCCAAAGGCAGTGGAAGGATTTCCATTTTGCTGTTCACAGTGCTGTACAATTTCCTGGAGATGAAACGGCACATGACAGAAGAGGAATTGGCTGGATTCACGAAGAATCTCGGTTAAATTCCGAACCTGCTTTTTTGGGATTTGGGGATACCTGGGTCGCCTTTGGGGGATGTAGGTGCTCAAATTTCCAAAGGTGAGGCTGGCGATGGGAGCGTCGCCTCTGATGTTAACATGCCCCTAGCAATCAATATGCTAACGGCTTGGGAGGTGAAGCTGGGAGTGGGAGCGTCGCCTTTGGCTGACTACATCCAAGAATTGGTTTTGATTCTTATCCAAGAAATTGACTTTGGGGGATTTTGCGAATAGGAAAGCGATCACTGAAAGCGTCGCCTTTGCACATAACAAAGGTGCCCAAAGGTGATGCTGGCACTGCCAGCATCGTCTTTGGGCATATCAAAGGTAGCCAAAGGTGATGCTGGCACCGCCAGCATCGTCTTTCAAATTTTGAGCACTTGGGACCCCCAAAGGTGATGCAACTATGAGTTTTCAGGTGACATTAGCAATGGTGGCATCACATAGATCTTTTTGTTTATCTATCATGTCCCATTCCTCTGCCCTCCTCCAAATCATAGTTGTTGTGCGTCCGTTTTCACTCCTCACATTATGGAATTTAGGGGAAAAGAGGCCATCCAAAAGCCATTCCTGGGCGTGTACTTCAATGAAATTAGTATTAAATTTATGGGAGACATGTTGTGACGTTCCATAGAAACACTTTGGTTAATATATGTGTTAGAATAATTTTCAGGCGCGACCCTCAAAAAACCTTGAGATTGCTTTGGGTCGGGTTTCCGTTGTGAGGTGGCTGCGTAGTGCTCGCCAAGTGGCCTGTGCCTACATTCCCCAGCTGAAGGAGGAGCATTATGTGTGGCGAAGATTTCAGGTGTCAAACCAGCAGGCTGAACGTCAGAAAAAGTCTTTGCTTCAGGCTTGTATGGTGTTTCATCGTCGAGCAGAGAAGATTGCCCAGGAGCGCTGTTAGTTGCACCACAGCCATTACATATAATGTACTAAGCCCTTGAAATATTTTGGGAAAACCCTTGAAGTATTTTGGGACATGATGGAATAAAATCATAAGATGATGATTTTCTATCTCCCGAATTCCTTTTCTAGAAAAGGAGAACAACATGGAGTATGTCTTGGCGTGGCACCAAGCAATTGATGAGTTCAATTCGTTTGGCACTGCGCTCACCAACCCGAAGAATCGTATAGACACTGCAACAGCAAAGCTCATGTTTGGCTTCAAGGCTGGGCATGGGCCAGGGCCAAGAAAGTGGAATTTAGGTTGCAAAAGGTTGAACAATAAGCAAGCTTCCAATAACTTTCCAAGTGGGTAATTTCCCAACACTGCAAGGTGGGGGTTTGTCCAGCAGCATGGCACCTCATGGAGCAGCACCTTCACATGCACAAGTTCGAGCAATCAGGCATGAAGGGTGAAATACGTCCCAAGCCCTATGAATCCCCGTAGAATCCATCAAGTAATCTGAATCCCCATTGATGATTCAACCCCCAATAATTAATTCCCATGCGCCCCCATCGGTCCCCATCCATTTTCATGATCCATCAACCCCCTATCACTTCCCATAACTAACTCATCAATTCCCTTAAGTTTACTGCTGATGGCACTTAATTAACTAGGAATTCGCAATGTTTTCTTTCAACCCATCAAGTGCCAATTCATTTCAAAACCCTGCGCAGCCTTTTCCAAAGACTGCCTTCTGAATGGACGGTGACTATTGGCTGGTTGCCCCAAGCAAGTAGCTGGGGTTTGGGGTACCATGTTGGAGATGAACAGTGCCAAGCAGCACATCTTCATGCAGCGGATCCTCTTCGTGCATTCCATGACAAAGCAGAAAGCTGGTCGTGCCCAAGTCCTCCGAGTGCCAGCTCAGGTTTGGGATGCTGAGGCAGATATCTGCTGCCTTGGTGGATTTGTTCTGGATGAAATGCGTACCCATCGAACACCAGACAACCTTCTGCGTTTCCCTGGTGAGACTTTGATCACCGTGATGAACCAGTTCATCGAGGGGTTCCTTGAAGCTGATTGGGAAATTACTTCCTCAATTCAACCACCAACTTAAATTTACAGGGGCATATTAAAAGGATGCCACCCCATAAATGAATATATCACAAGGGTGACGGAATTCTGACATCAAGGGAGATTCTGATATTTGTTTCATGGGGCCCCAGAAAGAAGAATATGGGAGGTACGGTTTTCTTAAAATTGTTCAATTTGCCAATGGCCCAAAAAGTTCCAACATATGTTCCAACCTATTTGTTCCAATCAAAGACATCTTAGGGACTACCACGAAGAGCTGAAGAGTGCCTTGATGGTCATGGACCCGGCATTCCAAATTGAAGAGTTGAACATGTGGAAGGAGAACATTCCCAATGCCCAGCTTATGAGTGATGGTCAGCTTTGCAAGGCCGATGACAAGATAGATGAGTTGGTCCTTTCCCAGAACAAGTTGTCTTTTGATGCTGATGCATTGGCATTGGCACGTGATGCTGCGCAACTGGCTACCCTTTACCGAGAGGAACAGAAAACCGATCGAAGCGCTCGCCTTGCAAAGGTTCTCCACCTGAAGCAGCAGAACCAGATTGGCAGCAGCCTCACCATGGATTTCATGCGCAAGAGGTGCCACCATGTTGCAGGGCCAGTGCAGGATCTCAACAATGCTTTGGACAAGGTGGAAGGTTCAAACATGAATTATTTCCCTTGTTCTCCACACAACTACAATCCAATTGGAAAAGGGGCCAGGGGAGACTCTCACCCAACCTTCCAAAGCACCGATAATGATAATGCGTTCTGAACTAATCCCTGTGTCATACTCAACCCCCGTTTTTCCAACAACCAGCATGTTCATTTCTCGATCATTTGTGATTCCAACATACACTGAGTTTGTGGCTTCGCTGGGTCCTGATGGCTGCCTAGTCGTGTGGCTGGACTTCATGAAATGGGGGGTCCTATCCGCCAATGACTTGAATTGTCTTGTCAACCTGGTGAAGAGGGCCTTGGCAACCCTGCCAGAGAGATCTTGGTGCTTTGCCATCGGGCCGCAGTCCACGTCTGAACGCAGGGGTGGACTGAGAGATGAGTTCAGGATTGGGCTGCGGCTGTGTTACCAAAAAGATGTTTTTATCTTCTGTTGTTTGAATCACCAGCCACTAAGTAACTGGGGTGTGTCACTAGTGGTTCTGTCTATCTGTTTTTTTGAAACACCAGCCATTAACAAACAAAAAAATATCAATTTGATTAGGTTTTGCTGGAATCCCCACATGGTAGTTCCACATGGCCGGGGTTGTCAAATCAAGCCCCATGCTAGGCGTGTGGAAGACAAATTCTCAGCGAAGTCTTTGGAGCCCATGCCGACCTTCCTGCGGTGCGAATGTCCGCCGTCTACCAAGAAGGTCCCACTTCTTTTCCCATGCTGGCTGATTATGTCATCTGGCTGTGAGGATGCAAATGTGTGGGGTCACTGTGCTTTGGTGCAAGACAGGCCCAATGATTGCCAAATTGGTGTTCCTCCAAACAGGTTTTCAAAGAAATAATACGGGGAATCCAGCATGAATGTCAATATGAGACAAGCCGTCAGGACACCTCGAGACATGATCCCATGGCTTCCAGAATCGCAATACGTGGTTCCCAGCAACCGTGACAACCTTCCAACTGCAGCGGAAGGGCAGAGGCGCCAAACTAACATGTGGGAATGTTACCTTTTCACGTTGCCCCACGAGGATCAATAAGTCAAGGGGATGCTCAGTTCAGGGGAATAAGACCAGGCTTTATTTCGACACTTCAACATTGACAATTGGTGTGTGTGTGTGTGGGTGTTTTCTGTGTTTCAATAGGAAGTGGGATGTCTGTTTCTTGTATTGAAATGGGTGATGGGATGAACACATGGGTTAATTAATGGATTAAACGAACGATAAACCAACCAAAATATGTGCTGGGTACTCTAAGATACTCTAAGGGCCCAAGTAGTCAACCACTCAGTCAGGCAATGTAACAGCCATTCACCCAACCTATTAACTAATCGACCATTTGATCTATACCAATGGACCAAGGGATGGATTGGATTCATGAGTAGGTGGATGGATATGGATTGGTTTGGGTAGTAGGGCTGGTGTATCGGAAACTATATAGATGGGGAGATAGATCGAAGTCTTCAACACCCACTTTCTCACTCCCTTTAGGACTGTGTGTTATAGGCTTTCTCTCCTGATCCATATGAACTTTTTTGGATAGAAATCACGTTGATAAAATATGGGCTCTTAAGCTTAATTTCATCAAAGAAATCATGGTTCCCCTTGTCCTGCAAGGGCGCTGTCTGCTCTCCAAGAGCAAGCTCAGCTCTTGACTGGGCCTCGCATGCCTGAGGCGGTGCTTGCCAGCCTGTTGCAGGGATCAACAGCAGGGCAGACTGTTGGGCTCATCAACCTTTCCCCCTATGATGGTTGTTTGGAAAAGGTGGCTCTTCGGTGGGATCAAAGCCATCCCGGCCAAATGATGACAACTTTGTCATTGTCGGCGGATCTGAACGTTGCCGCTTTCTCGGAGAAACAATGTGCTTTCACACTTTTGGAGGACTTGTTGGGATCAAATCTTGGTCCGATTTTACTTTTGGTTACTTGGTGCAGTGGGGTATTCAAAATAAACTTCATCTTGAAACTACTTTGGCTAGCTTGACCTCCTAACTCAAAAATCTGGTCAGGACTGGAAAGCTGGCGGAACAATGCTTGGGAATGTGAGACCCTATGACCCTGTTCCACCAGCCACTGAATCACTTGACCTTCAGAAGTACCCACTCAAGCTGGCCACGGTCACCAAGGATGACACCAAAAAGGGTTGGGCAAAGTACAAAATTGCACTTGGCAATGAGGTGCGAAGCCGGCACATGTCTGACCCGATTCATGGAGGGATGTGGCGAGATCTCGTTTTGGACTTCGACAAGAAGTTACTGGTTCAATGTGTATGACTCGTATGACCCTGACTTCTCAAAAAAAATCGGATTTTGACGATAACGCAGTACATGATGTATTTTACTATCATAATACATTACAACATAGTAAGGTCATAGAGAATAAAACAATTGTAGCTATATTGTTGCTATATTGTTGCTATATTGGTTTGTTATGTTGCCTTTTCAAGCGGTCACCCAGAACACGTCTTAGTTATATAATCATTATTTTCTGATTTCCACCCCACGCCGAGGTTTTGTGCCAACATGGCCGCCGTCCAGGAAGCCTTGGTTCCACATGAGGAGGCCCCGGAAGCTGCGCCAGGTCCAGCGAAGTGGACTGAGAGTGAACCAAAGAATTTGGACAGCCTTTTGGAGACTCACATCATCGAGAACAAAATCGGTGGTCGTGTTGCGGGCACCAGTCTGTATCTAACCTTAGCCAAGAAGAGGGATGGAACAGAAACCGATGTGGTCGAGAATCAAAAGTACAAACTTTACCTGGTGTCCTGTCTTCATGGGTTTTTGATTTCTATAGGCAACCACAATAATGTGATATGTTTGAGTCAAAATCATTAGTCATACATGGTTTGTGCTGAGTTAAATGGTGGGTTTGTTAGCTCATCGCTGTGCATGGCCAAGGTGAGCCATCAAGATGATTTGACCCTGTCCGACAAGGAGTTTCAAATCGCCCATGGGAAGTCAAGCTTCATGAAGCCCGAGCGGGTGGCAAAGATTTCGAGGGAAAACACTGGATTAGGCCAGCTGAGGTTTCTGTCTTGTGTGCTAGGCAATCTTTAAAAAACACACAGTGATTGCAAAGGGCAGATTGGACAACCTGGTTTGAAAAGATTCCTGTTGCTACCTCAGCTGATTTGGTCAAACTTGCGGTGGACAAAAGCCCTGGGACTGGACACCTGTCGCTCTTTCCATAGCAGCCATGGAGTTGGGTGATGTCTTGGCTAAGTATGGGTTTCGACAGGAGCTTGAATTGCTCAATTTTCACTTTGATTTCTGTTTGCCATACACATCGGTTTTACAATATGGACCAAACCAGAATGATATCTTACCTGCAGACTGAAGGACCTGAACGCAGCCTTGGACAGAAGCCCTGATGCTTTGGTGACACCAGAGCCATCCAACAGGGTCTCTTCCCAAGGTATGTTGTTTTTCCGGTTTTACCAATGTTTCAAGGTCCAATCTTTGTTCCCAGTTTGTCTTGTCATTTCTCTGATTTTCAGCTCGCCTCTCAGGTGGCGTCGCCTCGTGACTCTGACCCTGGAAAGAGCCGAATGCCTGTGAACAAACAGCCAGCACTGCCTTTGAATACTTTCAATGCAACTGGTAGGGATAAGAAGGCTCAGCTTTCCCCAGAGCAAGTTGCTGACTTGAGGTCTGATATCTCTCGTGCCATGGGAGATGTTGGTAAGGTTCGTCGCAAAAAAGCTGCTCCTGCGGATGCTGCTGCTGATGCCCCTGTTTCAGAGCCAGTGGAACCAAGTGCTAGCACAAAACCTAGGGCTCCCAGAGGAACCCATGCACGCAAAGCTGCTCAGGCCGTACTTGACTCTTTAACCACAGCAGCACCAAAGGCAAAGGCAAAGGCAAGCAAGGTGAGCAAGGGCAAAGGGGACTCAAAGCGGGGCAGGCCTGCTGCAAAGTCTAAGGGAACAGCAAGGTCGTCCACGTCCAAGTGTGGAAAGGGTGCTGTTCTTAAGAGGCCAGCAGGAAAGGCAACTGCTGAAACCACCGCCAACAAGGCCAGGGTTTTTGTTTTTGCACAATTTGCTAATTAAAGGAGGGTCTCGAGCTAATTTTGTTTCTTGAAAGTTTGAATCTCGGTGTCCCTCGGCTTTGGTCTCTGTTCATGGAATTTTCTCCTGAGGCAGGCACCAAGAAGAAGCTGGATCGTGTCTCAGAGGACAGTCTGCTGGCTTGGGCAGCTGGTTTACTCAATCATTCTTTTTCCTTTCACACGGGTGAAAACTTGATAATTCATAAGCTCGTAACCCTGACTTGATTCATAACCCTGGGGACATTCTAATGGGTATGTAATGGGTAGCTCATATTTTGTTAACCCCAATTTGATTCATAACCCTTGGGTAATTTGCAGTGGGGCAACACACTATTGCCAATTTCCACATGCTCTGCCAGGACAGCGAGGTGGATGCTGAGGATCTCTTCGGGTCTGAGAAGGACTCTGATTCTGAGATGGCCACTACCCAGGAGTTGCCAGGAAAGGGTGATGAGGAGGAGCCGGTGGCATCCCCCAATTCCAACCATGAGGGTGTTTCTGGAGATGAGGGTGGTTCCCGATCGGATGAAGATTCCAATGATGAGTCGACTGAGAAGGTTCCCAAGGGAAAGGATTCCAGCAAGGGATCCTGTCCAGACATGCGATCCCTCTACTGGAGTGTGATCCACGAAGAGCAGAAGAAGATCAAAAAGTCAAACCCAGAAATGCCTGGACGCGAAGTGTTGAAGTTGGCACGCAAAGCGTCCCTAGTCATTGAATCAACCAAAACAATTCTTATATAAAACCAAATAAAACAATTCAATTTGGTTTCAACACTTCCCCACGTGACCATGTTGAGCTTCCATCCCAGAATCATTTTTTTTGAGGTCCTAACCTGTGCCTCTCAGGTGGGAGACGCATCCGGACCGCATGAATGTCATCAAGAACTTGTCGAAGAGTGAGGTCAGCCGCAGGCGAATCAAAATGCCAAAGGCATGAGCACCAGATCACTTGAAGCCGAATCTACCGAGACCCAATACACGGGGTGATGGTTTTTTAAAAAAACAATGTCCCAAGTGTTGTATAGACTACCTTTAGCTTTGTTTGATGGGGATCCCTTTATTTTTGTTTGACCGACCCACCTCCTACTGTCTCAGCTGGTAGTTTTGAACCAAAGTTGAAAGTGGCCCTGGGGCCATGTCAAACCTTAGGTGTGTCAAGTGTCTTCTGGGTTAGAAGGTTCCCATAAGACTGGGGTACCGCTCCATGCTGAACATGCAGCATGGTGGCGTCGCTAGTTCCGGAAGCATGGGATCACCGAAGGAGTGGTGGCAAGCGCTAGAACAAAAAAGTCCAACCTGTGAGACTTGTGCGCCACATTTTTTCGTGCCTTGGAACAACGGTGTTGAAAGCAAACTGGTTGATTTGACAGAGGTTTTTTCGTTTTGATGGATATGTTTTGGGAGGTGACCCGCTGGCTTGCACCATTCCGTGCAAGTGGACCACTGACACCTTCAACGTGGTCTTGGAAATCCAGTCCGAAAGTTCGAAGGCTACAAGTGATGCTGAGCCATGCAGCTTGCGCGATTTGCTGCATGAGCTGGAGGAAAACAACATCGTTGATGTCTCTTTGCATTCGCATACGGTTGAAAGACCTGGCCCATGTGCTGAGCCTGCCAATGGCTCCTAGACTACCATTTCACCCATTTGTTCAGCAATTATTTCAATTACCGGTCTATAGATCCTTTGGTAAAATGGTTGCCTTGCTCAGGTGCTGACTTCTACGTCGTGAAGCCTGGCAACACCGTGCCACTGTTTTCTTATACGCCCGGGGCCACCAATTTGAAGTTCTCAACCATTGCGAGCGCCTTCACTCGTGAGGCTTGGGATATCCAGCAAGAATCTGAAAACAACAACTGGAATGAGAAAATCAACCAGGTTGATGGTCATGGTGTAAAAATTAAATACACTGACTTACAAGGGGATAGATTGTCACATGGTGTTCAGGTTTTGGATGCCAGCGCTACTTTGTCCCGACACTGGCGAATGTCTTTTTCCAAGGCAGACAAGGACCCACTACCAAACCATTTGTTTTTGATCACTCTATTGATTTTAAATGGGAACCTGAACCTACACCAGCCCTGCCTATAATCCCATTGAGGAGCTGACGCCTCGTGGCTTGGCATTGGAATGATGGCGTCACAGCCATGTGCCAGGTTTGTGCTAAAGTGATATCGGCATCGAACAATGTTTTTCCATTCGCATCCGCGAAAAACAACCTGAGGTAAACCGTTATATTTCTTGAAGGAGTCCATCACCATGAACGCTGGTGATGTTTTGCGGTTGGTCTAACCGAAAGTTTGAGATGCATTCTCATGGGATGCTTTGGGTCTTTCAGGAACTACCAGCGGTTGTTCCTTACATGTGAGTACATGGCGTGAGCCTCGAAGGCTTAGTGCCAAGGTGGGGTGAACTGAATAGATTCAGATATGATTCAGATAATGTACAAAACATAGTACCCTATTACCCTATATGTTGGGAATTATATCAGAATCTGAGTTGCTGTTATGGGCCTACCTCTGGCAATGCCGTGAGCACCATGCCATTTGGAGACATACTTCGATCAACTGTGAAACATGCGAAGGGGGCGTGCAAAAAGGTGCAGTCTTCAGCGGTGACATGAAACATGAAGTCGTCAATGCCAGGGAGATTCAGGGAGCGAATAAAATGAAATAGGGATCGATTAGAAGGAAATTGACTTTACTACAGTTTCGGACGCTTCCCTCATCGTCCTGGCGCTGTGTGATGTCATCACCGACACGGCCTCTTACAGATGCTGCTACCATGTTTTTCATTAACGTCGAAGATGTAAAGCAGAATGTCGCCCCATGGGTGCATACATTTTTTGCGTATGTTGTCGTGAAAATCAATCCGGCATGGTCCCGTGCACTAACAGTATCATATCATGCTAAAAATAAATTTTAATAGACGGTGTTTGGTGTCCCGCGTAAAGCTTCCATACATGCCCCAACATTGCCGGAAATGCGTTGGAAAGAGGGAGGATTAAACCACTTAAGCGGGGTGATTTGCATATGCAAATATAGTATGCCATAATTTTTGTTGGTATTTGTTATATGTATTTTTTGTTTCCCCTTTTTTAAATCATTTTGTCACTATCATTTTTTTTTTGGTATGTTTATTTTAAACATCAACGCGTCCGAGGACGGGCAACCATATCCTGCTTTGACATCACGGGCAAACCAATGCTTAATGGTTTGAAACACCTTGATTGCATTTCACAAGTTGGATATGTCTCGTGACATGGAACATACAAGTCGCCTTTTGCAAAATTATTCATTGGTCCCCGATGTTGGAGGAACGCATGCATCCCACTGCAGCAACAAAACTGTCCATGTTTGTTTGGACGCAGCATGAAAAGGTGGTGCAAACAGGGAACCTTGTTTATGGGCGACGCTTTGCAGCTTGAATAGCCATGCCAGCAATAACACGCATGTCGTATGTATTAATGTTGCTGTGAAAATGTTGGAACCTTCGTCACGTTCTCATGAAAACTTATCCTGTTGGATGCCGACGCCATCGGTGATGTAAACGAATTTCTTTAACATACATACCACAACCACTTTTCTTTTGGACAAACAAAAAAAATATAGCAACTGGATGGTTCATGGCTGCTCCATGTGGTGTGAAGCGCGCGTGCCATGATCTCATGCCGTGGGTGTTGCAAGGAACTGTTTATGGCCCAAGTTTCGCAGGCATGTGGGGCATCATTCCTTTTGTATTAGTTTGGCTGCCATGGGCCCATGCCAACCCCTTGTCACCGGGAAATGGGACAGCCGATTGGGCTACCGCTAATTCCCTGGTGGACCGAAACTCAGAGCTATCCTGATGTTTCTCCGTGCGTGGGAGTTCACTTAATTAATTGGGTGGTTGATATAGAAAGCGCATGCAGTTTGCAATTCTGAACCATACCCATTCGATGTTGATTGGTCCCCGATGCTTCAGGTTGTGACCTACAATTTGTATTGGTGGTGCGTTTCGGACGAGTATGGGAATTGCCCGCAATTTGCGCAGGGCAAAGGATTTGCGCAACTCTACAGCCGACTGCGGCAAAACGGGCCATTTGACCTGATTGGTTTCCAAGAGTGCGACAATCCAGGCCCGGTGATTTGAGGAATTGCTTGGTGTTTTGTCTCTAGGGTGCGTGCATGCGTGCGTGCGTTCATGCTGAACGGAAGTTGGATTTCCGGGCGCCTTCAATGGGCATTGAAAGTGTTCACGCAGGACACACTCTACCCATGAGTTTTTTGCACGGACGAAAAATTGCAGGACAAATCATTGCAGGGACGAGCCTGGCTTCAACCTTCGGTTATTACACGCCGCCAGCAGGCATGGGTCCTTTTGTGGATCACGGTTGCGCAAAGGACCAAAAACTAAGACCAGATTTTTTGCTTTCAAAATTTACCCATCGACTAACTAAAGCCGGAGATGTTCATGAGAAGACCGATATTGGTAGTGGACAAAACTTTTGGTATTTTTTTGGTCAATGAAGTTGGCGGCAGGTAACGATGCGCCGATGGCATGGAATCAGCAGAAGTTCAAGGTGTTGGAAGGTGCTTCACCACACTTACCCAGATGACACTTTTTCAGCTCCTGATGCTGAAAACTCACTCCTGAAACCATCTAAGAACCGAAGAACCTATTGTCAGACTTGCCTGCCATGCACCTTGCTGAATGGTTTGATGGCACATGAGTCCTAGGATCTCTGGAGGGTAGGCTGGGATCAAGTTGTAATAGCAAGAGGTTGCCAAGAACATCATGACGTGGTGGCAATTGGCAGTTCAATTTCGGCTTCAACCAATCCATGGGGGTGGTTCCTGAAACTGAATGCTATTGAAAATCATTTTGTTTGTGTTTGATATCACATTGTGTTCTTATCAGGAGTTGCTTTTGAACTTGCCAAATGTTGAGATTGGCATTTCAACCTTGACTGGGAGTGTGGGTAGGTCACAAAATCTCATGGGCCCCTGACAGGTCCAGTTGATTTTATATATATATATACACATAAATGCACACACACACACACATATATTTATATATATAACACATATATCAGCATAATTTGATAACATCCACAGTTGCCGAGGACCACTGACTGAGACCACGTAGCAGCTGTTGGGAATCACCTAGGTCTAAGCAGGGGCCTCTCACAGTATACACAGTGTATCAGCTGACGGCTGACCACGACCAGGTCCTGGCGTGCAATGGGTCGCCAAGGACAAATACGGAGATCGCCATGTGAATTGGGTCAGACTCCAGGCTGGGCGACAGAGTGGCGACCGCGATGTGTTGAAAGGGCTACTGTCAGGAAGTTAACCTAGGGAGCTTGAAATGACTTTATTTGATTTGTTGGTGTAACCTTTTAAGCGATTCCCTTTTCTGCGAAGCCAAGTGTTGCGTTCATACTCATACTGGAAGTGGAGTCATTCTGAGGGGCACCAGCCAGTTTCCTTGCACACAGCATAATAGGTCATTGGCAGCAGCGACACTATTTTCTTTGCGAACACGTGCCTTGAGCGCAAGTGCGACCAAACAGCCAGTGCCAATCATGTGGTAAAAGGATATAACCCACTTGCTGCTAGTATTTTCCCCAACAATATACACAATCACACAAATCAAACATCCGGAACAAGAACATATATGTTTGTATATATAAGGCTATTATACTACGAGAGCGCGTTCCGGATTTAGTACGCAACGCGTACTCTCATTATACTACATCATAGATCCTTGGCCCCGACCTCACCGAGACATGGGCCTTTGGATCAATGCGGCGGACAGCCTGGCAGTAAGGTGGCGGCAAACTACGTCGCGCAGCTGCAGGGCGGTGTTTTTTTTTTGAATGCGCACACATGGTGTGCTAGTTATCATGGAGATATCATGGCGAAAAAAAACACATCGAATGTGATTTTATCATTCATCCAAACAATCTGATGTTTGGATTTGTCCAAACAAGGGTGAAAAGGGTGGTACCTCTAAATGGCAAAAATCTAAGGAGAAAATGGTGATACAACATCAGATTTTTGGAAAACCCTAGCTTCAGACAGATCGACGTGGAGGTATCAGAAGATTTCATTTTGGTATGACAATAAACGACAATTGGACGACTAGAAATGAAATAGTTGTCGTAAGTAGTATGGCTATTCTTTGTGTGTGGCTTGACTCAGGACAGTGCCGGTTGTATCATTGAGGCGAACGAACACCTCAACCAATGGGTACAACACAAACAAGATAAACAGTTCCTACGGGACCATCCAACTTGAATCGCGTCAGGCTTCGCATTATTTGATCCTATGTTTTTTTGCGCGGCTCATGTCTTTAACTGTTTGCTTACTGTTGTATTTAAATAAGCCGGATCTACTTGATAAAGGCCTTCCCAACTTTCTGCTGCTAAGATCAGTGCGGTCAACCAGCACAAGAAGCCCAAAGAATCTTGGCTTTGCTTGTGACCCATGCTGACCCTAATGTCCAGCACAACAATGTCCCGTTTGGAATCTTCCATGGATGTTGCTGCCCTGCAAAGCTTCAAAGGGTCTCAGTTCATGGCCAACTTGCTGAGCCATCCACTGCAAGCTCTTGTTACTGGGCGGCCAAGGATGCGGTTATCTTTACTGGTGACTTCAATTGTGGCAGCAACCAGGATACCATCAAAGACTTGTCCCAGGTCTTGAAGCTGGATGCGCCTTGGTGGATCAGCCTAAAAGTGTGCATACAAATCGAAGGTTGTGGGTAGAGACATTGACAGGGAACCTAGGACAAGGATGATTGGGCTGTGGAGATACTGCGACATTTTTGAAAGTGGTATGATGATGCAGAAACCTCGCACCAGCACTTGATTCGAGTCCAGCTCCCTTTCTCTTAGAGTCTGATTTGGAGATGTGGCTGTTGGGATTGCAAACTCGCAACAGCTCCATTGCCACTCCGACAACCTTGCCGGTCCATTTTGGTGAACCATTTCGAACCCAGCCCCATGAAGCTCGTGTTGAATGTTTGCACCCTTCATTGCAGGCAACAGACAGTTCCTACAACGGAGCCGACCACATTTTCAGCAGCTCTGGAGTGTCGGTGTTTTGGAAGGGGGCCAGTGTCTCGGCTTGAAGTTGAGGTTGCTGCTGCTGGGTGGGTAGGAGTACTGGATGCTTGGTAGTAACCCAGTAGGTTGAAGGGGTCAATGTTGTGCATGCGTTTTCACAGCACAGTTCTGGCATTCTTTGGGAGTCAGCAGTCGCAGGTAAACATTTGGGATGGCGGCAGGATGTGACATCACCGAGGAGTTGTAGGAATATTGTGGATTTGAATGCAGTGTTGCTTTTGGGGTATTCAAAACTTCAAGGATCAGATTTCCGTTATCCTCTTGGCATGATTTAGTAATCCTTTCTTTTTCGCAGCGCGTAGTGTTTAGATATCCATGCGCATCTCCCGTATGCTTTTTCATATCCTATACACATACTCCTTCTCACAGAATTTGCAAAAAAGAAGGTTGAAATCCACAGCCTCACCTTGCACCTTCCTGCCACCTGAGGTGAGGGCTCCCCTTCGGACCACCAGCTGCTGAAGGCGTGGTTGCTGGGGGTAATGAGCTGTCGGAAGCTGTGCAACTGATGATGGCTTGGTAGAATTTGCATGGGTACAGTAATGTTTTCACGTGCAAGTGGAGTATTTGTTCAATTTTTGCACGGAGAGCGAGCTACCATTGATTTTCAAAACAAGTGTGTCATTGCCTCTGGCTCTCAGCTTTCACCTGCCATGGTTACGTCTACTTCCAGACATCGCCGGTGCTACTGGTTGGTTCAGATCCTGGTGGCTGGCGTCCTTCGTGGCGCATGGGAGGTGATCCAACCTTGTGCCTCGGTTGGACACTGGGTGGGCGTCCAACCATTCTGCAATTCGCAGACCAGGACGTCCCGGCACCAGCTGGCCAGAGATGTGGAGCTACCCCCACTGCTGAGTGATGAGGAGGTGAAGCACATCCAGGCAGTGGTCCGTGCCAAGTGTTTGGAGGCCATCGCGGTGGGTGGCCTGCCACCGGGCCGGGAGCTGGAGCTGATTTCGGCCTTGGATCTGGGCACCGTGCCCTGGAGTCTGCTGCCCATCAAGTTCAAGGAACAGCTGCGGTTGCCATTGGAAGATAAGGGCATCGACTCCCTGGCACTGAACCTGTCTGTTGCGGTGCAAGCAAAGGATTACACCAACGGCACCGTGCCGTTGAATCGCCTCACCAACTTTCACTTCATGGTCAGAGCGGACAACTCGCCTCTGCGAAAGCTGGTGCAAAGCCTGGTGGTGGCGACCAATGAGAGCACCGAACTTCCCAAGCATTGGCAGCAGTTCAGTGGGGCGATCCAGCGGATATACACACCTGATGAGATAAAGGTGTGGCGCCGAAAGGCCAAAAGGAAAAGACGAAAGGAAGATGGACCCCCACAAAGGATGAGGAATGACTTCCAACGTTGGCCCCACCAGCTGGAATGCCTCAGATGTTGTCGCAACTTTTTAAAGAATCAGTCCCAACGAGATTTTTTTGTGCAGATGGCAACTGGTGCAGGGAAGAGTCTGGTGATGGCAGACCTCTTGGCAGATTTGGCCCCCAACAAACGAGCTTGCATCATTGTTCCCAAGTTGGACTTGATGGAGCAATTGGTCCAACTGTTGGAAGGGACCATCAGTGCGCGAGTGGGACGGGTTGGGACAGGACATCCTGCAGATTTGAGTGCTGAGGTGTTCGTTTGTGTGCGCAATTCGGCCTGGCAGCTATCCAATCTGACCTTTGGTTTGCTCCTCTTGGATGAAGCTCACCACTATGAGCCTGGAGATGAGTTGCAGAGTTCTGGAGTTCACGCTCGACAAGTGCTGACCCTGGACACTCCTAAAAGAATTTTCTTCACAGCAACCCTTCGCAGAACCCAGCCAGATTTCGACTTTGGACTCAGGCCTGCTATCCAAGCTGGCGTCATCAAGGATTACTCTGTCATGGTGCCCGTGCTCACTGCAGGCGATCCGAGGCCCAGTTTGGTGCGGCTGATTCAGAACCTGCCACTAGCGCGAAAAATCTTGGCCTTTTGCAACACAGTTCATGAAGCGAAAGCTTTCACTCAAATGTTGTTAGACGCTGGCATCCCTTCTGACCACTACAATGCCCACACAGCTGGCGGCCACCGGCAGAAGGTATTGAAGAGATTCCAGTGCAGTGAGAGGTTTGGGGGAATACGTGTTTTGGTCACAGTGGATGTACTAAGTGAGGGGGTTGACTTGCCAGTGGCGGACACCTGTTTATTTGTCGCACCCAGGCGAGGGATCCGACTACAACAGTGTGTGGGAAGGGTACTGAGGAACCATTGCGAGAAGATAGATGCGCTGGTGATTGCCCCGCCGGTCGTTCAAGATGCTGGTGGCATGTTGGCAGAGGATGCTGAGCTGGGCCGGCTGTTGAGTGAGCTGGCAAAAGCTGATCATGTCTTCAAGGCGGCCCTGACTGATGGAATTTCTGCACGAAGTCGAATCACCATTGCGGCCGACAAATTTAAGTCAACATCTCCAGAGGAGGTTGCACAAATTTTGCGAATCCGAGTTTTCCCTCATGCTTTAAGAACGTGCACCGGACTGGATCGGTGGGAGATGGGCTTTCAAGAACTGCTGGCATTCAAAGCTAAACGTGGGACTTGTTTGGCGCCACAAAACCACAAGACTTCAAGTGGGTTTTCCCTTGGCACGTGGGTTAGCACCCAGCGCAGAGCAAATCGCACGGGGAAATTGAGTCGAGAGAAATTTGATCGGCTTGAGGTGGTTGGCTTTGTTTGGGCCGCTCGGGCCGCTCAGGCCGCTTACCCTGCTCGTATTTCTTGGGATGAGGCATATCGAGAGCTGCTGGCATTCAAGGCTGAACGTGGGACTTGTTTGGTGCCACGCGACCACAAGACTTCAAGTGGGTTCTCCCTTGGCAGGTGGGTTGACAACCAGCGTGGAGCAAATCGTGCGGGGAAATTGAGTCCAGACAAATTTGATCGGCTGGAGGCGGTTGGCTTTGTTTGGGCCGCCTACCCCGCTCGTATTTCTTGGGATGATGTATATCAAGAGCTGCTGGCATTCAAAGCTGAACGTGGGAATTGTTTGGTGCCACAAAACCACAAGACTTCAAGTGGGTTCTCCCTTGGCTGGTGGGTTAGCACCCAGCGCAGAGCAAATCGTGCGGGGCAATTGAGTCAAGAGAAATTTGATCGGCTTGAGGCAGTTGGCTTTGTTTGGGCCGCTCGGGCCGCCTACTCCGCTCGTATTTCTTGGGATGAAGCACATCAAGAGCTGCTGGCATTCAAGGCTGAACATGGGACTTGTTTGGTGCCACGCGACCACAAGACTTCAAGTGGGTTCTCCCTTGGCAGGTGGGTTAGCAACCAGCGTGGAGCAAATCGTGCGGGAAAATTGAGTCAAGGCAAATTTGATCGGCTGGAGGCGGTTGACTTTGTTTGGGCTGGTCGTGTTTGTATCTCTGGGCGGGGCAAGGAAATTTCAAATGGCAAGTGAACGGAATCAGAAAGCAAGGGGCGACTAACTGCGCGTGGAGTTGTGAGCCCCAGACCTTGGACGGCAGTGGGCCATGTGTTGCAGCAACAAGCTGCCTGTGGATGCAGAGTCCGTGTTTTGGAAAAATGTTGCCATTTTTTTCGTGAATGCATAGCTCATGGTTCGTGTTGGATTTAGGACGAACTTCATGTTGCATGTGATGCATTGCATAGTATTTCCAACAGGTCCCCAAAGACTGTCCAAGACTCCAAGACGAGTGTACCACAAGAGCGTATTACGAAAGTGTTCCCACAAAGGTGACACAAGACTGCCTAACAAGAAGTATGTGTATATATATATATAGATAATAATGGGCCATTATGGCTCGTAAGAGTGTCAAAGAAGAGTATCCTTCAAGAGTGTCGCAAAGGACAGGGTCCCAAAACAGTGTCTTGCAAGATCGTCCCAAAAAGCGGCTACGAGAGTGTCCCGCAAAAGTGTCTTACAAGAAGGTATCGCAAGAGTGTCCCACAAGAAGGCCTCGCAAGAAAGGGTGTCCTGCAGGAGTGTCCCACAAGATTGTCTTTCAAGAGTGTCTTCCAAAGAGTGTCCGGCAAGAGTGCACCCCTAAAGAGAATCATGCGAGGGTGTCTTACATTACAAGTTGTTTTTTTGCATGAGTATCTCACCTTGCAGGAGCGTCCAGTGTCCCAACACGACAGTGACCAACAAGAGTGTCCCACAGGAGTGTTTTTAAAAATCCGCCAAGAACGTCTTATGACAGTCTCCCACCACAGTGCTTCTCATTTGTCTTGTTCAGAATTCCGTACTTTCAAAAATCATTCAGATGATCACACACGCATATCGTATATATATATATTATATTCCTCGTTTTCCAATTTTTCTGGTGTTTGCTCAATAATATGGTTTCGGCAAATACAACAAAACATTTAACTATCCTGCACAAAGTCAGTGCTGGGTCAGCTGGTTGGAGGAGGATAGTGTCACAACCACTAGTTGAAACATCGGCACCTGGCAGACACACACACACACTTGCTTATATAAACGATAAAGATGGTACATTTGGATATACTATGCTCACATGACATGAGTGTAGTGAGACGTATTCAAACAATCACTATTCTCATGTCATGTGCCAAGTGCACTTCTTTTTTGACACAAAAAATAGCGCACATGTCATCTGCTTTGAACTCGTACTGCCACTGTGAGTGTTGATTCTTAGCTGCTATCTCTTGAGTGTTTCAAAGTTGGAAGGCAGTGGAATGGCTGACCGGGGTTGGAACTCCAAATGCCTAACTTTTCGCCCAACCTGACGATGCCCCTGCATCTAGGGACCTCTCCAAAACGGTTAGTTCATGTTAGTTTTAAATCCTCGTCAACCAATTGGCTTCATTTTCTCGGTGTTCTAAGGGTGCTGACCCGCCTACTGTTAAGTCTGCTCATCGCCAGGCTGTGTTGAGCCTGGGCGACAGCCCGTCCACATGCCACGTCGCACCACCGCACAATGGGCCGCTGAGCGCAAGGGATGAACGCTGTCGCAATCGTTGGATGCTACCAGCCAAAACCAAAGGTGTGTACATCATGTTTCAGAAATTGAATCCGATCAATAAATCGATTATGGTCCGAAGTCACACATTGTCTCACCAGATTTTTCTCAACAGCAGTTTAGTTTTTGTACTGTTCAACTTTGATCATTCCGATCCATGCTCTTTTGGCCAATCCTGAGCCATGCTGTGCGTAACTGATTCAGAAACAAGTGAAATTCCATTCAGATGGTGCATTTCCATTTGTTTGTGGGCTGCCCTCGTTCACAATGCTTCATATGACAAGAGCCGAAATATAGTTGTTTGGTTCCACTTGTGTTTTTCAAGTCAGAGTCATGCGAGTCATGCTAGTAACTCTAAAGGGCTGGATCAATTTACTGAGTGAAAATTCTGTTTCGAGTCCCATTCAACACGTGTTTGGCTGAGGGGATGCTGCACCTCTTGCCGTGCCTCATCTGCATCCTCAGTCTCCGTGAGGAGTTCCTTTGAATACGCAACATGCAAACTCCGCCTTCATGCTCCGCATTTCCGCTGACTGCAGGGTTCGCCTCACCAGAGGCGAAGAAAACCATTGTGTTTCTACTTTGAAGTTCCTTCCCTCAAATCAACTGATCTCCACCTTCGATGACCATGCAAAGCTGGTGCCAAGGTTACAACCACTATTGCCCGAGCAACAAGGCAGGTGATGGCTGTGCTTTTGTCGATCCCCCGCAACTTCCAGTGTTCCTGCTCGTAGGGATGCTACGCCACTGGCCAAAGCGGCTGCAGCGGAGGGTATTGCCCTGCACCTGCGAAGGAGGCCACATGGGAACGGTGCCAGATCTCATCAAAAGGACCAAGAAGGCTTATACTATACTGGAGTACTGAGGGTTCGACATTTGGCTGTTTCATTTTGGATGGCCTTGTGAAAGGTCAAAGTACCCATCCAAAGGGTGAAGTGCACTACACTCAGCACTAGCTACTCTGTGATGATTCTCATGCAGCCAGGTGGAGATGGTGGTGTGAGCCTAGAGCAGCAAACCAACGGAGGGCACTTGGCTCCTGCGAAAAACGCAACGTGGCAGTCACGGGTGCGATGGCAGCAGAAGTCCACTGGGTATGGTCGAGAGATATTCCAAAAATTATATATAGGTGCCGTACTCCCAGAAATTTGACAAACATTTGCTGCGCCATATCCAGTTTGGAGAAGATATCATCTTGCGAGTTGTTAGAATCAGGCTGCAGCTGGCGCAACGCCACGGACACCCATGAAACACCCGCGCAAGACTTGCCGTGACGGCTCAGATGCCAGACAATGCCACAAGCCACAGGTGGCTAGTATCCTCATGGAAACCCTCCAAGATATATACACACACACACATATATATATACTATTTTGATGAATCTTGCTGAGCATGAGGCTACTGGTGTAGGATGTTCTTGTTGGCATACAGCAGTCGCTGATACCCTCCATGTCTGATGCAATGACTATTGAAGAAGAGACCGCAGTACCAGAAACTTGGCTCACCGGCCTACATGATCTTTGCCATGATAGCTGCTTAGCCACAACCCCTGAATAGACTGCACTTTTTAGCTCTCATGACGGTGCTTCAAAGCACGCAACATGGGAAGCACGTTTTCCAACCGCCACAGCTCGCTCTCCCAGATCCCGTTGCTTGGAGATGTGCTGGCATGAAGATGTTCTCTGTTCGAGGGCGCGAGACACCTGACAACCTTTGTCTCATGCTATCTTCAGGTTCTTCAATGGTGTGTCCCAATTTCCAGCCAATTATATGATGGATTTGCCTTGCGGCATTGCGTATATATGCTTTGCGATCTCTTTATGCGGGCTGGCACATACAAATACATCCACATGTTACATACAAAATCTCCATCTCAACTCCCAGGCGCTCTCGCGGCTGGGAGGTGGAGGGCGACCACGGTGAGTGGGTCAAGCAGCTCAGGGACGACCAGGGGAGCTTGCAGGGAGCCGTGATCCAGTGGCGAACAAAAAAAGGTAGTTGCAACATATCCTGGAATCTTCCGTTCTCTTCATGTCCTGGGATGTTCACTCAACTTCACAATCGAGAGTTCCGAATCGAGTGCTCGAGGTTCCTCTACATATCCAATGCATGTATATTCTAAGTTTATCGAAATCACTTCCAAACACGAACAAACTCCATTTTTAGATCTAATCCCATTTGACCTGCAGATTCTTTCTTCGGTAGCCACCGGTAGCCACCGGTACGGCATTGTCCTCCGGAGTCCACCGAGCCCCGGGGACGGGCCGCAAGCAGCGCAAGGTTCCAGTAGATCGTGCCACAGAGGTTCTTCCCGTGGCGGATGGGTGTTTCCACGCTGTGGGATCCAACATGGCATCACCGACAGTGGGAGAGTGGTTCATTCTAAAACTGCAGAAAAAATGCATTCACATGCAGAAAAACATGATCTATCCAAATGATTGGAAGGAAAGCACGACAGGCCATAGATGGCTGAATTTCAATCGAATTGTCACCCAGCCTAGTGTGGGGTCGGCTAAGTTTGTTCGGTTGTGGCCGCTCGGAGGGATTTGTATGCATGGGTCGCATAGGGACCCTGATAGTTCTGGTTGGGAAGACAGGTAAATCCAAAACCTTGCGTGGCATCTTCCGTCATCTTTTAGGCTCAGGGAGCCTCGGTATGTTTGAATAGATGTGCTCGGTGAATTGCAGAGTCCGGGCCTCCCCCACACGGGGTTGAAAGCACCTTGGCTGGAGATGGTGTGCACGTCATTCCACACGAAGAAAAGATTGCTCAAAGATTTTGAATGGCTAAGATGGATTCTATGTAGCAGGGGTACACGTGAACAGTCTGTGACCCCAAAATTGCAAAAGATTTGCGCCCTAAATTTTGAAAGGTGTGTTGTCCCCATCAGATGTGTGGACAGCCAGCCGCATCTCCGCGGCGAACTAAGGCCTGGCTGAGGGAAACAAGGTGCCCGGCGGCTGCGTGAGTGATTGGTTACGACTAGTTTTGTGCCATTCTTGGACTTGGTCAAGTTAGGGAGTAGACAAGTGGAGCTAAGCAGCATTCTTGTCCGCATCCATTGCTGAACTTCATTTTTAGACTTGGTGCAGGCAGTTCTTTAACTGCAAACATGGAGATCACTGTCCTGGCGTTACTAGAACCAGGTGCGAAGGGTTGAAGCAGGGAGCCACAAAGGGAACAGTCAGACGGTCAGCACGTTGAGTATGCAAGGGACCCAAGGGGAGTCTATTCATATGGTAATCATGTGTCGATTTACATGTCGCATGCATGATTTCTTTCATTCTTATTTTCTTTTTTGCGGTGTATTCTGTTCATTTTGCTATGTTCCCCGGCGTCACTCTGCCCCGAACAAATTGTTTGCACGATCATTTTAGTTGCGAATGCACTGATGCTGTAGCAATGGCGACCTGTTAAACTTCTGCCACAGGACCCAGCTTCGCGAATGTGGGTTGGTGGCTGATCTTGCACCTGGGCCAGCAACCCTTGCAGTGTTCAGTGTTTCCTTCCTGTAGCGACCACGTGGCTTTATCACCTAAACTACTACGACTCAAAATTTGGCCCGCTCCCAAACAAGTCATGCCCTGTTGGAGGAGGAAAACGCATCATAGCCACCATGAGGTTCATAGTTGCCTTCCTCATCGCGATGGAAGTGAAACGGCAGCAGAGTGCTGAGAAAAGCCCAGGCGGTTTCTCAACTGCAATAGCAGGAGGCGTAGCCTGTATACCTGCGAAGTGAGATTGGGGGATGTGGGCGACCTGGTTGAATTTTTGGAAATCGCATGAGAGTTCCCTGTATGGGACAGATTGTTGATTGTCCAGCACCAATATGCTCCTTTCCTGGTGGTTGTGCGGCCTACGTGTGCGTTCAGCTTCCCAGCTTGTGGCAATGCATTGCATTTCAGTGCTATATCAAAAAGGCAAGATGGAAGCCTCGAAATAAGGGTTTCTGGATGACTTCTAATCCCAACCCATGATATTGAATACCAGTATTGCATTTATTCATTTTGTGGTCACAATAGGGGCAATGATTGTTTTCGGGTTCAGCCCCAGGTCTTCACTTGCCCTCGCTTCCTCCCAGGTTTTCGCACGGCGAACGAACGACGTGCTGAGAAGACGCTCACGACTCGCGCACCAGAGGATGTGACGAAGGAAGCGGCACGGGCGGCACGGGCGGGGCAGTTGATCTTCGTACCAAAGAATGGCTAGGTGACCAACAGAGGATGTGACCAACCAGCAACAACCAGAGATTTTGCCCAGAAGTATGGCCTCTGAGTAGTCACATGGAAGATTTTCCCCGCAAATCTGATGTGAATCATCAATGAAAGGGAACTCACCAACATGGAAGATTTCACCAAGAAATTTGGCATATCAATCACTGGGGATTCGACCAACACACGGGGCTTTACCAACAATGAAATGGACTCTACGAGCGACCCGGAATTGGGTGCATTTCACTGGCATGATGATTCACCAACAATGATGGAGATGGAGCTATCAACCACAGAGATGTAAGTAGCGTTCATGCAATGTATCATGACTTTTGCAGGTTCCAAAACTGTTCCTTCTCCTTCTCTTGTGCATTCAGGGGCACAACTCATTTTTGAAGCTCTGATTTTCGGATTTTGAAGACCGTGACTACAACTTTAGTCTCTGTCAATCTTGGAAGGAATGACCTTTGGCTTTTCAGGTTTTGTTGGCGTGCCAGGACTACATGGAAGTCGTTCTCGAGCGTGATAGCGTCCGAGAGCCTTGGGGCCTCGTATGGCACGTGCAAGGCTACAAAGCACAGAAGCTCGGCAGTGGGGCCGCAAAAATTCAGACAGTTTAACACATTCAGTCACATTCAACATCTTTTCCGGAAGTTCAAGAGCGACTAGTAACACATTCAATAGTTCTGTTTTCCATGGTCTGGGCTTACATGGCTTATATATATATATAACTTATATCAAGATCCAGGTTGGTATATATAGATCTTACGCCGTGGGAAGCTGAGGAGATTTCTGATTGCTGGGTTGGAGCCCAATTCTCCCGCAGGATCCTGCCGGGCACAAGGCCTGCCAGATGGCTACGGGACACACCAACTGAAGACTCACGGAACCCACAAATTTCAGTCATTTTTTCGGACAATTCACGATGAAATAAGCAACTTGGAAGTAAAACTTGAGACAAAAAGGAGTCAAGTAAAAACATGATGGCACCTGATGGCTGCTTATCAGACTATAGCTGAATCTCATGCGGATGGTGAGGCCTGCGCGGCATTCGGCGGGGCGACGAGCTTCTGAGCGTCAACGGGAAATGTCAGTTCCAGTTGATGTGCCAGGAGACTTCGCATTTTTCGTCACTGGTGGGAACTTAAAGTGTGATACCTGGTGATAGAAGTTGAGCTATTTGATTCACGATCCGGAGAGGGAAACCTGAGATGTTGATGTGATCTTCAGAAGTAATCTGGAGGCAATTTCTTGAACATCATCTCCAGTAGATGGTCCATTGAAGGAGCTGGCGAGAGCGGAAAAGCTCTCGCTGCAATTCTTGAAGGCCGATGTGGTGCTCCCCTTGGATGAAAGCTCGGACGAGGATGCTTGTCACAAACAGATAAAGGGTTTTGTGGGTTTTGTTTTGGTTTAAGTTTAGTTATCATAAGTACACTGAAATGATTGCATGCCAAATCCCAGAAGGAGGCAATTTTCGAGTTTCTGACAGCAAAATGGTGAGGTTTTGTTTGTTTCAACCCTTCTCCCCCCGGAAGAAAAGATTATGTTAATGGGACGGGCAGTCATGGAGGGTTGCGCACTGCCCACCAAGCGGCCAACTCTGAGGATTTGTGTCAGCCCGAGCCCCGGAGTCCTTCCATCCAGGCATCAGCAGAATCAGATGGCCAAGCGATCGCGGAATCTGTGGAGGAGGCTCCGTGGTTGGCCATCTCCAAACTCAGAGGTGCTGAGAGGCATCCTCCATAGTATTGGTTGATGGTTTGACGGAGGCAGATTATCCTCCAGGATGCTGCAAGATGCCCTCTATAAACGCGGCTTTCAGCATTTGTTGCCCGTAGGTAGACCAAAAATCCATGCCATGCAATTCTTGATATACTTGCATGTACTGAGTTCAATTTTTCCCCAAACAGGTTTACCTGTATGGGGTTCTTACTCCTTAGAAAGGGTTGCTTGCCTTGGTCGTATGATTTTGACTGTGTCTCCGGGCTTGCGTCCTCAGAGTGTTGGGTCCGGTTGGTCGCATGATTTCCTACACTTGTCTTTCATTTGTCTCCCCACTCTGGGTTCCTTGGGCCGCATGAGTTTACACTTGTCTCCCCCTTGTCTCCCACACTTGTCTCCCACTCTGGGTGCCTTGGGCCGCATGAGTTTACACTTGTCTCCCACTTGTCTCCCGCACTTGTCTCCCACTCTGGGTGCCTTGGGCCGCATGATTTTACACTTGTCTCCCACTTGTCCCTCACACTTGGGTGCCTTGGGCCGCATGAGTTTACACTTGTCTTCCACTTGTCTCCCACACTTGTCTTTCACTCTGGGTGTCTTGGGTCGCATGATTTTCACACTTGTCTCCCACTTGTCTCCCGCACTTGTCTCTCACACTTGTCTCCCACACTTGTCTCCCACTCTGGGTGCCTTGGGCCGCATGAGTTTACACTTGTCCCCCCCTTGTCTCCCACACTTGTCTCCCACTCTGGGTGCCTTGGGCCGCATGAGTTTACACTTGTCTCCCCCTTGTCTCCCGCACTTGTCTTTCACTCTGGGTGCCTTGGGCCGCATGATTTTACACTTGTCTCCTACACTTGTCTTCCACACTTGTCTCCCACTCTGGATGTCTGGGCGCGCATGAGTTTACACTTGTCTCCCACACTTGTCTCCCACACTTGTCTCCCGCACTTGTCTCCCACTCTGGGTTCTTTGGGCTGAGTTTACACTTGTCTCCCACTCTGGGTTCTTTGGGCTGAGTTTACGCTTGTCTCCCACTTGTCTCCCACTTGTCTCCCACACTTGTCTCCCACACTTGTCTCCCACACTTGTCTCCCACTCTGGGTTCCTTTGTTCGCATGTACAATATAACTGAAAATTTGTACATCTGTTTGGGGTCAACGCTGGTATAATCTTTCTGCAACTGGAGCTTCAAACTTGGCTGTGCCCACCTCGACGATTGCCAGGAGGAGGATGAGCCCAGCTGCGGAGTCAGCCAGCCCTTCTCCCCTTCCGAAGTCGCCTCCCTGGCTGCCAGCTCTGGCACCAATGGAGCCACTTGCGCTGAGCCGCGTGGCCGGGATGCCGCCATCAAGCGGGCGGATGCCCCGGTCAAGAAGAAGTCCCGTCGCCATGGGGCGGGCCACTTTTCCAGTAGTGCCTCTGGTTCCGGGTCAGGCTCTGAACAGGCATCTTGTGCCAGCAAGTGTCCATCCACCGATTGGGAATACATGATGGATAACAGGCCTGGCAGCTTGATGACTGCAGAGCTCCAAGGGCTCTCGGCTCGAGATAGGCCGGTGCCAGCAGCAGAGATGAGCCACACCAACAATGTAGTGATTGTGGCTGGTTCACCCGTCATTGCGTTGCAAACCGCCAGCGCCTTGGGAACGGTGGTGGGCGGAGGAGTGTTTCATCCCATGCAGAATGTCCGGGGGCGACAGCAGCTGCCAGTCTTGCCATCTTCCCAGTTGGCAGCGGCCCCGATGATCCACACAGACGCCATGGGGCAAATCTGCCCTGTTGTGGAGCAATTTGTGCCACAAATGGCTGAGGTATCACCAGAGCTTCAGGCTGTTCAGGCTGTTCCCTTCCCAATGAGTCGCCAAGGGTCCAAAGAGTCTGCGGGGACTGGCTCCAACACCTGTGGAGTGATCTTTGAGGCCGAAGAATCTCTCCATGCGCGGTCAGGTAGCGCACCGCCAGGTGGGTGTTGCATGGAGCTTCCGACACCGCCCCAGGCAGCCCGAAAACGGACCTACCGCTCAGGCAAGAAGGTCAGAGCCAAGCGAACACGCGCGGCCATTCGAGCTATGCAGGCAGCTGAAGCAGCCGAAGTGGCTGAAGCTCCAGCTGAAGTGGCTCCACAAAAGCAGCCTGAGGCCGAGGTGAAGGGCAGTGCAGCAAGATCAGGTAGTGCGCCACCCTCCTGTCATGGAGGAGCGCTGAAGAATCCAGAGCCTGAAGAGGGAAAATTGTACTACAAGCCTAGAAGACGAGCGGGCAAGAAAGTGCGTCAGCGAAGCTTGGCTGAGTTTGTGGTCCTTTCAGAGATTGAAACTCTTTGAGTTGGTGTGATAGACGTCCTGTTTTTTGAACACATCGTTCTCATTCTTCCTTGGCTTGCTCTTTGGAATTGAATTCTAACGACTTTCTCTTGTGATTCACAATTCCGGGTCATGTTTGGAATTTTCAAGGTGCTTCAGCCATTCGCGACTTTCATTGTAATCTAGATATATTTATATAGATTGATCCATGTCCATATTTTCAGACTGATTGAAACAATGCGCCGATCAACTGCCCCTGACAAGTTTGACCGTGAAAGACGTCTCAAAAAGATTAAAACCGTGGAACACCATTGAACACCATCAGAATAGAAGGCAACAACCTGGTACCCTCTGGTGAACTAACATAGCAATGGAAAGATCCACCATTCTTAATGGGAAAATCCATTATAAATAGCCATTTTCCATTGCTATGTTAGTTCACCAGAGGGTAACCTTTCCATGCCTTTAACGCTGATAGGTTACGCCATGTTACGCCCATCCGGCCGCGGCCTCAGGAATGGAGCACGCCATTGCTCGCCGTCGTGAGCAAGCCTTGATGGCTGAAGCTGCTGAGAACTGCAGGAGCATCCAATGATAGAAATATATAGAAATCCCTGGTGAAATGTATTGAATGTATTGAATGTATTGGATCAAGGATCATTTTTTGGGACCCATAGGGACATTTAGATGATTATAATATATGATATATATATATATATATTATATATGATATATATATATATGTATACATATATATATATATTATAATATTCTTTGGTACGGGCGAGGGGACGTGAGGGGACTATATCTTATGGCAAGTTGGTCTCCATTCCTGGGAAGTCAGCTTCTGATAGATATATTTTTTTGGTGGTTAAGTTAAGACGGTTAAGAAGTTATCTAGTGGTGAACCCCCAAACAACTGAGATGGACCATTAGCTTGGCTGAATGACTGAATGGCGCACCATTGTTGTTAAACAGCATCATCCCAGAATCAAAGCAACCCCATCCCTGCCATTCACGAACTACATGGGTCTGTCCGAACATAGGCCACTCCAAAATCTCACAGGCCACCAATCGGATGCAATTTCCTCGGTCTTGTCGGTCAAACCCATGTTTGGCAGATGAAATCCACACAAATCTCCTATGTTTGAATCAAAGTTCAAGTGTTTTGATGCTTCTCAATCACCTTGACCATTCTTGTATTTCTGGCTTCCAAACCTGGTCACCTCCCCCATTTTTCCCCGAAAAACAAGCCCCACCAGGATGGTCTCCGACGACGAAGGCGCGCACGCCGCGCCCAAGCGCCTGGCGCGCGCCAAGCGCGCGGACTCGCCGGTCTCCACGGTGTCCACGGCGATTTCCACGGCGGCCGCCACGGTGTCGGCGGTGGCCAGCACGGCCACGGCGTCCAACACGGGGTCGGAAGGACTCGGTTGGGCCGGGTTGGGGGATGGGTTGGGGCCGTTGGGGGTGGGGGATGGGATGATGGGCAAAGCTTTTCAGGTGTATTTTGAGAAGTCACTATGTTGGGATGATTGAGATTAAGATTGAACAACTGTTTTAGATCTTTTTATTGTTTGTCCATGTTTGGTTGTGATATTTTCTGAGATGAAGGTAATGAAAGATAATAAGGAATGTTGCTATTGAACTGTTGATGGAAGAGGTTGCACCATGAGAGGAATCATGCCACGGCGCTCCTTCTACTCTCGTCGTCCACCGCTGAGTGGCTTGCCCACCATGGCTGAAGCAGCGCCCGAGATAGTGCCTTGATTTGACCTTCATAGTGTCATAGATTTGCAAATGCCATTTTCCACATGATTTTAGGACAAAATTCTGTCTGAAACTTCATGGTGATTTCAGCATTGACCATCATTCCTCATGGCAGTTGTCTACTTTTCCATTCTGCAACTGAAGCTGCAGGTGCCACCTCGTGCCTCACAGAGGAACTCCTCCCGCGATGCGCGGCGGAATAGCGCTTCAAATGCAGGTGCCTAACAGAGCCAAAGGTCTAGGGATTCGTCTTCCAGCCCTATGAGAGATCAATAGAGATCATAGTTTTCAAATGTTTTCAAGATTCAAGAGAGTATCTATCGGCATCTTTTGCCCATCATTATTTCCATTCAGTGGCTGTGCAGGGGGAGATGTGGAAGAGATCATCGGCCGGCAAGTTCTTCTAACCGGCCTTGTGCATGCACCGTATCTGGGCGTGAAGCATTGATGGTGATGGTCCTGCTTATTTTACAGACTTTTATTGTATGAGTTTCAATCATTTTTTCCGTTGGTATTCCCCTTGTTTTTTTTTTCCCCCGCTGATTTACCCCCTTTTTTTTGTGACCTAAAAACTTAAAATCCACATTCTACGGCTGGAAACCAGGCAGTTCAATGGCCACTGGGGCCATGTGGACGGCTTTGACGCCACATCGCAGCGCTATGTCCTGCGAGTTTTTACGGGTCAGCCTGGAGCAAAACCAAAGATTGTAGCTTGGAAGATGAAATATTTTTGGGTGATCCTGGGAGGTTTTAGTAATATATTATGTAATATAGATGTATATTATATAATTACACACACACATATATATACATAATATATTTATAACATACATATATATATATATCGGTATAGTATCATTAAGAGCTTCGGTTTTGAGTCCATTCCGCAGCAGTTGAACACGAACGTTATTAGGGGGCTTGTGAAACGTGCACAACTGCACGACTGCTATGGAACGTGCGCAACTCCTATGAAACGTGCGCAACTTCTATGATTTATATAAGTTCTCAACCACTGCAAAAAGCTCTTAACGATACTATACCCATATATATATATATATGTATATGTTAAGCGCTTACGCGCGACAGCCGGCCAGGGGCCCAACTATGTTGGCCCATTTTGTGGCTATATGTTGGCCTATGTTGGCCTCATGTTGACCCATGTGGAGCCAAAAGGTCCGAAAAATGGGAACAGCAAAAAAACGCTGTAAAACAGAAGATATTTTGATGGTCGGTGACCTATCTTGGGGCTATGTTGGCCCATCTTGGGGCTATGTTGGCTTATCTTGAGGGCAATGTGGGCCCATCTGGGGGCTATGTTGGCCCATCTTGGGGCTATGTTGGCCCATCTTGGGGCTATGTTGGCCCATCTTGGGGCTACGTTGGCCCAGCTTGAGGCCTATGTTGGCCCATCTTGAGGCCTATGTTGATCTTAAACCACAAGATCCGGAAAATGGGAAAAAATGGGACGAGCACAAAACACGTAAAACGCAGGGGTTTTTAGCCGGACCGAGGGGTCGGCGGCAGGCGGTGCAGCCCCTCTCTCCTACGGAGAGGAGAGAAACGCCTTCGGCAATGCCACGGCCAAGAACCCCCTCCCCGGATTTAAGCGCTTACGTGCGACAGCCGGCCAGGGGCCCAACTATGTTGGCCCATCTTGTGGCTATATGTTGGCCTATGTTGGCCTCATGTTGACCCATGTGGAGCCAAAAGATCCGAAAAATGGGAACAGCAACAAAAACGCTGTAAAACGCAAGATATTTTGATGGTGGGTGGCCTATCTTGGGGCTATTGTGGCCCATCTTGGGGCTATGTTGGCTTATCTTGAGGGCAATGTGGGCCCATCTGGGGGCTATGTTGGCCCATCTTGGGGCTATGTTGGCCCATCTTGGGGCTATGTTGGCCCATCTTGGGGCTATGTTGGCCCAGCTTGAGGCCTATGTTGGCCCATCTTGAGGCCTATGTTGGCCCATGTTGACCCATCTTAAACCACAAGATCCGAAAAATGGGAAAAAATGGGACGAGCACAAAACACGTAAAACGCAGGGGTTTTTAGCCGGACCGAGAGGTCGGCGGCAGGGGGTGCAGCCCCTCTCTCCTACGGAGAGGAGAGAAATGCCTTCGGCAATGCCACGGCCAGGGGGCCCCTGGCCGGATTTAAGCGCTTACGCGCGACAGCCGGCCAGGGGCCCAACTATGTTGGCCCATCTTGTGGCTATGTTGGCCTATGTTGGCCTCATGTTGGCCCATGTGGAGCCAAAAGATCCGAAAAATGGGAACAGCAACAAAAACGCTGTAAAACGCAAGATATTTTGATGGTGGGTGGCCTATCTTGGGGCTATTGTGGCCCATCTCGGGGCTATGTTGGCATATCTTGAGGGCAATGTGGGCCCATCTTGGGGCGATGTTGGCCCATGTTGGCCCATCTTGGGGGCTATGTTGGCCCATGTTGGGGCTATGTTGGCCCATCTTGAGGCCTATGTTGGCCCATGTTGACCTATCTTAAACCCCCCGCCCCCCTCCTCTTAAAAGGGTAGTGATATTATATCCCATGTTTCGGCCCTAGCAGCCCTAGCACATGTATCAAGACTCATGGCATCCGGATCCATGACATCAGCGATGGCGTGCACCAAGGCCAAGCTGCGTCGCGATTGCTTTATCGTGCCGAAGGGTGAAGTTCCCAGCGAGGTGCAGGGCAGGGGATGGTGGAAAGTTTTCCATGGGAAGATGAAATTTGCCAGAGGGTCCAGAGGGGGAAGCAACAAAAACTGAAGATGTTCTCTTGGCCTCATGAGCCAACCACCAGGATGCAAGATTTGCATTCAGTCAGCAGAACTGAGGTATATAAATTGAGGTAACTGCAATTGAGTCAGCAACGGCATTTGATATTTCCAACTGTGTTTTTGGTAATAAACTGACTGACCGAGTTATATGTTTTGCCCGCCAAAAAAGAGGTCCAACTTAGATTGCGCCGTGGTTTGTTGGACATGGGTCAGGCTGGGCAGCCCAAGGCATGGCAACCGTCCTTACGTCACTTGGTCAGCAGGGATTTGCGATGACAGGTGGAACATTTCTTCGAATCTTACGAGGGTCAAGATATGACATATTGCGCACACACACACATATGTGGGAAGTTGGTGCCAAACATTGGTTGGTGGACATATAGATTCCTTTTGAGTGTTATTTTGCATGTGGAGAATTCCATTGAAGCACCTACATCACCAGGCATGATCCAACGAAGAGACGGGCCATGTTTTGATGCCAGATGCTCTTGCCCTGAGGCCTTGGAGCATAGAGCATGTCGAGTCGGATCGTCTGACTGCTTTCGTCATAAAATTTCGTCGCTGTGAGAGGGCATAGCATTGCTGCCGCGAAGACGTGCCAACATTTGTTGAAGTTTGATGGAAGAGGAATTGTTTTAGTTTTTGAGCTCTGGGATTTTTGAGCAATCGGGTCCCTTTTGATGAGTTGTGCTGGGCACAGCAAGAGAGCAGTTCGCAAGAACTCTCCAGCGAGAGTCTGGAAATGTGCACCGCGTGCCAGAAGTGGCTCTCTGGCAAACACTTACAAAAAGTAGGCATAAGTCCCAGTGACCCAAGTTCAACACAACCATGGTTGTTTCAAGTCTGTTTCCACTGTGCCTCATTCTTGGGTATTTTGTCAAGTTGCACTTCCGGGATGTTTGTTTACGAATCAGGACGAGGGGGATTGAATATATTTGACAGTGATTGTGTACTTCTCCCATTTTGAACCACCATTTCAACGTGGGCCAAGCGACGACCGGTTTTGCCTTATTTGCTGTGAGCCATTTCGGTGGGGCTCAGGTTCTTGGCGAACCTCCCAGGGCACGGTGCCAGGGGGTCTATTCGCACGGCGTCACAGACGCAAATCCAAAATCAGTTACTTCTAGGTTCTGGCCATCCAATGCCAGCAGCAAACGGCTGCTGAAGTGGATTGAAGTCCCTTTCAAAAGGAGGATCCTTCATTTAAATCCAAGGAAGAAACAGTTGATTTTCCTCTTCTTTTTCCTTTGAAATGGGGATCTTACGTGGATTCCAAGGGGCCAGAGCCTGCTGGGTGTGCCGATCAACGCGCAAGGGCACGCTCAGCTGTACCGCCCGTCGGGGGTTTTGCCCCGGCCGAGAGGTGCAAAGTAAGTCTTCGAAAGCAGAGACGTGGGAATGGGCTCCCACCACAGGTTGCATGAGTGCAATGAGTCAGGATTATACCGAATACCCAAAGATGCTTGTTAGGATCGGGTCCCTGAAAGAGATTTTTGCGGATACTGACGTTGGTGCAGGGGGTATGAGCTATCAAGTGACGCAGAATTTTAGAAGGCGTGGTTGACATTGCAAGCCTTTGCACCTGCATCTCTTTTTCTTGCGCCGCCATCTGGAACTGACAGAAACTTTCATCCAGAAGTGCTCACCCCGGAAACAGCTCGAGCTCGGGACTGTTGTGACTGTTGTGTGTTGTCGGAACTGTGGATGATTGAAAAGGATTCAAACATCGACTTTCTTTAGTGGGTTGCTCTGAGAGGGATACTCCCTATGGGCCCATGAGTATAGGTCAATGGTGCTAAAGCGGCCCTTTTCTTTGTCCAAAGCAATGCGAACCTTGAAAGCTGACTTTTGAGGTCGTCAGCTCCAGAAATCCTTCAGTTGATGGCTCAAGGGCGCCCAAAAAAAGCGCCGACAGTTTCACTCTTTCAACACGAAAATCCACCCAGTCTAGAGATGTCTAGAAGCCAAACATTTGTACCATGCAATAGATTTGGATGAATAATAGATTCAAGGGAAACCTAGGTACATAGTTTGCAGGCTATTGATGTTTGTTGGTCCCTGCTGCCATCTTTGCTTCACATCCTTTGTGTTGTGACCCAGCCCAGCAATGTTGCTCAGAAGCATGCGGATGGTGTCTTGAGGTGGTGGCCAGTGGTAGCCGTTAAAAGAGGTCAACCATGGGGTCAACCATGGTCATCATAGTCACATCCAGTGATAAATCCCATCGACCTCTGGGAATCAATTGCCATGTGAAACTACCAGGCACCAGTGTTCATTCCATGTTAGGGCAACATAGTTCTGACCCACACCCAGCAGCCAATGCTTTTCTAAGGGCCGACCTCACGCACTTGGTGCAGCAGGTTGGGTCCCCAAGGAAAGGCGTTAGGTAGGTGATTCTAGACCTGATAGTTGGGCGATGTCAGTGGACCCCCAGTTCAAAATTGGTTCATCAATCAATAAACACAGTTAACTCTTAACTCAGTTAAGTATAGAAATATCTACCATAAACCCTACTTAACCTACGCGGTGCCCGTCTACCGCAGGCTCAACACCGCACGCAGCCAAAGGTGCTGGAGTCCGATATCGGCAGGAGCTGCCGTTGTGGAAAGAGACCTTTATTTCATCAACAGAAATGGTGTGATATCTTCCAAAACCAGGATTCACCCAACAAAACGGTTGTTTCCACGGAGTGGACATAGCTATCTGTAGGGGCAGTGAAGGATTGAACGAAAACATGAGATTGGGAGCGCAATGGGGTTCAAAACTGGCTAATGGAACCAATTTTCATCACATCTCCCGATCATCTTCAATTTCCTCTAGCAAAGTGGTGCCCTAAATGCATGGATCCAGTACATTGCCCCAGTAGCACAGCAAAAACACTGGCATTCTGAAGAATCAACCGTCGTAGCGCAATGCCAAATTTCCCTAGTGACACTTTCCTCCAGTACCATCTAGGATCTGGTACATTGATGCACATCCATTTGCACAATGTCACAATGATTCCTGTTTGCAATATCACATTTCCATGTTCGATGAAGGGTAGTAGTCCTTAGTAGTCCCCATCCCCGTCTTGAATATCCCAAATAGGAATAGATCCAACAAAGAGGCAGGGTCTTTAGGCCCTTTTTCGAAGGGATTTCTCTGCCGCAGGAAAGCCTTTGGCTTCGGACGTGAGGAGTGCACACCTGGCTAAAAAATGGTGGCCTTGTGTTGGACCATGAGATTTCGAAATGGAGATGTCCAAAAATGGTGATGCATACCGCATACCGCATACCGATGGCTATTTTGATGGGGGAACATGGTGATTCGTGAAAGGAATTTAGGGGATGGCCCATTTTTTTGGATAGGCAAAAATTGGGGCTGGAAGCCAATCAATCTTCAATGCGGTTCATATTCGACTTCCTGTTTTTTCCTCATTCTGCTCATGCCATCAGGTCTGCGGACCCGACTGCCAGGACTTAGATGGTGGTGCCAGCTACTATGAGGGTGAGTTCAAACTCTTCCTGAGAAGTGGCAATGGCACACTTGAAAATACAGAGTCACTTGGCAGTGGTTGCAATGATTGGCCGATGAAGAGCCCTACTGTGAAGCGGGTGAAGCGTTTCATGGAGCTGAAGCTGCTGCTATTTTTGATTTGAGTGGCTAAGGACCGGACAAAAATATGTGGGAGAGTTTTTGGCAGATAAATGCCATGGCAAAGGCAAGCAAGTATGGCCAGAGACTTGTCTGAGAATTTTGGCCCTCACCTTGCCCTGCGAGCACCTGCGGACTGATTTCCCAGAGGAACAAATGAAAATGCTGTCCATTTTCCACACTGAGCCTGATGGATTTGCTTGCAACAATTGTTCTGCGACCACAGTGACAACTACAAGTGGTTGAATTACGAGCCAGCAACTCCGCATGTTGGGGTTGGACGCTACCCTCCAACAACCACGGTTCTCATTAAGTTTTCGTAGTATTTCCCTTTTCACCAATTGAGTGGAGCAATCGTGATGATTCATGACAATCCATCTAAAACCGTATACGCTTTGCTGCAGTATCAGTTAGCTCCCTCCAAAAACGCGGCGTGCTTCCCCGCCCAAAAACAACACATCATGCGTCGTGCGCTGTGCTTGGGTGCTTTGGCCACCGCCAGTGGCAGCTCGGTTTATACAGGTGATCAACACCTTCAGGTGGCTCGTGGAAAATCCCCAAGCTCATGAACTACGGCTCAAAATGATAGGACACCCAAATGAAGGGTATAATGTCTTCAAAGAGGGGGCCTCTTGGTGCCCAGCATTCTGACCACTACCCATTCCTAAATTGGTAAATCGCTCAGTTCCTGCCAGATAATTGATGTGATTCCAGGGCGGTTTTCTTTTTTCATCATACAGTTCCCAATTTTTGGTTGAGATCAATGCTATTCCACCTTTTATTTACCACATTTGCCATACAAATTTCCCCTTTTTTGGGGTGAGAACCCCGAGGCACCGTCTACTTTTCGGAGACCTTCGGCGACGGATGGGAGAGCCGATGGACGTCCAGTGAGTGGAAGAAGAGCGATGGCACCCAGGAGCTCATCGATGTTAAACTGTTCCATCCTACTTCAGGATATCAAAATACTGGAATTTATGATGATCAACTATGACTAACTATTTATTTTCTGAATTATATATATACTTTTTCATTTTGTCTTGTGTTGTGTTGTATTGCTTCTGGAAGTGCCTTGAAAACAGTGCCAGGGCACGTGGACAGCGACCGCTGGCAAATGGTTTGCCGATGCCAAAGAGGATCAAGGCTGGAGAGCTGCAACCTTTGGTTGGGCGTGACCGTTCGAAAGGGGAAATGGTGTTGAAGTCATTTTTCCCCTCGCTCAGATGCTGATTAGCCATAAGTGTTTTTCCTCCCCCTAGTTGAAATGCTGATTTCATCCCATCGACAGCGGGCAATCAACTCCAATTGGGTCGTTGCAGTGTGGGGAATGTGGAGGTATCCAGACCGTCGAAGACTCGCGATTTTTCGGCCTCTCCGCGGGCTTCGATTCCTTCAGCAATGCGGGCAAGGACCTCATCATCCAGTACCAGGCATGGAGGGGTGCACCGAGCTAATGAAGCGCGGCTTTTGAGCCATGGAATGCCAAAGATGGCCAGAGGTTGTCAGAGGTTACATACCTAGGACCTAGACTTGGATTTAAACTTTAAAGTGGTGTTCTCCAAACAACGGTTTTCCCCTGCAGGCCAAGTATGAAAAGGACATTGAGTGTGGCGGTGGCTATGTGAAGATTGGCCCCAAGCTGAGCGATCCCACCACCTTCGGTGATCCGACCCCTTACAACATCATGTTTGGGCCTGACAAGTGCGGGTACACCAAGCGCACCCACCTCATCTTCAATTACAAGGGCAAGAACGTCCTGAAGAAGTCTGACTTGGCCTACAAGCAGGAAGGTGAAGGAACTTCCCATGTCTATAGGCTCCTCTTGAAGCCAGACAACACGGCCCACGTGGAAATCGATGGCGAGAAGATCTATGAGGGATCTCTGAAGGAGGACTGGGAGCTACTGGCCCCCAAGGAGATCAAAGACCCTGAGGACAAGAAGCCCAGCGACTGGGTTGATGACTCCATGATGGATGATCCGGAGGCAGGAGGGGGGGAGGTCATTTTTCAACGCGAGAACAAGGTCATTTGCCAACGAAGGGAGTCTGTTCATTTCGCAATTCTCCCCAGTTTCTGGGTTTCTGGGTGTTTGGGTCTCTTGGTTTCTCGGTTTGTTTCTTGGTTTCCGGGTCTCTTGGTTTCATGGTTTCTGGGTCTCTTGATTTCTTGGTATCTTGGTTTCTGGGTCTCCTCGTTTTTCTTGGTTTTCTCGTTTTCTTGCTTGCGGAGTTTCTTGTTTTTGTTTTAAATCTGACCCTATGGTTTCCATATTTTATGCGCTTATACTTGTGTCGCTTCGCTTCCGAAGGTGCTTCGTTGGGGTTGTTAAGATCATTATATAGTTTCTACATGTTTCAGTCTTGCGGTATAAACCGTAAATACGCCCGAAATGAGTGGTAAATACATCCCAAATAAACCCTAAGCCCTAAACATCCCTTCCCCAACAAACCAACCCTAAGAAATCCTAAACCAATCCTAAATAAACCCTAAACCACCACCAAACAAACGAGAAACCTATCCCTAAATATATACTGACCCTGAAGCGACCTTAAATAAACCGTAAATAAACCTTCAGCCAACCCCAGAAAACCGTAAACCAACCCTAAATACACCAATAACCAATTTTGAATAGACTAAAAATAAACCTTAGCTAACCCTAAACAATCCTAAACCAATCCGAAATAGAGTATAAACTAACTCCAATTAAGCCCTAAACAAACCCCAACGCAACCTTACATAAACCCTGACAAAAGCCTGAAAATTCGGCGCCTGATGGAGTTTTTTTTTTTTTAATGACCGTTGTTTGGTGTTGAAAAATGACCGTTGCGTCCCCGCAAGGACAAGAAACCCGACAATTGGGTCGAAGAGAAGCGCATTGTGGATGAAAAGGCCAAGAAACCAGATGACTGGGATGATGAAGAGGATGGAGAGTGGGAGGCGCCCATGATTGACAATCCGGAGTACAAAGGTGAGTGGACTGTGAAGCGCATCTCCAATCCGGCGTACAAAGGTGGGGGATGCGCCAAAAATCATGAGAGAGAAACAATCGGAGGTCTTAGTGAAATCTTAATTCTTACAATTTTCTCTTGCAGCAACCAGCAACTCTGAAACTGACGCCCTAGCATTTTTTTTTGGGGAATATAAGGTAAGTATATATGCACTGATGCATGTAATTCAATGTAATGCAATTTAATGCAATGCAATGCAATGTAATTAATGCGTTTGTGTATGCTGCCAATTTTGACCCGGACTGCCAGGCATTTGGGAGGCCAAGAAGATTGCCAACCCGGAGTTTGTGGATGATGACAACCTCTACAAGTACGAGGATTTTGGCTTCATCGGTTTTGACCTTTGGCAGGCGGGACTGGCCAAGAAACATCATCAGTCACAAATGTGGGTTCCAGACTTTCGTGGTGCAATCTCTATATTTGTTGGATTTTTCGTTCCACTCTGGATCCTGCCCCTATTTGACCAATCTGTTTCAAGACCAGAAGGTTTTTTTCCTCTACAGTGGTTGCTTGGTCGCGTGGTTGTCAGGTGAAGGGCAACACCATTTTTGACACCTGGCCTTGTTTAAGGTGATTTGTTATTTTCCCAATGGAAAATCAACCATTTGGGGAATCTGTAGGGAATATTTTTTGTTGGGACCTCTCTGAAGCAAATCTGAGGACAACGTCATAATCACTGATGACGTCGCCGAAGCCGATAAGTTCGTGGCGAAGTGGAAGGCCCTGAGCGAGGCAGGGCCGTTTTGGAGAGGTGCACATGATGGCAGTTTGAATGAGGAAAATTACGATCTCCCCGTTAATTGTTGGTCAAGTTTTGGTCATTTTGAGGCAACTACATATTTTGATACAACTTGTTAGCCCAAAAAATATCTATATAAAGATGTCAATCCCAAGGGAAAGTCTTGGTGGCCTATTGTCAGCGACTCAGTCTGTGCATCCAATCACTCTGTGGATTCAATGGAAAATCTGAGAATGGAGAGAGAAATGCATTCCACCGCGGTTTCGCTGGGGGGTATTTCATATTAGGGGGCAGAGATTACACATCATCATCAGTTTTTTTTTCTGGGCTTTTGTCCTACCATATAGTATAATATAATTTGATATAATCACCAACTCTCCAGAATTCAGACTACTGTTATTACATGCTGTTATACAGTATACAATTCTTAGCTACCCACTCAATGGGGGATAATATGAATAACAATAGCAACAATAAGATAGTGTGTAGTAAGAGAGAGATAATATAACTATAAAACAGTAACACATGATAATACATAGCAATTATTAAAATGGGAGTAAATATGTAATATGTAAGGATAAACAATTCACCAGATAAATCATGATAACCATCGCAGTGATACGAATACCACCGCAGCCATGGCCTGTTTAATTCACTGTTTTCCCGATTCAAATGGTGATTTTCCATAAGCGTAAGAAATTACCAGAGGGTAAAATCAAGAATCCGAATGAAATCTTATTTTCAACCACCATTCTACATACATATTGTTGTGTGTGTATATATATATTTATATTGTTTCTTTATCGTTCTCTCTCTCTCTCTCTCTCTATAGATATATTTATAAGTATGTATATATATATATATATACTTAAAACACACACACACATATATATATATATGTATAATATCACCATGAAATTTCCGGAACAGTCATCAAAACCCAGGTGGAGAAGGCCAAGAAGAAGGAGGAGGACGATGCCAAGGCCGAGGAAGCCAAGGCCAAGGCTGCGGAGGCCGAGTCCAAGGACGACGACGATGACGACGATGCCGAAGACTGAGACGAAGCGTAGCTTGGGAAACCTCAATAGAGGGAAAGATCAACGAACATGTCATAGGATATGTCTAAGCAGATGTCTATACTGTATATACATTTCAATACATGTCAAATATGTATTTAGTTTTGATTGTTGATGTTTCTGGTGTCATATTTTGATTGTTGAATTTAGAGATCTAAATGTCTTTGGCATTCACGGGTATGATTTTCCATGAAGTGCTGGAGTGGAGCATTTTGCTGAAGTGTGGCTGGGAACAAAAGTTTGTCATTCGCGGTGGACATTTACAGCATGCACTGGCCAAGAAAGTTGCGCCAGTGCAGTCATTTTGATGGCCGGACAGGGCCAAACGGTTACCTGGAGGTGACAGAAAGACCAGCTGCGAAATGCAGCAATCTCAAGCAAGCTCGCTTGCGACAGAAAAAGTGGAGAGAATGCCATTTTGGGTGAGACAGCATTGGGTGCTCAAACTTACCAGCATAAAGTTTGAATACAACACTCATATTTATTGCACCTGGTGCGATAATTTTGCTACGCTGAGGCATTTGGGGATATGGGCATGGGTATGTCTCGAAATCAGATCTATACCCCGAACCCCACACTCTAGCAAATTGTTGTTTTTGTCACTCGATTTTCAAACAAACCCATATCATAACATATGATCCCATTGGTCACATTTGGAGATTGACCACTGAGGATGGGAGCCAGTACGATGGCCAATGGTGCAAGGGCAGGAAACATGGGCAAGGTATATACATTAGCCCCACCAACTTGAAGTACGAAGGAGCCTGGCTGCAGATGGGCCAACTCCCCGAAACAGGGAGGGGTTGTAGCACTTGTGGGAACGGATTTGATCGTGCTCAAAAGGCCACACTTAAACAGCACTTTTTTTTTGGGGGGGTGCCCTGATCCTTTTGAATGAGTTCCGAATGTTGCACGAACACCAAATTTTTAGTTGACTCCATGTTTTCCCAAGCTTCACAGAACACATTGCCGTTGACCGACAAGGAGCTTGGCAAGATGGAAGGCGTCATGGAAAAGGAATTCAGGATGCTTTGATTGAAACCAAGGGGGCTTTGCCGATAACACCATCAAATCTCGAGGGTTTTCTGCCTTACCCGGGATGATGATCCCTGCTGACGTCTTTCAGGGCAATTAAACCACCAACCCGCTGGCAGGCCAAAATATCTCTATCAAGATCAATTGCACATAGACAAACAATTTCCACACCCAGAATACATTGGCAACACAATATTGGACGTAGAAAACATAAAAGCATCAACGAACCTAAACATATGAAGCTACGGCTACCAAAACTGAAGACACTACAGCGCGAATACGGTGAAACACCTCGTGCCATTTACTTCGCACCTCCCTTGTACATGAAGCATCAATACCAAGCATCCAACATTGAACATCGGCACTTATTAAGAAAAGAAACAGCCACCACCATATCCTCCCTTTTATTTTTTTCCCAGGACAGTCCAGATGCAAGAGGTTGCGACATGTTATGGTCATCCAGAACAGCATTCTAGCCCCATCAATAGCCATCGCAGAAGGCTGCCCTTTCCGTGTTCTGTATCCCCTGATGCTACCCAAGGAGTACGCCAATGGAGACAAATATGACGGGTGGTGGTACAATGGCAGCTCGGCATGAGGCCCTACACATATTCCAGAAACCTTGGTTTCAGCGCTCACCGGTGGCGAGGTCAGTGTAGTGGCTTGGGCATCTACTTCTTTGCAGATGGTTCGCAATATCAGGGAGCCTGGAATCACGGCAAATACGACTCTCGGAGCCACCACCTGCCTGTTTCACTGGATGTTTTTTTTCCCTCTCAGCTGGTAAGTAGACAGAAACTCCAGTAACCAAGACGCTGCCACGGCCTTGTTAAGGCAACACAGATTGACACACACACACACACTTGCTCAGGAACATCTTTGCGAATTGGTGATGTAGAATGCATCGGACGTGCGAAAACACCCCAGAATTCCCTATTTCAGGAGACATGAAAATTATATATATATATATATGGGACTGTGGTGGCCACCAGCTGCGACTTCCCTGCGCCCAGGTGCACCACCACAGTCCCGCAGGTACGTTTGCACGGGTCCCGGGGAGGTGTCTTCGTTGGTCACCGACCCCCCCGGGACCCCGGTGACCCCCTGCAATTCGTAGAAGTTTTACATCTATTCGGATGGTACACACACACGCCCCACCGCAGCGGGGCAGATGAAATGAAAATGAAAGTGAGATGAAGATGAAAATGAAATGAAAGTTACTTAACCAGGACGCGAAGAGGGGAACGCAAAAGAAGAGGGAAAGAGCAAACACACACCAACACACCTAGCCCGGAGCGGGCGAACCCTGAAAAGGCAAGGGAAAAGAAAAAAGCGGAGGCCGACGGAAACGCACCAAGACCAGCGGAGGAGGGGGAGGACGGAAGCGCCTGAACCAACCTACCACGGCGAAACCTAAGCCTACCTCGGCACACGCAGGACCCAACCTACCTAAAGGGAGGAGAACGCAGAAACACATGAGAAAGGGGACCCATGGGGAACTAGTTCATGACATGATGCACCCACAACGCATGCAGTATTCGTGATAAGGCTCAAAGGCCCTCGGCTTTCAATTCACAACCCTCTGGACGGCTTACGTGTTCAACCCCTGAATTACGTGCACAATTGAACCTCACCAACGACCATCAAAAGAAAGAAAAACCACACCTAAAGCATGTCCTGTTGCCTCTCCTGATCATGAGCATGATGCATAATGCTGAGGGTTCTCTCGAGCAACGTTGAAAAAAACGGATGTTGACGTGGCTGCCAGCTATGCAGATCGGTAAAAAAGGAATCCCCGAGACAGCGGGAAGCTGTTCAACACTCACCCGACCGACATGTGAAACAATGAAAAATGGGCAGCAGTTCACTTTACTTAGACTAATTACTAATTCAAAAGTGTAAATTCAGACATCGTTTTACTGTCAATTGTTAGCCTGGAAAGGCTTTCCCCGAAGGGTTCCTGCCAACTTGACGTACACAGCAGGAATGACACACTTGCTCAGAAACATCTTTGCGAATTGGTGATGTGGAATGCATCGGACGTGCAAAAACACCCCAGTAAAACCTATAACAGGAGACATGAAAATTATATATATATATATATGGGACTGTGGTGGCCACCAGCTGCGACTTAAATGCGCCCAGGTGCACCACCACAGTCCCGCAGGTACGTTTGCACGGGTCCCGGGGAGGTGTCTTCGTTGGTCACCGACCCCCCCGGGACCCCGGTGACCCCCTGCAATTAATAGAAGTTTTACATCTATTCAGATGGCACACACACACAGACACACACACACAATATATATATATATATAGATTCTTCAGAAAACAAACCATTCACCTGCCAGGATCAACTTTTTTCCAGCAAACTGCTGAGCCCAGCGATGCATCTTAGGATGGTGCAGGAATCCTCTATGCTGCCAACGGTGATCGGGAACGCTTGACCTATTTCGAAGGTGCCAGGGGCTGGGGATGACAGGGACGACTCGGGGAGGTTTGTCACCAGGGTTGCCCGGAGAATACATCCATTGGGCCGTGTCAGCTGAGAAAATTTCAGGAGAATCTCTCCCATAGCTGGTTGAATAATGTTGAATCTTTACCCTGTCTCAGACGTTCGCAACTTGCGAAGGCTATTGCGAATCTTCAATAGCACCCGTACACGGCCGAACATGTGATTCCGCCAATATCAACATTAATTGCGCGAGCAATACTGAAATAGACATGTTAAGAACGAACTCGCTAACAATGAAAACACCAGGGGTGAAAATAAGAGAGAGAGAGAGAGAAAGAGACTGATATAATAGCGACGATAATCACATCCAGATAACTTTCCTCAACAGATTTTGATTATTTTTTGTTAACCATCTAATTATCAGAGTGGGAGAGATGAGTATCGATGGTCAACATGATAATTCTCAATGATTATCATTATCTAATTATCAATAGTTAACATCATTAACCATCTAATAGTATAGTGACTATAGTGACTATCAATGATTATCATGATATTCTCGAGAATGTCAGGTCGCCTCATGAAGCGTGAAGTGCTGCCGCCCGGCCAGCCGCCGGCGGTGCAAAACAAGTCGCGGCCGCAGCTGGGCGAAAACCGAGGGCGGCTTTTTTGATCCATGATCCAAAGGACTATTTTTATGGCAAAACCATGCAAAACCCATGGAATTTCTGGCACAAATACTTCGAAAACCCATGGAAATGTGTGGAAGTGGCGCGGTTATGAGCCGAAAGTGGGGTTTTCCTTCGGATGACATGGGTTTGCAACCTTAAAATTTCACATGGAAAGCCTCAGAACTGGTCATACAGGGAACAGACAATGTCGTGCCCACGGGCTGCAGAATGCCAGAATTAGCTGCGGAGAAGTTAACGTAAGAAGTCGTGCCTACCCCCTAAACACAAGCGACCTCTGGCGTTTTTGGCGCACTTTTCTTGAGTTTTGCTGCGGTGCCTATGTGTTACGCTATCAACGCCTACTCGGGGGATTTGCATTGTTGTTGTTTGGATCCAGCGGTGCCATTGGGAACCCCTGTCGTGTCGAGCTGGTTGGGTGCTTGCCTTTTCCTTCGCACATGGGTTTATCTTCCGGCTGGAAAGCTCTGCGGGTGCAGCAGGGATAGGTGCAGCCCATTCTGGGCCGGGAGTGGCTCGGGTCTGGTTCCAACGTCGTTTCATACGGTGACAAGCAGGAAAGCCTTTTAGGCATGACTTAGGCGTGACTTTTGGAAACAGCGGTGACAATGGGGGAAACCCCGTAGGCATGACTTAGGCGTGACTTTCTCTTTTGCCTGTATGAAGCGGGAGAATGATCTTGCAAAAGTCCAATTTTTTGGACTTTCTTCGGGTGAAATTTCAGCTGAAGTGCTGGAAAGTGACTAGACATGGCCAGAGTTGCGAGGTGCCCCCAACCAGGGCTTCACTGCAGATATCCCATTCCATCCTACGATTCATCATGATTTTCCCATGTCTTCTCTACCAACAAGGCAGACTTTTTGGGGTATCCAATATCCAGCTTTTTGCTGACGAACCCAAGGTGACTGCTGAAATCCCTTGTGTGTTATATAGCAGTTTTCATTTTCTTGCTTCTTGTTTCAACATGTTTTCCCCTTCGTTTCATGGATGATTTCCCTTTTTTCATGGCCAATCCAACTGTTTTGCTGAAATCTCTTCTGTTTGTTGGATGAAGTCCATTTTTTTGAGTGGTAAATCCATGTAAATCCCCATATTTCATAGATGAACTTGCTCTTGTCCCGGCTCAGGGGCATCTTCTGTGAAGTCCTTATCTCCCAAGACCGAATCGGTTGCTTGCAGCCCACCGTGCTCACGGAGACATCAGGACGACAGAAACGCACCGAAAAACCTCGATGTAGGGAATCCACTGGATGATGGGACCTTGATGACTTAGGAAACCTCCATATCCCCGGATATCCCCTATGTAAATGGGGGAGCCAAGGAGCTACAATCTCAGTTTCCCAATAGGATCGATTGAAATTACTTATATCATACGGAACCAGGGGTTCTGGGGTGGGCACTTCTGAGTACAATGTGTAGTAACGCCGTCAAAAGAGAGAAATGTGAATGTAAACTCTTTTCATTGGATGTTACTTTCAAGTCGCTATAGTTAGAAATATTTCCAGTTCTTGGGGGCTATAGCCCTATCTTTTTCATGTGGATATTGGGGCGGACCGCGGTATCTACCCAGATGGATATAGTGATATAATATAGATGTTTGCATCTATACTTCATACCCATGATCATTCATTATCCGTCTCTAATTATATGGATATTATCCCAGCATTGCTTCAAGGGAAACCTTGCAGGAAAGCCCAGTCAATTCGATGGTAAGTTTACCATGGTTTGCGGTTTCTATTTCCCAATCAAACCAATCCATTGATGATATATCCGTATCTACAGATAAACCCCTAGCCCCTATGACGAGTTGATTGAGTATCCCACTGTGTCTCGCTATGGCCCATCATATTACAGTATCCCAATCACATCCCATCACATCACAGCCCATTATTAACCATGATTAACCATTCTTGATAGTTAAGCTTTCTCAGTGGAGAACACTTCAACATTCAACACACCAGCGCACGACAAAGAGGTTGGCACGAGAGTCACAGTGGCTCTGACTTAAGTAAAACCTCCAATTTTTGGATGCGTGAACGCAATCGCTGTGCGAAAAACAACGACTGTTTTGGATGGAGGAGAAGGTCAGCTGCTGATCAGGCGCGACTGCAATAGCTATGACTTGTCGGCACCACCTCTGCGAATGCCACGGCGCCGGGAGCTGAAAGAGATCCTTGGGCTGCACCATAGGTGGCATGGGGGATAATTGGAATGGAAAGAGGAGGCCATTTATATACATATACTATATATATATATATTATTTTTTTCTTAACATTCTGCTTTATTTTACGTTTTAAATTTCATACGGAGCGGATGTTCAAGAGCGGATGTTCAAGGCAAACACAAACACAATCGGGTCACCACCCTGCACAGAAACCATGAACCAAAAGCAGCCTGTCACGATTGTCACTGCTAGCGTCTGCTTGATTTTCAAATAGATGGCCGTATGCCTTGCCCGTGTTCCTTGAATATCAACTCGCGGCTGTTTTTGGCTCGATAGCACTTGCAAGATCAGTTTGCCTTGTCCTTCCTGGATCTTCTGCTTGTGGTTCAAAGTGTGCCAGATGTGCTGTTTGTCTTTGGGTGAAAAGTGTTTGCATACACTCTTGTCTATGAGGTTCGTTCTTTGTGCCTGTCAGGATCTTCTTTGTGCCTTCAGCATGCTGTCCCTGCAGTCGAGACGGTTCAGCCTTTGCCTTCCTGTTCCCATCCGATGGATGCATGGCTGGGTGCCATTGTAGTTTTGACCTCCAGTCCATGGACCCGTCGCTTTGCTAATTGCCGTCCAGCAGCCACCTTCCGCTAATCCCTTGCACTTGCGCAGCTCTTGTCACTTTTTGGAACATTGCTTGGTGGATTTGACTTGTATGGCTTTCTTGGACTTTACGCAGAAAACTTGACACCCGTGCAGTTCCTGTCATGTTTGAACGTTGCTCATCAGAGGATTTGACCTGTGTGGATTTTGGACTTCCGCAGAAAACTTTTTCCCGAATGCGTAGCGAAGGGTTCTCGTTTTATTTTGAGGGCCTGGGGGCGGAGAGGTGTTCGCTCGACGTTGCTTTTGTGCCCGCAACCGTTTGCAACCGTCGGCAACCGTCGGCAACCGTTCGAGATGATGGCGCTATTGGAGGTTTCAATCGTTACGTAACCTCGTTTCGTGTGGCAGGCGTGGCACTTTACATGTCAAAAGTCGTTTTGTGTGACATTCGCAATACTTTTGAATTTGCATCGTTTTCTGAAGACGACTTCCATTTTTCGTGGTGCTCGCAGCACCTTGGACATCCATCTTAATTTTGCGTGGCGGGCGCAGCACTTTAGGCGTTTGGCGTTGCATATTTTTGCAAATCACTTTTTCAGGGCTGCGTCAAGTGGTCACAACGGGCAAATTGCGTGGCAGGCGTTGCATTTTGTGCCATGTTATGAAAATTGACGGATGCTTCGCACGAAACATTGATTTTGAGGTAGCAGATTTTGGGCTTCATTCGGAGAAAAAAACAAAAGCAAGAAAAACAACAAGAACAAGAACAAAAACAAGAGAAACAACAATAACAAAAACAGGAACAAGAACAAAAACAAAAACAAGAACAAGAACAAAAATAGCAAAAATAACAAAAACAACAAAAAACAAGAACAAAAACAGAAATAAAAACTAAAATTAAAACAACAAAAACAACAAAAACAACAAAAACAACAAAAACAACAAAAACAACAAAAACAACAAAAACAACAAAACCAACCACCACCACCACAACAACAACGACAACACCAGCAGCAGCAGCAACAACAGTAAAACACAAACAAAAAAATATTCCCCGCATGTTGCAAACACCAGCCACAATGCAAGCTTGCGGGCCCAAAATCGCGCAAAATGCAAGCTTGCAGCTCCAGCATCGTACAAACACCATTCAAACAGCAAACGTGCAGCTGCGAAACGCTGCGACTACCATGCAAAATGAAGGTTCCAGCTCCCAAGTGCTGCAAATAGCATTGAAAACATACCCAACCACAACCCAAAAACAATCCATAGACAAAAAAAACGCAAACAATATCCTACTCTTTCGCACCCATTTAACGATGGGATGTTTTTTTTTTTTGGGGGGATATTTGAACAATGGCATCATGGCATCGTTTTCTTGATGAAAATACGATCGTTGCACCATGGCGGGCATTGACTTAATAAAGTTAGGCCAGTGGTGCCAGCTGTTTATTCTGATTGTCATGAGCTCGGCATGGCCTAACTCCTGGTTTTCTATGGTGACGTCCATGTCGATTATTTTGTGTGATAGTATGTACAAGATGGTCACGGCTATGTGTGCTCTGCCCTTCAAAAGATACTGGACGACATAATTGTTTGACCGTTTATGTTCAATGTCAACAGTCTATGATTCTACGAGATCAAGATGCAGTATGTTGCAACCCTGAGGCCGTTCAACTGCATTTGTTTCATCGGCAGTCAAACCAGGTCGAGTCCAATATATTCCATCCATCGTCTCCACTTTTTTCATGAGCAGTTCGGCTGGTGCTTGATTGGCATCGTGATCATCGGCATGATGATCAATACCAGTATCCGTATAAATGCAATAACGATCATGATCATGATCATCATCATCATCATCATCACCATCAGCATCACCATCATCCCCACCATCACCGCCACCATCATCGTGATCACAATAAGGATGCTAGTAATAATAACGCCATCCAGTACCAATATATAGTAGTATTCATCATTACAATTACAATGATGATGATTGTTCCCGCCATGAGCATCACAGTCTTCTGTAACGCCGAGCTCTATCCGACATGTGTGCCATCCCCAAGGCTGCCAGATGAGCTTCGGGGCGATTCCATCGAGACCGTCACCGGCGGCGATACCTTGGGTACACTGAGCGTGGCTTGGATCGACGGGGAAACATCTGGAGGAACGCCGCCAAATTTGGAAAGTGAAAATCATCCATAAATGAGGGTTTAAATGCGAACATCCTTGATGAATGGAGGTTTTTAATGAGAAAAATCATCTAGATATGGGGTGTTTAAAGGGACAATCATCGAATTAAACGGGGGATTTTACAGCAAACCATTTTTGATAGAGGCTACAGTAAATCCATAGGTTCTTGTAGATTTTCTTTGAAACCAAGCGATATTTCATCAAAATGGTGCGTAGTGCCTGAAACATGTTGTGCCACTGATATGTTTGGTGGCTGATGCGTTTGCTGGGAGGCAGTTCAATGAATCAGAAGGCATTTTTTTTTTGGAAAAAGGGTTGGCCACATTGAAAACATCTGAGCCTGGCTGACGCGCCAAATTGTTTAGTTCAACGACTTTCCCCTAATATTAAGCATTCACCAGAAACCACGCTTTAGTAGTGGATTCATAGATATTTGGACTTTAGAGTGGAGGTGTTCAATACTAGCGGGGAAGGGATTATTCAACTGAGGCTTTGACCGGTGGCCCATCTACAGATGACTCCACTTTCATCACTGAGCCCTGAGATCGATGAGGTGCGAAGCGGTGGCTGACTGGGTCTCCGAAGTATGGGTCAACCCAGAGAACAAGAGTGGTTTTTCTTTTGGCCATTGATTCTTTCAGTTCCAGAGCCGCACTGACTTTACATATCTTTGTATGATAGGAATTACTATATGTTCTCCCTCCATTTCTAGATTGAAACCATCCAACTAAGATTAAAACTGGGGTGCAGGTACCCATCTTGACCCACACTCAGCACTTCTGGGGGCTTCGCAACCCCATAGATCAAGGATCAGAGTTCAAGCCGCCAAGAACAAGCAGAACAGAAGTAGTGCCATTGACGATGTTTCTTGCTTGTTTGCGTACAAAGATAGTTGAGGTGACAATGCCAATATATCCTGTCACAACTCCAGTCCAGTCCAGGGGCAACTCAACCAAGTTAAGCATTTTTTGGAATGCCGGGTTTGGGTAGGGCCAGCCCATGACTGCGTTGCCTATGAGCATTTCAGGTTCATCTCTTCAAGTGATGGGCTGCGGTTTCACTCGTTGAACCGGTCCGTGTCGAGTTCTTTCAGGGTCCGGATGATGCAACGTTACAACATGAGGACACAGCCGACAATCATTGAACACCATACCATGGGTACAACCAGAAAACATAAGGCTCTAGGCTCCAGAGCCCATGAGTTGGAGATGAGCACAGCATTGCTGTTTTCTTTATCCAAAAAAAACCAACATATTTCCTGATGAATCTTGCAGGCTCCCAAGGAGCCTGTTTCACGACAGCGTCCGCGCGAAACTTGTGGCGGATGATGCTGCTCGTCAGGATGAAATGAGCCAAGGCAAAACAGATGCACGATTTGAGTTTTATGGCCTCGACACTGGACAAAAGTCTTGTTGTTCCCAGCAGAACCTCATGTATTGACTGATTATTGACTTCTGCCGTGCCAGTCGCTGCTGCGTGCGGCGCAATCGAAAGGGGAGGTGCCCAGCTTAGCTTGAAGCCTGGAGTGCTTTCACATTTCCTTATCAGGTGCTTCAAATGTTGGGATTCAAAATTAATCCTAAATCGGCCCCCGGTCGAGTGGAGGTGAGTTTTAATGGGGAGTTCTGAACTTCGAGAGCTACATGAACTACTTGCTTTGAATGGAAGGTCAGAACAGAGATTTCCTGCGGAGAGCGGCGCTACAGCGTGACCTTTAGGACTTGACTTCCCATACTGTTGCCAATGGCAGGGTGGGTCCCAAAAGAATGGTGTGACTTTGTTACCCTTGTGTCACCACCAAAAAGATTCAGAAAATACCCTGGAAACCGGGACATTACGGGGAATTTGCTGGTTCCTACGATTCTCCAAGGGGGTCCTGAGGTGAAGACTAGAGCAAACAGTCTTAGCGGGTTCAACCCATCGTGTACTTATAGAATTGATGTATATTAAATCCAGCCGAAAAATTGATAAAAATGGATGGTTGATGGCGAGCTACAGCCAGCAAAATCGGCCACCCTGATGATTTGTGAACATATACAAACGGTTTGGCTGGCGGTTTCATATGTTGACCTTCACTGGTGCCCTTTTTCCAGTTATTGAGGCACCCGGTTGGGTCATTTGGGCCAAGTGGGTTAAGTTTGCAGGAGCACAGGGGAAGCAGAACGTGTCAATCTTCAGACCAAGGCGCCCTGGTGGAGCAGTGCATGATGGCCATAAGCGGCAAGGGCAGCAGTAGAACACACAGTGACCGCACTTGAGGGTGCATCCCGTTTAGTGCCATTGGTAACTGGTGAATAACCCATGTAAGCTGCTGTTTACCCCACATAAGGTTGTTACAATATGGTTACGACATGCTCCTACCACTTACTAACTGGGTGTGCACATCCATCCAAGTAAAGACTGTGCGTCCTGAAATCTAAACGCAATCTAATTTGACAGCAAATCTTAATCCAAGCTGCTCCCTCTCCTTCTTGAGCTTTAGGATTCTTATTTTTGTGGGGGCGCCAATTGGTTTGTCCCATATTGATTTCTGCAATGATGTATACATTTATTGCGCCCATTTGAGGGGATGATCATATCCGGTCTTCTTTGGTTGGTCAAGCCACCATTTCCTTTTCATCGATGCGAACCATGATTGCACTCTCTTGGATTTGCCATTCTCAGAGAGAGCAATTTTCATTTGAACGTCCGCCATCTCTGCTTGAGAGATCCAACCTTTGCGTCGCAAGGTCCGGCGACGCATGCGGGATGCTACTGCTGGTATTTCCAAGGATGCTAGGTGGGGAAGTGGGTGTCCACAACATCGTGAAGTGTGAAGTGGGTGTGAAGTGGGTAGCGGATTTTAGGATATAGCAACCCCCAAAAAGATAGGAACATTGGAAACGATCAGATTCACCACTATTTTGGTAGGATTTTGTAGCTATTTGAGGGTTACTATAGGTGAAGCCCAGTGAAAAGCTGCAAGAACCACCTGAATAACCCATGGCTTTCCACACAAACCCAATCTGACAAAGTCATTGTAGTAGCAATTCGGCATTTGTTTGGGGTACAGCAGCTTCCTTAATTACAAAATCACCAGAAATTGGTCAACCCTGGGTTGATGGGAAAGATGCTGTCGGGTGCAACGCTTTGAAAAAAGCCCGACTGGAGGTGCAGCTCGGTTGTGGGGGCCTCAGCTGCGCCACAAGCTCCGCAGAGTTCGTCCCCTGTACCCATATTTCTTACGTTTGAAGTTCGAGGTTGGTCCTTTGCTTTAGCAATTTGCCAAATCGTTGCCCGAGTCTCCAATCTTTGAACATCACTCGTCTCAACTATTGCTCGAATGCTCCAATCTCATCTCTCTTGATTCGTGGATCGCAGTACCGAGCTGATGGCGGTTTCAATTTTAAATCAAGAATTGTTTGATGGGCGGCCCAGAAACCAATCATCGTATTGATGGTCAATGATGGTCAGTTGCCCAGATCGGTCGAGGTGAACACCTTGACGAACCTGGGCTTTGCTGAAGAGAAGGCTGGCAGGGTTGACAGGGATTGTAACGCCAAACCCAACCACTAGGTGATCAAAGGGGTGCTAGGATTTTGTGATGTAACCCAAAATTCGAGATTGAATTGTACATTTAAACAGCCAATTAAATACGGATTTCACCAGCAGCAGGGATTTCCAGTTGGCAATTGGTCGAAGCTTATATCTGGAACTTATCCAACTTTCTGGTGCTAGAAGGTACGGCAGGTCCTAGACCGAAATGGTGGTGCTCGGGAGCCCAAATTGCCAATAGGGGAGGCGCCAAAATTGGACTTGGGATGATTATACCATGTATAGATATTTATAGCATATATATATATGACATCATATATATAGATACATAATAGCTAGCGATCATTGATGGATGAGATATAATGGTGATTAAACAATGACCAGAGGAACTTTTCAGCTTTGGACTTATCAGAGCCGGAGGAGTGTGGAACTTCAGCTTCTGTTCAGCAAAAAGAGATGCGTTGCACGGCCTCCGGTCGCTTTTCTCAGCATCAATACCCATGAGTCCGGGAGGCGTCAGGGAACTCACAGCAGTGACCATTTGTTCAGGAGGAGAGGAGTCAGAGTATTGGTAACCCAACACTTCAGTGAAGTGGTCTTCATTCAGAAGCAGCCCACTTTCAGATTCAACAAAAAGATGAGGCAAAAGAAGAATGATGTGAGATGAAGCTTTAGCTTCAGCCCAGGAATCAGCCAGGTTTCACAACTCCGTTTCCGCACGGCCGTGCCGTGCTCAGCTCAGGGCGTGGCTGGCCTCGGCGCCAATGGCGCCATGGCAAGTCCCAAAGAAGAGAGCTGGGGCGATGCCAAAGGGGCGCTGGAAGCAATGCCATCCTGCAAGGAGTGTCAATATCAGCTCGGGGGAGAAAATAACCCGCCAAGGCCAAGGAAGTACACATGGGTTTTGTCCACAAGAGAAAGGTACACAAGAAAGTATACCCCCAAATTGGCAATCTTAAGATTTAGGTATTTAACCGTAACCTTTTTTTTGGCGGGGGGTATCCATGGCCACTCAAATGGAAGCAGAAGTTTGATGTTGAAGACCCTGTGGCAGATGGCACCCTTAGAGGGTATGAAAAGGATTTCGGGATACCCTCTGGTAATTTAACATAGCTATGGAAAATCACCATTTTTTAATGGGAAAATCCACTATAAATGGCAATTTTCGATAGCTATGTTAGTTTACCAGAGGATATTGAGAATCAACGTCAATCATCAACTCAAAAGAGATGAATTGAAAGGGAACCCCCTCCCGTCTGAACCATTCTGAACCAATTTGGCCGTTCTTGCTAGACTTCTTGTTTCCCACGCTCATTTCTGACTTGTGGGTGGCCAAAGGTTGCCCCCCACTCTTGAGAGACCTCTCCATTGCCGGTGAGTGATATCCCATATATGTACTTGACGTTTTCCATCTCCAGCTCAACTGAAACCTCCTCTTTTTGGACAAGAATTCCAAAGTCCGCTTGTTTTTTTTTTTTGCAGGTGAACCCGCGAATTCCTTTCTTCAAGGTCCATCATTTCGGTGCTTCTAACCTGATTTCTTTTGCTTCAACCATATCACCCGCGCAGTGGAGGACGACGACGAGAAGTTAGCCTATCGCAGGCTAAAGTTGCTGGGCCAGGGCTCCTTTGGCAAAGCTTTCCTCGCGCGAGACCTCGCCAATAATGACCTGGTCGTCATGAAGCAGGCAGGATTTTCCCAAGGGTGAGAATCTATGGGTTTTCCATCCACTGATGATGCTCCAATTTATACATGCTGTGCACACACACAGATATATATATATATACACATACATACATATATATATAGAGTATATATATGTATATATCTATATACCTTGTTTGGGATGGGTTGAACACATAAGTTGGAAGGAGATCCAAAGGTCGGTGGCCGGGTCCTGCTGAACTTGGTTTTGGGAGGGGCAAATTGGAGATGATTGGTGGGTCGTTAGAATCTTTGTTCCGTCCCTGCCTGCCTGCCTGCCTGCCACTGTGCTGCATGGAGCACAGGTGCATGTGGAGAAGATGGACACCAAGGCGGGAGATGGAGCTACTGGAGGCTATTGAAGGCTATTACGGAAGATCATCCCATCCCCCAAAAAACAGAAGAAGCCAAGGTGTCTGGGGGATGTTGATTTCTTAGGAGACAGGGGCTTTTTTCACTTGTTTCATTTTTTACCAGAGAGAATCTGGACCTGCAGTTGATCAACCCCCTAATGGTGGGGCCCATTTTGCCAGAAACGTATCAACTCATTTGGGGCACCCTGCCAACATATATAGCCAGCAAGGGGCTTGCTAAGCGGCAGTTGGATGGTCTGAACACGGTCATGGATGGTCTCAATGCTCGTGTTTGTTGACCCATTCGTCGGATTTACTTTCCAATTTTGATAATGGAGACGTTGCAAAATTTTTGAAATTGGCCAACTCCATTCAAATCTAACTTTGACAGTGCATCAATCGTATCAAGTATTGATTGATTTGAACATCTTTTCTTTCCAGCCATTCAGCATGATTAAACCCAAATTGAACTAACACTACCAACCAGCCCAGCACTTTTAGGTTTTACACGGCATAAACTCATTCCTCTCGACCCAAATCCTTGGCTCCTGGTGGCTCCTGGTGAAGCTTCAGCTAGGCCCGAGACACGGCCGTGCGCGAGGCGGTCGCATTGCGCAGGGTTCAGCACCCCAATGTGGTACGCTTCCGTGAGGCTTGGCTGGGCCAATTGTGGGGATGCACTGTCCGTGATGTCACCAAGATCGTTAAAGATGGTCCACTCATGTTTTCCATTTTGATCAATGAGTCTCAAGCTGTCAGTGGGACTGTATATCTCAGTTCCCGAATTACCCAAGCCAGTTCTTAAAAGAAGTGACATGAAAGTAGATATGCACAAAATTGGATATGCTTACGCGCATACAATAGAATACCCGTTGGTAGCTCCCAGCTGAGATCTAGGAGCTCCAGCCCCTGGGGTGCATGGCTATTTTTTTTAAGCCTTAGTAAAAATGGCGATAGGTCCCTTGATTTTATCTGCAGACATGCTAGATTTTATCTCGATCATAAGTGTGAGATAAATTCTAAGAGGCTGGACCCCCCTAGGTCCCCTCAAGGGTACTCGCTTCCAAGGAGGACCCATGGGGGGGGTCCAGCCCCTTGGATTTTATCTCACTCCAATTTCAGGTCAGGCACCTTGATTTTATCTTTGGAAGGTTGGGCTCATTGAATCTTATTTTCATCCTACTTGAGATTTGGTACCTATCTTATATTTTCAAAGGTTCAGCCCCTTGATTTTAGCTCCAACCTACTTTGATTGCAGTTCCAACGAGATTTAGGAGCTCCAGCCCCTGAGGTGCAGAATATATGTTTTAGTTTTTTGAGTAAAATTGAAGGTTGGGCCCCAGATTTTAGCAGCACACTTGCTAGATTTTATCGTGGCCCTATGTGTGAGATAAATTCCAAGGGCTCCGACCCCCCCAGGGCCCCCCCAGGGCCCCTCAAGGGCATTCGATTCCAAAGAGGATTCAAGAGGGGCGAGACCCTTGGATTTTATCTGATCCCAACTTGAGGTTAGGCCTTTTGATGTTATGAAGGTTGGGCCTTTGAATTTTATTTTTATCTTACTTGAGGCTTGGTATCTATTTTATTTTCAGATGCCAGCCCCCTTCAGTTTAGGTCCAACCTACACCTTGGATTGGAAAGGGAAAAAAAAGAACCTTGATTGATGAATTCCACTGCAAAACTGGCATCAAACTGTAACAAAGGTGCATGAAATTTATTGTGTTGAGCATTGCTGGCATGTTTATCAAGCTCACCGTTACAAATTTCCTCACCTTGAAACTTTATTGTTTTTGAACTTTGAGATGAAAATATTGAATTTGACCCAAACAAAAAGGCTGCCAAATCCTGTGCTTCTTCTGTTCCCGGATAGCTGCTTCGACCTAGCGGGGCGAAGCTTGAAGGAAAAAACCAAGAAGAAGTAAAATCCATGTCCCCAACCTTGATAGATGAACCCCTCTTCAAAACAGGCATCAACCAAAGGTGCACATTTTTTTTCTTGGGAAACGTGTGGCATGTTTATCAGCTTTCGCGCCACGGAAACCCTGTCAATATTATCTCTTTTGAACGTCATTTTTTGTTGAACTTTCACATCAAGGACAAATATTGAAATTGATCTCAAAAAGCACGCAACCAAATCCTGGATACCAGCATCTCACCCTGTCCATCTTCAGTTCCAGCAAATAAAACCTGTGTGCCCAACCTTGAGATATCAACCTCTCTGCAAAATTGGCGTCAAAAAACTTGCACTAAGCCTTTATCATATTTGTGGAAAGTAAATCCAGAACAAAGTCTCCTGCACATCAAGGACACGCTGAAATTGACTCCCAAAAAGGCTACCAAATCCTGGAAACCAACACCTCGCCTTGTCCAATCTTTGCTCTTGAAACTTGGAGGGGAAGCCTGAAAATAACATCTGTACCCGCTAACCTTGATAGATGAATCTCTCTAAGAAAACTGGCGTTAAAGGTGCGCAGAAATTGTGTTCTTGGGAAGATAGTTATGACATGTTTATCAACTTTATCTCCGTTGAAAACCTTTCAAAGTGGCCAGCTGATCTGAGGCATGCAGAAAAAATCGATGGCTAAAATCCAGGAGGTCCATGGTTTCATAAGATTCACAGATAAAACATGTATGTCCTAAATATTCACAACATGCCCAAAATATTTTGAGGGGCCTGACCTTTGATCATTTTTGAACGTCCAAAATGCTCCAAAGTATTGGTTCCCTTGTCCAAGTTGAGTGTTAGCAAAAATGTTTGGTTTACAAATGCTAGACTTGGGCCCCTAGATTTTATCCATTCAGAAATGCTCAAAAGGGGTATGGGGGGGTCAGGCCCCTCTGGAAAACAGCCACTGGGGTCTACTATTTCAGGGGCTGGACCCCACCTAGGAGCAACCAAGGGGTATCAATAGACATTGAAGTCCTGGATAGTCCTGGTGATGCCAGCACCCAAAAGGTATCAAAAGGTGACCCTCCACGGGGTTTATCAAGGTCTGATATTTTTATTAACCCATCGTGTCATTGGGATGGGATGGGTTGGTGAAACCTCCATGACGCCGACCATGGCCCATGGCGCCGCGACCAGGTCTTCGTGCGGTCCGGCTGGCTGTGCCTGGTCATGGACTTTGCCGATGGTGGCGACCTTTGTGCTGCCATCAAGGCGTGAGTTTGGTGGAGATAGAACCACCAAAAGAATCTTAACATCATCAAAAATCCATTGGTTTCGTCATTCCTGCATTGGAAATTTGGGCTTTGACCTGGTGTGGGCACGATATTCTTGATGTTGGAAACTTCGAACGCTTGAGGGTCAGCATGTCCAGTTGCTGTATGATCCTCTTCACCATGGGCCATGGCATCCCCCGTACCTAGCATGACCTCAGGAGCGTGCCAAAGGTGGGGTGCCCTTCGAGGAACCGGCCGTGCTGGAGTGTTTCTCCCAGGTCTGTGATGCTGTGAGTTTCGTGCACGGCCTGAAGATGGTGCACCGGGACATCAAGTCGCGGAACATCTTTCTTTGTAGGACGAGGGGCTACACCCAGCTCCGGGGAAATTTAGGTCCTATATACTGGAAAAGACACTATGATGAACTCCAGGGACGTGGTGATTGGCTGACAGGTTTGGGAATGCAACTCCCCATTTGCCCGGGCTTCAATGGTTGCCCCGTCCGCAGGACTGGCCGCGCCCTGTTGGGCGACTTTGGGCTGGTGAGATTGTTGGAGTCCACCTGCGATCTGGCTCACACCCGCGTGGGAACGCCATACTACCTGAGCCCTGAGCCACTTGGGCACTTGGGCACTTGGGCTGGGGATGGGAATGGTGGAGCTTCTCCAATCTGGTCAGACAATGCCACAATGTTGCGGAGCCGGGGTGGAGCTTCACCTCAAATCAACATATGTAAATGTAAACCTCTTGTAAATGCCAAGTGCTTTAGGACATGCTCCGACTGTTTGCTTTGGCAGTCCGGTTGCGGTTGAATACTTACCGGGCCTTCGTTCCTCCATTCAACCTGGAAATACCATCCTTCCAATGACATAAAAAAACAATATGTCTTTCTGCACATGTGGAACCTTGGCCCCAAGGATCATCCGCAAACAGCCCTACAACTACAAGACGGACGTTTGGAGCTTAGGGGTTCTGCTCTACGAGATGGCCGCCTTGAAACGGCCCTTCCTGGGTACCCTGGAGACATTGCCCAAGATCATCATCAAAGGCGATGCTTGGCTCAGCTTGGCTCAGCTTGGCGATGGGATGGGCATGGGGTGAGGGCCTTCTGGTGGCCTTCTGGTTGCACAGTTGGATGGTTGCAATGGATGGGGTTGTCGCACTAGTGACAGGTGGTTTCACGACATGCCACCCCACTGGATCCTAATCCCTCAACATTCAAACATAGCGCACACACACACACAGATATATATATATATATAGGCAGCTAAAATGCACAGATGCACTGCATTCCACCTCAGTTTCCATCGCAGGTGCTTAATATTGGGAAGGACCGGGAAGGGGTTGCACAACTCACTCAGGAATACGAGCAATTAGGGGACCACTACAGTCCAGCACTGCACCAGCTGGTTGCTCGGATGTTGGTGGTGGAGCCCTCTCAGCGTTTGGACCTGGCTGCCGCCCTGAGGCCAGGGATGGGGACAATGCAGAAGTGGTCAATGGGAGCTGGGGCGAACACTGTGGTGTGGTTGTTCTTCGCGCTATTTTGTTTGGTAGAGTCTCTTCTTGTTGAGTGTTGAATTTATGTCTACACCTACTCTCTTTATTATAATATACACGATGCCTATATCTATGTCTCGTATTCGTATCTATTCTATTCATTTTGAAAAGTGGAATCGCTTCAGAAGAAGGAACCCAAGTTGGAAATGGTTCGAGCCTTCCACCCTGCAGGGAAGAAGTACTCGCGGCACCTCTCAGACGTTCACAGGAGGCGCTGGGACTAGCAGAAGTTCCAGTTCGCAAGGACTGACTGGGCATCGGCGAAGGGAAAAAATGGGGCAAGGAAGTGATTCGATTTACACTGACTGGAGCATTGTTTAAAAATGGGGTGACACAGGATGGGTTGCTGGTGAAAAATGTAGGTTGACACTGGGAGGATATGGGAGCAGCATGTTGGTTTGTTCTGAGGAGATCCAGGAAGAAGCCGAAGAATCCGAATGGATCGGCTACAACACGATGATCCGTTTCAAAGAAGCCTCCGAGGCGCAGGCGGCCAAGGGCATCGAGTTTTCCCCTACTGCTGGCCCCGAAGTGGAGGCAGTTGCCTCACCGGGTGGGCCAGGTTGGAGCACAGCAGGTCAGAGGGATCCAGACTCGGAGGAGGAACTGGCAGCTTCAGATGATAGCTGGGGATCAGTGGTTGATACTGGAGTAGAGGCTTTGCAACAGCTCATGCAAGGCAAATAGGCCTTGAATATCCCTGAATCACGGATGCCTGCACGAAAATGATAGGTTGGAACCTGGTGGAAGGCACTGTGGTAGAAGAACTGTGTGAAATGGTCACTCAGTGATTTGCATGAAGTGCAGGCATCTGTGGTGAGCCTAGTTGCTGCTACTTTGCCACACTTATATAGGTGCCCTTGAGAGGCACACCTGGCAAAATTTGGCAGTGGAAAACGATGAAAAAGGTTGGGTCTTCTGGCAGTTCCCCAGCAGGTGAGCCATGGTCCATGAAACATTCAATACTGGTGGGTTTTTAGCTGAATGATTTTTTACTCCCAGTCTCCTTTCGACCAAGATAGACACACAATTTCTCACAATTTGAGTAGGATTCTACGAACTCCTGTCCTCCTTTGGGGTTGCGAAATCTCCATTTTGCAAAGGATTTTGGGTTTGCCCAACCCCAGCCCTACCAAGGATCTCTCCAAGGCCTTGGATGAGTTGACATCCCGTGGGGCCGGTGCTTCCAGCAGCTCAAGGTGGCATTTGATGACAGCTTGGGTTGGGTTTACCTACCACGGCTGATTGGCTAAAAGAGGGCTTATACAGGATTATTCCTGAGATTTTCGGCCAACAAAATGCTTGAATGCAGAGGTATGCCGTTTTTCTTTTTGATCCACCATGGAGTCCTGGCGAGATGCTCTACGACGGGATCTCTAGCAAATCCACTGCTTGTTTTGAGTCCAGCTTTTCCCAGGGGGATGATTAGTTGGTGTTTGAGAAGAGCGTGAGGGCATGTGTCATGATCACCGGGCTTGGCTTGGCTCAGAAGTGTGACACATCACTCCAGCACCAGCCCGGAAATTGGCTGGCCTTGGATGGTTTGCACTGATTATACAGGAACGATCATGAAAGCACATTTTGACCCATGGCCCAATTTAATCAGGTGCCCCAAGTTTGGCAACGGCGACAAGCAGCGTCTCAACGTGCCGGCCCTGGTTGTGCCGTTGGTGCAGCGTCAAATTCGAAGTTCCTGGGGCCCACCGATTTGGATTATTCTGAGCTTTGGCCATCCCGTTTTGCACCCTGTTTTGCCGAGTGCTTATGAATGACCATTCCTGAACTTGGGGAGGCTCTTGATGAAACTTCTTGTGCCACGGCGCCAGGCAGGGTTGCAGTAGTTGTTTGGACATGCTTCGGTGCTAACCGACAGTTTGCAGGTGTGACATCCCCCCCATTCATTGAGTTTATCCCTGGAGCATTTGGTGTAATGTCAACCCCGGATTAATAAACCATGGTTCATTAATTAGGGGGGCACTCCTCCAATAGTCACAATCCAATACTTAAATGGTACCCCCCCAATTAAACAATCTAGGGGTTTATTAATCCAGGGTTGACATTACCATGTGTGCCTACTTTGGTTCAGAGGCCCTTCCAGCGCAGCTGCTGCTGGACCACTGTGGCAAGTGGGGTCTGCTTGGATCTGATTGGTGGCACTGAATCCATACCCTTCGGTAATCAAACAATGGCTTGCTGGGAAACCCCCGAACCGAATGGAGGTTTATAGCTGGGAGAATCATCGAACTAAACGGTGGGTTTTCCATTGCCACTGTAAGTTTCAGCAATCACGAGGTGTGATTCATGGCCTGCTAGCAACTTCTGAAATGCTTTGGCCCTATTTTTCACTTAGCGGCCTAGCGGGTGGTTTATCAGAGTTTGGGGAGCAGAGGCGTGCTGCTTGGAGCTGTAGGAATAGGTTTGTCAAGCTGAACTATCAAATCAGGTCACCAAGTGGTGTGATATCCATCGCACAGTCACAGCAGCTGAAGATAGAACTCTCAGTGAGAGAGCCGCAATCAATCAAAGGCTCAAGACAGTCGCGATGTACGCGGAACAACCTCTCAGGTCAGCACACCCCCGAATTGCCCCCAGCCCGCATGCTCAGCTTTAACATTTTGGGTCCTCATTGGATCAAGAAACCTGACGGGCCAAAGCCCTACAATTCGGATCAACCAAAACTAGATAGCTGATAGCTATCCCAAAGTACACCCTTCCAGGACCACAACTTCAATGTCAGCTGTTCTGATCTCTCAAATTTTTTGCTGTCAAAAAAAAAACCGCACATCTGATGGATGGGCTCCTGGGTTTCCTGGAGTTGGACCCCCACCTGTGGCGCCTCTGCGGCCCCTGCGCCTCCGGGCGTTTGAGCGGAGCCTGCCGGGCTCTGCAGCAGGGGGCGCCGCTGTCGACGCGCCTGGAGCTGCTGAGGGGTGAGGAACTGCCAGAGCTGGAAAGGCTGCAGGGACCCTTGCAAGTGGAGGTGCCCGGTGGGTGAATCGAACGATTTTTAGGACATATCGGATATCGGACACACATAATATATATATATATATAAATTTCATGGGAAAAGAGGTCGATAAATAAATGAATAAGAATAAGTGAATAAATGAATTCAGGTAGCTAGTTGATCTAGCTGGTGGTTTCGGATAATTATTCCTGATTCTCGAGCATGTTTGGGATGATGATCCAAAATGATTCATGTTTCTGGGATGGGTTGAAGTCACCAAAGGGATACATAGAGGTTTTAGTTTCTTTTTTTGTGGGATCGGTTTCCTGGTTTGGCGTGTTCCAGTCTCATTTCTCATCCGCTTTGTATATTGAGACACACTTGTCTGCTTGCAGTTTTGCCCTGAAGGCACTGATCCAGACGCTTTCCACGGCCTGCCCTGATTTGCTGGCCGGTGATGGACAATGGCTCCATTTGTTTCAACCCATTTGCTCGGGTAGCCCTGGTGCAGCCGATGCGTTGCTGCTGACAGCCGCCAGGGATGGGCAACTTGCTGCAGCTGCTGCGGTGTGGGCTGCGGCTTTCCAAAAGCCTTGCCTGGCACGAGTCCTGCTGAGGCTGTCTGGCGAAGTGCGGCTGTCGCCTTCCTTGAGGCGATTTGTTCGAGTGCTGTATGAACAAAGTCCCAATGAGGACGACTTTTTCGAAGATTTGCTGGATGGACGTTTGCCCCGAGTCATTTTTCATTTGGCCCAAGGGGTCAACGTGGAGGCGACAGGGCCCGCCATTCACCGGAATGATGTTGGCTGTTGCAAGTGGACGCCACTGGCAGCTGCCGCCGACATTGCAGCACGGCGCACGCAGGGGCTTGTCATCAGCAATGTGTTGCTGGCCGCCAGGGCCGATGTGAACCGACCTTGCCCTGGGCCATGTGGATGGACCCCCCTAATGCGGGCGGCTCTGTCAGGGGCTCCTGCTGAAAGCACCTTGAAACTACTGGTTCAAGCTGGAGCAGATGTGCGGATGCGGCATGAGAAGCTTGACGGCGCTTTTGCGTGTTTTTTAAGCAAAGTTCCAATATGTTCCAATCCATGTCCCAGTTTTCACTTTCTTTCAGTTTGATTTGCAACCCCTTGATTTCAACAAGCGATCTCAAACTCAGCAGGAGCATCAGACTTCACTTGATTCAGCCCCCCACCCTCGGATGTTTCCACGTCAATTTTGGGTCACCAGGAACGGCGACACCGCGCTGGACATGGGCGACAGCGCATCCTCCCAGGCCATCCGCCAGGCGCGTGACCAGCGCGCGCAGGTGCAGGCCTCGGCGTCGCCGAAAGCGCCTGCGAAGGCGAAGCCCAAGGGGTTGCCCAACCTGCTGGCGCTGGTGAATGCCGGGCGCGGACGCAAGGGGGGCAAGGGTAGCACACGGCGATAGCTTTCTTTCACTTGCACAGGCGTTTAAGATCGTTTAAGGTCTGATCGTTGCTGCCTCTTGCAGATACTAATTTGGGTACAAAAGAAGCCTACCCCTGAAAGTCCGGCAGCCATGTTGCTGCTGCATGGATGATAAATGGCAAAAAAAAGTGGGGTGAAGAGATGGGCAGGATTTTTTTGGGGTGGATGATGACACAGTCGTTTGGGGATGTTGCCAGAATTGGGGGTGACCAAAGCCAACGGGCTGCTATCCATTGGAATGATATATACCAATGATTAGGTCTTTCATGTTTTTTTGACACACGATACCCTTGTTGTGGACTGGCCGCAGTTTCCATCCATGGAACTTGAGAAGCGCATCTGGTTAGAGGTTGGAAACACGGTGCATATGCGCAGGTCTACGTGAAGAACCAGTGGACTAATTTGGATGAACCTGCGCAAGAGGCGCTTTTCAATCCAGCCTGTTTGGGAGTTGGCTTGTTGTGAAGGGTGGCCCCACCAGTTTTTGTTGCTTCTGATGCGGAAAGCTTGATCTGATCTTCTGACCAGCCTCAGCTTGCAGTGGTAATCCTTCCATTTGGAGCTGCTTTCACCATAGTGAAGTTGTCAGCCAGGTGCTGAACAAGGCTGCCACGGACCCAGCCACAGATGGGGCCAGTGATTTGCCAGTCGTGTTGATGGCAACAGCTCTGTATGGCCAAGGCCAAAAAGGGTCAGAACAAGGCCGGCTGAGCTGAAAGGGTAGATAACTGGTAGATAGATTAAGTGTGCCACATTGCAATTGGAAGCTGGTATTTTCAAACACGTTCAATCATGTCCAACGATTAAGGGATGATTAAGGGCTTTCAGCCCATTCGTCTCCACGCTGAAGTCGACCAAGCCTAAGGATGAAGCACCAATAATTAATAATAATTATAGATTTATGTAGCAGTTTCGCATCATCGAGATTTTGGGCACTTCAAAGGAACAGGAGCGTTTGAACCCCCGATGCTTCGGTTCAAGTCCTGGAGGCTGTGTTGAGCAACAACTCCAATGCGGACCTGGTGCAAATGGTCCACATCAACAACCACACGGGAAGGAAGAGGCGGAGATGGGAGCGCTCCAGCGTTCTCAGGGGCAACCAATGCAGCGGTATATATATATATAGAACACAGCAAGCCCCAAAAGATAGAACAGCAAAGTATCCAAAGTATCCAACATCAAATGATGGTAAATGATTTGTAAATTGGTAACTTGCATTCATTTTTTCATTCAATCATTACCACCCCAAATTGCCAGGCCGCTCCTTAAATCACATCTCTCAGGCCGCTGCGCTTCAGCGGGGACCTGGAGGTGCAACGATTTCACTGGTGAATCTGGGTGGAATCAACAAAATCCGAGCCAAATTTGGATGGGCTAAATATGGGCACGATTCCTCAAAATTGGATGGTCTCACTAAGAATTTTAGTGAGATGTTTCTCTCACGAAGTTTTTATGGACAAAAACCACAGCAAAATCCCGTCGACAGCTCCTTCAATAGTTCCCTCTGAGGCGACCTTTAAGAGAATCGACCTGCCAAACTCGGTTGCAGGTGCGGTCTATGCACTGTGGGAAGTCCAATGCTGATTGATAAAACCAAATAAATGAACAAACCCAACTTCGAGAAGGGTTGTAACCGTGTCTGGTAAAATTGGGATGGATTCGGATAGATGGTTTGTTGTTGGGTTAGCCACGTTACATACCACGGACCTAAAGATGGATAGCTCTTGACCTACCAAGCGATGTCCTGGCCGTGGCCCGCGGCCAGGTGGCAAAGCTGCCATGCCATCCAGATACCAGGCCTACGGCCTAGATATGGTCGACCTGAGCAGAAACCATCAGTTTCATGAAGGTTAAAGCAAATAGGCTTGGGATGGCTAGAGATTCATGATCATCCGAATCTTAAATCAGGGTTGCTTTTGGGGATAGATGATCACACACAGATGGGCTTCTGATCTTTTCCAGACTTGGGAAAGGGTCAACAAAAGCAGCAAAGCCCAATATTTGCAGGTAGAAAAACCATATAATCATAATATATATATATATACACATACGTATATATATATACATGTACATATATTATATATATAACAATGGTTTGTGGATGTTGCCTTAAACCCCAAAACCCAATAAATCCTTTTCAACGACTATCTCTGGAGCCCTAAGCACGTCACCAAGTGATGGGCCAGGTCTTCCTTGAAGGAAGTGGCTGGAAGACGATGTGCCTCGGCCAGTACACCCATCCCCTTGATATTCAACACCTTTAATCCTTTATTTAAGTGTAAATACAGCCCTACAGCCCTCAAAAATGCTAGAAACATGGCTCGGTATCGGATCTGTTCATTTTCTGGGCCATGAATATTGGGGGGATGGGGATTTCTTCATGTTGCCATCCAAGGAATTTTGGAGACACCCCGCACCCCAAGTGCAGATGCAGCCCAGAAATAAACATCATGACATATTTCGGGCTGAACATGGCTTACAGACCATAGACTATAGACTCATTATAGACTGTATAAATATCGTGGCCTGAAATGGAACGTGCCTCAACAAAGCTGGCAGTGTTTCGAGGTCTCTGAAGAACAGCCGGCAGACTCAGAGATCTAGTCCCGTTTGGTGCTACTTGGGAGAGAAGGTATCTAGCAAAAGGAAGGGGAAAGGGGAAGATCCAGATGGCAAAGTGGCATATGGACATGTATGGACTTATGTGTGTAGCATGTCATATCAACACCAATTAATATTCATATCCATTCTGCTGATGAATTTTAAGTGGTAGAGTGGCCGCTTCGATTTTGTCGCACCGAATTTCCAATCGTCTCGGTGTTTATATTTATATATATATATAGCAATATCACTTATTGTGATGCCGGAAATGGATGGATGGGCTGAAGCTAGAGGCACTGCTGCACCTCTGTTGGCTTTCTGCCCTTCGAAGGTTTCAACTACGGAAGTTGCAGGAAACAAATGGGCACGTCCAAGTTGCACATGGATTGGCAGTATTTCACTCCAGCTCTTCAGACAAATACCAGGCAGATTGTTGAAGTGTTATAAGTGGGTTTACTACTCTAGGCGACTGACCCCAGACCTTACAGGATTTTTCATGATTTTCCACCAGGTGTGAGTAGTTTCCTGGCCGTCCATGGTCCAATCCTCCATGACGATCTGCCAGCTGCATGGAGGAGGCAGTGCAGGTCTTTTGGCGTCCGCCCCTGACCTCGTCCTCGCAGTTCAGCTTGAAGGATCTGCAGGCGCCCTGTGGCTTGGCCTGTGGCTTGGTGGCAGTGTGGAAGGCCACCAGGTTTCAGGGCTAGATTTTCCACCTCAAAAAAATTGGGAGTTGGCATGGCAGATATGGTTCTGCTTGTGGCATTTCAAACATTTTTGTGTTGCATGATATTTCCGTGGTTCCATGGTGGACTGCAGTGAAGGTGATGACGCCTCCCCAGCCATCATCAAAGTGGCCGGCTGGATCCCTGGCCGCCTGCTGGAGGCTGCTCGAGCTCCCTCGGACGCTGCTGCTGTGCGCTGTGAGGGTGATGGCGCTGGGGCGTACCCTGCGAATGGCAGGGAAGGGCCAAGGGATGGCTGCAGTGAGCCCCTGGTGTTTCATGGTCGCGGCGAAGTCAGGTGGGAAGCACTGATGGCACAAACAGCAGTTGATGGGTTGGAAGTCATCCCATGATTGGTTGGTTGAATTTCCGAATTCAGTTGAAATTAATGTTGGGAGCAAAAAATGTTGGTTCTTGGTTTGCACAATTCGCGCATTTTTTGTTTGCAAGCTGAATTTTTCGTCAGTAAAAGGATTTGGGCCGCTGTAGTGACATTCATTCTTCTGTTCCTTAAACATGTACTGAAGTAATGATTAGTAATGATTCAAGTAATGATCTAGAAATCAACCTGCAGAGTAGAAGAGCCATTAGTTCTACATATATAGCTATATATAGCTATACTCTATTTGTGTTTTACATGGATTTCCATTGGTTTTTCATCCCTGGTCCAGCCATCCCAGCTGGAGCGGCCTCCTCTCCGTGGCACCTTCGTCCCGGCTGCGCCTCAACGGTCCCAGCCAGTTCCGCCTGAGCTGCGGCCGGGCGCGGCAGGCGTTGCCCCATGCGGTGCTGGTGGTGACGGATGGAGGGGATGTAGCTCGGCTAGGAATTTTCGGGTGGAATTTTATCCCATCTTTTTGTAGATGATGATCATTGTAATATTTTTTTCTATGAGTTACTTTGGGATTTGAACTTTCTCATATGATATAATATTGGGGCAATCCGTTATTTATTGGTCATATTTTATTTTGTCAATATTTCTCTAATTCTAGTAATTCTCATGTACTGTAGTTTATTGTAGATCTAATATGATGTCATCAGCATTTTGTCTATAAGTCATACTTTTTGGGATTTTGAGAAATTCCGATGATTTCAGTGTTCTTGAGTTTTCGCACTGCCTGGGGCCATGATCCAGAATGACTAATATACTTTCTCGTGGTTGAAACCACCCATAAGATCTTGATGTGGCAAACTCCAGTTTACCACTGGTTTACCGCTGCCACGCCACCCAGCTACTGCGCTGTATGAAGAAAAGATCTCCCGATTGGAGATTTCAGTTTTAGGGTTCCCTTCGTTGGCACCCTCCAGACGAAGCAACATCGCAACATGGGAAGGTAGATCAGTTCATTGCATATGCATATATATATATATACCGTATATATAATATATATATATTTATGTATATACATGCATAGAGTTTGGTGAAGGGTATGTCAATGAGAAACCACAAACACAGAGCCGTTCTTAGTGTGGCAATACCAGTCAGCTGGAAGAGGGTCCAGCTGCAGAGAGCTGAGAGTACTTTCCCTTGCTTCATGAGGCATGCGCAGTACCACTTTGGAGATGTAGACAATTTGATTGTGCACGTTTGCGGCTGCATGTGCCCTTAGGACCACGTGTTCCAATGGTTCGAAGTTTCTTTCCGTCCAAGAACCAAATCCGGTTCGAAGGCTGAGTCGCCGTCAGCAACTATAGAAGTCTGTCGCTCGGCGTGAATCTGGGCAGCCCTTTTTGGTTGGTGACCTTGCCATGTTTGTAGAACCATTGTCTTTGAACCATGGCTCCAGCCTAAGGTGGTCCCAGGAAGGAGGGCATCAATAGCACCTGGCAGCCGCTGCGTCAGGACCAGGTCTGCGGGCCGGAGCGCTGGCCCTTGGTGGGGCCTCTGGGTGATGGCTGGGTGACCACCCAGGGGACAAGTTGTGCGGCGCCCAAGGGGTGGAGGAATGCACCAGAGCGGTTAAGACCAGGCGAGGTGTTGGAAGTGGCTAAAATGTGCTGGCATTTTTTTTGTGGAAAAAATGCAACAATCTCTCATGGGTTGCAGTAAAAGTTCCATCCTTCCCCTTCCAAATTCTGCTAAGTCTGGGTTCCTTCGCTCCAAAAACCCTGCAAGGTGGTGCTGATGTAGTGCCTGCCATGTCTCTGTTGGTGATCATGGCAGCCGTGCCTCCAGAGACGGGGGTGGGCAGCATGACACCCAACTGGACCCTGCTGGCTGCCTTGGACGAAGCGATCTACCGGCAAATGGGTCCCAACTACGAGTTGCGCGTGGTGCCCATTGCAAGCCACTTGGATGGATTGTTGGCTCTATATGGACATTAGCCGGTTTTGAGTCAAGGGACTGGGCCCCAAACACACGAGGCATCTGGTGACTGGGCCAGTTGACAACGATCTGAGGCGAGGACCAGCTTTCCATGCTCCATCCTAGCCGTGTGACCCCGCTGCTGCAGCCAGCCACGGTCTGTGGGGTGGTCTATTTCCTCAGCCCTCAGCGCGTCGCGGGAGACTTCCGCACCAAGAATGATATGGTGCATGATGCGCCCCTGTTTGGGCTCATGGAGGCGGGTGGCTGGGGCAGCAGTTGCCCCCTTTTATGCTGATTTAAGTTCATTTTCTTTTGGAAAAAATGGAGCGGTATAAGAATTAAGAGGTGTATCCAAATATGTCCAAATATGGTCAAGGCAGGCGCATGCCCATATGTTAGGCACTGGAAGAAGCTGGGCTGCCCACCGTTTGGCCGCACCCCTCGTATCTATACCGCACCTTGGCGGGCAAGGAATGGCCCTCGCAGCTATGTTTGTCGCCTCAGTACCACGTGCCCCTCACCGTGCGGGTTTCACGGCAGGCCGTGTTAACCAAAGGCCAGAGGGCGGCGGAGGAAGCGTGTCAAGCCCTGTGCAGATTGAGGGAAGCCATGGGCAGACCACTGAAATCAGCTGGTGTACGTGCGGCGGTTAAGGCGTGGCATCCTGTGTCAGGGGTTGGTAACTGTCCCATTTTGGGAATATTAGACATCACCTTATAGTAGCCATTATAGACCATATACCTAATGGTTGGGTGATGTTCAATGGGGACATTTAATGACCCATGTGTGTTTGGGTGGGCAATTCTGGGACATGCATCGCCGTGACGCCGTGCAACCCCTTCCAGGTGGGCTACTCGTGGCGCTCCTCCGGTGTGCAGCTCTGCCGTGATGATGTCATGGACCTATCGCGTGCCTTGGCGAAGGCCGCAGCCGCAGGCCTGGCAGAATGGCGGGGTGGAACGCAGGGCGGATGTTTTTTTTGAATGTGTAAATGCTTTTTGAAGGCCTCTGAAAGCTGCAAAGTCAAATCAAATTGATTTTTGCAGGTCAGTTGTAATATGGCAAACCTCCACAGGAACTAAAAAAAAATAACCACTTTAATCCCACTTTTTGGATTTATCGTTGGGTTTAGCACAGTACGGCCAACAACTTAATTACGAATTAGGCACACGGAATCTACACATAATAGCCAACAATTTAATTACGAATTAGGAACACGGAATCCGTTTCTTCTGTTCAACAGTTAGATTGTTTGTATGCACCCCCTTAAGAGGACTGTGTATCCAGGGCAGCCGGCTTCAATTACCCCTATTTTGAAGGCATTGAAGGTTTAACAATTCGTGGAAGGCCCATGACGCATTCCAAATAAGTACGAGAACCGTTGCAATAGCGGCACAGCCACTCCGACAAAATGGTGTGCGGCCTGGGCACCCAACACGCCTCGTTGCAAGGCCAACACGCTTCGTTCATGGTGCAGGAGTTGATTGAAGGAGTTCTGTGTGAGGCCATGGTCTATGTGATTCATGGTGAGGTGGCGGGATTTCCGCACCTTGGTCGTTGATTTGGGTGGGGGTCGATGGCGTGGCGGCTGGGCTGATGTCGGAATTTTCCCCAGACCGCTTGTCTTGCTATGCGCTGTGCCCAGGCAGTACTACCGCTTCCCAGAGCACCAAGCGCCCCCGCAGTACATGCCCCGCAAGTCTGCGGTGCAACTTTTGGGCGGCGAAATGGCGCAGCAGAAGTGTGAGGAGAGGATGCACAGCATAGTGCAGCAGTGGATCTTGTGGGCCCAGTGCATGTCGGCCAGCCCCATCCCCTTTCTGCGCATTGATTTTCTCTTGGCCCAGGGGAAGGAGGGGAAGGAGGTGCAGGTTTGGACTGGGGAGGTCAGTGAGTTGGGCGTGGCAGTGGAGCTTCAGGGGATGAATTCCCATGAGAGCAGGGACTTGGTGATGCATGCGGTGGTCACCTCGCTGTTAAAGGGATGAACGCCAGTACAGTTTGATCCGACGTGGTGAAGCAGGGATTACGAATGGGATATTATGAAGACTCGAGGCCGAATCCTCCAGCAGTTTTGCGAGACGGATTTGAGCGTTTTGCTCATTTCTTTGCAGCTTGGGGTGGAAGATGTGGAAGGATCGAACTTACAAGCGGTAAACCAAGTTTACCTCTTGGACCCGTGGTGGAAGCCGGAAGCAGTAGGTGTACCAGCGTGCTCAAGAACCTGGCAGCAAGATCTGACTGGGGACCTGCTGGCACCATGCAGTTGCCTGGCCAAGTCGAAGAGGTGTGAGCTGACCTCGATTGATTCAAAAAGCGGCCACTGCGGCCTGTGACCGTATTCAGTTCACATACTTATCTCAGGTCTGCCAAGGCGACGGTATGGATCAAAACATAACGGCAGGATGTTTTTGGGAGTGTCTAAGCCATCCCATTGTTGGTTTATTTGGACATAGGTAAGTCGTCGATTGTCTTGAAACACGGCCATGAAACAAATACACATTTTGTTGGCATCGGGGGCCACCTGACTTTGCATAAGCTATACTCAAGCAACTTGTCTGTGACTACACATGCCTAAGCACCTTTTTCCCTGCGTCGTGTTTGCGACTTAGAGTCGGTGCCTTGTTGGATGTGCCAAGTGGGGTTTGTCAGAACTGCGGACATGTCACCTGAGGTGCGTCAATTGAAGAGTCCGTGCGTCAAGGGAAGACGATCTTCGAAACAGAGGCAGCGGGATGAGGTTAGATTTTCGGCATATGTTGCTGCGTCTTCAAGGACAACTTAGTCTTGCATGGTGCAGGACAATGGCTGCAAGTACCGTGTGAACCTGGAGGCAAGGTTGTGTTCTTGAGTGTTTTGCAATTGTTGCCTTTTCCAGTGCTCCAGGGACTTTTCTTTTGGGGAAATGAGGATCCAAGCCGCCGGGCTATTCAAGCTATTGTTCGTTTCAGCTTCTTCGCTCCCTCTGGACATCTACTGAACTCTACTTGTCCAGTTTAGTTGCTCAAATCCATTCATCGAGCCTAGGCCTAGTCACTCTAGTCTACCATGTCTACCATGGACGGGTTTCGAGTTCATCCTATCTTCCCCAGCCATCGATGTCGATGTCGAGGCACTGACCATCAGCAATTTGAGCACGGGGCAGACCACCAGCGTGAGGCCTCTGGAGGCCAGGATCAGTGCTGAATGCTGATTTTTCTTTATTGATATTATATAGCTAGATATTGATTACTGTAGTAGCTGATGTCAGGTTTTACAGACTGAGATCAAGACTAAGATCAACTAATGCTGATATGAGGTATTAGTTGATATCAGTTAGGATTCAGTTGATCTTTCCCCCATTGTGATGTCAGGAGACTGCCAGCGACTCTCCAGCTGGAGCTGTGCAGAACCCAGGTCCGAATAGGTCTGGATCATTTTAAGCGACATCTCAAACCAAACTTATACCATGGATGATGGTTCACCTTGAGAGGCTCTCTTTCAAGATATAGAATTTAACAGCTTAATCTGTTGAAATCTGATTCCCAGCTTGGACATCATCTTCAGCCCCATTCAACATAACATCGCCAGGCAATTTTACGAAAAGACCTATGACAATCACCCTCTTGAAATATGGAAGTCGAACTGGTTGGGGCTGACTTTGCTGCTGGAAGTCGCGACCTTTCATATCCAGGTTACAGATGGTTACTGTAGACTTTATATAGGTGGAGTGGTTTTAGAGATTGTGTCTGCGGCTCCAGCTTTGATCCATTTTTGTCCGCGCCGGCACGCGGTGTGTCCGAAAGAACATGGCCGGCATTGCAACTTGTCGCAATGGGAAGTCGCTGTGGGAAACTCTGTGCCTATCCTCTTACATCACTGGAAAGTTGTGAGCTTGAGCTGCAACTGAGGTGATATGTGTCAGTGGCTGCTTGCCTGCACAAAATAACCAGAAAAACTGTGGGCATCCCTGGGCATTGCAAAGCCTTTGCTCTGCGACATCCTCGTTCCAAACAGTTGGCATTGACTCCGCGTACTTGTCAAGCTCGTTTCAATCTTCTACATGTTCAATTCTTGTCATATTTTCTAATAAATGGATCCCAATCATTGAGAGGCATCAACTTGTCCACTGGACTGTTCGAAAACCAAATGTACAAAATTACAGCACGTGTCAGATTAAGAATTCTTGGGATCACATTGCAAGATTTCAAAAGTGGTCTTCGAGATGGATGTGGGTCAAAAAGGGCAATATTGGGAAGTCTTAGAACAACTGACCAGTAATTTCTCTGGATTGGGTGAATTTTAACGATCTCAAATCGACGTCGTCATGCAGAATGGTTTGCAAGGGGGCGCACTCCAGCATAACCTAGTGCCACTTTGGTGAATTCCTTTTCTTCAGCCAGATGTTGTGGATTAGGTGTTTGAAATTTCTACTTCACATGGGCATTATGGGCATGTCCAAACATATGGTAAGCCCACTGTTTTATCAGGTTCACTCTACTTGTTCCCCATGAACATGGCCGTTTCATTCAGCCCATCAGGCCTACCAGGTGCCATGGGACACGAGGTGTCGCAGGCCTGCCTGCGCAGAGGCGCCATGGAAAGTCCTGGTGGTTTTGGCTTCTAAAAATGGCTGGCTTTAGCACGTTCGCAAAAATGGACCATGGATATCATGGATAAATAAATTCTTGAAAGGTCATGGAGTCTGACTTCATTGAAATTCAGCGCAGGCATGACCTTGGCACCTGTGGGTCTTACAGGGCCCAGCATGCCCGGACAGTGCCAGGCAGGTTTGGGACGCAGGATCACTCTATCCAATGAATAGCGGATGTTCATCACTTTGACTCCTAACCTGTCCAACTTCTTTTTTCTCCTGGGAACCATCCAAGTTAAAGTGCTGTAGACTTGGCTAACATCCCCCATTTGCAGACACACTTCCCGGTCAAAATTGACAACTTTCATTACTATGTTGCTATGTTCTTTTAATTTCACTCAACTGTAAATATCATTATGAGTTTGTCTGAAAAGACGGTACCCCCAATCCCCGTGCATCAGCTCAACTTGCCTTTCAATTGGCAATTTGAGGTGTACAGGCGTACCCCATTGGAAGACACACCCAAATATCATATGATATTGCTGTTTAATGCTGTTTAATATCGGATGACTCAACTAGAAGCCGCTTTTTTTTGATTGTGAAATCATGTGAAATCCCATCACGTTGCCCCAATAGCAATCCATCCCATGAACTAACCATGACTCGGGGCCATGTAAACCATCATCCCATAGACCGTGTCAAGGTGAAGGAAGGCGACGCAGTGGTGGATGTGACCCTGGTGGGGCCAGAGACCCCAGGCGCCCAGAAGCAAGCTCTGGAGGAGGGGCCACAGCTGGAAATGGATGGGTCATCCTGGCGGACTGGAAACTGTGCTCGTAAAAGCACGTTTCTTTTGGGAACAGTTTTGCTTATGTGCAGACTGTGCATGGTTTCGTGTGAGATGCTGGAAAGGACCAGTTTGATCTGTTGAGGGGCTCTTTTGATCTTGGTTTACACCAACCAAAAGGTGAAGTGTTTGCATGATTACAACCTATATTTCTTTGATATTGTTGCATATTTTCGCACAGAATCGTACAGAACATCTCAGAAAGATTGTTTGATGATGGGATGGTTGTATGTCCCCACCAATCCCCATTTTTGATAATACGTTTGTTGGTCAATCTCCCCCATTGAGGCAGGAACTGTTGACCTGACCTGACATCAGGAGCTCAGAAAGCAGCACGGCGATCGGCTGGTGATTATCGACTTCACCCATCCCACAGCGGTGCCACGCTCTGGGAAATCGATCGGCTCCAGGAGTTTGCTGGATTCTCTAGGAGTTACGGACCCCATCATCCCACATCATCTCTGGAAATATCCTGGAACTCTATTTTGATTTTTTTCGGAGATCATGGGGAGTGCGAGACTTTTACTGGAAACAACCGAGTCACACCAATCCGTGAAAATGGATCTGACATGGACTGGTTCTGAATGTTCTGAAATTCTGTGGTTTGGATATCAATGCGCACGAGGTGTGTTCTGTGATGTGTTCAGTGCGACTTCGCTCCTGCAAGGATTTCCCTTCATTTTCTGGACTGAACCCAAATTTTCTCGATTGTATCGTTGTAACTGTACCAGCTGTTGATAGACTCATGAGCCAAACTTAGTCGGGTTCGCATTGAAATCATAATCTTGATGTATTGTTTGCAATAGCTGTGGCAGCTACGGCCAAGGTGAATCCGAACTCTGAGCTTTATGCTTCAGTGCCGTGGCAAAATCGTCGCATGTCATCCTCTGACCCACGACGCCAGGAGGGTTTTTCAGGGTCCAATGGGTTATAAGCATGATGCAATTTCCCACCATGAAACTCCCATTGTGGGTATCCTATTTTTGGACAAACCCAAATATCACTGTTTCGCTTCCCCAGATTGCTCGAGGCGGGTGTCAATTTTGTCTTCGGCACGACCGGCGGCGACCGCGACGCACTGATGAAAGTCACGCAGGATAGCGGCGTCTATGCGGTCATTGACCCTTAGCTGAGTTGGGAGGTTAGTTCTTTAAGGCCAGGTAGGTATGATTTACAATGATTTCTGCAACTAAACCAAATCTAGGTTCCGGGTGAAGTTCTCTCCATCTCATTTTGCGTTACTCCTGGCTGATAGGCAGCAAGAAGACACAACCAGCAAAGTTCAACATCTGTATTTTTTGGCATTTTGATGAGAGAGATATGAGAGCCGCTTCATTCCAAATACAACAGTTTCAGATTTTGTGGGACATGTTGATACATTTTGGTGGTTGAACCATTCATATCCTACCCTTTGGATCCAAACATGATTCTGCTGAGATTGGCCAAGGCTCCAAATATGGGGAAGCAGATTGTAGCACTACAGGCCACCATGGAGAGGCCCAGTGGCCCAGTCAGCGCTGGCTTGTGAAGTCGGAATGGAGCTCATGCAGCACGCGCAAAGGAACAACTCTGTATATGTAGTTATACATCATTATCCTATAGATATACTTTGTACACACACACATATATATACATATATATATAGGGATAGTATGTAGGTGTACACATGCCCACACATGCATGCATGTACACACACACATCTATATATATCTAACATACGGAATATGCCCACACTTGCATGCAAGCACATACACACAATTTTGCCCATGGAAAAACACCAGTGCAGCAGATGCAAGACCTACTTGGGGGTGCATCCATGTGCATCGCAGGAATCGTAAATGAAATGCATCAGCTATTTCAATGTTAAAAAAATGTTACATGGGTTATATATACATCAGGTTATATCCATATATGGTCCATATATCATGTTATATCTCCACATATCTCCCAGCATTGCTCTCAGGGAGCATTTGCAGGAACCCCCTAGTAAAAACGATGGTTTCTGGTTAAGATACTCCCTTAAACGAAGCCCCGCTGCAGGATGGCCAAAGATTTTCCGGGAGCTTTCTCTGGCAGGATCCCCAGGCGGCAATTTGTTTGGACCTTTTATCATCCATGCGTACATGATATATCTGTACATATTATGTATCACAATTGTGATCATTAGAATCAGTAGTGCTGGTATCATTATAAAATTATATAATTATATATATATATATATGGTTTGTTTTATTTACTATACTAGTAGGCCTTTTCTCAACTCATGTGGCCTAAGTTGTGACACAAGACTCCGACCTTTGCTCCTTGTGGGTGGAAGGTGGCCCCTCTGAGGTTACAAACTGGAAGTCACAGAATCGCACCAGAAAACAAAGGTGCAAACTGAAAAGGGCTGTGGTGAGGGGCTAATGGCACATATACTCCGAGTTCTTGTACATGATGGGTGCGATGAGGCTGTTGAATTGAAAGCTAGTAGTGGGAGGTCGTTCACCCCATCGATAGGTGGGAAACATTGCAAGGGCACATCTTTCTAAAATCCACTTTCACTCAAGAGCCCTGCCCTGGGTTTGCATCCACCATGCACTTCAAAGGGATATTTGACTGAAAGATGCACGGACCACTTTTTGAATGTCCCAAGCAGTGTCAGATGTGCCCTTTGATCCAGTAGCTATGGCATACCTGACAGATGAGGCTTGGAGCAATGTGGTCAACCCGAAACAATCTGCAATCCTAAAACTGGTGCCAGTACCGCATAGTAAAACCCGTGGTTTCCATCCCTTTCAGCAGGGAAAGATGATGTTTGAGCTGCCACCAGGCCGACACCAGTGGTACTGCCAAAGCCATGGCTGCTCGGCTCAAATTCATGGCAGTGGGAGAGCTAAAGTCTTGGATGCTCCCAGGATGGGTGCCCCACCTGGGCACCTGTTAAGGTGGATCTGATGGATTTGTGCAGCGGGTTGTGGGAGTATCAGTGGGCTTGTAACCAACTTCTCGTGGCCTTGTGTTTGTGGGGGTAGTTCACCACAATTGCAAATCGACAGTGGTCGGGATAACCCCACCTACCACTGACCCACTGGTGATAACATTTTGTCTAAACCCGCTTCTGACAAAGTTTGTGCGTCCCACTTCTTAGCGGGACCTTAGCCAAGTGCGGATCAAATAAACGGCACAGTTTTTGGGCTCACAGGCCTAGGGTCCGCGCAGCTGGCAGGTCCGTTTTTGTGCCTGGTGCCCATTCTCCAAGCATCGCAGCATGCACTCACCGAAAATCATGGACTTCAGAGCAATCTTGGGGTATTGGAGTAAGATAGTTGGGGGTAGACCGGTAAATTGCCCAAATGAAGGGCGGCTTTGATGCTCCCATGCTTTGGGCCCTGGGAATCCAAGGACGCATGGTGCCATAGAGATCCAATCAGCAAAAATCAACTGACACCATAGAGATCCCCTCTAGAGAGCTGGTCCCGCTGAGCCATGGACGGCTGAGTGGCGCAGTGGCAACCCTGGTTCCTATGCAGGAAGAAGATTTTCTGGAGGATGAAGAGGAAGATGCAGAGGTGGATGAGATGGAACCTTGGAAGGGAGGGTATGTGAAGACTTTTTTGGATCGGCTCGTGTCTTTCAAATTGTTTCAAGGGGCTCAATCCCGTTTGAAAGGTGATACATGGTCATGTCACTATGCTTATGGTTCACTCCTCCCACACTGAGCTTTCTTCATTTTAATATCAGATGCCGAGGCGCTCTTCCACGAGTTGAAGGGCGATGGAAATGTGGGCACCACCGATTCCACCAAAGACATTTGGGATTCCTGGCTGAGCCTGGCTGGTGAGGAAAAGCCCCCAGACAGCGCAGCCACAAAGCCAGCAGTGAATGGGACAGCCCAAAAGCACCTGGAGGCCACGCTGCCCGTGTGGAGCAAAGATGTTGGAGGCGAGAAGCCGGCAGTGCCTGAAGAGAGACCCGAGGATGAGGATGCGATGGGTGGTTGGCCATCTTTTTTAATGGAAGAGGATGATCACTGCTGGGTAGCCCCAGGAATACCAACAACCAGCAACAAGCCCACAGAACCTACTTACGACTACCCCGGTCTAGTAAACAATGGTTCATGAAGTATGGGTGACCCCCCAACAAAGCGATAGCGAACTTCCAATAGAAATCGACCCCCTCTGTTTCCTTGGATGATCAAACCCATTCGCTGACGGATGGCAGATGATCTGCCCACAGGACGATGCCTTCAAACTCGAGGAGCCACCCACAACAGCGGCGAAGCGGCCACGGCTCGAGGTGTCGGATGCTGGCTCGGTGGCAGCTGCCTGGGGTGCTTGGAAGGTTTTGGATGGGGGTCAGCCAGGAGCTGGGAAACTGCAACCACTGCAGCCATTGGCAGCACCGGAGGAAGTTGATGAACCACCAGATCAAATTGAAGAGGAAGAGGAAGAAGAAATGGATTTGCAGGGTGAGCTGGAGTTGTTTGAGCACCTGAAGCAGGGATGTCCAGGATCGCAGCCAAGCTCACGTAGCCCATCCGATGCTCCAAAACCTCCAAGCATCTCAGAGATGTCGCAGCAATCGCTGCCCACACCGGCGGAAGCTTCCATCTCTCCCGCCCAGCTCAGCGCCGCCCAAGGTGGCTATGCTGACTATGCTGACATGGAGATTTGCTCCACCGCCAGCGACGAGGGGCTGGACTTCAGGATCTCCGACAGTGAAGCGGAGTCCGAGCCCAGTGAGCCCAGTGAGCCCAGTGAGCCCAGTGAGCCCAGTGAGCCCAGTGGGCCCGGAAAGGCTGCGGCCAAGGCGAAAGCCAAGGCGAAGGCCAAGGCCAAGGCCAAGGCGGCTGCGCCCAAGGCGGCTGCGCCCAAGGCAGAGCGCAAGAGGAAGGCGCCCACCCTGGCGGACACTGTGGCGCCAATGGCCAGGGGTAGCACTGGAAACAGTGTGGTCACTGGTGATGTGGTGAAGATCTTGAAACCGGCGCAAGGCCGGGAATGCAGGGGAACAAACGAGGTAACGAGGCAAATCAGGCGGCTCAAACCCTAGGAAAGGTAATCCAGACCAAATTGTCAATTTAGCAATTTCATGAAGGTCTTAAAAGGCTTGGGCCGCTTGGGATTGGCCATTGAAATCATTTCATATTGTCGCAAACGCACTATATATTAAAATTACAGTTTCTGTGTGCAGTGTTTCGTTTCCGGCTTCACATATCCTCACATGGCCTGTTGACTCATATGGTCATTCCAGACCGCTCTGATGGGCAGGGTTGCCCGAACATTTGTAGTCCGTCAGAATATCTAGGATCATTAGGATCAGAATTTGGAACAAATGAAATCATTTGCAACTGGGAGGTTTTCATTGCCATGTTTGTTCACAAGCAGGTTGTGCTTGTTTCCCACAATAACATTCGCAGGAACAGGAATCCGCCTCATGTTCAGCAGGAAAAACCAGGGCTTCCTGTAAGCAAATCCTTAAAGACATCCGTTGAGTGTTGATATCACTCAACATTTCCTAGACACCAGGGACGGCATCCCATTTTTTGCATTTTTTTCGGTAAAAGCCTTGCCGAGGCAAAGACAAATTGCAGGGCACTCTGGCCACAGTCTCTTGCGAGCTTCCGCCCAGTTCCTTGCAGTTGACACTGCCCGATGGCCAGCAGGTTCTGCGCAAACGCAGCGAGGTGGACAGAACCTGAGGATTGCTTAAGTTACTATAGCTTCTATAGATTCTATAGCAACCACCCAAAAGGGTGGAACAGTGAATTAACGTACAATCCTACTAAAATAGTGGAAACATAGATTTCAATTTTCTGGGGGTTGCTGTTCTCTATCATTCTCTATCTCAATGGGGGATATTCAGCAACGAACCAAGAAATGTCTACGTTTTTGCTCTTCATCTAAGGTTAGCCATGCTGAGATGAGAGACAAAAATTACTTTACTTCGTGTGATCCCCACCATGACATTTATAGATTTTCTTACTGGCAAATCTTCTGGCATTCTATCTGACATATCTTCTGGCATTCTATCTGGCATTCTATCTGGCATATCTTCTGGCATATCTTCTATCTGGCATTCTATCTGGCCTTCTATCTGACATACCGGCATATCTTCTGGCATTCTATCTGGCATATCTTCTGGTATTCTATCTGACATATCTTCTGGCATTCTATCTGGCATTCTATCTGGCATATCTTCTGGCATATATTCTGACATATTTCTGGCATTCTATCTGGCAGTCTATCTGACAAATCTTCTGGCATTCTATCTGGCATTTTATCTGGCATATCTTCTGGCATATCTTCTGGCATTCTATCTGGCCTTCTATCTGACATTCTACCTGGCATACTTTCTGGCATTCTATCTGGCATATCTTCTGGCATTCTATCTGGCATATCTTCTGGCATTCTATCTGGCATATCTTCTGGCATTCTATCTGGCATTCTATCTGGCATATCTTCTGGCATATATTCTGACATATTTCTGGCATTCTATCTGGCCGTTGACGTCCAGCGGTGCACACTGAGCTCGGCAGGTCCCAGGTTGAGGTCCATAGCTTCCTACATGAGGTCCGGCAGGGAACACATGGCGTGGATACTCGCGGTTGAGGTCCGGCAGGGAAGACTGGGCGTGGATGGTCGTGGTTGAGGTCCGGCAGGGAACATTGGGCGGGGATGGTCGTGGTTGAGGTCCGGCAGGGAACACTGGGCGTGGATGGTCGTGGTTGAGGTCCGACAGAGAACAGTGTGCGTCGAGGGTCGCGGTTGAGCAGGAGGAGGAGGAGAGGAGAGGAGGAGAGGAGCAGGCAACTGACATAAAATCTAACAACCCTCACCTGGCAGGTGGGGAAAAACTGTAGCTGGAAGGGATGCAATCGTGCCCTATCACATGCTATAGCTATCGGATATTCAAGTTCTATGGATTTCTATTCGGTTATAGTTTGCAGCCATTCTATCTCTCAGTGCTGGAGTTAACTAGAGGAACGAAACAGAGTTCAAGAACACTTTTGAAACTAACTGATTGTCCTCTGGTTGCGGCAACAACCGTGAGTTGAAATTGGATAAATCGGGATTTATAACCCGATTTGATCCCATTTGTAAGTGGAAGCCAGGCTGATTGAAGGGTTTCAGGGCCAAACAGACATGTTTTCCATGATGATTCTGTTATATTCTGTTCATCTGTAGGATGGAAATCAGTGAAACTATGGGCCACTCATGGCCACTCTGTTCATTTTTCGTTTCCAGGTGGCCCTGGTGGAGAAGTCCATCCCAGTCGAGTCTGCAGCTGAGAAAATGCCTCGGAAGAGCGCACTGCTGCGGCAGCTGAAGACCGTGGAAGTGGAGCGTGCAGAAGTCTTGAGGCCGAAAAAGAGGGACATATCCAGTGGGGAGTGCTATGACTGGGATTCTGGTTATTTTTGTATATTTTGCCTGATTTTCACAGGCACACATATTTTGCCCATATGTAGATATATTATACATGTATGTTATGTCCAAATATCATTCTTATTGCTCTTCTTCTTCTTCTTCTTCTTGTTTCTCTTCTCAGTCTTTTTCTCATGTTGATTCTTGTTCGCCATCGCCAGGGGTCGCCAGTTGGAGCGCGACACCGTGAGCACCGGCCGGCAGCCCAAGGGCCGCGGCAAGGGCCGAGGCAAGGGAGCCACGGCGCAGGGCGTGAACGCGCAGCTGGGCACCTCATTTCATCAGATTGGAAAAGTCATCGATGCGGAGGCCAGAGTTCAAGGCTGGAGTTTGGATCTGGATCTGGGTGATTTTGTTTGATGTTTGATTTTGGGAGATTCTCGGAGTTTTTTGGAGATATTTTGGGAATTTAGATCTGGGAATGTGGTTTGATGCTAGGAGATTGAGGTTAGAACGGCTGCAGGTCACCTGCAACGCTGCCAACATTGTCATAGTCTTTTTACGTGATCATTCGATCCTTCATTCTCTGTTGCAATTCCTTATTGCATGCTGATCATGCTGCATGTGTCCATACAGCTTCCATTTGCAAGGTGATGTTGAAACGCACGTTCTTGCGTGAAGACTAGCCAGGAGGGTTTGCTGATCAGAGTTGGCACCCTCTGATACCAGAGTTACAGTTTGCTATGGAAAATCGCCATTTTGTTACAGGCAAATCATGGCACGAAATGGGCAATTTTCCACAGCAAGCTGTGAAATGACCGAAAACTATAGAATGGATATATCAACGGATATATTATCTCCATAGTATCAGCATTTTTGCTGATTAAGTCCCCATGGATCCACTGGTGCCAGGCGGCTCCTTGCCCACGAAGCTGCCATCCAAGCCTCCACCAACCCCCAAACCTTCGCCCTGGGGCGGCCGATGGAGCGAAACCAAAGGGCGCCGGTGAAAACGTCGGCGACGGGGAGCAGCGCGGGAGTGTTTGTTTCTCCCAATGAATGGGTGTGGGTTAAAGAGTCACACCCATATGTACGTGACATATAGATAAATAGAAAGAGAGAGAGAGAGAGAGAGTGAGTGATACACACACGTATGTATATATATATATATGTGTGTGTATATATACGTACTCATACATACATGATACATATATGTATATTTATATATAATTATATATATATATATATTATATGTGTGTATATAGCGACACACTGGAACTTAGAATGCTGACCAGTTTTCCATTTTTTTTTATTTTTTCAGTTTAGAATGCCGCCAACAACCATGTTTTTAGGGTATTTTAGAATGCCGGCCAGGGGACATTCTAAGTTTCAGTGTGTCAATGCATCAAACCACAGTATTGCCATACAAAATGCATATTTTAGGTAAAAAGAGGCATGCTAAGTTCTCTCCGGCCAGTGTGTTTTCCTCCATAAGGGTACCCCAAAAACAGCAAACAGAAAAATATCCCTGTTTGAAGCACATATGCAGCGAAAATTGCAATTCACTGCATATTTACAGGGTTTTGTGAACACTCAGTCTCCAAGACATCTCAAGACAGGTTTCCTTTTTCTTTCAAAATTGTCTCTTATTTCTTTCCCCACTAAAGATGGAAACCTCGAAAAAACAGGGGCAAAAAGTCCGCGGCCAAAAGTAATTTAGAATGCTGGCAAAACTGTCTTTCAATAGATCGATGAAACCTGACTAAGAACCAACACCCCCCCAAAAAATGCAAAATGTGTCCAAAATTCAGGTAAAACTTGAAAAACAACATCCGTTGTTGATGAAAATCACAAGATAGATGCCGGCATTCTAAGTTTATTTATATTCAAAAAACGCGGCGGCTTGACAATTCCCAATCAAAACCATGATAGAAGGACAATTATATGATCAACATTTCAGTGGCCACGCATTCTAAGATCTTCATTACTAAGACGCCCGGACTGAAAAAACGGGGCAAAAAAATACCGGACACCACTTTTTTGTTTTTTTTGAAATTCCCGGTGTTTTTTTTGCAGCGCGCCGTTTCCAAAATCGCATTCTAAGTTTCAGTGTGTCGCTATGTATATATATATATACACATATGCATATATACATATGCATACATACATGATATACTGTATATTTATAATATATATATATATACATACATGTGCACATATGCTTATACATGCAGGTTACGTATTTGCAAATAGGCGCGCACACAGACTTAAATCATCACCGCTTGGGTTCAGCTCCCAAGGTGGGATCTTTTCAGCAGCTGGGGGTGGAGCCTTTCGGCCACGATCAGGCAGGAACCACCCACCAGCACGGTGGGTTTATCATGATTGAAATGGTGGTGACCTGGTTGGTCCTGGTTAGTAAGTCCAAGAGGGTTATCCATGGTTATCCTAAAGTATATATGGATCGTAACATATTGTAACTGTAACAATGGTTACCACTTGCTAAGTGGGATGATCCTCCACTGCCATGCTTGGCCCAGAGGAAGTGAGCCCCCATATGTCCCCGTGACACCAAATTTGAAGCACGATTTTTTTGGGATCTTTTGGTGTGCGTAGCTTGATAGCATCGAAGCATCGTGGCTTTCTGGTTGCCACGCCTCGGCACTTCAGGAATCTTCAGGATATTTCATTTTTGCCAGGATGACTATCCACAATCGACCAAAGTATGCTTCGGATCAGCTTTTAAGATCTTGTAAGTGCACCAGCTAGATGGATATGGGAGTGAAAACATGACAGTTCTATCACATGTACAATTTCCATTCTGGGAACTGGCTGAACGCAACCATTGCCCTTCAACATGTGCATCCTGCAGATCCACATGCTCCGCGACGATGCATCGCAGAGAGCCTTTGGTGTGCCAGAGGACCGACACGCTGGAAGAAGTGTCCTCTGAGATGCTTTCCAAAAGAATGGGGGGCAATCACTGAGGTGTGAAATCTGGGTGTAGGGTAGATCCACTTTTTTCGATCTTTGCTGTCCATTCAAATTTTCAACACCTGGATCCATGGTGGAAAAGGATCCCCCTTGGCTTCTGCAGCCAGGAGTACTCGACAGGTCACGCCTTTCACACCTACACTCTGACCAGCTCAGATGGATCTGTGCAGCAACTCACTCTGCAACGTTCCAGATCTGGCACCAGTATCACAAGGACTTATGATTTCTGAGTGACCTGAAACGACCCATCATTAAAATACTGTAAATGCGACTGGAGATAGATTGGTGATGGGAGATAGGTTATACACCCATGCTATTTGTTTAGATCCATTGATGTCCCTTGAAACCCACTGAAACCTACTGACCTCCAAGATTATTCATGATTATTTCCTGTTACAACTGGATCAGATGCATTGAAATCCATTGAACTCCGAGGTTCCAGTTCAAACACAACGTCTGCGGTCGTCGTACTTATGGCGAGGGTGTGGCGGATGCTGTGCAGTTTATCGCACGAAAAGCAGCGGAGAAGTCGGAGAAGAAGGCCGAATCTCAGCTGGGGAAGTGGCAATGGGTTGGGTTGACCTATGGCCATCCCCCAACGTCCCCCCATGACTGGGCCCAAAATCAGAACTCCAATACTGAACCAAGGTTTCGCTTGAGGGGTAGTTGATATATTGAAAATCACATCTCAAACATTTTAAAACGAACGTTAAGCGTATTACTGGGTTTGCAATGTTAATTTGTCAATTTCCCTAAGAATAACTGCGCGAAATCCCTGTCAAGCAGGCACATAGATGAGAGGGAGAACTGGCAAGTAAACATGGTGACAACCCAAGCATCAGGTGTTGCAATACATCAAGAATCTGGGACATATTGACACGTGGGTTTGCCCAGCAATGGGATACGGTATATTTACTATGGTATTTTGAAGCAGTGTTGGAAGCAGATGGTCACGGGCTCAAATCTTGCCAGGTCTCTAGGCAATCTGTATTCTGCATATCCAAATCCCATCAAAATCTCCTCATGTTTCCAGGCTCATATGAACCTTAGCTTTCGTTCACCTCCCCTTGGGCCTCAAGTCTTATGGGGAAAATGATGACAAGCCATGCTTTTTTCCTTGTAGGGCACCCTATGTTCAGGCAAAAGACAAAAGCCACATCATTTGCCCCACAGGTGTTCAACATGATCGACATCCTCGAGGCTATCCGTGGTGATGTGGGTCCACATGATGGGTCCCTATACAAATCATCGATCAACTGATTCACGGGTATGTTTGCCATTGAACAAATATGCTGTAACCATTTAACTCTGTTTAGATCGTTTTGACATGTTTTGATTGCTGGATTACAGTTCAGGTACTGAATCTACACCCGATTTCCGAAGCATCGTTCAAAGGGTGTGCTGACAGTCAGGCCGGCGAGATGAAGTGAGCAGCTGCGCCGACGTCGGTTGCTTCACTTTTTGAGCGCTGAGCCTACGCTCGGCGTCTGGCTGCGAAGCTGCCGTGTGCCGTGTTCGTCAGATCAGGGTTGATGAGAAATCAAGGCTAATGCTAATGTTGCTATCATGAATTCAGATCATTGGATATTTTAAATGAACTTGTCGATGTATTGTGGCCAATGGATGTAATTGGACAACTTGACAGCTGGTTTTTTCTCATCAACTCTGATGTGAGAATTTTAGACCGCGTTGCTTTCAAAAAGGCCAACGGCTGCGTACCAGGTCGCCGGTAGAGGTTGAGATGTACCTCACCTGTAGTACCAAGGTGACGCCTCAAGTCAATCAAGCTGCAGGGTGGCCCGGAAGCTATGAGGACATGGCTACTGCGTCAGGTTTGTCCCCCAAGAAATGGCTCAGCTCTGTCTGCTGACACCAAAAACAGAGCAAATTCCCAAATTCCTGGGCACAGGGTGTGAGGCCAAGAATTCCGAGCCTATTTCAGACAAGAAAGTCACCAAAGTTGTGACCCCATGCCATATCGAATCCATATCCCAGGCTGGTTGGTGATAGTGACTGATACCCTCTGGTAATTTAACGTAGCTATTGAAAATGACCATTTATAGTGAGTTTTCCCATTAAAAATGGTGATTTTCCATAGTTATGTTAGTTTACCAGAGGGTAGATCTGATAGTGAGATCTTCACCGATCCCCAGTTTCACCTTTGCCCAGGTGGTTTTCTCCAGGTATTTCTCTGCCTTGACGGGCTCGGAGAAGGCAGCCCTTAGCCTCCCACAGGAGGCGCGGCTGAGATTTCTGGATTTTGGGGCCGGTCTCACATTTTGACCTTAGACATCTATAGTCTTATAGACTACTATAATCTACTATAGACAAGTTTGTGTGAGACATGTTGCTTTTCCTTGTCAGGGATCCTCACAAGCTGGGAGAATTACATACCGCAGATATCCGCAGATATCCGCAGATCTATATATAAGAGGAATGAATTGGTAAAACAAAGTTCGGTTTTGAGATTCCACGGTTCATTTTTTACGTTGCAGAATGGACATAACAAAGTCCGCAGTGCTTGGAGTTTGTCAACACCTGAGCTGCTGGGCTGGAAACTGGGCTGTTTTGGTGGCACACCTCTGGGCTCAAGCTCACAGTTTGGCGATCGGTGCCGTGGTTCCTGAGGCCTGAAAGGGGCACCTGGATGACCTGGATCCGTAGATCAAATTCTGGAACTGGGGTATGCACCCTAAACTTGCGGAAAGTGATGGTAAACCTCAGACAAACCCGTATGTATCCCCTTTAGATTATACATTTTTTTTCGATTTTAGTTGGTGAATTCCTGATTTGTGGTCATAGCTTTCTGCAGTTTTCTGCAGGTGAATGCTTGAGACATGTTCTGTTATGTTGTCCTTGGACACCTTGAAGCCTTGAATATTTGCTTCCAGAGTAAATGGGTGTGGACTCAACTGGGCCAGCAGAGATGGTAACCACGCCAACCATAGCGTGATAGTGTAAACACCATCACTTGTGGGTACCTGACTACTACAGTAGCAATTTGGATCCCGTGGTTCGGACACTGCAGGTCCTGAGACACTTCAAGGACCACGACCACAGATGCAGGAATTTCAGATGGTACTGTAGGCTATGGTGTATTGTTTTGCACCAAGTGCTTGGTTGGTGACCAGTCCCTGTTGGCCAATATTCTCCAGATATGGGGCTCACGAAACGCCAAAACATCCAAAACCACGGCCCCAGGCATCACGAATCGTCATGCTGCTGGCATTGCTTATCCTTCAGCAGCTGCTGACAGGATTGGCAGGACCATTCAATCGCGAGTCCTCTGTTAAAGCAGATGGACGCTTGACAGGAAACCTCCGGTGGGGGGGAACTGCTGGGATGGAAATTCACTTCCAGTGGAGATTGATTGGGGATGGCAACCCAGGAGTCTATATGTACAATCCTTGGAACTGAAAGGATCAGGGTTGGGGTCGCGTGCTGTTGGCGTCAACTGATTCGACCTGAAGCACCTACTGTGCATAATGGCATGCCCAAGAAAGGGTGATCACTCAGTGATCACCCCAGATCCAGAGCAAGGATGTTCCTTTATCATGGGCAACCGGTGCTTTGGCCCCCCAATGGAACCCCATATTGTGTCTTCTTGCATGCCGTGTGAGTTGAGGTTCCATCAGTGCTAAGAAGCGGCATCACCACATACATCGCTCTCATGACAAGCCTCAGCTTCTCGGCTTGTCTGTTGGGTCAGGGAAGGCCAGATGTTCACATTGTCGGGCTAGATGTTCATGGATTGTATAGTAAGCCCTTACACCTTGTTTCATTTTGTTTCTTTTAATCACTATCAACGCTGTAGATAAGAATAATAGATAATAAATATTAATAAATACACCACGTCTTCATTCAATTTCATTCGAGAACTGATAGTAATTTCAACAAGTAATGGATTCTATATTACCTATATAGACTTATATGTTTCTATAATCCATTACTTATATAGACTTGATAGAATTGATCGATCAAGTCACTGAGGTCGCACGACCCCCTCTCCGAGGGTGCGCCGCCCATCTCCAGCATCCTGGCGGAGATCGAAGAGGCGGCCAAGACGCTGCGCGATACGCAGGTGCTGCGGGAGTCCCTGCGGGAAGATCAGAGTTGTGGGGCCATTTTTGAAAAGGGAAAATCATGGGAAACTGATGATGAGATAAATACACTTTCTTTATTTTGGATGGATTTTGAACAATCACTTGAGGGGTTATAGTTTTTTTTGGGGGGAGAACTCAAACATGGTGATTCAACAATGAGTTTATCATTTTTTACTCATCAACTCGATGCACCAGTTCTTATGAAAGATGCTGGAAAACATCGGATTCTACTTAAGATTGGCTGACAATCTTGAGACAACCCCATGTACGGGAAAGTCTTTCAACCAAAAGTTCAAGTCCTAGTTTTGAGACCGAACACCCCGAACATGTGCCCAGTTTGACCCAACATTGATTGCAGGGAAGGGAGGAGAAGTGTAGCAGGAAGAACCCAGCTCTACTGGGGTGAACCCACCAAAGGAGTGGTGGCCCTTTGTTGCATCCTTGGGGAAGCACCTGTGAGGATATCAGGTTAGTTCCAAGCAGTTTTGCCGCTCACCTACAGTACATGATTTGTGCATCCTTACATCAACCCGTTGAATCTTGATATTGGGCGGAAAAATTGGGTTGATCCAATCCCATTCGTTCACGGCGAGGCCGCGCGGGGTGCAGCTACGACAGCACCGCCGACACAGATGGTGAAGCCAACCCGACAGAATGGGAAGCTGCTTGGCGAGCGGCGAGTGGCTTTGGCAGACCCAAACATGGTGATTTGTTACAGAGTTGCTAGGGAAAATGGATGAACATGAACCATTTATCTCCGGATTGACAGTTCTGATGTTCAACAGCAATGTCAGATTACCAGAGGGTACCCAAAGTGACAATTCCAATGTGAAAAATGATGAACAAATTATGATCAAACATCTCAAACGATCAAATTTGGGATGCCGAGATACCCTATTTTCAGAGAAACCTGAGTTGCTGCAGGTTTGTCTTCTCATAAGCCCAAGAACCCTCAATAATATTCTTGGCCAATCCAATCAGTGGTTTGATTTTACAGTCGAGAAAGATTACGTGTTCCTGAAAATCAGGGAGCAATCAGAGAGTTGATGGATGCTGAGGTTTCCAGTCATCAATGAGTGGGCCTGCGCACTCATGTGCGCCAGTCACGCGGAAGATGGCTGTTGCACCTATAAGAACAACCCCAAGCGCGTTGGCGATGAGAATGATGGAGACAATTATGAGGCACCGCAGCACATTCAACGCTTGACGTTTTTGCTTAGGCCCTGTTCTTTAGGGAGGCCCGAGGCCCCGCTAGTGACGACAATAATCCTTTTCACATGCTGGATCAGCTTCCCAAAGATCTTTGAATCTGCTGATTTTCCGAGGAATAAGGGCCCCTTGCTGTTGCCCAAAAAAAAGTGTGCCAGGAAGACACCGGCCTGTGCGAGTTCCGTGCTGGTTTCGGAGGGGTGGATGAGAGTCAAAGCGAGCAATGGAGCTCCGCACAATGCACCTTGGCCGAGCTGGCCGAACTTGGCTTGGCTAACAACGCGAATGCAAGTCATTTCAGGGTTAGTAAGGTAGCAGGTGGTTGTAGCATGTTGTAGCAATGCCTCGTTAAAACTCGTTGGTTTGGGGCCACTCAGCCGGGATGATGCACCTAAGATCACCGAAGCGAGTTTTTGGGTTTGTCATGCGCCCTTACTACGACTCTTTGGTGTTGGAGGGATGCCATTGAGGGAGCTGGTTTCATAGGAATCCTTGGCATGCAAAGGCGCACCACGCAGCATTGGGCCGTGTTAAGGGTTTATGAACCACCTTCAGCCCTTGATTGCCTTCATTTGGTGCCACTTCCGTACGCAGATGATGTACCCATCAAGGGGGGGAGCTGCTGCAGCTCCATAGGCGTTGCGGGCTACAGCACCAGCAAGTGTGCACAGTGGCGTCCTGGCCGATGCATTGGCAGCCCGAAGGACTGCATGGGGACGAAGGGGAAGAGGTGGAGCATCCAGTTCTTTTGGAGGAAATTAGTTGGGTACTCAAAGTGTCAGGTTTACCAGTGGCAGTCTCCTCCCTACCATACCCTACCATACCCTACCATACCCTACCATACCCTACCATACCCAATTTCCCCAAAATCACGGGCGAAGACCTGGTTCCACCAGCAACTTTTTGAAATCGAAGTCCAAAGTCTTGCTGCTTCAACTTCCCTCCTGACTGTTAGCAGCTTCAATGGTAGCCTCCATGGCCACCTCAACCCAGGAGCTGAGCACTGCCTCCATGGGGCTCCCTGTGTGGGACCTGGTCTTTGAGGATCACTTCGACCGCCTGACCTGCGTCCCGGACCGCAACGGCATCCTTAGGCCCAACCCCCTCAGCTGGACACCGGAGATTGGCACCTGGGCTTTGGTGATGTGGGGGGTTGGGGGGGACGGAGGTTGGGGGTTTGGAGGTGAAGATCAGGGGTTGAGATTGGCCCACGAAGGTTGATGAAGATTTTGATATACGAAGAATGTCAAAGAATGTTTTATTTCGGGGGAGATGCCGTGCTTTCAACAGACAGCTGGCGGTTGGGTTTTCATTTGCAGGGTCAGCTGTGGGGGTTTTTGGGAGCCTTCCCGCATTGGCTACCATGGTGAGCAATTTTAGTGCAGACCCTGGAGATGCAACCGTCCCTTGCGTACGCGGAATTCACCTCGTTGTCGGGTAATTATTGGCACATCAGTTGGGAACGCATCTTCATCGCTTAAAAGGGAGTATCACAACCACTATGAGGACCCCCAAGGGTATCAAGCCAGATTGACACTGGCTCATACGTGGAATTCCAGAACGCTCTGTGCCACTGCAGGTTACAAGCGAGGCAGGCTTCACGGAGGGTGGGTGGGACGTGGCATGACATGGCAGTGGAGTCTTGGGATTGATGATCCCATCCCAAGCTGTGACCGGGATCTGATTCAACACTTCTTGTTTTGCGACATGCCAGGCCAATTCCAAAGCAGCTCGTGTCTTGAGTGCTAGGATCTGGGTCCTTGCCAAGCATTCGAGCCAGAACCATGGCAGACTTAGAAGCGCAGTTCCAGCTATAATTGCACCATGCTGCACCATAGTTATAGGATGTTATAGGCTATATAGATCTATATAGTACATTATAGATCATTATAGATCTATATAGGAAGTTATAGGATGTATAGGGCTTATACCATCCCAACTCATGGGATCTTATGGCGATGAACATCATAAATATCTCATGCTCGTCTCCATTTTGATCACACCAGCCGCACCCCGAATCCGCAGCAGGTAGGGAGAACCAGTTCTACAAGGCCGAGAACGTGGAATGCCGCAACGGGGCCTTGGTCATCACCGCCCAGCGCGAGCGAGCCAAGCCTCTGCCCAAGTGCGAGGTGCTGGGTGGTGGTTGGTGGTTCGGCTGGGTGGGTGCCCGAGGCTCGACCATTTTCATTCGCCCAATTGGTTCAGTGGTAAACTCCAACTTTTGCTGGTGAAAAAACATCTTGGTTCATGATTAAAAGTCAAGACTCGATCTTTCACACCGGAAAAGACGTCAAAACCACAAGTTTGATGGAAATCCCTCATAATTTAGGACCAAGTCACCATCTGTGCTGGTGAACAACTCATGTTGCACGGTTAAGACATGTTCTCGGAGAGCGCCAGGTGAAAGGCTCCGATGATCCCGCGTTGGATGGTGAGGTCCCGTGGAGAAAATCATGGTTTGGCATCGATTGATGGATGCTCATGGATGTTCATGGAATACGTATGATATATATATATATATAGACTAGAGTATCTTGTCAACATTACATATTATATAGTATCTTGTCAACATTAGTCAAGAATAATGATATCATGAACCATTATGGTTCCTATCAGCAACACTAGCTGTAACAATTGATAACAAAAACAACCATAATCAACATTAAACGACAATCTTGTGGGCCATATGGGCATATCTTGGTTACATATTCAGCAATTACAGTATTGGGATATATATGGGGGTAAATCACTGGCCGACGTTGCCAACGACATGATGGTCACGTCGTGTTATGTAAAGGTGACTATCCCAAAGTCTTCAGATCTTTTCAGCTTGGTGGTATAATTCAGCCAGAAAAATGATGGTTGGTAAGGGCTGCAAGGAAAATCATGTCCCACAATGGCCTCGAATCTGGTTCTGGGATGTTTTGGGGATTTGCAGTAGTATCAACATTGACATCATCTTGAATTTGGGAAGGTTCCAGGAGGTTAAGTGGGGGATGGAACCTGCAAAGAAGTACCAACCTTGGAGGGTGAGAGCAAGAAAAGTGGGCGCAGTGAATCTACTCCGGGATGGGGGAGATGGCCAGCAGGAGCTAGTGTTATGATTGTTTTGATCGACCACATCCCGGACATTGTTGAGTGTTTCCAAACCTTATGCAGCCACCAAAACCCACGATTGCACAGCTTTTGGAGGAGGAAAGGTAATGTTCACAAGCGCGCATGATGAGACGAGCTCACATCTGCAAATTTCTGTATATTGTCTTAAATTCAACAGCCCATGCTACCCCCAACACCTTGGGTTTCTCATATTCTGGGGACGCTTTTTCTTTTAATGCCCCAGCAGTGCGGAGGCCTGCAGTGTGTGCGGCCCGCCCACATTTGAGTATGGAGCCCCTTGCGACCAAACCCTGGGTGATGGCTCCCCAGTGTGCGACTGCTCGGCTGGGGCGGAATACACCTCTGGCTCCCTGGTGTCGCGTCGAAAGGTGGTGGGGGCCTCAGCATGGCTCCCGAGACATCACGAGACCGCAAAATTTAGTATGCGAACATTGGATCACAAATAATTCATATTATATATACAGTATGTGTATATATATATATATGTGTGTGTGTATATATATATGTGATTCCAATATCCTAAATTTTTGAGGACAACACCCATGGACCCAGCCAGACCTACCCCACGAGTTCGGTTGGTCGTTTTGGTCTCTGTTCCCGTTCTTTGATAAACCCAACTAGGCGGCAAGCCGCACCCGGGCCCCTGGATTTTCTTCAGAGCGCCTAACCCTCCAACAGCTTGGCCCTGCCAGGAATTCTCCTATGGCAAGCTTGAGATGCGAGCGAAGATTGATACTCGCCCCGGAGCTTGGTCGTCCTGGTGGGCAGTGGGAGATTTCGAGGATGTGCCGTGGCCCAAGAATGGGGAGATCGACATCATGGATGCCTTCCAAGGTGCAGGGGAGTACCAACTGCGGGCATGTTGATACCGATTTGCCTTGTTGTAATTATTGCACACTATTCACAATATTTCGAATTATGTTCCCCCGTTTCCTTCGGCACTTTCCTTTTTTCCTCAAAAAAAGCTGAACATTCTAAGATTGCTCTTGAAATGGGCTTGATTTTTCTATCCAACAGAATCTAACATTCACCAATTTTTGAATGAAGCATATGGATCCATACGATGCTTCTCCTACTGAACATTCAACCATTGTTAATTTGTTTCCTATTGGAAACTAACATATATAGTTATCCAGGAAAATGATCTACAAGACAGTCGGCTTTCCATGTTTGTGTTAAATTACGTTAATTTTCTATATATATATGTATGTATGTAATGTAATGTAATGTAATGTAATGTAATGTAATGTAATGTAATGTAATGTAATGTATGTATGTATGTAAGTTAAGTTAAGTAAAGTAAAGTAAAGTAATGTAATGTAATGTAATGTAATGTATGTATGTATGTAAGTAAAGTAATGTAATGTAATGTAATGTAATGTAATGTAATGTATGTATGTATGTAATGTAATGTAATGTAATGTAATGTAATGTAATGTAATGTAATGTAATGTAATGTAATGTATGTATGTATGTATGCATGTATGTTTTCTGGAGATGATTGACATTTCTGGCCGTTCTATGTAACGTTTCCAGTAGCCCAGTGGGGCGCCAGGCATGCTGAAGGCGTCCGTCATCCATGCTGACGAGACGGGCGACGCCAGCAATGCCATTTTCCATGGTGCTGCGAAGAAGGTGAATGCGGATGCATGGCTGGTGGGGGCAGGGATGGTACCCTCTGGTTATGTCAAAATAGCTATTGAAAATGACCATTTATAGTGGATTTTCCCATTAAAAATGGTGATTTTCTATAGTTATGTTAGTTTACCAGAGGGTAGATGGATTTAGATGGGTTTAGTGAGCAGGTAAACATCTTGAGATGCTTGGCAAATTCCTTCTTTTTTGCCGTGTATTTCGATAGAATTGTTGCGATATGATAGGATATGCATATAGCCACATGCTACTTTGATTTAGTTTAATGTACAGATTTTGTTTTCTGATGTAGTTGTGTTGAAGTAATCGTCTTTTTTTTGGGGGAATGACCCTTGGCTCCCAGGACTGGGAACGGCACTATCACACCTGGACCATGGAGTGGGACAAGGACTTCATCACCATCTCGGTGGATCGCCAGGAAGTCCTCAGGCTGGATTTGAGCGTGGCGGATCCGGTGAGGACCAGCTGGCCCAATCCCTTCACCAATGGCAAGAAGTGGCTGGGCTTCAAGGGCAGGGGAACCGGGGAACCGTTCATGATTAAACGCATTAATATTTCCATATATTTCCCAGTCTCTATTGGGGATGGTTTGTTGTTGAAATTGGGGGCCTGGAATTTTGATCGTTTATGATCCCTTTGGAGGTCTTGAAACCTGACGAAGAAAGGCAATCTTAGGGCATCCACTCCCACCCAACAAAGACCGAAGAACGGATATTTTCTAGATGAGAGCGCCCAAGTGTGAGTGTCACCCCAGTGACCATTGGTGCAAATCGCCAACACCCATGCAATCTGATCACTGATCTATCACAATGAAGCATGTCAAGCTCCAAATCACTTGCCCACATCCTTGAATCACCATTTGCGAGTTCTGAGTTTGCTGAATCAACATTATCAGCAACTGACTTATTATGCCTAAGAACCATCCCACTTCTAGCATTGAAAGGAGAGAATGAGAGAGACCCCAATTTGTACTTGCCTTCCTGTAAGCCGCGCTTCAGCTGCCTTAGCTGAGGTTCTTCATGATCCTTAACCTGGCTGTAGGTGGCCACTCTGGTGGCAATGCCACACAGTCTGAGTTCCCAGTGACGATGATGGTGGACTACATCAAGTACTACCAGAAGAAGAGCCGCACTGACCGATGAGTTGCGGTGTGCAAAACGTGACATCCAGGGCCCTTAAAAATAGGGTACCTTGGAAGGAGAACCGATAAACAATTATGCGGCCAAGAGAGATGGCGATGGAGAGGGAGCCTTTGGTGGGGTTGAATGCGCTTGTGTCTGTGATGGTTCGGTGGTTCGATCTGCAAAACATGGTTTTTGTGCTTCATAGGATGGCAGGGAGGTGATCTTTGCTCCATTCCCAAAAAAACTGTTCAAGTAAAATTTGCAGAACCCCCCCGAGATTTGGCTGGTGAATCCCTTGTTGTTCTCCTAACTTTCCCTTCAACCAACTCATCGATCCATTGTTTCATCCATGTTCGGACCTGGGCCTCGAAGGCTGCGGTTTCCCAGTGGCTGGCAAAGGCCCTGACGGAGACCTCTGAGATGGCGGAGGTCGATGGACATCAAACACGGCTCGGGAAATCCCATAAATGGATATAGATGGAAGCTTCTAGCTGGGAAGATCATTTGTAAATGTGCGGTTTTCCATTGCGATGTTTGATTGCCAGAGGGTGCCAAGCATGTCAATTTGTAGCAACAATGATAAGGATTAGAATTGATCTAAACACAACGTAACAAACCTTCAGTAGGAAACGATCCGTCTCAATATTAAAATTCATCCCAAAATGGTAACTCCATTGTGCGGTTTGACACATTACATTATGCTTGAAATGATGTAGCTTGACAGCCATGGTTTTACACGCCAAATCTCGGGGTGAAGGGAAACAAGACATGTTTCCTCACACTTGAAGGCATTCAAGAACGTGTTCCTCAAGCCTTTTTTTTTTTCTCCTCCTTCAACTTTGAGGAACCACTGAAAATGAAGATAACTCCATCCCACAAATATTGAACCCCTAGACCCCTGGTTTAGTATTGGAGTATTGGATCCATTCATTTCGGGCCCCAGTCATCGGCCGCCAGGGCCGGGAGTTGGTGTTGGCAGAGGCCGAACAGCTCTTCCAGCGGCTCAGTCTCTTCAGGTCTGGGATGGCAAAGCTTCTGACCTGACAACAAGAAATCTGGAAAGTAACGGAAATCAAGGATTGATCATCCCCAAATCTTCCAAAATGGCATTCTTCATTGTTATATATTGTTATTCTCCTTTATTTCTGAGTTGGGGAACAATATAGATGTAAGACGAAATATAATTTGCACCGACATTTGGAGACACCAAGAATTGCCAAGATTGATGTGGGTCCCTCCGGATGTGTAGATGAACACCCCAGTAGTCAGCAGTCTGTTCATTTTTGCGATGTGAAGCCCAGGCCGGCACTTGAAATACAGGGCTTTGAAACACGAAAAAAACCTGGTCGAACTGTGGAAAACGGATCAACAATTGTGGGTCCATTGGGCGCCCGAAATAAGTGGACCAAGTTGCCTACCGTGCCAGGCCATCTGTAGTTTCTCGAGACGAATGGCTGCACTATTGGATGTTAGACTCCTCCGCACCCAGCAAGGGAGCTCAGGTTTTCATGACAAGGGCCTGCAAAGTCAAGGATGAAGTGAGTGCCCACACTTGGAAACTGGAGGACTTTCACACAAACTAAAATTGGTTTAGAGTTTAGAACTTCAATTAATTAGTTAGACTTAAGGTTTTGAGATTCCCCACGAAAAGGCAGACTCTACATGTTTCATCATGTTTCACAATAAGCCCAAGAAAACAGATGGTGTGGGCTGGGATGTGATGTTTGCAGTTCTGCTTCAGGTCACTACGCACTCACCATCCTCCAGGAGGGCAAACATGCTGCCATCCAAACCAGGGCCCGGCAGCAATTGAAAGAGACAGCACTATTAGTTTCAAAAAGGCATCGCACCTCGATATCTGATAATTATTTAGAGGGTTTGCCTGTTTGCTTATTTGACACGTGAACTCGAATTACTGGGGTCACTTGGGTTCTAGGCCCCAAAGTCGCAGCCCTTTTCCAGGATGAGTTGCGGAAGCTGGTGCGGAAAGAGGCACCCAAGGCATGTGCACCCGCGGCTTGCATTTCGGAGGAGGGTTTTCTTGGGGACTATGTCAGAGATGGGCCCTTACCCCGGTTCTTTTAAGTCTATCGTAATGTGGGTTGAAGGGTAAATAAGGTCCCCAAGCTAGGATGAGCTACCAGTTCAATGGAGTTGCAAAACTGCCACTTACATAGAGTGGTACGAGGCCCATTGTTGGTGGAGGGAGTTAGCCAAAACACAGGCGCACGCGAAAATATGGAGTGGTGGTATTCTTGGAGTCCTCCATGTGAACACTTACCGTAGTAGTAATGCCTAGTAATACTATGTAATACATTGTAATACTACCTGATGATTGTTGGTTGATGTTTGCTTTTGTAATACTACCTGATGATTGTTGGTTGATGTTTGCTTCCAGTTGGTCGGTTGTGGCACTTTTATTCTATTTCCTCCCGTCTCTTTTTGCGAATCTCCACCCCTTCCAGGGATCCCCCAATGGTACGTCTCAATCTTCGAACTCCCAAATCCACGAAAATCTGGTTGATCATATTTTTTTCATCACCGGTTGCCCCTTTTCTTTGCGCCTCATTTGCATTATATCACCAATTATATCATCATTATATCAAATCATATCCCGTGAAATCCTCCATTTTGCGATATATCCATGATTTTGAAAGACACCCCCATGATTTTTTTGCCCACCGGGAGGTGGTTGACCTGATGCTTCAGCTCTTCCTGCAAGCTGATGCCGATGCCGATGGGGAGCGATGACTTGGAAGGGTCAGGTGGCGATGGATCAAAATATTTGATCAATTTTAATCAACAGTAATGAGATATATATATATGTATGTATGTATGTATGTATGTATGTATGTATGTAAAAAACTTGGTATATGATGGTAATATAATGGGTATATAGTTAATAATGTGGTAAATAATCTGGTAAATCTAATGGATAGTTATATAGTGAATAATGGACATGGGGTAGTGAATGAATGATTCATGGATAATTTCTTGATAAGTGGAGATGTACCCTCTGGTCATATAACGTAGCGAACTGGAAAATCACCATTCTATAGCTAGGTAAATCATCATAACTTACCTACAAAAGAGCAATTTTCCATAGCTGCGTTAAAGAACCGGAGGGTGCCTGTTTTTAGGGGGATGAACATCCATTTGCCAGCTAATTTTGGGATTCAACCAGGAACCAGAGTCTTGATTTATGGTTTATTATGGTTGGTGGGAAAAATAGCAGCACTGGACGGCTCCCAGGAGATCAGCAACCAGGATATGGCGCGATGTTGCAAGAAGTGTTGCCAGAACAGCCTGGACCCGTGGACCCCCGAAGCCTTTTCCCTGGGGCTTGCCCTACGTGGAGACCTACGCATATGCAGTGTATATGTATGATTATGTACCCTCTGGTAAACTAATATAACTATGGACAATCACCATTTTTAATGGGAAAATCCACTATAAATGGCCATTTTCAATAGCTACTATAAATGGCCATTTTCAATAGCTATGTTAGTTTACCAGAGGGTATGTAAATTATACATGTGTGACATGGCAAGTTTGTGTCTGCCATGGCGGCAGTGTCATGAAACCACAAAGCTCCTGAGGTTGGGACATGCCGCTTGAAGGTGCAAAGAAGTGGTACCGTCCCCAGCAACCACGTTGAGAAACCACCAAAGACCTGGGTTGAAACAGAGACACCACGCATTAAATGATTCCATTGGACATTGGCCATTTCTTTCCATTCCGTCGCGGGTTTTTGTCAAATTTTCACGGGTGAATTCTTGGCTTTGAGACCATCCCTCAGGTTGGCTAGAGGCCGGAAGACCGAGGCTGGGTGGGGATCATCGATACAGGGGAAAAATCGGACATAGTTGCTGTATACCTCACATACCCAAGAAAAGTACATTGAAGTACATATCCAAAACCACTGATTAAGACATTAAGCAAACTATGCAGGGCATGTCGGGCATGTCTCACCAATGCTTGCGGCATGTAGGGCAGGGAAGGTCGTTTTGTGTTGAACAACCATGGATTGCCGACCGAATTTCACTTCGTAAAGGTCACATCATGTCGAATCCCAGCTCCCAACCATTTACGGTACCAACTTGATCATAATGTCCCATATCAATCCATATCACGCAATTGTTGGATCGGTGATTTTCCCCCCAATTTCAGGGATTCCACCAGTTTCCCCCGCCACTGGCCGGCCAGGATGGGACGCTGAACTACTTCGAGTTTGTCAGCGAGCTGATCGGACGCCAGCAGCATGATGCCCGCGCGCCCCAGAACGCCAAGTGGTCGCTGGCCATTTGGTGTGGCGGCACGAGGGTGGCACATCATGGCACATTTGTTTTTACCTTTGACGCAGTCGCAGCACCACTTTTTCCTGGACGGTTGCGGCGGTGAATGCTCCAATTTGCCCTACCAAAACTCATCAGTTTCAGCAGCTCAACTGCCCTTTAGATGCTGCCAAGCCTCGGCTTGTGACCGCAAGAAGTTGAATTCAACGGTACGAGCCGCAGATGCAAGTCATTTTTGTCTACAAATGCAACACCAAATATTTGAGACCAAAAACTAAGGCAATTACCAATTAAGTTTTGAAGCCTCCAAATTTTCCATCACCTTCAGCATTTGCCAACCCATTTGCCACCTGGCGCCTTGCCATCTGGTGCCCTCCCCGTCACGCCATGGCAACGGAGCCCCATGGTGTGGCGCTGGGTGGCGCTGACCGGTGCCCTGGGCGCTCACGGCCCAGGGCCTTGGCGGGTCGAGGAGCGCCCCGTACTGCGGCCCTTGGATGGACCACTGGGATGGCGCTTGGGCATGGCCAATGCGGAGCCCAACAGGTGGGGATCGTTCCTGTTTGCAACTGGTGAATATTACGAAGAACTCAGGTAGTAACCGAGGCCGGTTCCGAGTCTCCTGGGATATTTCAGCACTGACCAGCACGCATCCAGGTGGTGATGCAATGTTGGAAGGTCAGACTCCAATGCCCCAAAGTTTGCTGATTCATCTGGTCACAGGGTGGATCCTGATGATCCTGCTTGCTTGGCTACAGGCGCTACCTCCAGGCCGTGGAGGACTTGGTGGGCGATCCTCTTCACAAGGTGCCTCTGTCTCTGGTGGAATTTGTTGGAATAGGCCTTAATAGGCCTTAAGAGCTGCACTTGCTACAGGTTATGGGACTTTACATATTGAACCAACCTTTGCACAGGCCAATGCCCTGCTCAACACGGAGTCTGGCAAGGCTGGGCACGGCCATTTCTGATGACCCGTCCTTGGCGGCCGCACCCGCAAGGCCTGCTACAATTCCACTTGCTCCAATTCTCTTGGAGGTGGTGCCTGTGACTACGACAAGGTTTTCCAAGCCGTTGCCAAGGCCATCAGAATCATCTCAGTTGCTCAGGACTGCTGGGCTCAGTGAGTGATGTGGATGGTTGAGATCTGAAAGCCGCTCCGAAGTGACTTTGAGCCACTTCTGGCCTTTGACTGATTTCTGCCTTGCGAGGGCAGGATGAAGCGCGAGTTTCATGAGGCAGGGGACCAGTGGATTCGGATCCGCTGCTGGCAACAGCATTGTACAGTATCCCTACAGGACATAGCCACTTGGTTGCTAATTTTTCTTGGGTGCTGCATAAGTAGAGCAGGGCCAACCAGTTCCATTTCTTGGATTTTGTTGGGAGTTACATTTTGTGGTTTTCAATGGTTTTCAAGGTGCCTTGAACATCTTGGACTTTGGCGTTGCAACAAGTCTTTGTTTTCTGCGTTTGAAGAGGTTTAATTCTCAGCCTTCCCCTATCCAAAAAGTAACCATCCTAAAGACCACAAGATCAGCTCTTCGGCGCCAGGTCTGTGAGCAAAGCTTCGGGAGCTTTCCGCGCAGCCTTTTGTTGGGCATGGACTCCCCAGTTCAAACAGCCAGGCACTGGGTTCTCCGCAGGGCGCTGGAGTTGGCTCCTTAACATGGGATGGAAGGGGATGCTGGGATTTTTGGCTTTGCTTGGATGTCCATCCCAGTTCCTGAGTGGGCACACACCCCAGTGATATATGGATGAATGTGTATATATATAATACAAATACACACACACCGGTGATGCACTTTTTCCTGGGTGTTTGATGGAACTAACTCCTTGGATGGCAGGAGTGCCTTGGGTGTAGTGGTGATGCGCTTGAAGCACTTGCGGGAGCAGCTGCAGACCGGTGTTCCTCCGTGCATGCAAGCCATGGAGGAGGCGTTTCATGGTGGATCTTTCTGAAAAAATGGTAACCCTAAAGTATGGGAGTCCTTAGTGAACTTGACAAACACATGATTTTTCCAGGTTTTTTTTGGGACACCCACCAAGTGAACTCATGGGTTCATGTACCAGGATTTCTGAAGCCATGAGCAGCTGGACCCAGGTGCTGTACGCCAATGTGGACCTGTCCCGCTTTGGGCTGGAGGTCATATCGCTGCTGGACCATCAGCTGACAATTGAAGCTCTGCCGGATTTCTGGGGTAAAGGATGGGGATTCCCGGCTGGTTAGGATGATATAGGAACATCTCTCTCTCTCTCTCTCTCACACGCACATCTACGACATATACGTAAATAATATTAAATATTAAAAAACTATATAATTACCATATACAGTTTTCCCCCCCCCTCTCTCATATATACATATATAATATCATATATATAATATATATAGATAGGCATGGAGTGGTAGTATAGATAGACATATTTGATGAGATTGAATTGGATTGGATCGGATGTGATTGGACAGGATGGAATAGATGGCGCACATACACGAAAACATACAGGTATGAACAAACGAGATGGTTATTGTGGCGTAAGCACGGAAGGGCTGCTGGGAACTCTAAGAGGCCTGACGACTTGGGATAGTTTGAGGCAAGAGCCATGAGAAGTAAGACACATCATCATTGCAAGTCTACGATGGTGAATAAGTCCCCGAGCCCACACAAACTTTGGTTTCGCAGTCCGTTTGTTCAATTTAGGGGTTCTTTATGGAGGGGTTATGATAAGTTATCAGGGGATGCAATCGAACCCCTTTGAGGACACGTACTTGTACCATCTTGTACCCACGATGTTCCATAATGTCCATGCTCACCCTGGTCACCCACAGCTGACAGCAGGAATCATGTGGTGCCGGGGAGTTGAAGCTGCCGAAATCAGTGCGGCATCGCGTGGATCTAGGAACGGGAGGGAACGGGTACAGCTTCCGAATACTACTGGGGATATCCGGGGATATCTGTGCATTTCTTAATGCAATCTCCTCCTCCTAAAAATTGGTAACAGATGATTCATGGAAATCGAAAGGTGCTTGTGCCAGTAGGTCTTCCGCCGGGCCTACAACGTGTCGGGGTCACCATCATCAACCACCTATAAATTATAAACCCCAGAGAGAGACACATTCGGATACATTGATACACATTACATGATCTAATCTTATTGATATCATCCAATCATCCTATATATATATTCTATGTGTGTGTATGCATACATACATACATACATACATACATACATACATACATACACGTACATACGTACATACATACGTACATACATACATATACATACATATACATACATACGCATACATATACATACATATACATACATACACATACATACACACAGACATACATACACATACATACGCATACATATACATACATATACATACATATACGTACATATACGTACATATACATACATATACATACATATACATACATATACATACATATACATACATATACATACATATAGATACATATACATACATATACACATATACATACATATACATACATATACATACATATACATACATATACATACATACATTTACATACATATACATACATATACATTACATATATATATACATACATATACATACATATACGTACATATACATACATATACATACATATACATACATACATATACATACATATAGATACATATACATACATATAGATACATATACATACATATACATACATATACATACATATACATACATATACTTACATATACGTACATATATACGTGCATATACATACATATACATACATATACATACATATACGTACATATACGTACATATACGTACATATACATACATATACATACATATACATACATATACATACATATACATACATATACATACATATACATACATATACATACATATACATACATATACATACATATACATACATATACATACATATACATACATATACATACATATACATACATACATACATATACATACATATACATACATATACATACATATACATACATATACATACATATACATACATATACATACATCATACATACATACATATACATACATATACATACATACATATACATACATATACATACATATACATACATATACATACATATACATACATATACATACATATACATACATATACATACATATACATACATACATACATACATATACATATACATACATATACATACATATACATACATATACATACATATACATACATATACATACATATACATACATATACATACATATACATACATATACATATATACATACATACATACATACATACATATATACATACATATACACGCATTTACATACATATACATACACACACATATGTATATATTATATTAATTTATATTATATTATATTATATTATATTATATAAATATAAAATACACATGGGGGGGTACCATTGGTGCTATCTCAGCTGAGCCTTGCCATGCCTGGTAGGATTTCACCACAACGACATCGTGGTCTCCTTGCTGCAGCGGTTCCCGGCAGGGCGTCCGGAGCTGCTGATGGTGGAGGTGGGCACGGCAGCAGCGGATTTCACCGTGCACGTCTTGAAGGCCCTGGTGCAGGTGCAGGCGCCAAGCGCCGACTAGGCTGGGGGAAGGTGTGAAACTGGGTGAAATGATGGAGATGTGGCAAGCCATTTAAAGCCCAGGGAAACCCGCAGACTAGGTGTTTCTTTTTTTTAAAAATGAACATGCGTTTACCATCCAATATGATCCAATTCTTGAGCTACCCATTGGTGAAAAAGGGTGATGTGCTGGGATGGAATGGAATATGACCATCAAACATTTTGGGATTGGACACGATGCAATTGGATACAATTGGGTGAATAGCTTCGGTATTCCCCCCAGATACAGTCGATAGTGAAGGCTTAACGATAGGTCAATGATTACTCAAAATGTGACGGTCCTGACGGTAACTGAGTAACTGTTTTTAGGAGCTACTGGATACCAGGTTCTTGATCCATTCGCATGTTGAGTGTAACTCGTGAACCTAATATCTTATGCACGTTTCAAAGCAATGCTGCTTCATGCTGGTTCGAATTGGCTGACACCTCTTTGCTTTCAGGGTCATGTGAGTACTGTAAACTATATTAATAACATAATAACCATGATTGTTTTCTTCGTATATCTTGTATCACTGTATCATCACTAGAATCACTACCATTATGTCATTATGATGATTCTCACCATCATCATCCTCTTTTGCCGCCGATGTTGTTCAGGTCATCACCATAGACCCTTGGCTCAATGACTTCAACAAGACCGACGGGCCAGGCACGGTAACGGAAGATGCCAACTCATCTCTCTACCTTTATCTTTAATTATTTTATTTATTCATGTGCTTATTTTGGACTAGGCTATGTGTATATATGCAGAAACATATACACATTATATATGCACATATATATATGGATATTTATATTATATATATATTTATATTTGTATATATATATATATTATATTTATTTATTTTTATATGTGTATATCTATATCTATATATATATATATGTATGTATATATATATGTACATACACAAACAATATAAAGTAAACGTGTATGGATGGTGATTCAACTTTCACCAGGTCCTGGTTTGTTGGTGTCGACCTTGGCGCGCCAAGCGCTGGAGCCTTGGGGCTCCCGGGTGACGCTGCTGCAGATGACCGGGGAGGCGGGGATTTCGGGGTGGAAAAAGGTGAGGAATTTCAGATCATTTTAGCAACAAAGAGGGTGTTTTACTGGAAAAAACAATGTATATATACATAATGATGTATATAGTATATACTTAGTCTACGTCTCGCCTTTGGCTCAGCTGAACTCCTGCAGAGAAATTTAAATGGATTCCACGCGGAACATATGGATGGAAACATGAGAAGACTTGGGGGTTTCACCTGCTTTTAGAAAGAAAACGGGAATTCACTGGGAACACTGCTGAGAAAGTGTGGCAGCAATGGAGTTAGTATTAATAATTTGCAAATCATGAAGGCTGACCAACAATGCCCGATAGGTGAGAAAAGCTTACAGCTGCAGCAATGAACCCTTACCAGCCAAGAACTTTGGCAAGCTAGAGTCCCAAACAAATTATTTTGATTATCATGTCGCCCCAGCTAGCAGTTACAAGTTGTTTGTCTGAGAGTAGGGCGCCCCCAACATCTCATGGTTGGTTGAGTATGATTGATGATCAGTCATTCTCCCATTAGAGGTACCCATCAAGTGGCGGGCACACCCAAATTTTCACACATACTCAGTCTGATAGATTAATTATGTTTCATCCCAATGTTGATGTTAATCATGGCTAATCCCAATGTTGATGGATAAGATCACATTTTGATGCTTAAACCACAATGTTTCGATGTTTCTTCGATGTTTCCCAGAGGGCTCCTTTCGGCTCTGCCCAGGACGCAGCGAAACTGCTGCCCGACGCAAAGTACGATTTGGTCTTCATTGATTCCGGCGCCCGGGAATGGCACTGAATGGCACCGGAAATTATTGGATGATTTTTGGATTATGATGACCTCACTGGGAAGCCACTGTAATGATGGTTAGTAAGGAATCGAAACATTATGGAAAATTATCCCCATATGGCCGAACTTTTCAGGTTAGTGAATTATTCTAGTTCAGGCAGAATTGTTTGGATTAAAATTATGATCAGAGTATATCAGAATTGGTTGGAGAATATTTTTACGATCCTCCTGGATCAATGCATGTACACATGCGTCGGCGTTCCACTAGAACATGTTACAGCAATGCATTGCCACCGCATCTTGAAAACCTTCAGCAACCCAGCCAAAAACCATGTGCCAGGTTCAGAGACGCAGTTAACCCATCTTTGATCCAAATGGTCCCATAATTTAATGCTGGAAATGCCTGAAATCCTGGAACCGAAGTCGAACCGAAGGTCTGCATCGGGAAGGCGATGTGAGATCCTTCCTGCCTAAGGCCTTTGGTTGCGAGAAAGAGAGAGAGATTTAAACCATACTAAACGATGCCTGTGAATGTGGGTAAAGAATGGTAAAGATAGGTGTTTTTTTCCCGTCAAGTTGGTGATCCCCATGAGATGTTTCATGTTGCATGTGCTGTACGCCTGACGCTTGTGCAGGTGCGGCCAGGTGGCGTCCTTTGTGGCCATGACTTTTACAAGACCCCCGCCTACACCAGGGCTATACTCGCCAGTGTTCCGGAGGGAAAGGCCTTGTATTTGGGTCCCTTGCCTTTCTTGGCTGGGGCAGTGACGCTCTCAAGGGTACGTCCCTGCATTCTGCATGATAAACATGTGCAAGAACATGTTTGCTTGCAAGAGTCCCGCAAATCCATCCATTTCATCCAGATGTTCCTTCGTCTAAGGTCCTGATTGGATGTGGTGGTTTGAGGTGTAGACAAAGACACTTGAACTTGGCACTCGACACATCTACCTGCAGTTGGACAGAGCCGCGCACTCTGATGCGTTCATCCTGAATATTCAGCGATCAACTGCATCACCGTGGGTTGTGATATTGCAAGGTTTCCTCCTGGGACCCGAGCTTCCGACATGCGTGCCAAAAGCGAGTTGTTGCAACGATCTCCTTGCAAGAATTCAAGAGGGCTGAACACATGCCTCAAATCGGACAAAACGCATGAAGAATTTCATGTTACTTCAGGCAACCCAAGCGGTATACCCCAAACCCACGGGACCCACGGGTTATCATGATATATCCTGCTTCTCCATCAAAACTGCCATTTTCGGGTGAGCCCCATTTTTCCCGTGAAAGCCCATTTGGTCAACCGGGTAAACTGCTCAGGTTTGGCTCTACCAGTATGACATCTCTGGTGGTTTGGCGGCTTGGGCTGCCCCTGCCGCTTGGATGCCAGACATTCTGCCGGGTAAATTGTAACGACCTCAAAACGACCCCGCCCTAGATGATTTCAACGGGGCGGGATTATCCCGAAATTCGCTTCTTCCAGGTTGGTGAATTAATTCTAAGTGACCCGGATTCTGACACCATGTGTATGAGCCTGATTTTTTTGCACTTTTTTTTTTGAGCCATAGCAACCTCCCTGCGCCACCAAGGTTGCCATGTTTCAGTCTGTGGAAGGGATTTGGCCTTCACCTCAGAGGATGAAGCTGAAGGCTGAAAGGTGGGGGCAACATGGAGCCGTGAAATAACCCTTTTTCAATGGCTTCTGAAATCATTTTCAAAGCCAGATCTTTGGGGCTGGGCTTTTCATCCCTTGTTTTTGTCTCCGTTGAATTTGGCGCTTCTTTGGTTGGTGAGATCCTACATTATGTATATATATATTTTTATTAATTTCAATTTCTTGCAAAGGTTATTTGACGCGAAGCAGTGTAAAAAACCAGGTTTCCGGTGTAGATTTTCCTGAGGCATACTGGTATCATTGTCTTTGGCAAAGAGTACTGGTGCCTTTGACGAGTTTCCACGGGGGTGGTGGCAGAGGGTGCGAAGGTCCTGCAGAAGGTGTGCCAAGGCTTGGGGACAAAAAAAAGACACACATATTAGCGTAGAATAACATAGATAAATGGCTAGACAATACTAGATCGATAAAGACTGATAAAGACTGTAGAGATTTTGACTTTTTTAAAGAATCAATCATCCGTTGTTTGGTTTGTAATTACTCACGTTCCAGCCCCTCACACCCACACATGCACACACATATTTAATATATATATATATATACATATGTCTATATATATAAATACAGTATCCGCACGTATGTCTGATAACATGCGTAAACATATATGTGCAAGCACACACACACACACTAATGTCACACACTCCTCAATCTCGTCCCATGTCTCCCCTTTTGAAAGCAAATATAATACTTCCCCTTCTCCGGTGTACACGTACTCATGGACATACATGTCTATGTGTACATGTTAGTGTGCATTTCTTCGTATTGAACTTGTCATACCGCGCTTGCAAGCCAGGTATGGAGGTCAGTGCTTCGAAAGCAAGCCTGAGTCCACACCCTTTGGAACCCCCTTGAAGAGAAGCTATTTGGGCGCACGGAAGCCCAAGGATGAAACATTTCTCCTTTAGATCCTCAGAGGTCACAGCATTGAGTTGACGTCAGGGGGGCTCATGGCTCTCAACATCAAAGAACCGCTTTTGCCGTTTGTTCTTCAGCTTGTAACGTACGAAGCCAGGCAAATCCAGTGCATGTCAGATCATTTCTCCTACCAACACCGGGTTAGGACCCCCAGACTCCTTGTTGCTTGCAACTGCACATGGAGGGACAGAAAACGCTGGAAGTGCTTTGTAACAAGGGCATGGCATTTAAAATAAACTTCTATTTTGGCACTGGCTCAACAATTGACCTTACAACTTAGATGCTTAAGACAAATGTGGTTCAAAATTGCCAACCGCAAATTTCACACATATATGTGTATATATATATATATATATTTAGTTTCATCAGAACGCCACATCATAAGACACTTGTGCAGCAAAGGATCTTTGACTGCGGGATGAGGTGCTTGGTTTTTGAAGATGCTCATATAGTACTCAAACTCCAGAATTTCTGGGTCCATTGGTGTCCCAATTTGTTTGAGCCTACCCATCACCCAATATGCTAGCTATACACGACGATGCTTCTCTCTAGTCCTCCGATGAGCGGCGCCCGCAGTGCACGCACTGTGGCCAAAGCGTGTTCACCACGCATCGTGGCAATCCGAAGCCTCTCTGGGCTATGTGTGGCCGCAACGTTGCCAAGCTGGGATCGTGCGGCGTTTTGGGCATGGTGTGCATTGGTTGAGTTTTGGTTGGGACTTTTAAGGTATACAAAATCATGGGTTCTACCACCCATAGTAGGGAGATGAATGGGGATACAACCAAACTTGATGTTTGGGTGTGGACCTTAAAATTCAAGATGGGGGATCTACTGTCCCCATAAAGTGGACACTTGAATGGCAAAAGGATCATCAACCTTATGAACCCACCATTCTTGGCTGCTTCTCATCCACTAATGGATTGGTTTAAGGGAAAAATTACCGGAAAGCCTCATATTCCGTGGGAAAATCTATGGAAAATCTGTAGATCTTCCATTGGACCAATCCATTGAGCCATCAGCCGAGGCTTGTGCTGGTTCTGGGCTCTGCGGTGACACGCTACAGATACACCGAGCCTTGCGAGCTGGGCGATGCGGGCGTGTCGCAGGTGCTGGTGGCTGGGAGTTCTGGTGGCTGGTTACATAAAGAATGGTATATTACTGGGATATTCATGGATATTAATGTAGTAATATACCAGTAATATGGATATTACTATCTATTAATGGATATTAATGGGATATTAATGGGATATTAATGTAGTGGTGGAGAATAATGGTAATAGTATGTCATAGTTCATTGCCCACTTTTGAAAAATGGCTAGAGGTTATGTCTAAGACACAGGATTTAACATGATGTAACAATTTATGACCCAGTCGGTTACCCTCTGGTCATCAAACATGGCTTGCTGGATCTAGCTCTAAACCTCCAGTTAGTTGGTCGATTTTCCAGCTAGCCATGTTTGAATACCGGAGGGTAACCGCCAAAACTGGGGGATTTAACAAACATTGGCGCGGGAGTGGAAGTCTTGTGTCAGAGTCATTGCTTTTTGCATACTCTTTACCTTTTGGAAGAGAATGGGAATTTAAGCATCACATAATGGGGATAAAAAATCACGTGTTTCTATCTATCTAATTGGGTGTGTGCCTGAGGATTTAAATACATTGTATAGACATGATGAACAACAATCAGATTCAGGGCGCCATGTTTCAAACAACTCCGCCGAATGGGGTTTTACTGCAGGGAAGTCAGCCACTTTGGAGATTTCAGCAGCCGGCCCCGTAAGCAGCGAAGGTTAGAGGATCTAACACGGAACCAAGACATCGCCATTTCCAGTCAGAAAAATCCGCTTCCAAAGCCATATTCAAGTTTCACCCGACCGCTGCCGCATTCCAGGCCCTTTTTGACTACATGTGCCTTGGTTCAGCTCGGCTCTATGCGAAAGCTGCTCTGGTTCAGAGTTGGGGGGATGAATCATTGACAAGTTAATTTATTCATGTTGATAATCGATAGGGTTCCATCAAAAAGCCCTTGTCATGCAATTTCGAAGAAAGTATGTATATGAATCTGCAAACACATTTGGAACACATACTGAAAGTGGCCTTCAGGTCCTTTTATAGCTGCTCCGCGCTGCTACCCCGAGCTGTAAAGGTGGGGGATCAGGAGTGGGCAAAGTATCTATACAAGCTTGAAACCGAATTGGGCCGTGTATGGAACAGTGGGAAGTTTTTTCGGGTCCAAGTTGAATGTGGGGTGTACAGTGCCCGTTTGAGGGGTCCAAGCCGCCAAGCCGTTCCATTTTGGAGTCTTGCAACTATGGAGTTCCCCCATGACCAAGAGGATACCAAGAGGCAGCCAAAGATGGCAATCAATTGTAATACTCCCTGATCTTTTTGAACATGATGGGCTGGCCATTACTGGTTATATCTGGCTATGGGTCCCAAATTCTTGGCTCAGCCTTCAGCTAAGCCTTGCAGGCAGTCTTCCTGCTGCTATGGTTGGCGCTGCTGATCAGCATGCTGGTCGCGGGCCCCAGCTGCTCCCTGGTGAACCCACTCCAGATCCATGGAGAGCCTTGAATTTTTTGCCTACGAGAAATTGTGGGATGTTCACTGATGTTCACCAAAAAATCCTGGATGTTTGGGTTTAAATCTGGGTCCCAGACCACAGACCCAGATTCAATCACAGCAGTGGTGATGCCTTCAGGCCAGCACCGCGGACGATTACTTCGTGCCGCAATTGGAGGCTCTATCTGAAAGATTGGGTCTGCAGGAGCAGCTGGGAGGGGAGCCAGCAAAGAAATCGCCTTGAGTTACTTCACCTAATCTACATAGAGTTTCATTTTATTCTTTAGCAATTGGATGTGCTATCAGAAGTTCCACTTCTTTCTCTCAAAAATCCAAATTCTTGGATAAACAATGATCAACATTGGATTTCACTACATTATCATATTTTATTTTCATATATTATCAACAATGTATATGATATAATTAATCTCTCTCTCTCTCTCTTGACTCTGTTGGTATGTTTTATATTGTGCACACCCCCTCGCTGAGCCAAACCCTGCAGGAGGACGTAGCAGGGGTCACTCTGCTGGCGCTGGGCAATGGCATGCCGGACGTGATGACGGCGTGCAGCTCAGTGAACAAGGACCGGCTGGGATGTGGTAGCAGGGAGTTGGGGAATGGAGATTTTGCTTAAGACCAATGATTTTGGAGAAGGTCAATTGTTTTCCATCTGTATATCTGTATATATATATATCATAGCTCTCTCTCTCTCTCTCTATCTATATAGTTATGCATTTAAATACGTATAGATACACACACGCGCATATCTAAATTTTAGTGTACGCAGTTTTAACGAACTAAATCAATCCACCACCTTTGGGAGGTAGGGCCGACATCACGCGCAGGCGAATGATCTTCCACTGACGATGGGCGAGTTCCTGGGTGCGGCCAACTTTATCATTGTCACTTGGTCAAAATAATTCAGAATCCCAAGAAAAATAAGAAAAGGTTAGGGTACCCTCTGGTAAACTAACATAGCTCTGGAAAATCACATTTTTTTTGTGGGTAAGTCAGCTATTCACCCCGCTTCGCGTGGGGTGGCCGCCCACACCGCAGGTTTATTTCGGTCCGTGAGAGGGGCTAAGGGTGGTTTTCCCCCGTCAAGCTTCCCCAAGCTAAGAATTTTCACTTTCCCCCCCCGTGGGGGCTCCCCAAGCTAGGGAATTTTCACTTTTCCCCCCCGTGGGGGCTCCCCAAGCTAGGGAATTTTCACTTTTCCCCCCTGTGGGGGCTCCCCAAGCTAGGGAATTTTCACTTTTCCCCCCCGTGGGGGCTCCCCAAGCTAGGGAATTTTCACTTTTCCCCCCCGTGGGGGCTCCCAAGCTAGGGAATTTTCACTTTTCCCCCCCGTGGGGGCTCCCCAAGCTAGGGAATTTTCACTTTTCCCCCCCGTGGGGGCTCCCAAGCTAGGGAATTTTCACTTTTCCCCGCCGTGACAGCTTCCCAAGCTATGGAATTTTCACTTTTCCCTCCCTTGGAGGCTCTCCAAGCTGCGGAATTTCAAATACCTAGACAACGACGCCTAGATAGTCCCCCAAATCCCGTGTTCTTTGAATGTGTTTTCCATGTTTTTGCAATGGTTTCCTTCAAAGCACGGTACTTTACACTTTTGTCGCCATAAAACCGGTCGAAAACATCATGTTCGACAATGCTTCCAATTCCCTTATCTCCCCAACCGTTGAAAATACCGCTATTTACAGTGTTTTCTTCAATTTTTCCATGTTCCAATGCCGGTAGCCAAGTCCAACATATATATATATATAAGAAATCCTTGCAAGACATTGTGTTTGACAGTGTTTTTCCAATGTTTCCAGTCAAACAGACGGTAATATACACGTTTTTTGCCATAAAGGCAGTAAATCCTTCCAAAACATTGCTTTTGACAGTGTTTTTGTAATGTTTCCAGTCAAGCATACAGTAATTTACACGTTTTTTGCTATAACGTCAGTCCAAAACACTTGTTTTTGCAGTGTTTTCAATGCTCTGGCATCCAAAAACCCTGCAAAATCTTGCTATGTACAATGTTTTTTTCATTTTTGGCCGTTTTTCCATTGCCGGAAAGCTACCAAAATGACCCAAAATTCCATTTCAATACCCTCTTGCGCTCAGACACCCAAAAATCCTCGAAAAATGTCGAAAACACCACCGTATTCTGGTCTCGGTGCGAAACCGTTTTTGGGGTCTGGTCTCGGTGCGAAACCGTTTTTGGCCCCCCCCCCAGCTAAAGCTGATATAGCGACTGCTATATTAACAAATGTCATTGAGCATTTAGTGTTGCTGTTGCCCCCCAATAAGCACGCCTTCACCGCCAAAGCGGTGTGGGCGGATTTCTATGGCTATTTTCAATAGCTATGTTAAATTACCGGAGGGTATGTCCCATGTCCGCAAAAGAACACAAGATGGAAACTGGATCCAACATAGACAAGATTAGAGAGTATAGATGTGTTTTGCGCGACACCGGTCGCACCTGGAGTCCTCTATACACCCAGACCAAGGCCTGCCCACAATAGCACGACATCCCAAGTCAATCTATATAAATGTGGCATCAGCTTTTTTTATGCATTCATCCAAAACATGTCATCAACGTCACCCAACAACCTCCTCTGCCAAGTCACCCATAAAATTCAGCCGTCTTCAGGTTTCGCATCATTTTGCGGCATTTCTCGATGTTATACACCCTGAAGTTAGTGGGTGGTTAGCCAATGGGATGGCACCCTTGATAGCCTCATGACCACTGAGCATATCCCAGTTGGAAAAGAGTTACTGGAAATGTCGGTTGATGCTCGCTCATCTCTTAGTGACTCGCCATGCAACCCACAATACTTGGAGCATCCCACCTAGTAACCCGCAAAGTAAGTTTGCTTTCGATAGTTTGCAAGCAAGATCCGGCTATTGTAGTCAGTTTCTCCATCCTCCCAGTGACTTCAGTTGGGTCCAAACAAATTCGGGAACAAATTCGGGCATATAGCATACCATGACAATTCAATGTTTATTGGCTCTCTCCGAAATAGTCGGTATACCCATAACATGGCTATCTAATGTTCATTGGCTGCAAAATAGTAGGGATTAGTATGGCCATAAAATGGTCATTTTCTTCTGGGGAACCTGATTAATTAATGTGGTACACCCAATAATAAACTATCCCAAATATCATAAATGGACGGCAACTATCATCCCCAATGGTAGGTTTATGGCATTCGGTTTCCCACATCATTGTTGCTAATTATTATCCACTATTAGCCGCTATAAACAAGTATTAACTGTTAATTATGAACTATGAACCACACATTTATAATAATGACAAACATATCCTAATCATTCACCAAGATTATCAACCTAAGATCTTAGAATACGTGAACAATTAATTACTAGCCACTAGTAACCACTATTAACCATGATTATTCACCATCCCCAAAAGATGGTGCTTCGCCATGGAGGTCTTTGTCTTCGCCTGTGTGTTGCTCGCCTCCCCCGGTCCCACCGTGGTGGAGAGCTGGCCCTTTCTGCGCGACTCCTCGATGTGGCGAGTCAGCCATGAATATGGAGGAATGTTTTTATACTGTTTTAGTAGTACAATGTATATTTGTGTGTATACATATGGTATGGTATGTATGGTTTAGTACAGGTATATATATATATAGACATATCTATGCATGTGTACATATGGTATGGTAATGTATGGTTTAGGTATGTTCGGGTTTATATGTTGCATGGCCACGCGACTGAGAAGAGGGGCACGGAGTTGCTAAACTGGTGAAACGAGCCAGGTGTGTTTAAGCTTCACCCCAGGAATCATGTAGATCACCTGAGGTGTTTGCATGTTTGTAATCATTTGTTTCAAAGACACGAGAGGACTGGTGGGCACATGTGAGAGGCTGCGGCCTTGAATTTGAACATTGGCAGCTACTTGTGGACCGCTGCCATTTCAACTGGATCAAGCTCCAGTGTATCACGCGTTTTTTTTGCTCCGTGCGGAGCATCCTCATGCAGCCGCAAATTGTCAAAGAGGACTCTGGTTCTGGTTTGGGCTCCCCTGATGGCAATGACATTCTCCTGGAAGAAGAGACATCCGAGCTGCCCAAAAGCATCCCTGGCCGTAAAACAGGGCTGGTGGATTTCATGTCCAATCTGGATGTATCGCATGTAGGTGGCGCTCGGCGCTGATCAAACATCAGGGAATTGTTTTGAGGGATTTTGACAAGATATATATATATATAAGGATATATTTGTATGGTTGCAGTGGTTTCCTATTTTTTCATCCCAAAGAAATCCATTGACAAAATGTACCAGCGCTGAAACCTGCTTCCCCCCCGACCCTTTAGGTGTTGCTCGAGCGATTCCAACCTACGCAGCTTTGCAGGGTATTGGAAGCGCATTTCGAAACCAAGAGACTGAGCTCCTCTACAGAATGAGTGCTGCTGGGCGCAATCCTTGCAAATCTTTGAATCCGTTTGGTCAAGAGTCAAGGATTGGCATGGATTTCCACTATATACTAAATTGACATAAGCTGATCATGTAGCACCAGTGCTGAAATCATTTCCTTCTGCTTTTTTTTGGGGGCATGAATCCGGGGGGCATAAATCCATCCCTCCTCCATCCGTTTTTTCTACCTGGATCGGCTGATCAGTCACTACTCATTGAGGTCAGGACGGATGAATTCGATGAGTTCTGGCCCCTTGGCATATGTATCTCAGAGGGCCTGGCTTGTTCTGTTAAGAAACCTTGGTTTGACGTGCATCGTCTCAATAACTAGGTTTTATTTTATGGTGTATATATCTATAATTAAGTTCGGCTTATAACCAACTCATAATTGGAGTTAGTGAGTGGCTAATGATCATTTTTGCACTTATTTCCGAAGCAACATCACTAACTGAAAGACTTACCGATTGGGATGTATCCCAAGTTGGCGAAGTTGGTTTGATACTGCTTTCATTTTTAGCCATAGATATAGATGGCATTTGCTAAACCCAAAAATAAGCCCATAAGAACTAAGACCCCATGGACGTGGCTATGGTTTCCTCATGGTGTGTTTACCTTAAGGAGGATCCCATTGGTCCCACTGCATGTCAGGATCGTTGTCGGATAGAAATTTTCATCATCATAAATCTGACACGCCCCTCCACATGTACTACATTTTACTACATTTTACTACATTTTACTACATTTTACTACATTTTACTACATTTTACTACATTTTACTACATTTCTAGAAGTACTAGTTGCAAGATTCCCATATTCCCATACTCCATTCATTGGACATGCTTGGTTTCATGTTTTTTTTTGACAAGTGCCACGGGTGCCTGCCGAGGTCGCACTCTTGGCAGTTGTCGCCTTGGCCCAAAATCATCTGTCTGCTGTTTCTGAAGAATGGCCTTGCAGCGGGGCTCACCAGTGCCCTGGGCCATCCGGGGGAATAGATCATGATCATGACCGAAAAAACACCACATTTTTCAGGTTGACATATGCAATATGAATAAATAAATATATGTAAGTATACATACATACACACGCACACACACATATATGTATATATATATATATGTATGCACATGCAAATGTAAACGTTATTTCCGTTCGGGAAAATGGCACATGCATCCAATTTCCAAGTTGCGACTTGGACTACGAGATACAGGCTGAGGTTTGGCTGAGGTTGGCTGCGGTAGGAAAAACTTGAACTTCAGTGTGTCACCTGCCAGTAAAATTTCATCTGCTGCCACCTCCTACCGGGCTGTAAATAAGAAGCATTTAAATCAACTCAATGGATAGAAAATGGACTGATATTTGTTTGTCTGTTGCATGAACACACAGAGATATACTGTTTCTATATATTATATATATATACCAGTAGTACCGCACAGGGCGGTGGCGGAAGTTTCAAAAAGAGGAAACCTATGGGAGAGGTTCGTTGTTGTGATGCATGGATGGCAGAGCGAATCCACTGATGGACCGAAAGGTGGTTGGAGTTGTGTTTTTTGGAGTGGTTGCAATGGTTGCAGTGATCACCTCGCCACAACTGCTGTATGTAGTGTTGTGTAGTGCAGTTATAGTTGTAGTTGTAGTGTAATATAATTAGCGTAGTGTAGTTGCAGTTGCAGTTGTAGCTGTGGTATGGCGTAATTTGTGTCGTGTAGTGTAGGGTACTGTAGTAGTGTTGTGTACTGTAGTGTGGCATAGTGTAGTGTAGTCTAGTGTAGTGTAATGTAAAGTAGTGTAGTTTCAGTTGTATTTGTGGTGCAGTGTAGTTTGCGTAGTGTAGCGTGGTGTTGTGTAATATATAGGGTAGTTGTAGTTGTATTTGTGGATGCAGTTGTACTCCGGGGTGTACCAGGCGCCGAAAACAGTAGTTGCGCCATGTACTTTGGCCCCCGGGGGGGCCAACATACATGGCGCAACTCGCATTATTATAGCGTGCGCACCTGAGCCATCTTTTTCCCACGCAAAACGGCGAATACATATTTAGTATTCGGCCAACATGTTGATTCTGTGGAGCTTTTGCGTCTGGGTTGTGTGCAGTTTGGTCATGCTTGCCACAGCAATAGATGGCGCAACTCCAGAAGCACACGGGGAACCTCCCCATATTGCAGCCACATAGATGGCGCAACTCACATGTCATTGGCCTATTCATGTGAGCACTCTCTCCCACAAAAATCATGCACGTGTTCCACCAAATCGAATGCACAGTAGATGGCGCAACTGGGCCACAAGAACCACCTATGTGCTTGGAGCTGCGCCAGCTTTGGCAATAAGGGTAAACATGACCAAACTGCACGTACCCGGTTGCGAAAACTCCACAGATTCAACATGTTTGACCGAAGACCAAATATGTATTCGCCTCTGTTGCATGGGAAAGTAGGCTCAGGTGCGCGCGGTATATTACAGTAATGCGAGTTGCGCCATGTACCAGTACGGCGCAGCTACTGCAATCGGCGCTTGGTACTTTCACCCCAGGGCTAGTTTGATGTGGATATGCTTTGCGACAAAACCTCAAGAAACCAAAGAAAAAACACACAAGCGTTTTCACACCGTACTATACTCGACAGATCGCAGGGGGAAAAGGAAGGAAAACATGGCGCAGAATCTACTCCACAAATTTCATTAAAATTTCAGCCACATCATTTGCACATTTGGATGGAATCTGCAGGCATAAGTAGATGGCGCAACTCCCAGTGCGGCGCCATCTACCTTCACTTGGGCAGATTTCGTTTTTTTTCTCAGATTTCGTTTGTTCCAAATACCGGTGTCCGCGCCATCTATTAAGTGCCCGGAAAAAGTGTTTTCTGCGCCTGGTACTTTTACCCCGGTGTAGTTGTAGCGTATTGTAATGCAATTAGTGTAGTGTAGTGTTGTGTAATGTAGTGTTGTTGTGTAATGTAGTGTAGTTGTAGTTGCGTTTGTATTTGTAGTTGTAGCGTGCTGCAGTTTAATTAGTGTAGTGTAGTGTAATGTAGGGTAATATATTCGCATTTGTATTTGTATTTGTAGTTGTAGTAGCAGTAGTAGTAGCAGCAGTAGTAGTAGTAGTAGTAATAGTAGTAGTAGTAGAAGTAGTAGTAGTAGTAGTAGTAATAGTAGTAGTAGTAGTAGTAGCAGTAGCAGTAGTAGTAGTGGCAGTTGTAGTTGTAGTTGTAGTTGTAGTTGTCTATCTATTTATTTATTTATTTATCTATCTATCTATCTATCTAGATCTATCTAGATCTATCTAGATCTATCTAGATCTATCTAGATCTATCTAGATCTATCTAGATCTATCTAGATCTATCTAGATCTATCTAGATCTATCTAGCTATCTATCTATCTATCGATCTATCTATGTATCGATCTATCTATCTATCTATCTATCTATCTGCCTAGCTGCAGAACTGAAAATGAAGCTCTTCTCCGAGATTTCCTCAGTTTTTGAACTTGACAACATCAAAAACGCAGCAATTCTGCGAGGCTTCTTCAATTTTTGAACTTGACAACGTCAAAGACGAAACAATTCTGCGAGACTTCCTCAATTTTCGAAGTTGACAATATCAACAACGAAGCAATTCTGCGAGACTTCCTTCAAAATTGGAAAGTTGAGTGCAGAGCTGACGGCCTCGTACCAATGCGTTTTGCGATTTTTCCATTCCATCTGTCTAAAGTACTGCACCTGCCACGAAAAAGTGAGGCTAGGTCATACGAAGTGTTGCACCTATCACGCAAAATAATCTTAGCAAACCTGAAGATCTCATGCTCCAAAATGCAACCCCTCTCAGGAAATCAGCGCCCTGACCTCCTAACATCTCCGAAGAACATGTCTCTTGTACTGCGCCTGCCACGTGAAATGCATCTTCGCAGATCCTCTTCAAACGCTCCGCGCCTGCCAACGTTTTTCACTTTTGCGCCTGCCACGCAAAACGACATCTGAACGTCCAAAAGTGGTCCGAACATGTGTTGTTTTTACCATTTCGACTTCGAAATGTGCTTCGCGCCACAACGGCGTAAACTTTTTTCGACAGCTCAATTCCTAAAAGTGCTCCGAAGCTGAGGTGTTTTGTACATTTTGACTTCGAAATGTGCTTCTCACCACAACGGCGTGCATTTTTTCGACATCTCAACTTCCAAAAGCGTCCTGGGAATGGCGTGTTTTGTACAGTTTGACTTCAACATGTGGTTCGCGCCACAACGGCGTGCAATTGTTTATCTCTCATCTCCCCAGATGGCTCCCCTACCGCTTTAGCGAGCCTACTTTTCGACCCTCCGGAGCCACAAATCATTTGAAAAACACAGTGTTTTGCGACTTTGCTACCTTTTCGCGCACCTGCATCTTCTTTCTTCTGACTCTTTCTCTGCTCTGATCTTCTTTCTGCTGACTCTTTCTCTTCTCTGACTCTTCGCACCTCTTCTTTTCCATCGGTCCATGTTGTCGGAAGTTTGACTTCTAAACTTCCTTCAATTAGGTGTGAGTCAGAAAGCAGCTGCTTTTTGTCACACCTCCAGGCAATGTTGCTGCTCTCACTGGCTGCATCCTCTCGTACTTCGGAGTTCTGCCAGTGGTTTTCGGAGACTCTACAGCCATGCCGTCGCTAGGTGTTGGTGGTGTGAGCCCAAGCCAGCTCTTCCAGCATTGTTCCACCCAAACTCATCAGCCACACAAAATCCAAACAACCTAAGTCCAATCTCTTCTGAGGGTATATGCCTGGTGCTGAAGGAGATTTTTTATTTTCCAAGAGATTACTCCACCATTCGGTATGTGAATCTATGCCAAATCTATGCAGCACATTTTTAGTTTTGTTTGGGCCCCTTAAGCACATCCAAGTAATATGTATAATATTGTATAACATCCCTGGTTTCAGGGGCTGAAACCATGGTGTCCCGAGGTGCTATTTGTGGAGCCAGCTTGGTGGCATCCTGTGCTTCTTCCCGGTGCTGCTCCTGTGGCGACGCCACGAAGCTTGGCGGACATGTTCAACAAGTGGAACAGTAAAATGGTGCTATAAGGGTTTACCCCAGGTATAGGGTTTAGGGTCTACGGCTGTTTGACACTAACATTGCTTCGTGTTGCTTCTCAACCCTTTGTTTTGCGGTTCTCTTGTTTGGTTTGTTTGTCAGTTGATTGGTGTGTTGCTTTGTTTTCTCTGCTGCTCATTTGTGTATTCCTTTCTTTGTTTGTTTGCTTATCTGCCTTTGTGTGCTTGTTGCTTTGCGGACTTCCCGCGGGTTTTCCCTGCCAAAGCCTTGAGCGCATGTTCGGGATGGATAGAGGCCACCCTACAATTTTCGCAGGTGAATTATCACCAATTCGAACCACAATTATAGCTCCAAGTCTACCTCCAAGCTTCCGGTTGAGGAAATCCACCCTAACTCATCTCCCAAAGTCCGATCCCATCATTGGCCAAGGACCGCATCTTTCTAGACGCAGGATGCATCAACCAAAGCACCCCCAAGGCCAAGACCGAGGGCATCCGCAGCATGGGCGGACTCCTGCGAATGTCTCGTAGGATGCTGGTGCTTTGGGACGTGACTTATGTTGAGAGGCTGGGAGCCACTGGCATCCATTGGCATCCTGCAGTCATGAAGCTGATTTGATTTCAAGACACCATACCAAGATACACTAACCATCCCTGACCTGTAAATCGCTTCATTATCAAAGCGTTCTTCTTCTCATTCTACTTGCCTGTGCTGCAGCCATTTCTGTTGCCACAGGCTCTGGTGCATGTTTGAACTCGCTGCTTTCATGAAGAGCCGTAGCCAGCCAAACACTGACGACGTGGTGATCCGACCCACGCTCTTAGGCGGGCTCTTGGGTGGGAAGGGAACAAGTTGGCAACAAGTTTATACACACCCACCAGGTACCATTATCTACCTGCACACGTGGGCAGCCTACAATAAAGCAAGGAGAACACATCAATCCCATTGAGAGTATTTCTCTATGATTCGGAACATATTCGGAACCATGCCCTGGATGGCTTCCCAAATGTTAAAACATGGCATTACAGTTGCAAGCTGCGAAGGGTTGCTTGTGTTTTTGCATTTTCCAAGTTATTGGATTCCATCGGTTTAACTGTGTGCTTCATGGTCATAGAAGTCATGTGTTTAAAATTTGGTTCGAAGGTTGGTTTTGATTCGTGAATACTGAGCACGAGAATGCTGATTCTCCTATATAGTGTATGCCTTTAGTGGCATCATCTCAAGCTTGTATGCCTTCGCACCGACTCATGGTCACCATTCCATCCGCTTTCAGTTTGCGCCCAGAGTTCAAATGAGCAACTGGGACAAAGGAATGGTTCCTTGCCATCACATCTCCAGAAAGTGGAGAACGTTTTGGAATGCCACATCCTATGTCCGCGTCTTACAGTCCAAACCACATGTCCAGGCTCTTGTGCTCTGACGATTTTCGTGAGTTTTTATGTTCTGATGCTGGTGCTGTCAGTCTTGACCTTCTTCAATGACACTCGGCTTCCATGTTGGCAAAAAATGTCTTCAATTTATTTACATTGACTTCCATTGATTTCCCCGAAGCTACTTCTTCCTTTCAACAAGGCCAGTTGTAATAGTGGTGTTGGTCCCCTGATGGCACACTTCAATGCACAGAGCCAAGGTGAAAGGCATTGAAGTCGTTTTGGCGTGCTCGTGCTGTTCAATGCTGGTCATGTACTGCACGGCAGCAGTCTACCGTGGATATTTCCATTCTGTTCAGTTGTTTCACGTGCCTTAGCCATGTCCTTTGCATTCTTTTTATTTCGCATTCGCACCACAAGATCCACCAGAAACTTGAACTTCAGGGCACTACCCCTGGTAATGAAACAGTTCGCTATGGGAATTCACTATTGAACCATATTCAAACAATGAGGTGCACTAGGTAAATCATCGAACTAAATGGTGCCATGGCTCCCATAGCTCTATTGAATTATCATGGGTAAATCATTCCGTTAGATCTAGCTGTTTGCAATGCACATGGTTTCATAGCAAGCTAATAGTGTTTCGAACCACTATGGTCATTTCATGTAATATCATGTAATTTAAGAATTTTAACGGCTACCTGTGCACGCAAACTTTCATTATCATACCTCTGGTTAGCATATCCTCTGGTAAACTAACATAGCTATTGAAAATTGCCATTTATAGTGAGTTTTCCCATTAAACAATGTGATTTTCCATAGTTATGTAAACGTTTACCAGAGGGTATCTCCATTGGGATTCTGCCATATTCTCCCATTATCTCCCATTGATCAATGGCACCTTTGGATCTCAGGAGCAGTTAGCCAACTTCCGCCTGGCCGACTCGAAGTGTTACTGCTGCAGCAGTGGCCATGTTTCCAGTCGCTTGGGCGTCAAACATGAAGCTTTCAATGGGAGAATCATGATAGCTTTGATGAGAACATCATGGAATTAAAACGAACGAAATTGATTTATTTGTGATTTTTTTCCGGCGAGCCATGTTAGATTACCAGAGGGAATGTGTGCATGAGAGTGTTGCGGTATGTTGCGGTTTGGGTTCCCTTGGCTGAGCGAGAGGTTACCTGCAGGTTGAAGTAGGGCCCTTTCCTTTTCTTGGGCCTTGAACTTCCAGCACAGCCATACCTCAAAAATCGCCACCATTATGGATTCTGGGTTTCATTCAGGCTGGTTACATCCATACATTTGAAATCAAGGCCAAAAAGGTATCCAAATGTTGTATATTTACCATATCTGGTTGCTTCAGCTACCGTTCTGGCTATTTGTGGGCCTGGTTTTGGCTTGTTTTCGTCCCTGGTTCAAACCGACACACAGGTTCCGGACGCCCCATTATGTGTGACCGAGAAATCGTGACGCAATGCGTCGGCAAGTGGTTTGGCGATGAGGAGTGGAGAACCCACGGTGAATTTGGGATGATCAATTCAGCTGAGAACTGTTGACTTTCAAAACCAGCCTCCAACACACTCTTGGGCATTTGGTGCATTGAATGGGCTTTCTTGGGTTTGGGACCACCACTGGGTTCATTCCTCCTTCAGCGACGCCCGGGGGTTTCCTTTGCGCCAGGAGCAGTTTGAAGCAGCAGCGCACACCTGGGTCTCCAAAGCATTTTCGGAACAACTCGGAATGCACATGTGCCTTTGGCGGCGAATGGCTATTGCGAAACCGCCCGCCAGGAAACTGAACATTAAATACATTCAAATATTGTGTCTGACATTCATACAATTGATCAAAAGGACAAAAGGTCGTTGTTCCATTAGCCCAAGTGCTGACCAGATCCGTTTTGCAAAAAATATTTCTCTGGTGAGTTTGAAGCTTGGAGCCAGGCTAGGGGTGGGGAGTAGCTTACCGAAATCGGCCCAGCGCCTAGTTTGATCATCCTTGGTTTTTGTGCATCTGGTGGTTGTTTCTAAGGACCACGTGATTGTAGGTATATAAATGAATGCTTAATTAGATAGCTAGATCGGATTGGATTTTCTTGGTTAGATCAGATTTGATGGGATATGCAATGAAGAAGCGAGACACTATCTATCTAATCAATCAATCAATCAATCAATCTTTCTGTCTGTCTGTCTATCTATCTATCTATCTATTTATCTATATATATATATCTAAATCTATATTAGTCTATATATATATATATCTATATATCCCTCTCTTTATATATATATATATACATATATACCTATATGTAACGCGCACACACACACATGTATATATATATATGTATACACATATGGTTACATGTTTTTACATATGCATACACATGCACACATTTGTGCCTTGTTGCAGCACTGCTCCAGGTTTCCACTGTGGTTGCTTCTGGTGGTGTCATCGCCATTTCTCTGGGTGAGTTGGGATATGGCAGTGTCACATCATGCCATTGGAGATCACGAAGATGCCAATTTTTGGTTCATCGCAAGTGTGGGATATTGGCTTGGAGCTGTTCCGACATGTCTTGCTTGGGCCTTCTATGTCACTCAGCATGGGCTTATGACGGCTCTTTTTGGCCTGGGGATTAGTTCGGCATGAACTGCAAAGCGCTGTTGAAAATATTCATAATGATATTCATAGTTATATTTCCAATAATAATAATATATATATATATACAGTATGATATTAAAAATAATGCAATATAATATTTTATTAATATCACATAATGCAATATAATATAAAATAAGTAAATGAATAAATACATAAATAAATAAATAGATATCATAATATGTATATATAATATAGCACCCAGACAAGTAGATGGATGGATGGATAGGTGGATAGATGGATGGATGGATAGATCGATAGACAGATAGACAGACAGACAGACAGACAGACAGACAGACAATCAGATAGATAGATGGATAGATGGATGGATGGATAGATAGATAGATAGATAGAGAGAGAGATAGATAGATAGATAGATAGGTAGATCGATCGATCATATTCAGCATATTTATTTCCCAATTTCCCTGTCTACAAGGGGACGAGTTGGTAGTCCAAGGTGGAGGTTTCCAACACAACTTTAGGTGCTTTAGATGTTTCAGGAATCTAAGCTGGACATGGAAAACCCAAAATTTGCTACAGATGGTTTTCTCTCGAACATATCGCCTAAAAATGGATTTCCCAGCCAACCATGTTTGTTATTGTTTGTTCACCAGAGGGTTTGACCTTTAATATTCAGTACTGCTGTGTTTATGGATTTGTCATCATCATTTTTTTAATCATCATGATCCCCACTACAATAGCCATGACACCGGGGGGTCCCATTTTCAGACCCAGGTGGCGAGCAAACTTCGAACACCCTGCGGTGCACGCAGCTGGGACTGTTTGGCCAACCTACTGGTCATTGCGGCCTCGGTTCCCGTGGCGGTTGTGACCTTTGGATTCCCAGCAACTCGTCAGTCAGCGGTGTTCAAAAACCTATGACTGGTTTCATGTTGGGAACCTTCAACAGGTGGGTTTAATATGGCTTCATAATGCTTGACCAGGTTTTGGAGAGGTGCTTTTGGGTCAACTTTTTCCTTGGAGGCCCCTACTTGCTTTTCACTGTGGGGCGTTGTTGCGGAGAACGATGTCCCAAGGTTTGCGCCTATGTTCAACTGAAGGTGGTTTTTTGGGGGGACGGTCCTCTGTCGCATTCTTTATTGATTGAATAAACCTGGGGCACCCCTTGGGAACAAACCAGAGGTTGGATTCTCATCGTGTAGACTTTCCCGGCCCATCTCAGGTCCTCATGGAGAGTTTTTTTGACCAACTGGCTGTCAGCGCTGCAGCATCGAGTGCCGTTTTGGTGACGGTCGGGCTGCTGATTTGGTTTTCCAATGTTTTCCAACATGCCCTGGGCGGGTGCTGGTTGTGAGCTGAGAGCAAAGCGGTAGAATGCTCACGGGATCAAAATGAATTGCAGATGTTTACATTTTTTTGTAAGCCAACACTGCGCTCTGAAAACTAACATCAAAACTCAAAACACTGGGGTGGAAGATGAGTTTACAATTCTTGGGTTGGATTCTGGGGTGCGCAGACCGTAGGAACTGGCACGAAACCGCCTAAAAGGCTGGTGGAGGGCCAATTCCAGTACTGTGAGTGTTCAATGGCTTTTGGAATTTTATCCAGGCCAATCCGTGCAAAGACCAGGAAGGGGCGCATGAAATGGCGGCGGGTGCATCCTTGAAGAATGGAAGCATGATGAAGAATGGGATGCAAAAATCGAAAGGATTTGAAATTTGATCTGGTGGCAATCAAACAATTTTCCAGCCCATGTTTTTCTTGGTCGCGGAAATGGTTGGGATATCACCGGTTGGGACAGACAAAATCATTGTTTGCGTAGAGCCGCCGGCCCCCTGTTCTGACCTTTATGAACCAACGGATACCGAATACCCCAACATGAAACTCCCACAAAAACCAAGAAAGTGGAATTCAATCGGTTTCGTGGAAAATCATTGCTTTCACATGAAAGCCGGCAACATATACATATAACTATAAATAGAATAATTGAACACCAAACAAGTGCACATCAATATATACATACATGTGCATATATACACATACACAACATGTACTATGCGTGTATAGATAGATTAGCTTACTGTAGCTTCATTAGATGAGATTAGATTAGAGTGGGGTAGAGTAGAGTAGATTATCCTAGATAAGAGTGGAGTAGAGTAGAGTAGATAATCCTAGATAAGAGTGGAGTAGAGTAGATTAGATAGGCAGATCAGGTACATAATTCTGGGAATCAATGGCATAATGGGGCACACAAGACTTGAAAGCGTCGCCCAGCTGGTAGGATCTCGTCAGCCCAACTGAGGTATTTGCTGGTGGTACTATTCATGGTCTGTGTGACTTGGGACGGTCAAATCAGCTTCTTGGCAGTTTTGATATATTTCGATGTACTGGAGCTGATAGCTCTGTTCAAAGTCTGCACCAATCCGTCGAGAGTAGAACTGCAACGTTTTGAGACCCACGTGTCATGGTGATTTGTGTCAGCTAGCCGACGCACAGACTTTCCCAATGCGATGTGCCTCCTCCTAGTTGGCACGCAAAGGGAGCAAAGCTTGCAAAGTCAGTCCGCACACCGAGATGACATGTTGGATGAAACACAGATATTTCGCAGAGTTTGGCCATTTTCGGATGTACAACCAACGTTTGTGCTTCCCATCCTCCAGTGCTGAACCTTATTGGAATGTGAGCAGCCACATGTCTCCCTGGATGTTGGGAGCGTTTTACAGCGTCATTTGTTGCCGTCTTATTTGGCAGTTATATCAGCATGATACACCATTATCCCCATGTTTTCGCTTGTTTTAATTCCTTTTTTACCACAGTAGTTGGTCAAGAAGTTGGTTTTATTCTCCACACGTTTCTGGTTGACGGTTTCAAACCCCATAAACAGGATGATCCAACGCGATATTTTGAAAGGGATGGGTTTGTCAATGTTTATCAGTCTGACGACATCATGATCATCATGATCTCCCCGATGTTTGACATGTTTGACAGCCATTTCACAGGCATTTCACTATGATTCCATACCAGAAACCGCCAGAATTTCGTTGGATCATCCTGGTAAGCATCCCCTTGGGCATCCCCAAGGCTTGCCGGAGTCGCTGTGCTTCTTCGGTCTCTACGGCATCTACCTGGCCGTGGTGCTGCTCCCAGCCCGGCTGCGTCGCAACGATGGAGCGCAGCAAGAGGATGTGGAACTCGAGGATAGGGGATTGATCTCTGAGAGATGGGGAAAAGATGGGGAAAAGATGAGCATTTTGGGGATCAGTGTGTTGGGTATTTGGGTTTGCCTGATTTATTTTGAATTCCTCCATAAATTATCCACTGGTGGATCATCATTCTTTCTCTTGAAATGGCTAGTTGGGTGGTAGACACCTTTTCAGACACACCCATGTATACCATAGGTAATTTACATACATACATACATACGTACGTACGTGCGTACGTACGTACATAACATAACATAACATAACATAAATAACATTACATTGCATTACTTTACTTTACTACATACATACACACATACGTACGTACGTACGTACCTACATACATACATCCATACATCCATACATCCATACATCCATACATCCATACATCCATGCATCCATACATCCATACATCCATACATCCATCCATCCATACATACATACACACAGACACACAGACACACAGACACACAGACATCCATGCATCCATGCATCCATGCATCCATGCATCCATGCATCCATGCATACATTCATACATTCATACATTACATACATTCATACATTACATACATTACATACATTACACACATTACATACATTACATACATTACATACATTACATACGTTACATTACATACATTACATACATTACATACATTACATACATTACATACATTACATACGTTACATGCGTTACATACGTTACATATGTTACATACGTTGCATACGTTACATACGTTACATACGTTACATACGTTACATACGTTACATACGTTACATACATTACATACGTTACATACATTACATACGTTACATACGTTACATACATTACATACGTTACATACATTACATACGTTACATACATTACATACATTACATCCATTACATACATTACATACGTTACATACATTACATACATTACATCCATTACATACATTACATACATTACATACATTACGTACATTACATACATTACATACATTACATACATTACATACATTACATACATTACATACATTACATACATTACATACATTACATACATTACATACATTACATACATACATACATACATCCATCCATGCATACATCCATCCACCCATCCATCCATCCATCCATCCATCCATACATACATACATACATACATACATACATACATACATACATACATACATACATACACACAGACACACAGACACACAGACACACAGACACACAGACACACAGACACACAGACACACAGACATCCATGCATCCATGCATCCATGCATACATGCATACATGCATACATGCATACATGCATACATACCTACATATATATACACACACATATATATATATACACACACGCACAGACTTGTACAGCATAAATTAGATACACACTTACTCTTCAGGTGTTGAACGGAAAATTACCAATTACATCTTTTGCAACGGGAGTCCTCTCTCTATCTATATGCATCCTGGATTTGTAGTCGCGTGCTTATCCAAACATTCAAAGTGATACCCCAAATCCTCTCATTGACATTGAACTGTTGGCAGAACACCGTTGTCCTCATATGCAAACTGAAAAACGCATCTAGCTGCTTCACCAGATGGATTCTCCCCAAATTATCGTGATATATTCAACCTGGAACTCCACCAAACACTGTAAATATCACTCACATAATATCACGATGTTTCAAGGCCCTTTTTTTTGTTCTTCCCCCACCACGGCTTGGCGCCCCTTAGGAGCCAAGCAGCCCCTCAGACAGTTTCCAACCCTTGGCTTCAGAATCGGAAGCGGAGGAGGTGGGCCCCCAGGCACCAACTGCTGGGGTTTTAAGGTGGTAAAACCCAATGATAAGCCAGAATAAACCATCAAGAGTTGTGTTAATACCCCTTTTCCCAATTTCTGGTGATATTGGGGATGGTTTGTTGGCAACGGGTTCGCCACATTACCATCAAAAGTATCAAAACCTCGCAATTGTGCCACGCAAATTAAGTTTGAGGAGAAGTTTTGGAGGGCCATCAGTGAACTGGTTGGTGTCTTGACCTTGTTTTTTTCCCCATACTATGTGTCAAAATGGGGATCAACATCTATTCTACCCGATCTTGGGGGGATGAACATCCATAAATACCAGCTATTCTTGTTTACAAGTGTTGATCCACCTTCCAGGCCTTGGAACCACTGGCAGGGTTGCAGAGTAAGGGTGGTTTGAGCCTGGTGCCGCTCTCAGCTGCGACCGTAGACGCTGTAGACCTGGGTTCCGGGGGCAGGTTCTTGGGCTTAGATGATTTTGACATATTTTGAACATGTTTGAACCATTCCAAAATGACCAGAGGGAACCTCCAGACTGGTATAATAGCAGCCTTTTTGGGGCCAACTGGAGGGGTTTGCATGACTTTCTCCTCAGGCTTTGTCCACGATGGAGCTACCCTTTACTGTGGCGAGGCGCCAGCGATGGTGGCAGTGTCTAGGATACTTCCGCATTTATTTTTCACAGTCCCGGCAAGTTCAGCAATCCTTGAAGAAAAAGGAATCCAACAGCCAACATATCCAACAATTATCATTGAAAGTCATGCCCGGATCCCCCAAAAACATCCAGCCTCACCGATCCGCCAAAACCTCTCCTCGCCTCTCGTCGTATCTCTTCGTCATTTTCCAAGCCGCCAGGCACCTGTGTATCCCCTCGGCGGCCTGGAATCAACCGCGCCGAGTGCTGGCCGCGATGTGTCCCACCTTTGGGAGTCTCTTTATGTTTCTGTCCTTCGGCGGCTGGGAGGCCGGCAGAGTCTGACCAGCAACGTGGTGCCCTCTGGGTCCCCTAGCCCTGTGGTGCCCTATCGTGCCCTATGGTGCCCTATGGTGCCCTATATGGTGCTCAGGCCCAAAACCCAAGATCAAATCATTCCGCTAGGCCTTCGACGTGCCGCCGGCCAAAGTCCCGGGCTGGGCCATCTGCGGCCTCTTGGATGTCAGAGACTTGCCGTTTCTTTTGTCGCCGACATAAGGGGGGATGAATCAAATTTTGGAGGTTGCTGAGGTTGCGAGGCCGCTTCAGCCACAGTTCCTGGTTTTTTTTCCACTCACTCTGAGATGTAAAGTTTTGATCCAACGTTCTTGTGTTTGAAAATGAACCTTGTCAGTTAGGTGTCCAATTTCTCCTCCATGGCTCTTGTGGCTGATGACATGCGTTCCTTACGAGGCTTCCTGGGGATGGTACTGGGTGTGGCAGTGCTGCGGTTCTCCACTCCTGCCAGACAGCCGCGCTGGCACTTGGCGCTACTGCTCTGGGAGCTTTGGCGATGATAAAATTGGAGAATGTCGCCGATTTCCATCGGATGATATGGGACAAACTTATGAAAAAAAACATGTCAAGATGCTTCAAAAAGGGTGGACCTTTAACAGTTGATGAACAGTTTGAACATTATTGATTGATGGTAAGAATGATGAATAAGTATTTGGATGTAATGCACCGCAAAATAAAACCAGTATCAACCCAGTGAAGCTTAACATGAGGTTCATCCCTTTGCGCTCGCTTTCCTGGTTTTCAACGGTGCCTTTTCACGCCAAGAGGCGATGTGTTCGGCAGTGAGTTGGTTCAATTTCTTGGCCAATGAGTGCGTGGCAGTGCTGGAAGCCTTTGGATTGAACCTGGGCATCTCATCCTCGGCTCCTTGTCCGAGCCCTGCCCGAGCCGGCGGAGATGACCCAAGAGGGTTCAGAAGGACTTAGGTGACTTAGGGTTTTCATGGCTTTGGAATCGAAAATAGTAAACATCCAAGGAGAGCACTAGAATCACTAGAAATGATTGAACTTGATATTCAACGGAGCATAATTCAGAACAGCAATAGAAACGATGACAACATTTGTTCAGTTCAGGGCTACCGGGGTGTCTCCAGAAAGTACTCCGAATTCCCATGGTTCATCATGTTTTCCATACAAATCGCCATTTGGAGGTTATATCGTTATACCACATGTTTTCGTCATATCCCAATTGATATACTACGGACGGTACATTCCCCCCAAATTCTCATACTTGATTGAGATAGATTGAGTACATTCCCTTTGATATCTGAAATTTCTATTCTCAAAATTCCAATTTCCCATTGGTATCCCCATTCTATTCTCCAAATTCCCATATCCCATTATATAATCAAATAGAATTTATCAAGTGGATGGGTCATACCCTCTGGTAATGGTCATTCCCATATTCTGGTACTGTAATTAATAAATCCATTACCAGAGTGTATGAGAATAGAATGGGTCATAGCCATTAATAATCCCCTCTGGTAATGGATATTCCCATTCTAATGGATTTCCATATTCAAATCCCATTGATTCCCAATTGGTATCACCATTTTCATCAAAATTCCCGTTAGAATCATTAGATTCCCATTAATAATCCCTAAAAACCCAGAGGGTTTGACCCCAACACCTCTCGACTTAGGTGTTGGGCATCACCGTCTTGGCCTGGGGCAATTCGGTGGGCGATCTGGTGGCGGACACCGCCTTGGCGCGGCAAAACAGGCGGATGGAAAGGGAAAATGTCGGTGGTATCAGTAATTGATGTTGGCATACCCTCTGGTAAACTAACATAGCAATGGAACATCACCATTTTCCGTGGGAAAATCCACTATTTTCATGGGCCATTTTCAATAGCTATTTTGACATAACCAGAGGGTATTTGTATTCAATATTGGTGTATGGGAACTGGGACGAACTGGGATTTTCAAATTTGAGGATGGAACTGGGAATATTCCCATTTGGGAACATGAACTGGGACTATTCCTGAGAATGCTTGGAAACTGGGAATATTCGAAAATTTTGGGTGAGGATGTTTGGAAAGTTCATGACACTTCAAGTTCGATCGGCTCCAAGATGACTATCACTATGTATACTCTCCGGTAATTTAACGTAATTTAACGTATCTATGGAAGCCACAGCCCATTGAGTTCGATCATTTACCCATAAAAAACAGTGATGTTCTACAGCTATGTCAAATTACCAGATGGTATCAACCATAATGGGGACACTTATGGAGACATAAGAACCAACTTGATATATGATATTTTTTCGTGTGTCTGAAAATGGTGGATGCCTTCAAAAAGCTGGTTTTTCATAGCCAAAATTTGATGAATTTGGCTCGTTTTTCTGGGTGATTTCACCCAAAGATCCGGGTTTTGTTTGGGATATGAACCAGAAAAACCTACACAAAGTATGAATGTATCCTTATAGATCCTTATAGCTATATAAATCGAGTGACGTCTAAGTAGAATGATCCAGTATATATCCCGTTCTTTACATTACATGTATCCTCATGTTTGGTGCTTTCTTTTGCTGCTTCTATTTCCATCTTTGTTGATGTCTGGCTAATGTTCCCCCAGTTGATTGATTCAGAAACCTTTCCAGTGGGTTTCACCAGATTATATCCCATGAGATTCTGGTAACATCCAAGTGCAACAGGTTATACAGTATAAGGGGAATCTCAAGATGATATATGGGTTATGATGGTTATGGGCCGTTAATCACCTTAGGTAGTTTAAGTATAATACTCACTAGAAATCCCAGCAATCTTGAACATCCACCAGTTACAGCTGATTTTCCACTTCAAATCCCCTTTTTTGCTCCATGGAAGTAGCCGGAAGTAGCCATGGAGCAGAGTTGGTATCCCATGAGATCCCGACAGCGGGCTGATGCAGGTCCAAAATGGCCGTGGCCGGGATCTTCGGCTCTCCGCTGCTCAGTGACCTGCTGGGTCTGGGCATCGCGCTGACGTCGCACTGCTGGCAGCAGGGACAAATGCGGTCGCAGCTCAGCAAGCAGCGCCTTGGCGAGATGCCCCACGGGACATCTAGGTGAAAAGCCACATGAAAGCAACAAACATGGGGAGATTCATGGAATATAATGGGATGATATGTAAATAAATAAATAAATGAATAAATAAATGAATGAATATATATATATATATGTATATAAAGATTACAGCGGATAACGATACTTACTTAAAATGATATTCCCATATATGCTAGGTTGTACTTATATAGATGTTGCCAGAGTTTGATGGGATATGATCTGGTTTCAAACCAAGTGGATGGGCAGATTCCAACCCACAAGGATGGGGAAATATGAATCAATCATCAACAAAGATGGTTTATAATATGATATAATCGGCAACAATGGAAATGTGGAGATGTTCATGGGATATATTTGGGATTTAGCCAGCAAATATGGGGATATGCCAAGCGGACTATAGTGAAAGATATTTAGTGGATTATACTTATATAATGTTGTCAGAATTAGCCTTGTATAATATGTATATATATATAGATTAGGGTATATCCCTGGACATCCAGTTTTTTAGGGATGAAATCACCCACTTGCTAATCCACGAAAAACAACAACACACACACACATGAAATCCATATGAAACCGCCTGAAACTCACATGAAAGTTACAGTGGCAAGTTGGTTTGATATTTTGGAAGATGTTTTGTGGCCACTTTTGGATATGATCATTCGCACCATATTGAACGGCCCATCCCACAGGAATCGCATCGCTGCGGTCTCCCTGCTCCTGGCCATTGTTGGCACCATGGCGATGTGGCTCGTTTTCCAACCAGTTGTGGTGCCGGTTGGGCATGGTGCAGCTTGGTTCGTTGTAGGGAAACCATGACAAAAATGGGGCCATGAGGCATCAGCAGTCCATGTATGAACGCCATTTGCATGCACAATTACTCAATTACTCATTTGCAGAGATGCCCCCTTAGATTTGCAGCTAGGATAGGACCTGAGCACCTCCGTGTGGCCTTGAGGTTCATTTCTTGCGGCTTCAGTTGCCCTCGAAGGTTCGCCTTTGCCCCACGGCAGATGATGGACTGGACATCATGGCAAGGAATCCTCAAGTTCAGAGTGACATGCAATCACCCGCACATACACACACGCACACAGATGCACACGCACAAACACACACACACATATATATACACATTCTAATATGATACACACACATTCGGACGACACACAAATTCATATTTTAGAGTCATTTGATAATACACATGCATACATTGGATATATATATATGGATATATCATATTTGACCATGATATATTTATTTGTAGATAGTTCGATCCCATATTTTGCACACTATATATGTATAATACATGTAGGACTGTATTGCGGAGGTATTTGCTGATTTATTTTTATCGATTAACCTGTTTGAACTGAACAAGGATCACACACTCCCTGGTCATTTAACATAGCTATGGAAGCCACACGCCATTTGGTTCGATGAATTCCCCGTGAAAACATGGTAATTGTCCATCAAATCTAATCACCAGAAGGTATGTTTATACCGATCCCCACCTAAACACACTGAGAGCCGCTGAGGTTCTTCTCTGTCACTATGCTCTTTTCATGGTTTCCCAGTTGCATGGGGATAAGTCTGTGGTGGGGATGATAGTACGGAGGTATGAAAAGGTTGGTAAATGATGACCTGAATTCTAGGATATCCTAGTTCCTAGTGACCTAGACCTAGTGGTGTAGATGTCAAATAATCAAGAACTGTCTCATTTCGGTCCATGTTTGGGTTTGGGTTTTTGGAATTTATCCAGCATTTGCATGGATGGTTGGAGATGCTGCAATCTGAAGACCCTGCAGGCGGTCAGGATGCAACACCATTCCCATCTTTGTAGGTTCTTATCTGCATTTTTCGTGGCAACTATGGCAACTACATCCACTACTAGGGCCTCTCGCCACTTAACTCATATGCGAATGTCTCGGGCCAGTTTTAGCGACTCATATTCTCATATTGCACATTTCCATTCTTCAGCATTTTCATTTATCTAGTTGCTCCAGCTTCCATCTTGACTTCTAGAGTTCCTCCCAGCTACGAGCTAGGCTCTCTCTGTCGCCTGCGAGTTGGGATTTGTCCCGGATGTGCCCTGAAGGGGCCGGCAAAGGGTCAGGCGTGGTTGGTTCCCAGTGGGAAATCATTTAGCACATTCACCAGACATGGGGATTTTGCTCACAAACACGATTACCATCTGGTTATTTAACATAGCCATGGAAAATAACCCATTTAATTTATAGATGGTTTACCTATTAAAAATTGTGATTTTCCATGGCTATGTTAAATAACCAAATGGTAAAATTTTAAAACACAGTGGGATTCAATCCATTTGGAGTTTTTTTCACCCGCAGACGGGGTGACCCCAATGATTCCCAAAACACGTGGACGGCCAGGAGCTCCCAGAGTTCGGATCGGCAGCTGTTCGTCTCCATGACTCTCAGTGATTTACCCCAAAGAGTGGCTTTTCCTGTCGCTGAGTCGTGGAAGGAAAAAGGTAGCGCAAAGGTCCAAACTTGACTTCCTCTTGCTGTACTTTTGGATGCTTTTGGTAAGTTGCATTTGCGTTGCAGTTTTAACATGCTTTAGCACATCTCGTGAAGTTTGCCAACTTTCTCAAATGTCTTCTCATCGACATCGGCCTTGTACCTGTCAAACTCAATGGCACCATTTTTGTTCTTCACCAAGAGTTGTTGAACCCAAACTTGTTTTGACATTCTGTTTTTGCTTGGATTCTTTTTAGTAAGCATTTATGCATCTGTTTGGCGGGGTTGGGTGAATTTTTCATGATGATTCAACTTAGACGCTGCCTTGGGAGCTGCTTCTCCATCATAGCCTGTCATATTTTCTTCGCACCTGTGCGAGTTGAGGCCACCCTGTGCACGCAAGCTGAGTTGTGGGACAAGATGGATAGGGAGACGCTGCAGGGTTGGCGGTGAAGAGGGTAGGGTGCAACTTTTGTGGATTTTCGTGGTGTATCAGGACCTCGTTCACTGATGCCAGGTGAGATCAGAAGCATTTCTGTTCCAAATGGTCTTGGTATGTTTTGGTCATAATATCACCATTGGTGTCAATGTAACTTCCTGGCGGCTACCCCGAACTATGATATCGCGAATCAGCCTCGTATCGTGACTTCTGCAATGAACGTTTATTGATTGAATGCCAGCCCGGATTCAAAGAAAACCAGCGCTTTTTTTTTTCCCCTCATTGTGGGCGCACCATTGTAGCATTGTTCTTTGGGCAACCCGCATTAACCATCATCCACTCGCGACTTCATCAGGCACCAACTTCCAGACTCCCCGTCACACTTTTGGCATCAGCTGTTTGGCTCTGGCCGAGCGGCAGTTATGGAGGCGGTTCCAGGTCTCCCCGAAGGGTGAGATGAAGCTGCCCTACGTCTTGTCACGCCGCGTGGGCCAAGAATTTGCCACTGGACTTGGGCCGGTTGCAGCTGGGTGGGGGTTAGGATGGGTAGGGCCAAGCCGAGAATGTGAGAAATGTGCCGAAACCCAATGACAACTATCTGAGACATCATCATCAGCATGCAGGGAAAAACCTCAAGCCAGTTTTTTGGTCTGGTTTCCATTGGTTTCTATCTGCAAATGTTGCGCATGACCCAAGGTGACGAAGCCAGAGACTTGGGAGGAGGCTTCGGACTCTTGGACCGTCGGCCTAAACATGGGCAGTGGACGCCCTGACACTTGAGAATGTTGCGGAATTTCATCCCAAATTTGGATACCCTGACCTGAAACCTGAGAAGATTGTCAAGTTAGTGTATACCGAAATCGTCCCAAATCTGGATGAGCAGCGGTTTGAATGGATGTCTTGGGGTTTCGACACAGCCCTCCGGCAACAGGAATCAGTCTAGAGGTCAGGAGTGAAGTGTCAGTTGTCCAAAGCCCCCCGGGATCAACTACTTCCATGTGCTTACCTGAAATCCATTCTGACCCACTTCAGCATCAGAACTGAGGATGAGGAAGATGATTTTCCTTTCAAAGACTGGGTTGCAACTCTGGGTCATCGTACTCTGAGAGGCCCCTTCGTCAGTAAGAGACAGCAAAAAGTGTCGCAGTGGCTTTTGGCTCCTCGGCTCGAAATCACCGATGCGTACGCTTGTGCAGGTCAGGCTTTGAGTTGTGCCGGTCGGGTATTACCAAAAGCTCAATGTATCATCAAACATCATGTGTAATAAATAATAGTTAAATCACGTTGCGTGATATTGTGTGCACGCATGCGTATGTATTGCATATATATATATATACACACACTCTGTATCTCTATGTGACGTAGCCTTCACCGCTGTTCCAGATTTTGCCTCCCCATCCCTTGCTTCTTCAACCGGCTTACATTTGCATCAAGGAAAAGGAGCGGCAGCAAAAGCAGAAATGGCAGGACCCTGAATGTCGCGGGCTTGTGCTGATCCTGGCTGTTGGGGCAAAATCTCACAGTGATTGATAGTTACTCAGCCACTTAGGCCCTGAAGGAATGATCCACCAGCCTTCCTTTTCCAAGCTTGGACTGCCACTTTTGTGTGGCCTTGGTCCAAGTTGGAACCCTCCTTAAAAGAACAATGAATCGCTGGCTGATCCCAGATGATCTCAGGAGAATCAGTGGAAACAGAAGCCCTGGCTGTTGCCTCCGTTGCCTCTGTTGCCTCCGGTCACCCATCTGCCGCCGGAGCTGTTGCCCTTGGAGCAGCCGAGTCCGCGGCTGCTGGGCTCAGGGCGGCCTGAGCCGCGCGCGGCAAAGCCGCGAAGGGACAAGGCACCGGTGATGGCTCCTATGCGGCATGGGCTGCAAGCAGACAAGCCGAAGCTTGGTGGATGGGAAGATGGTAGGATGAAGGATGTATAGGGAAGGGAAAATATGGAAAAATGAAAACTCATGATATGGCTATGGCCGTACATGTTGGATGTTGGTTGCTCATTGAGCGCGAGGCTGGCCAGTAATTCGGATGTTGAAAGGATGGAATGGTGCATGTTATGGAACAGTGCACGTTATAGCATTTGGATTCAACAGTGTCCACACACATATAGTCCATATATCTATAAATAATTTTATATAAGTTAGTAAATAAATATAAATATATAAATTGATACAACTAAATAATTAAGCAAGTAAATATATAAATAAATCAATGAATAAATATGTATATAAACAAATTGTATACATACAGTCCACACACACATATACGTATACATAAAATATATATATATATATGCACGTATATATATATATATACATAGATCACACATATACAGACACACACACATATATATATATAATATCATGTCCATCAGTACACAACCCGAGCTGCCAAAGTTAAAGAGTTCCTAGGCTGGATTGGGAGCCCCAATCCATATGCATCCTGTGCCCAGTCTTGTTTGCAAATTTCTTAACTTATATGGAACGCGGCAGCACCAAGGAAGGCTCCGGTGATCGTCTCTGCACAAGAGTGTTCACAACAGCCGACGCCACCACCTGTCTCCACAGAGGGGATGGATGAGAGTTGTCCGATTGGCTGGGGAAGGCTGGGGCAGACCTGGGATCATTAGCAAATGGGCCAGCACCAGTGCCTAAATTCCACCAGATTTCCATATCTCAGCAGGGACACCTGTTTAAAAGTGCTCATCCCAGCAATTTCCTCCTCGCAGGCTGCATGACTATGTGAATGGGGTGCGCATTGGTCCAGGCAGTTTGTTCAGCCATCCCTGGGATGGACCTACGCCTTCGGGGATCCACCCCTTGAAGCCCAAGAGACGAAGCCATGATCTGAAATAGTTGGCCATCCCATGGTGAGGAGGGCTGGGCCAGAGGTAAACGTGGTCGGCCACCCTGCTTCTAAGGGCATCATTTGGATGGAGTTCGATGAATTTGTGCAGCCAACCAACTGTTCCAGGTACATAAACCATGTATGAAGAATCATGAAGCGGTACAAGGAAGGTGGGCGATTTTGATTTGTTAGGTTGCATCCAAGGCCAGGCCAGTCGAAGCAGTTGCTTGCAAGGTGATTTTGAATGGCACCACTAGCATCCACTAGCTGCTATGTCTTAGCAGCCTGCTGTGCCCTTCATGAAGTGATGGGACAGCAAGGTCTTCGAATGTTTAGCATGCGTTTTTTTGAACCTTCCCGGAGGAAGTTGGAAAAACGACAGCCCCAGGCTTCAAACAAGGTTTGCAACAAATCTGACGAACTCCAAAAACCAGTTTCACAAACCACCGGTTCGCCATCCCCCACAGATCCAACTCCAAAACTTCATTGCCAAATTTATCTCAATTATTCAGTTATTCAACTAGAGGTGCTATCAGGTGGTCCACAGTCCACATCTTTACAGTGATCCCGGGAAGGTTCAGCGACAGGGTGCCTTGAGAGGAGGTCGCCAGGTCCCTAAGCCTCCGAAGAAAGCAACAAAAACCTGGCTGATTGCAGGCAAGCGATGATGCCTCACTTCACCTTTAGTCAATCCCTGTCTATTGGCGAAAACTTCCCCAGTGTGTTGGACCATTTTTCTCAATGATTATTATCCTCTCAGAATTTAACATAGCTATGGAAACTCACCTTTTTTTACTGGGTAAATGATCTGTAAAAAGTAAAAAGGCAATTTTCTAGAGTTATCTTACGTTACCGGAAGGTAATGCCCAGGATAACCTGGTCCCTTTCGGCCAGGAGTTATGCAGAGAGTACACCCGCGAATCCTACGATGTCTGGAACTTACTGGAAGCCAATCTGTCGCTCCGAAGGGTGGAGGCGAGGGTGGGGCGAGGCGCATGACCCTGGGAATCCAAGATGTCGAACATCTCCCCAGCTGTACTGGCTGCACCTACATTTTGGTCATTTTGTGGGTCCAAACATCTCCAAGACGATGAACCGCAATTATAGTCATTCCAAGAGAATCGCATATCACATATGATCTCATATCATTATTTCACAATATTTCGCACATGCTCAGCTATTAAATGCATGGTGATTCACCGAGGTATTCCCGTTACCACAGTGAATTGCTCCATTACTCGTGACCAAGGTTTTACAGCACAACTGCAACAACTTCTCGGATGAGGCGCCTGGAAGCGGCCATAGATGACCCACGTTCTGAACGGAGATCATTCTCCGAAGAAAGCCATGGGCTTCTCCACGGCTTCAGGGTGGAAAAGCAAAGAAAAAGAGCAACATCCTTCTAAAATCTAAAATAGTGGTGAATGATGGTGAATGTTTTTTTTCCATCTACGTTTTTCTTTGCAGTTAGGGATTTTAGGCTGCACGCAAGACATCAATATACTTGAGTGACATTATATATAGGTGTTGTGATGTAGCTGAAAGGTCTGAAAGATGATGTTGCTGGAAAAGAATGGAAAGAATGGCGCCAACGCAATGGCGATAAGAACAGATGGTGGAGATGAACGATCACCTTGAATCCAAGTCAGGATGAGGTGTCAGTGAACAGGCCTCCCTGATAGGTTGCAATGTTCTTGCTGAACAAGCACATCCCAGATGAGGCCAGGAAGTGGTGGAAGGGCTTCCTGTGGATGCTGGCAGCCTGAGGATTTTGTTCTGGCTTTGGGAGGTTTGGGAGATCGATCCTTGGTTGAATAGTTGGTTACTTATGGTTACTTTACATTCCCATTTTGGAGTTTAGTCGTTTCCGTTTCCGTCGGCTTAAATGGTCATTTTGCTTCGTGCCATAGTGTGACGTGCCATTCTTGTTGTTCATATTGATTTAAATCCAAATGTTTGTGCTTGCGCGAAGTTGCATACTCAGTTTTGTGTTGCATATTTTTGTATCTCTTTGTTGGTTATAGTGCGCCTAGTTGTGCTGGCGATCAGACCTGCATTTTGCGAGGTTCGATTGCAGCCGCAGCAGTTCACACAAAGCCTTGCAGCCCAGGCTTTGAGGCAGAGGGGAGGTGGAATAGGATGGAGAAGGAAGAGATGCCCCTTCAAGAAACAGGTGCACGGAATTCTGCTATGCGGCTATGCACAATTTTTTGTACATAGGGTATGCATGTACGTGCAAATAACAACGCACACATGCCAATTAAATCACGCAAGACATGGAACAAACAGATGCCAATTTAAATTGCAGCGCTTTTGATGAATTCGGACGTTTTTAACCAACACAACTTTAGCTCATCGCCCCAAAGAAACTGACGAACAGCTTGAGTTCCAAGCATCACCTGTTGGTGGTGAATGACAGGGTACTCCAAATGGTGGTTAACCTCTGAACATAGAGGAATGACTAATTATACAGGAAACAGAAGAATCACCGTGAACATTCTTTGTTTCTTCTCTTCAGCTGGGATCCACGAATCTAGCCGTGCGTAGCCATTGGCTTCAAGGTATATATTATATAGCAGTTGGTCAGGACATATGCCACACACACGCACAGTGTCGCCCAGCCCCAAGGAATCCATGAGTTCTTTGGCTTCCTACCTGGGACCTGGAGTCACTTCCTGAACTCTGAATGACAAGTGAACCTCCTAGTGTCGTTCAGCTTCATTCTTTAGCCGCAAGATATTTTGCAAGGCTCTAGCACCAGATATCATCTGATATATTCATCCCCTGCCGCCATGCCACAAAGTCCGCTAGCCCTGACACGTGTGGCGCCGGTGCTCGCGATCTTAGTGGCTCTGCGGCTGTCAGTGAGATGGCGCCAGCTGCTGCAAAGGCTGCAGGCCTGCAGATGGGAGAAACATTGCTGTTAGAGGGCCATGTCGTATTATGAATCACTGGACAAACCCAAATGAATGCGGGAAGAGCATGGATAACTATCAGCTATTTGATGTGAAAAATATTGTATTCCGGGGGTTTGACCCATCCGGGAGATGCCACCATCCTACAAAACTTCAATGTATGAGCAGCCCCTCAAGGTCACAGATAAAACATGATGATAAAACCCTTTCACTTTGCACATAGAACCCGAGAAATAGCGTCCTCAAAAAAGATCATTTGACCACTAGAAATTTGAAATGGCCATAGTCGGGCTTCGCGTAGGGTTTGGACTCTGGACCTCCACAATTCTTTGATGGGTTGATGTTGTGACATCCAAGCAGCCAACGGCGCTACATATTCCGCGACAGCTGCCCAGCTCAAGTGGCAGATCGGGTCCGGTTCTCAGCACTCGGTGCAATGGATGAGACGCACAAGAAGTCTCTGAAAGAGATCTCAGCTGCTCGGCGAAAACATGTCAACCTGCAGTGCAAAATTGCAAAACTAGGTGGAACCGCAACATGTCAACTTTCAATTGGAGGATGATTTTCGAGACCCTCTTTTCCAGGCTCCTGAAAGGAATGCGCAGTTTGATTGAACCACACACACACATACATATATATATATATATACACCTACATCCATGACACCATATGACACCTATGTGGTGTGTATTATACAAACAAGTAATCAGAACAGCCGAACCCAAGAGTAGAACGGCACATGGAGACTATGCGTTGGATTTGGCTGGGCTTTTCTGGAATTCTGGGGAGCTAAAGGCTCAAGCTGGCGGCAGAAACCAAGGACCACTTTGCGAAGCTCCAGGAATATATCGAAGAGGCTCCACACCGCATCAAGGTGGGTTGCTTTGCTGGTGGTGCAGCTATTGTGCTGAATGGTCTCTTGAGCGTAATTGATATCTTTGATGCAACCTGGCATGGCCTCAAAGAAGGCTTTTAGAGGTGCACTTCTTTTTTGGGATGTGTTCTTCTCTGGCGACTTTAAGAGATCAATTCATTTGCACACCACAGAGTAGCGTGGCTATGAGATGTTCGGGTAGGGCTCACTTGTGCAAATTTGCAGGTCACTTGAAACAGACAATGCCTTGGTGTACAGCTGCCTGGTGGTTGAACAATGTTGAACATATTTTCCATGAATGATGAAACATGATGAAATCAATGTACATCAATGGACTAATACATGTTACTGTAGTATTATTTGGATGGAAGCCTGTTGAAACCAGCAACCAGCCAGGTTTCGGTATTCATCCCGAGGTATTGGATGAGCCGATCTACTATGTGGTGAATGCCTACATGGTCTTTTTCGGGGCCGTCACTATGGTCACAGAGAGTGATCCCTCCTTCATCACACAGCTGCACGACAGCCTCCTTCCCGTGCAAAAGTGGATGCACGAGTGGGCCAAGGGCCTGACTATGCTGTGGGGTAGGGGCTTGTTCTATGTCTTCCAAGGACTGCCATCCCACTTCAGCTGGTTAATCAATGTTAATCACCATTTGTGCTGGTGAAATCACTATTTTGGCTGGTACCCGATTGTCCCAAACTCAGGTGGCGTAAGAAGCAGTTGCTGTCAGAACGTGACTCCGTAACGCGCGAGGAACACTCTGCACATTGTGTTCCAGCTTGCTCAGCTTCGTGGCACAATCCATGGACACAGCTTGAGATCTAAAGCTGTAAGCATGTACATATGGCATCATATGGCTGGTATATGTACAATATGGATCCTCAATATGCATATCTACCTGTGACAAAATCATACAACATCTAATTGTGATGCATTTTTAATGACAATGACAATGGTAGCTATGCGTTTATCCCATTCGCAATTGCCACGCTGAGCGCTTGCGTCTTCAGGCTTCGGCCTCATCATCGGGGTGTACATGACAGTGATGGGTGTGCTCTGCTTGCTGAATCTTGGTGATGGATGTGGGATTTGGAAAATGGGGTAGCCCATTGTCATTGTATCCCTGGCCTCGCAAAAGTCTTGTTGAGATTGATGGGGTTGATTTCATGGGTTCTCGAACCACAAGCCAGTCGAGCCACCCCCCAGTGTAGTTTTTTTGATGTTTTTATTTTTCATTTAATTAGTTGCTATTAGTTGCTATTAGCTGCTATTAGTACCCGATCTTATTAAGCACTGGAAGTCACCACAAGATGTCATTTTAATTTCAGGTCGTTCTGAGGTGATCCGTTGCCAGAGCGTCATTCCAGTTTCGTTACTGGAGAAGTCTCGGAAATCCTGGAAGGGTGGGCAGCAGGAGATGCTGTAGGTCCTGAAACGTCCTGAAACGTCGTGAATCCAAGTGGTCATGACATGTTGTTTTCCATGTGCGAAGCTGAAAAATCGCAGTGGGAAATGTGGGCACCGGCCCAGGATCCACTACAAGCGATCGCGGGTGCAACCACCAGCTGAGTATATCAGAATCCACTAGTAGAACCAAGCTCCGGCAGTGTGGCTACTGGCCATGCCGAAAAAGGGCTGATCGTCCCAGTTTGGGCGAGACAAAGATAGCCCCCAGATGGACACAATCCAGCCATGTCTAGCATGAAGTCACAAAGGATGGCAAAGTGCGATATGTTGTTCATGAAGATGTTGCTTCACCGGTCCACTGGTTAAATTGAGAGTCCTCAAGCCAACATAAGTCAACCAGGTGCTCCATCTCGCACAGGTTCGAGGGTCACCAGATGTGTCCTGTGTAGACCTCTGCCCATGCCGTGCGTAGAGGAAAAGTGCGAGCTGCTGGGCTGCCATGGGCTAAGGCGGCAACAGCATAGGTGAGTGACTGCAAGTAACCAGGTAGAGGCGTATAGACGTGTAACTATGTACAGATTGAAGTTATTATACCAGTTTATACTGTTACTAATCCCATCCCCCTACATTAAACATCCCCAGAGTCACCATGGTCTACTAGGTGATCTACACATGGGACCATAGAATGGGGCTGTTTAATAACGGGGGATGGGCCTACCACCACCGCCTTGGGGTAGACACCACAGCTCCAGGCGTTGACTCCGCAGCTCCCGACTTGGCCTCCGCCTCCGGCGCTGCTGCTGCGGAAGGGCTTGGCTGCTTCGGTGATGGGAGCCCTCCTTCTGTTGCTGCGACCCAGCTGCGGATGGGGATTTTGGACCATCCATGGGAATTCTTACCACAGATGTGGGGACTTAAGCATAAACAATATTGGGATCCAATAGGATTTAATCAAGATTTAATCAAGATTTAAAGCATCCTTTGATGATCTTTGATGATGGGTGCCCGAACGCGGGAAACCTCGTGAGAATGGTTTGATTTGTTCGGAGGAGCAAAGCTGTTCTCATTTGGGCTCATCCCACACAGTTTTGGACTGATCCAGTTGGCAGCATGTAGCCAAGATATCATGGATTGCAGAGATCCCACATTCGGCTGCACCCCTAGGTGGATAGCGCGCTCTCCTGGCAAGAATTTGATGGAAGATCCCGAAATGCTGGCATGGGTCACCCAGGACAAATCAAAAAGTGGCATGAGGGCCACCAATCAGATCAGGTCCAACTTTGTGCGGCACATGAAACTTTGAGCATCAGGGGGTAGCATCAGGCCCAGAGGAAACACTGTGTTTTACTTACATGTATATTAATAATTTTTAATGATGCTGTATATATATATACATCCACAAGATAGTATATTTTACATATACAACATGCATACACACATACAGTACATACATATGCTGTATATATATATAAGTATAATTATGATTGAATAATTAAAGATTAAAAACATATAGTATGTTCATGATTGCAAGCCAGAGGGACGCTATCAAGACCTTTGATACTGGTTCTGATTTTGTTCCCTGGGCCTTGGACGAAGAACGTTGCCAGGAGCAACAAAAGAGGCGGACGAAGCTGTTGGATCTGATTAAGCAGATCCCCCTAGAGCACCTAGCAGCTTGGCGAAGTAGCTGATTCATAGCTGATTCATAGCTAAATCTTTTGTTTTGTCATATTGTTTTGGTCATATGGAATCATGTGATTCTGTCTGGTTTTTTCTGCGATTTTGGACATCCAATGCCTGCCCTGGCAGGTCAAGGCGGTTCCAGCCTTGAAGCCGCTGACGGATGGAATGCCCAAAGAGCTTCAGCTGACGGATGTCGAAGTGAAGGTCAGGTCCCGGGAGTCGCCGATGTAGATATGGCCGCGCAGATGAATATGTCGCATATAGTACATGAGAGTACATGTATATATATTCTGATACATACATACATTATATATATATATACATATATATATATACATATATATATATGTATACACACACGCACACGTCGTGGCGTTAATTTGCGGTCGTCACAAGTCTGAAATCATTTGTGTGGCTATGCGAAGATTGTAGAGGCATCAAGCATTCAGTACATTCTCTAGCAGTATTCTTTCCTTCAGGCAGATCAATTTTGAAGAATTGAAAAATCCATGAAATTTCCCAGTGCCTATGGAGAGGACATGAGAAGTCTAAACAAATGGCTGGGAATCTTCACTATTCTTGGCCATCAGGACCAGGTGAAGCAGACTGACGAGCCAGTGAAATTCAAAATCACGGCCAGCTCGGTGGCTCTATCGCAGAGCACAAAGGACTCTAGTGACTCTAGTGGTTGGCAGTAGGCAACACAGAGTGAACCACACATCAAAATAATAGTGCTTTTTCCATCTTTTTTTCGCAGTTCGTTTTTTCTTGGTTGCAAGATGTTTCCCTTCGGTTGGATGATGCTGGGAATATCACCCAGCCGAGCGGCCTGAAGGGTCCCCATCACACCATATCCAAGCCTCGGCAGTGATCTCAACTCCCCAAGCGCTAGGACAAAGTGGTCAATTGCGGACACCCATTTCTGGGAGATCTTGGATAATCTTGGATAAACCATGATTCATTACCCCCTTTTATCATCTTTTATATGGCTATGGATCAATACCTATGATTTCATACCATTTTTAGGGGGTTATTCAGATCCATAAATCCCAGCTATGACTTGATGTGAACAAAAAAGGGGTACAAAATGGGTTTTGACACACTGCCATATGCCAACTAGATGAGTAATGATGAGTATTATATGGTCATAGTTCCCATCCACGGTGCTGGGAAATCCCATGAAGGGCGCCAACTTCAGGGGTCGCCATAGTAGGCGTAAATCAGTCAGTTGATGAACTTAGATTGAGAGATTGATAAGTTCAATGTAAAACTGATTATACAACATTAGATCATTAGACATACAAAATATGCATAAATATGCAAGATATAGATAGATGGATAGATACCCGAAAATATGAAATGACGTGATGAACAACTAAGTAACTAAATAAATTGAACATATTCCCCTAGTGCATAACTTAAATAATTTATAATATATCCAACTAACCATTATCACACACACACACACCCCATATCACTCACGTATAATCACATATAATCACATATAATCACATATAATCACATATAATCACATATAATCACACACCCGCACACACACACATATATATATATATGTATATATATATATATACACATAAATAATACATGTGCCCGAATGTGCCCTATCATAAACATCATAAAGCTCTCCATCCCCTCAGGTCTCCGAGGCCGCCGAGGAGTTGGCCAAGGCCCAGCCGGGCGCCTCCGGCAGCGACGCAGCGCTGGGCTTCGGCTGCGCGGCCGCGCTGAGCAGCTGCGAGCTGCGCTACGGGGCCTGGAAGGCGCAACAGGTCACGGGGGAGCTGCAACAGGTGGAGTGCCACTTGGCTGTGGTCAACCTGCCATGACCCCAGCTTTATGGCAGGTTGGATGTCAAATCTGAAGGCTACTTTTTGGTCAACGTGGCTAGCTGGAAAGGCCCCGAACTAAATGTTAATATTTTCATGTCATGTGGGTATGTGATTCCATACAGGGTTCAAAAAAAAACAGCCATCCCATGAAGTACCACACCACAGAGGTCATGTCCCCCCGTCCCCCAATTCAATGTTGTCTTCTGAATTTTGTGTTTGGCGGCCTTCCAAAAAAATTACTTTACTTCGTGTGATCCCCACCATGACATTTATACATTTTCTTACTGGCAAATCTTCTGGCATTCTATCTGACATATCTTCTGGCATTCAATCTGGCATTCTATCTGGCATATCTTCTGGCATATATTCTGACATATCTTCTGGCATTCTATCTGACATATCTTCTGGCATATATTCTGACATATCTTCTGGCATATCTTCTGGCATATCTTCTGGCATATCTTCTGACATATCTATCTGGCATATCTTCTGGCATATTTTCTGGCATTCTATCTGGCAAATCTTCTGGCATTCTATCTGGCATTCTATCTGGCATATCTTCTGGCATATATTCTGACATATCTTCTGGCATCATATCTTCTGGCATTCTATCTGGCATATCTTCTGGCATATATTCTGACATATCTTCTGGCATTCTATCTGACATATCTTCTGGCATATATTCTGACATATCTTCTGGCATATCTTCTGGCATATCTTCTGGCATATCTATCTGGCATATCTTCTGGCATATTTTCTGGCATTCTAATCTTCTGGCATTCTATCTGGCATTCTATCTGGCATATCTTCTGGCATATTATCTGGCATTCTATCTGGCATATCTTCTGGCATATATTCTGACATATCTTCTGGCATTCTATCTGGCATTCTATTTGGCATTCTATCTGGCATATCTTCTGGCATATCTTCTGACATTCTTTCTGACATTCTTTCTAACTTTCTTCTGCACATTCTTTGTCCCATATCTTCCTACATGAGGTCCGGCAGGGAACACTTGGCGTGGATACTCGCGGTTGAGGTCCGGCAGGAAACACTGGGCGCGGGTTGAGGTCGGTCGCTCGGGTTGAGGTCCGGCAGGGAACACTGGGCGTGGATGGTCGTGGTTGAGGTCCGGCAGGGAACACTGGGCGGGGATGGTCGTGGTTGAGGTCCGGCAGGGAACACTGGGCGTGGATGGTCGTGGTTGAGGTCCGGCAGGGAGCAGGAGGAGAGGAGACGAGGAGAGGAGACGAGGAGAGGAGAGGAGAAGAGAGGAGAGGAGGAGGAGGAGAAGGAGGACGAGAAGAGGGAGGAGAAGGAGGAGGACGAGGACGAGGAGGACGAGGAGGACGAGGAGGAAGCAACTGACATAAAATCTAACAACCCTCACCTGGCAGGTGGGGAACAACCATTTCTGTTGATGATGCTCGGCACTTCCGATCACAACTTTGCACTTGGGGGGTGCGGGGGTAAGCCGGGTAAGCAAGGTATCTCTGTGGTTTCATGTGGATGGCTGTTATTTGAAGAGCCCGGTATGTCACACACACACACATAATTATATATAATTATATATATATATATACACATACTGCATATGCCCATTGCAAATGGTATAGTATATATGTATATATGTATACACACTTATTACATAGGCTGCCGCCTTGCCATGAGTGGAGGAAACACATATCCCCCCTATTATATACCACCAAAAACATGTAACAGTGGCATTTTCTGAGTATTGAACATGAGTGGAAAACAGGTGCCCCTGGTTTGATTCAGGTGACAATCTGCAACAGCGCGTTGCCGAAGCAGAGGAGACGGTGAACATGCGGGTCGGACTTGGAAGATACTGTGGTAAAGCCAATGATGAAAATATTCAAAACCATAATGCCTCACCAACTCGTCTTTACCCAATGTGTCCGTCTGATGGGTATCAAAACCATGGCCCCGAATTATATGGTATTTCTGTATATTTCTTTTGGTTAGTAAATCCCATCATGTCCCCATTTTGATGGTTAAATTTTAAAATCCCCATTGATCCCCATGCCATCCCCAGAACAGTTTCAATTATTTCCATCCATCTACCATTCTACAAGGTGGTGCCCCCTAGTTATACGTTGGTTTATAACCCCATCTAACTTTATACTTATGATTATAATGACTCTAAACACAACTATGGGTATGATATGGTCACAAGTATAGTGACTGTAAAGTATCGAAGTATAGTTTATAGATGTTTATAGTTTTTAACAACCCACTCAATGTTAGCTATATAAATTGGTGAAGTCCAGTTGGCTCACCTAGTTCGCCACCTTCCAGGAGTTCCTGGAGATTCTTCGCGCACGGCTGCCCTTTGCGAGCTGTTCGCGGCTGCGGGAACTCTTCGCGGAGCCCTTGTGGCGCGCTGAACGGCTGATCCAACGCAGACGGATGGAGCAGTGGAGGTGGGGCGGTCCCCATCTGATGGTGGAGCCCCAGTTTGGTGGTTATGTTCCCCCACAGCCCCACGGTTGGAAGATGTTGGAAGGTGTATTCCCCCACACCCGTGCTACCCCAAGCCAAATGCAGTTGGATTGTCAGTGTTTCACGCTGCCTGTGAGGTGTGTTGCTGGGTTGCTCTGGCGCTTCAAAAGCACCTTGCCCTTTGTTGCTCTTTCATCCCTGCTGTCAATGGTTCTAGGCGGGTCGGATGGGTCGGGGTGTGATGGAATAGCGCGGGCCACTAAGTTGATTCCCAGATTTGTTGAGAGAGACCACCAGATTACTTGAAGACCTGTGATTTTATCACCAGCTTTGTTGACAACGCAGCCTCTCCACCACCTCAACCTGGAAATTCTTCCGTCAGCGACCTTCACACGAGCCTGGTGATGGCGGACTAGCTTGGCCTTTCGCCCAGGTGATCATCCAACAAAAAACGTGCTTCATCAGCATGGATAGGTCGCATCAAAGCTATGGCTGCTGACCACTGCTGCCACTTACCATCTTGGTTGCACCTCCCCTTTTTCTTGTTTACAGCTTCAAGCTCCCTGAGGTGGAGATTTCCAGATTTCCTTTCTCCCTCTCTTACATCCTCTTACCGTAGGCGCCTTCTCGGCCATGCGCTACCACTACCAAGCCGCCGTGATCAACTTGGCCAAGGATGCGGTGGTCTCCTCGAAGACTTCAATGCCGACCCGGCCCGGCTCAATTGAGGAAGCGGATGGCTGGATGGGGCTCGAAGGGTCTTGACCCATCTTGATGCTCAAGAATTGGAGGGTCATTGAGTCAGATGTGAATAGGGCGATGGAGAGAGAGAGAGAGAGAGAGAGTACGTAAAAGCTTGAAATCACAATTATTTCTATAATTGTTTAGCCAAAACATGGGTGGCGAATAGTACTTAAAATGGCCAACCGTTTGTGGGCCCTAGGAATGCCTCATTCCTAGAGCCAAAGCTGGATGGGGGTGGATTGTGACGTAGTGGGATGACAAAGCTGATCATAGCTGATCCATTGATCACCCCGCGAAATAGCCATCAAAATAGCCATCAAATCAATATAAGGAACATGGTTTTCTAAACCATGAACCACATCAACCACTAAGCAACGCTGGATTCTTCCATATGTTTCCATATGTTTCCATATGTTTCCCATGTTTCCCCACCGGGTGCCAACCGGTTTGTGTGTAGGAGACGGTGGGTGCTATGGTGGTCAGCGAGATGATCGTGCAGCTGGCGGAGTTTGCCCGTGGACGGCTGACCCTGCGGGGGAAGACCAAGGTGGTGCAGGCAGTCCTGTGAATGGTTAATGGTTAGTTCATGTTCTTTCTCGGGCCCATAAATGAGGGATTATTATGGATTCTGAATGCAATACCTTAATGTACCTTCTTGGTGGTAATCTTGCTGCACTTCAGATTTTTTTTTTGGGGGAGGGTATAGCGTATAGGTGCGTCTTCAGGGTGAGTCATGCGAACAGGGATCTCTGTGCATCCATCTAGGGGTTGACACCACCAGACCACGGACGAACCGGTTGTTTTGTTTTCACCGTGGATTTTTTGGATACCCAACAATGACCCGTCAGCCAATAACCAAATATATAATCTTTAATATATCTATATATATATAATTATAGATATACATATATATATATATATCCAACAATGAGACCGTTCTAAGTGAAGTTTTCTAGATTCCAGATTAAAGTTGGGCGGTCACCGCTGCTGTGGAACCGGGTGGTTCCAATGGAGCTGGGCTTCACAGCAGCCGTCAAGCAATTATTGACCACCCCTTCTTAAGTAAACATGTGCATTGGAGTTTACCCTCTTGGTAAACTAACATAACTATGGAAAATCACCATTTTTAATGGGAAAATCTACTATAAATGGTCATTCTCAATAGCTACGTTAAATTACCAGCGGGTAAACACGTGCATGGGAGTTTATCAAGAATTGCGAGCCTTTCAGATCCGTTTGTCGCTTTGCAGTGACTATTAGTCGGTAACAGAGGCACACTTCGATCTGTTCATTTTTGCACCTCTGTACAGCAAGGGGCGGCCCCCATCGCAGGAGCTGAAAGTGGCTCTTTTTGGTGCACTGCTGCGACAAGATTTGGAGTACCTGGAGCAGTGCCCCTTGGAGACGGGTGTTTGTGGCAACATTTTACGACCGAAAAACCACAGATTTCGGTTGGCATTTTTTTTTTGGGGGGATGATGCTTTTGATATTTTTGGTGCTAAGCCATGATTTCTTGGGTACAGCCAAGCCATCGCATCTATCGGCTCCTCCCAGGTGACCTTTGGCAACTGCGATCTCTGATTGGCAGCTGCGGAACGACCATCTCTCAGGCGGCTTTTTGTACTCTTTCTATTAGTAAATCCCCATGCTATAACTAGATTCAATTAAGGTTAAACCACCATTTGGAGGTTTCCTAAAATGGGGATACTCCCAAATCATCCCTTTTAAGATATTTTAATTTTAACACGACATAATTATTATACGAATATCGGATCATCTCGGATTTTCCATCTTAAAACCATCCAGCTATTACCCATGGCTCCCATTTTAGGACACCTCCATGTTTCGGTGGACCGTGGTTGGCCTCCCCAGGTGTCATGGGTGGTTGACCTCCCAGGTGGTGGACTTCCCAGCCACCTTGGTGGAGGCCTCGGTGCGTCTGCTGACGGCGGTGCTGACGCTGGGGCGGATCAACGGGCGCCTGGCCGGGGTCCTGGCGCTCATGCGGCATGGCTGATGGGCTATTTTGAGCTATGGAGCTATAGCCTGCTTGATTGGTTGCTAGAACTAGGAGGTTTACAGAGGATATATACATATTTATATATAATTATATAGAACTATAAATAGTTCAAGGCCATTTCTGATTCAATCATCTATGTATTGGACACATCTATCAACCAAGTACTATTTTGTGAGATATTTGGGGATGATACTTACCCCTTGCCACCGATGGGACGGTTTTATTGGGTGAAAAACTAAATTATGCCAGGGTTTTGACTGCCAAATCATCAAGAACTCTAGAACATGAGGGCTGAAATTGGCTGAACTATGGTGAAATCACCAGTAGCCCAGTAGACCTTTGGATAGTCTGGGAGGAAATAGATTGAAATCATGAACATCCAATAGAAATCTAATACCTATATGATACGGAGTACAAACAGCTTTCAATTCCATTTTTACTTTGGTTGTTTTGCCTCAAGGAACAGCAAGGGCACAGTCACCTTCCATAGCTTCCACTGGTGGGTACTTGGGCGTGCAGTTCCAGCTATAATTGAACAATCCCAACTTATGGTGGTAATTATTACAGTTATATCATTATATCTCCAATTTTCATGATCATGGGGATTTTTTCGTCTTTTTTTCCCATGATTTTCCCTGCATTTTTCATGGGGGGTTTATTTCAACTGCTCCCCAGTCGTCCATCTCAGGCTGCCCAGTCGCTTCGTGCTGCAGCGACTGCTGCAGCATCTGGAGGAGCGCCTGGAGCTGCGTTCGTCGCTGCCGGATTTCAAGGGACAGATCAACAGCTGCCACTGGGACCCACTGGGACCTTGGGACCTGGAGATCTGGCATTGATTTGTATATAGTATATATAACTATATATATAATATATTAATTTATATATAACTATATTACTATATACTATATATATACATGTGGTGGTTAATAATGGTTAGTAATAATCTGTAACAATAATAATTATTATAATATAGACACATGAAATAATGGTTAATGATAGTTAATAATTGCTAATAACAGTTAATAATCTAAACATCAAACATATATTTTAAATGATGTGGATATATATAATTGGCGGCAATTGTTTGGGATTAAAACATCAAAGATTGTGATCGAAACATCAATAACGCGGATGCAATGGGAGATTTGGAGGCAAAAAAAGGTCTTGGTTGCGATGACTTGGAAGGAAGACAATCTTCATCCTGCGGATTTCTGTCATGTTGACCCACCGCCCGACAGCTGCATACCCTATATACCCTTTTGACCCCACTATTTCAACTAGCTTGACCTTTTCAATTTTGGTTCCATCCAGAAGCCTGTAGTTGTCATCGTTATTATTTACTAGCAACACTATTATTGTTATCATGATTATCATCATTGGAAACAAGACACCTCAACAGGATTGTCACTATCTTTTTTGTTAAACCATTAATCTGACAATCTCACTACTATTGCCAATAGCATTGCTATTGCCATGGCTACTTACTTTCAATCATCATCATTATTCATCAATATCATGATTTATCCTGGGTTGATGATTTACCATTATGACCATCATTATGATATCCTGGGTAATAATCAACCATTATGATTTTATATTATTTACCATATATAGATAATTATAATAATCAACCATTATATAATAATAAATAATAATAATAATCAGCAATTATAGATAATTTACCATTATTTATCATTATTTATCATTAAATGGTAAATTTACCATTAAGTAATGGTAAATAATGGATCCCCGTTGACATTTCCCATTTAAAATGGTAGGCCCTGGGCCCCCTATAAATCAGATTTTATGTTTTGCCGTCGGGGCACTCCATTTAAAGAGACCTGTTTATACACACCCAACATCACTTTAAATGAGAACAAGATCATATGCCAGTGTCAGGCACCTCCATTTTGTAGAAGATTTGAAATACCATTTTGTAGATGGGTAAGGGAAGTTGATAAATACATCCACAAATGTAAATATATTTGAACACAAAAAAATATTAACCGACCATGTGGATTTTGTGGTGGAGATGATCGCAAAGTTTTCAAAGCCTCCAAAATTTTGAAACCAGCCCCGGTCCAGAAAAAAAAACGATGACCACTACTTCGGTCCAGTCTATCTGACTACTTCTGTTGGACGATACTTTATGAAACCCGATTGCCAGATGCACAAGATGCAAAAATTTGAGATATGCAAGGATTGCTTGAGAGATTTTAAGACGACATTTCATTCAGAGTAAACTGTTTACAAATTGGTCGCCCAAAAAAAACCAGGGTGCGACCACAGGGTTGCTTTGTGTCTTACAAAATGGTTCTCCCATTTTTCACAATTTTTTGGACACTATGTTAACCCAAAATATTTCATGTTGGTGGGCAGGTGGGGTACCCTGGGGCCACCATTTTGTAGGCAGCGACCCCCATGGGTGCTACCATTTTGTAGGTGTCCCCATACCATTTTGTAGGGGGGTAGGCTGGGCACCCTACACTTTGGTAGGCCTATCCCATTTAAAATGGTAGGCCCTGGGCCCCCTATAAATCAGATTTTATGTTTTGCCGTCGGGGCACTCCATTTAAAGAGACCTGTTTATACACACCCAACATCACTTTAAATGAGAACAAGATCATATGCCAGTGTCAGGCACCTCCATTTTGTAGAAGATTTGGAATACCATTTTGTAGATGGGTAAGGGGAGTTGATAAATACATCCACAAATGTAAATATATTTGAACACAAAAAAAATAACCGACCATGTGGATTTTGTGGTGGAGATGATCGCAAAGTTTTCAAAGCCTCCAAAATTTTGAAACCAGCCCCGGTCCAGGAAAAAAAGCGATGACCACTACTTCGGTCCAGTCTATCTGACTACTTCTGTTGGACGATACTTTATGAAACCCGATTGCCAGATGCACAAGATGCAAAAATTTGAGATATGCAAGGATTGCTTGAGAGATTTTAAGAAGACATTTCATTCAGAGCAAGCTGTCTACAAATTTGTCGCCCAAACAAGACCAGGGTGCGACCACAGGGTTGCTTTGTGTCTTACAAAATGGTTCTCCCATTTTTCACAATTTTTTGGACACTATGTTAACCCAAAATATTTGATGTTGGCGGGCAGGTGGGGTACCCTGGGGCCACCATTTTGTAGGCAACAACCCCCATGGGTGCTACCATTTTGTAGGTGTCCCCATACCATTTTGTAGGGGGGTAGGCTGGGCACCCTACACTTAGGGGGGCCCATCCTCTCGGGGCGAATTTCAAGGGGGATAATAATGGTAAATTTACCATTACTTACCATTATTTACCATGATTTTCTATCATTTCTGCAGTGCTCATCACCTTTCCAGGGAGCCCAGGTTGGAGCAGCTTGGTGCGGCCCGCCTCCCTGCGCACCATGCGCGCCTTCGCCCGAGAGCCTCTGGAGCTGGGGACCTTCACGCGCTTCCTGGCGGTGGGGCCGGGAGGATGGGATGGATGGGATGGTTTTCCCATCTGGTTATTTAACATAGCCATGGAAAATCACAATTTTTAATAGGTAAACCATCTATAAATGGGCAATTTTCCATGGCTATGTTAAATAACCAGATGGTAAATCGTTGATGGTTAAACAATGTTAAACATAACAAGTCATCAACTGGGATGTTTTTACCCTTCGGTAAACTGTTACATAACTATGGACAATCATCATTTTCAATGGGTAAATCAACTATCAATGGCCATTTTCAATAGCTATGTTAGTTTACCAGATGGTAATCAATCATCAAAATAACTGGAAAATGAATGATGAGTTCAGTTGTGATGGTTGATTCGGTTTGCTTTCAACATAGCTGACATAGCTGCTGAGTTCTGATTTTCGGCAAAAGTTCATGGGCAGTGTGCCACAAAATAGACACCACCAACTTGTACACCTCTTCGAATTCATCTAATATATGTTCTGAACAGGACCCAATGTCTCCTAAATCGCTCATTAAAAGGTACTCGTAGTGGCTTGCGTGGCTTGCCACATGGGTGGCTAGTTCCCATTGTCGGTAGGTCTTACCTTCGCCTCATGCCGCAATATAGAGGCTGAGAACCAACCCAAGTTTCGTGCACTGTATTTAGCTGCTAGCTCAACATGGTAGGTGACCACGACGTTTGCATACACAGTCATCTGAAAAAATGTTGGACACATAGTCAATTTATCCACAGATATACTTGGATACCGCATATGGCGGTGATTTCCATCCCCAACTTGGCCGCCAGTCGTTTTGAACGACAGCTGTTAGGTGCATGAAGAGTTACAGCAGCGGAAGATGCTGATCTTCCGATTGATGCAACCTTTTCAGCGCCTCGCTCCTGAGGATCGGTGGCTCTCCGTGGCCGACCTGGCCCCATTAAATGGGTGGAACAATGGTCATTTCGAAGTTTTATGCAATCCTTTCGATTTTTGGGAGCTTGGATTCTATAACCTAGCCATGTTTCTGATTTGGCAATTGGAGTTGATGGAGGAGCTGGGTCGAAGCGAAGGGTGACAGTAGGTGCCAGTTTTGTTCGCACCCTTTTGGATTTCCATGCGGTTTTACTTAAAATCATGCGGTCAATGTGGTGCAATTACAGCTTCTCAGTTCCACCGGGATTTTTTTGTTGTTCACTCAATCTTCAGCACATATTGGGTTCATTTAGGTTCTACCTTTCTACCCCCATCGCTTGTGTTTGCTCTTCATCTATTATATCCCATTTGTCCACTTGTTGATTTCGCATCCGCCAGCAACGACCAGGCATTTTCTATGCCGCCTCCAGATTTTTTCATGACTATACTATACAATGCCAAAAACGCCTTCTACCCTCTGGTAATTTAACGTAGCTATTGAAAATGACCATTTATAGTGGATTTTCCCATTAAAAATGGTGACTTTCCATAGCTATGTTAATTTACCAGAGGGTACAACCCAAACAGCCAAGATGAAGCCCAGGAATTTGCTGGAACACGCCCTGGAAATTGTGACCCTTTGGTACGGTGGACGCCTGGCCTTGCGTGGACAGATGGATTTCGGGGAGCTCTCCTCGGCAGTTCTGGTGGCCCAGAACGCCTTCGATGGAGCGAGGTGAAGATGGGATACAACATGGTTTAAACATGGTTTAAACCATGGTAAAAACTGCCATGTGTATGTAAACCATGACAAAAACTGCCATGTGTGTGCTCTGTTCTTATCAATGTAATGTTCTTTCATCTTTTGATTGTGTCCAGCATCGAGATTTTGGATCCGCACAAATCTGCTCTTGGCTGCAGGTTTGCGCAGGCAGCTGCTGCCAACGTCTCCAAGCAAGCCTCCTGGAATCAGATGGATTTGGGTCAAAACTGGGTACTTCAAGATTGGATCACTGGATGCTTTACCACTTTTATTTACTGACCAATTTTTTGTGGTTCACAGTGGCTCAGTTTTTGACCAAATTCATCAACGCCACGCTGGGGCTCATCTAAAAAAAAATGTGGTCACACAATCTGGATCCAATACATATATATCACATCAATAAGTAGATGTATATAGTATCTATATCTATATATGTCGTATGATTAATTCTCTTTTTTTACGTTTCTAATTTCTGCCCGTTTCTGCCACATAGCCTTTGAAGCCATCCCCTCCTAAGGCTCTCGGACCCATGGCGCAGATGGCCCAACTGCTATCCAGGCGTCCCAAGATTGGTGCCTTGGTGTCCCAACTATGGCCTGAATTTAGTGGATCTTTGGGTCATCGACTTAGTCGATTTGTTGCTCACCCAACCCCAAAAACAGCTGCAAGCAGTAGCCCAACATTCACCTAAAGCTGTCATGAGTTGCTGGATATGTTATAATCTGATTCCAACAATATCAAAAGTAGTCGTTTCGACATTTTGGGGGAAAGCCGTTGAGTGAAATATTTTGTGATTGGGGGCAGCTTTTGGGCTCAGTTTGAATGTCCGCACGTTGCAATAAGTGCGGCCAAGGGGAGCCACACTTAAGTGACTCGTGGTGTCTCTGTTGTTGTGCCGTTGAGGCACTGGCAGGGGAGCTCAAGTGCGCCTGGGGAAACGCGGGGACGCGGGCTGTGGCCTCTGATATCCTCGTGAGTGCCACTAGGCAAATCCGAGCGATCCGTCGCTTGGGCATTGCTGGAGCTGGCAAGGGTCGCCCTGCCGTACCTGAGCCTGCTGGCACTGCCGCTGCAGGTCAGGGTGCTCCAAGCTCCGAGCGTCCCGCCCCAAGCGCTGAGCGTCCTCTTGCCAGTGCAGCCCGTGAGCGAGGGAGCTCTGCTCTTCCTCCACCAGACGCTGAAGAAGTTCGTGCGTCGGTGAAGAAGGAAGCACCAGCTGAGGCGAGCGCTTCCTGTTACAGTGAGTCAGACGAGAGCGAGGAAAAGACCCACGACGCAGAAGTCGCGCCAGGTCTCAAAGCAGTCCCCAAGGCTAGGTCAGAAGATAGGAGGGAGGAGCCTAGTCGTAGAAGGAGAGGCAGCAGAGAACGCGGAGACAGGAGGGCTGGTTCAGACCGTGCCCCTGCCCCCCGTGAGCGGGAAGATCACAGGAGCCCAATTCAGAGGCGACATCGGTCGAGGTCTCGTCATCGACGCAGGCCCCACAGGAATCCTGACAAGCCAAGGAGGAAACGAAAGAATCACAGAGGTGGAAGCAAGCATCAACGTCTGTGGAGAGCACAGGAGGATCCATATCGTAGATTTCATCAAAAGCAGCCAGACAGGTTTTGGGACGAGGCCCCTGGCCTCCCCTAGCCGACACAATGGCGGAAGCAGAAGAAGAGGTTGGCGGCGAGGCCCCGTCAGGCACAATTATTTTTGCTGTGGACGAAGGGTCAGAGGTGTCACGCGAGACAGAACAGTGGAGGAGAATGTTGATACCCGTGGGTGCCATCTTGGAGGTGTGCATCCAAGGGTCTTCACTTGGCCTTGGCGCTGCGGCCGAGGAGTGGTTTGCAGTGCTGGTCAAAGAAGTGGTGGCCAATCCCTTAGAAGGCTGGAAAATCCGCGGTACCTTCTTGGGATGCGAAAGCCCTTATTATTTACAAGACGTCAAGGATGGTGTTCGGAAAGGCATCATACATTTGTGTCCAACAGACCCTTGCGCCTTCGAGCTGGAAGGACCCATCATACACGCCAGCCGTGTGAGATTGTGGCGGCCTCACAAGTTCGATGCCAACTACCTCGAGTCCGGAGGCAAGGCGGCGCTCAAGCGAGCCATAGCCACCGAGCAGAAAATGGCTGCTGCAGCAAGTGGCGCTGCCCCACCAGGCAGGGCGCCAGGAAAGAAGCGGACCGCTACGCCCAAAGCTGCTGGCCGGGGAAAGGGCGTTGGAGAGGTCAAGAAGGCAAAGAAGTCAGCAAGTGGCGTCATTCCGGTGATGTCCGATGGAGAAGAAGAACGGAGCCAATGGCGGATGGCGAAGGGGGCGATCCTGCGCAGCGCGTGCATCTGAGAGGACTGCTTCGTCAGACGAGGGAGCGGATTCTAGGTGTTGGCACGCGCATAGTCCCAGGAGGGGCTTCGAGTGGTGGTGGAGCTGCCGCCGGCTTAGGCCCTGCAGCGGGCGGCTCCGGTCTTTCTCCTGGGACTTCGTTGAACCCGAGGAAGACCACCCCGTTGGCTCTGGCTCCCCTGGAGGATACAAGCGGAAGAGAGCCGAGGCAATTGAGGAAGCCCACAATGAGCGGGAACTCTACTTCTTCCGCGTTGCTGGCCCAGGCCGTGCAACAGGGGGCCATAGAAGAGAAGCAGAGGAAGAAGCGCAAGAAGGAGAAAGACAAAAAGGATGGAGTCAAGCAACTCCTCAAGCTTCTTCGAGGAGACAAGAAAAAGAAAAAGAAGAAAAGGAAGCGGAGACAAGAAGATCGAGAAGGTCACAGGATCAAACCCGAACCAGATGGCGGAGGAGACCCCGACTCAAGTGGGTACAGCAGCGGAAGCAGCACAAGTGGTTCGGCCGAGGAAGGAGAGCAGAGCGAAGCGGAATCAGATCTGAGTTGCGAAGCTCCTTTGAGAAAACAGGCAACGAAGGAGCCGGGCTCAGTGATGAGGATGCTAGTAAAGCACGCCCAGGAGCAGATGGATCGCGGCTCGTTGCTGGAAAGCGGCAGCGGAACCTCCCCGATCACCACGGGCGTAAAGCTCAGCACCTACTTCGCTTTGCTCATCCGGCCCTATCACTATGCAAATTCACCTTTGCTGCGAGAGCTCTTCGCGCTTGCCCAGTCTATAGATCTTCTGAGGATGGGCAAGCTGCCCGAAACGGGCGACGCGTTAGCGTCCCGTTTCATCGCTGTTCATACAGCGCTGACGGACGGAAACTGGTTGACAGCAAGTCAACTAGAACTGTTCCCTTTGGAACCCGTCCAAAGCACGTCCACGTCGACCATGTTGAAGGCCCAGAAGCACCGTCGCCTTCTGCTCAAAAGTCAGGGCTACAGCATGGGAGGCCGCGGTTGGACGGGACCCTCAAAAGGCAAAGGACAGGGAGCATACGAGAAAGGCAAGAAGGGAGACAACAAAGGCAAAGGACGTGGCAAGGGAAAGAATCAGAACAAGGAGGGATGGCCCAGCAAGGGCGAAGCGAACCCCTGGCGGGAGAACAAGGAGGAGCCGGGGAAGAAGGCCTAGCAGTGAGAGCGGCCTTGGTTTCACCTGCAGTGGATGATGCTGATATGACAGCGGGGCTGGAGTTGTCCGTGCCCTGGCCATCTGAGCTGGAGAGTGGAGTGGCTATTTTTAAGGAGCTGGCTGGTCACTGTGGAAGCTTTGAATCCGCAGGAAGAGGCCTGGCTTGGCTACTCTTCAACTTTCCGCGCTTTGACATGGCTGGGGAGGTCGATCAGGCCTACAGGCTGTCTGTGATGGGCAGAACTTCAATGCAGTATGCCATGCACCGAGGACCTGCTCATCGTAGCAGGCCTCTGTTCCCCCTTCCCTTGGGCGAAGCCTCAGGGGTAAAGCAGGCTGCCGAGAGGGCGAGCCTTAGTGATTTTTGCAGCCCGCATTTTGCGGGGCTTGAGCCTGAGATGATCTGGTTGGCGCTTGGAACACTGGGCTTGAACAGTGTCGCTGGCTTTGGCCGTGCGGAGTCGACAAGGAAGTCTACAGACTTGCAACGGGCAGCGCTTTGTAGCATCAAGCAGAGCATCAACCGGGTGCTGCCTGGCGACGTGCGCCTGGACCGATCAGTGGCAGAGGCAGAAAAGGAGCTTTCAAATCGGTTTGTGAGTTATAGCGGTGAGGAAGTCCCCAAAATGCAAACCCTTTCTATTGCGGCGGCTAAGGGTGCTCTCCCCCCAAAGAGTCATGGGGGATCAGTGGATGCTTTGGCTTTTGTTTCTGGCGGAACTAGGTGGTTTTTAGAGCACCCGGAGGAGTCATTGGTGAAGGAACTTCCCCCGGGGTCCAAACTCCAAGCGAAGGTACATATTGCTCAGGGTGAATCACTGGAGTTTTGTCAGCTCCTTGTTGACCGACAAATTTGTATATGGGTTCCCGATGATGAAGTTCTAACTTTTGGAGGGCAAAAAGTTTTGAACGGCATGTTTGCAGTAGGAAAAGGAATACCTTCAGATGCTGGGCCTGAACTGCAACGAACCATCATGAACCTTATTCCCACAAACTCGGTTTTTAAACAGATTCAAGGGGGCACTGCTGACCTTCCAACTATTTGTCAATACCTCTCCCTGGTTGTTGATGCGAATGAGCAAGTGTCTTTTTACCAGAGTGACATGTCTGCTGCTTTCTATCTCTTTAGAATTCCGAAACAATGGTCACGGATGATGGCTTTCAATGTGCGGTTTTTGGGACAGCAGTTGGGGCTCCAAGACAATGTCTGGTACAGACCGGGGTGCGCGGTTATCCCGATGGGATGGGCGTCGGCGGTCAGCGTCATGCAAGAGATCGCTGAACGCCTGACCGTTATCGGTCGCCTCCCTGCTGCAAACCAGGTTCGGCGGTTAGCGCCCCTGCCGACCTGGTTGACTGCAGTATTGGAGGAGGCGCGTGGCGCTGGAAAACCCTGGTTTCATGTTTACTTAGACAATTTCTGTGCGATGGAGAAGGGAGCCGCTGAAGCACTGCCTGGTGCGGGAGCTGCCATGCATCAAGCCCTGGAACAAGCTTGGGCCTCTTCAGGCGTGCTCTCTTCTGCCAAGAAGAGAGTTGTTGGAGCAAGTTCAGTGCACGAGCTTGGGGCCTTTATCCAAGGAGTTCAGGGCACCATGGGGCCTAGCGGAGAGAGGGTGCTGAAACTTGTTCAGAGCACCCTATTTGTCATAGGTCAGCGCCGTTTGAGACACAAATGGGTCCAGGTACTGGCAGGCCGCTGGGTACATTGCATGAGCTTTAGACGACCCACAATGGTTGTCTTGGATCAGACATGGCTTTATATAGCAGGGAAGAAGCGCGGTGAGCTGAATGAAAGCAAAGTACGGAGCGAGCTCTTGTGCTGCTGTTGTTTGGGCCTGCTGATCCACACCAACCTACGGGCAACTCTCAGCCCTGTCACTACAGCGAGCGATGCTTCAATGATTGGTGGTGCTGTGGGCCAGTCACGTGCACTTACCGATGCGGGAGCGGAGTTCGCCGACGCTGATAGGAGGGGCATGAGTGGCGGCACTGAGATTCCTGTCTTGGTATTGAGCCTCTTCAACGGCGTCGGCTGCACGTTCCGCTGTTATGACCTGTGCGGATTGACGCCGGCGGTTGGTATCGCCTACGAGATTAGTTCGGCGGCGAACAGAGTGACAAGCCGCAGATGGCCCTTTGTGAAGATCGAGGGAGATGTGAGAACCCTCACTACGGAAGTGATTCGAGAGTGGCGATATAAATATCCCCACATAGAAGAAATCCATGTGTGGTTTGGCTTCCCGTGCGTAGGACTTTCAAGTGTCCGCGCTGGGCGCCTTAACCTGGATGATCCTGAAAGTGGCCTCTTTTGGGAGGCTGTTCGGATCATCAAAAGCATCCGACAAGTTTTTGGGTACAGTTTTCGGGTGCTGTTTGCTGGCGAGAATGTGGCCAGCATGGATGCTTCTGCTGCTGAGGAGATCTCATCTGTGCTGGGTACGAAACCCCTGCGCATGGATCCAGCCTCGGTGGTGCCTATACACCGGCCCAGATTTTGCTGGACCAATGCAGAGCTTGAGGCGATGGATGGAGTCTGGCTGGAGGAAAAACAGCGGTGGATTGAGGTGACTATGGACGGAACTGGCCCGGAAGTGGGGAGCTGGCTTCAAGAAGGAGCCGTTTGGCCTGGTTCCCAAGAGGGGGCTGTTCTGCCGACATGCATGAAATGCATCAAGCGAAGCCGGCCTCCTCCTAGTCCAGCCGGTATTGATCGTGTAGACTGGGAGGGAAAACAAAGATGGCAGGCTGACTCGTTCCGGTTCCCCCCATATCAATACCATAGGAAGTTTGTCATCTGGGTTGGTGAGCGTTGGAGGCTGGTGAATGCCGATGAAAGGGAACTTCTTCATGGTTTGGGGTTTCAGCACACTATACTATGTTGGAATGCAGGGGCTATCAAAGCTGACCCCCAGGGGTTTGAGGACCAAAGGAAAACCTTGGTTGGTGATTCATTTAGCTGTTACTCCTTTGTTTACATCGCAGCGCTGCTTTGCAACAGGTGGTTTAAATTGCCCCCTTATCAACTGCTTCTGGACCGAATGGGAATGGCTCCGGGTTTTGTTTGTCCCCTGAAAGTCAAGATCCCCCTGCAACCTCGACTGGCCTATGGTTCTATTTCACAGAATGTTTCTGTTGAGACGCTCCACTCTGCATTGCTCCGAAGGGTAAATCATACAGGGTCTGATGTCCGTATTGCAACTGGTACGTTGTTTAACCCTCGGTGTTTCCCCAGACAATCGGCTTCAGCTGCTTGGTGGAAATGGTCTAAGGTCTTTGCATGCAGGTGGCAGAAAACAGAACATATCAATTCACTTGAACTTCGTGCCATTATTCTAGCAATAGAATGGAGGATCAAACATCTCAAAGAAGCTCATGTTCGGGTTTTCCATCTCACGGATTCATATATTTGTATGAGCATCATTTCCAAGGGTCGGTCCTCGTCATCTATGCTGAAGCCGTTGCTGGCGCGATTGACTGCGCTACTCCTGGCCTTCGATATTTTCTTGGTGGTGTCCCACGTTGAAAGCAGTGAAAACCCGACCGACCATGCCAGTCGGCAGTAAATTCTGGCCTGGCCAGGCCACTCAGGCTGAAAGAAAGGAGGCTCGAAGAGACATTATCCTCGAGGACGTAGGTATCACCGCTGCCACTCTTGACAGATATTACATGGCTGTTAGCCGAATGGCACCAGTCCTGTCGCTGGTTTCGACCGAGGCCGACTTGGACGATGCAATTTCGGACTGGATCCAGGAGGAGTTCGAAACAGGAACTCCTCTACATCTGGTTGGTGACGCTCTATCAGGACTTCACCACTTTGAGCCATTTGCGCGGCGAAAAATTCCAAAGGCTTGGCGCCTTTATGGAATTTGGAGGAAATTCGAGATTCCTTGCCGTGCACCTCCCGTTACACAGGACATAGTGCTGGCGATGGCGGGGTGGTGCGTGGCTCATCATGAACTTACAATGGCGGCCTTACTGCTCTTGGGCTTCCACTGCCTTTTGAGAACAGGGGAGCTCTTACAGGTGCGCCCCTGTGACTTTATTTTGGACAGGAAGGCAGGGGTGTTATCTATTCCTAGTAGCAAAAGCGGTGTCAGGAATAACTCTAAAGAGAGTGTTACAATTTCTGATGTGACTACGTTGGAGGTCACACAAGCAATGCTGGATCTTCGTACTCAGCTGGGTATGTCAATGACACCGTGCTGGGGACGCAGTGGGTCAGCTTTCCGGTTGCTCTTCCGACGCATCACTGAAGAGCTGGCAATTCAGGATCTCAGCCTCAGACCGTACAGTCTCCGTCGAGGAGGAGCAACGTACGAGATGCAAAGTCATGGTCTGATGGAAAAGACATTAATTAGAGGAAGATGGAAAAACAGCAATGTAGCTCGTATCTACATTTGTGATGGGCTGGCAATGCTGCCGCGCCTATGCATGAGCCTGGAGGCTAAGTTCAATGTGGCGCGCTGGTCGTCGATTTTCATCAACGAGCACCACTGCTTCGTGGATGGGAAGCGTGGAAGAAAGCGTGCTAAGCACCTTTGAGAAGCAGGTCCTGCCATGGACCAAGGTTGATACAAGATCCTGCCATGGATCAAACGTTTGAAAAAGCCCTGCCATGGGCCGAATTGAAAGTTTCATAATTTGTGAGTTCCATGACGTCAGTCATGGAGATCAAAACTCTCGTGCATGGCAAAATAGAGAGCGGCTGCTTGACTCCAAAGTAGTCGTTTCGACATTTTGGGGGAAAGCAGTTGAGTGAAATATTTTGTGATTGGGGGCAGCTTTTGGGCCCCCTCCTCTCCCACCACTTTTCTTTGGGGGAACTAAGAATGGAAGGAAGAAAGCGTGCTAAGCACCTTTGAGAAGCAGGTCCTGCCATGGACCAAGGTTGATACAAGATCCTGCCATGGATCAAACGTTTGAAAAAGCCCTGCCATGGGCCGAATTGAAAGTTTCATAATTTGTGAGTTCCATGACGTCAGTCATGGAGATCAAAACTCTCGTGCATGGCAAAATAGAGAGCGGCTGCTTGACTCCAACATATTGGACCCCCAAAATCACCAGGAGCCACTAAGACCTGCACGACCTGCGCGACCTGAGGTTTGGATCGGCCACCCTTGGGCTCCATGCCTAAGGCTGGGGAGGTGAAGTGGAGCTTGGAGTTTCGCAAGGTGAATTTCTCCTATCAGCAGCGGGGGGTGGAGATTTTGAAGGATTTGAGCTTCCAGGTGCACCAGGGAGAATTCTTGGGACACTTGGCTTGGAGTTTAGGTTGATTCTCTAACTCTTTTTGCTGATAAAATGATATAAAACAATGAGAAACTAGAGAGAAGTTGTGAGGATGAAGGGAATAAGTCGGGAAATCAGTCAGTGAGAGGACAAAAGGTTACGAAATGAGATGACTTTGGCTTCATTACGTCACCAGGTGCTGTCAGTGGGCTCAGTAGGTGTGTGTCTATGCGTGTGTGTGTGTGTATGCGTGCACGTTGGAACGTAATATGGACATACGCCATACGCATACTGATGTGAATATGCAAGTGAGCTTACGGCCACCAAGACCATCCACGTATCCATTTATCAGATTTCAATTTGGAAGGGATGGAGCACAGAAAAGGCTGGGCAGATGGATATCCGCCTGCTGAGGCATTTTGGGAACAACTGGATCTGGAAAATCCACGATTCTGTCACTGATTCTTCGGCTCTATGAGCCAAGCAGCGGCCAAATCCTGCTCGATGGGAAGGACATCAAGGAGTACAATCCCTTGTGGTTGCGCCACCACATTGGCTTTGTCAGTCAGGACACCGCGCTGCGTTCAAATTGAAACCGAGGTTGTTCAAGGTCACTATGAATAATTATATAGTTTTTTCCTCACAGAGAGGTGGAGAAGTATACTGTAGCATATATTATAAATGCACCATTCACAAACAAAGAATCACGAGACAGATGGCAAAGATGATAATACATTGGTGACAAAATGAGACTGTTTGGAGAATGTGATTGGGTTCATGGGTGAGGGCAGCAAAAGCTTGAATGCCGAAGCAAGACTCGCAGTTGATGATTTTCCCATCATACATCGAATGAAATGGGCATTTTTTACTTGCCATGTTCGTTTACCGGAGGGTATTCGGAATCAACTATATACATCACGTAGCTATTAACTATCATGAAGATTTGAGAGTGATAGATCAGATAAGGTCACATTTTATTGGATGAGGTAGATCGATATGTGTTTACATTTACATACGCCCATATGAACATACACGAACATAACCTATCCATCATCCATCATCCATCATCCACCATCCACCATCCACCATCCACCATCTATCATCCATCATCCATCATCCATCATCCAGCTTCCATCATCCATCATCATCATCATCATCACCACCACCACCACCATCACCATCACCATTACCATCACCATCACCATCACCATCGTCATCCACCAAAGATGATCGCACTACTTAATTAAGCGTTTTTGAATCAATAGCCGTAAAACCCATGAATCGATCATTGAAAACAAATCAATAACCATCATCTTATAGTCATCATTAAGTGGTTTATTGCGCCTATTGATTTTTTAAAGAATCATTATTAAACCAGCAATTTAAGTAATCATCAACCTCTTCATCTCCTGCTCCAGGACTTGGTCTTATGCAACCGCACCATCCGCGAGAACCTGCTCTACGGCTGCGGCTCCTTTGACGGCACAGCCCTCGAGCCGAGTGACGCCTGCGCACGCAGGGCGCTCCGGGTCGCACAATGTGAGGCACGGGGAAGATCTGCGCAGGGCAGATCCATCTTGGGCATGTAATATAAATGGCGGTTTCCATAAATGGGGGTATCCTAAAATGGATTGTTTATAGTGGAAAATCCTATCAATTGCACTGGGTGATTACAGTGGGTAATTTTTTGGGTACCACCATTTTAGGACACCTACTAGTACCAATATCATTTGCTATATGCATACAGTATTTATACTTTTCGGATTTGAAGTATCAGCTGGAATTTAGACAAACATGCACATCTGTGATGTATGGACGGTTCTACAGTTATACTAAGTTATACACGCCATCTCTAGGGGTTTCACACATCGTCAAACTGAATCTCATGGATCCAAAGGACCAACACCGTTTTGTTTTGGGATGGGTGGCTTGGTGCCACCAGGTAATGCTGGGCTTCTCCCGAAGAACTTCCGCTTGTCATCAGGGATTGTGATTAGTCCAAAACAGCCACAATCCCTATCCTCCCGCCATATACGATAATAGGAATCTACAGAAATTAGGACCATGCTCACACTCTACAAACCAACCACTGTCAACCACAATAGTCTTGTTGTTTATGCCCCGATGGAGATATCATACCCCCATGAGCCAACCATTACTTCCCATAAATGTCACCGCATGTTATACATAATCCATTTTATGACTTTTGGCTTTGGGCCAGTAAACAATCCCCGAATTGGATGACTCCCTACTATTAAACATGAGATTTTGGTGTCATCATTTTGATTTGGCAATGCATAATCTCCCATTTATAGCTGAGTTTCCCATCAACCCCGCCCATTCCCATGGGAATTCCTAGGCAGCCATGTTGAAAATCACTGGTGCCCCCTGAGAACCATAAATCCAACCAGGACACCTTCTTCAACGCCGAAGCCTTCCCCAACCTTTGGCACACCGACGTGGGCAACAGCGGCAGCGATCTGAGCGGCGGCGAGAAGCAGCGCCTGGCGGTGGCACGGGCCGTGGTGAAGCAACCGCGGCTGCTGATTTTGGACGAAGCAACGTCGGCATTGGACGAGATCTCGCAGGATGATGGCTTGGGGATGGGGATGGGGAAGACTATCAACTTCATGGCCTTGCACTGGCGGATTAGAAATCATTAGAAATCCATAAAAATCCCAACTCGGTCCTTTTGCGGAATTGCAGGCGCGACTGCAAGATGAAATCGAGAAACTGCGCCAACAGCAAGGCACCTTGGTTTGGAACAAGGCTTTTTTTTCTAGAATCTAGAATCTAGATTCTATAGATTTTTTGGAGTCCACACCCAGGCTTCAACATGAAGCCAACAAAATTTGGAAATCACTGCCATGTCGAACGACATTTTGCATCTCAAACCAAACTTCCCATTGATCGAAAGTGGGAGACGGTAAATCGTGTCAAAACCATGGGGCCTTGTTCCCTAGTCATAGTCGCCCCTAGTCGCATCTAGCACAGCCATGAGGCCTCACGGTGATCTGCGTGGCCCATCGTCTTTCCAACTTGGCGCGTGCTGATCGACTGCTGGTCCTCCAAGAAGGGCAGCTGGTGGAGGAGGGATCCCCGGCTGAGCTCGCAGCGCAGGATGGCGTCTTTGCAGAATATGCGCGTGCGCATCAGGCGGTGTTGGATGGAAGCTGAAGCGAATGACGATGGAAACATATGGAAACCATTGGAGAATTCAAGACATTCAAGGTCCAGGTCATTCCAGGTCCGTTTGAAAATTGAAGGAAAGCATTTGAGAACCACCCAGAAGTCATCCGACATCCACTGGATTTAGAACATCATTTGCGCATTTCTTTGATTTTTTTGGCGTATGCCCTGGTATACCTGATTTCTGGACTGGCTAACAGGTGATCTTAAAAGGAAACTTACAGGAAACGATTGTCTTTGTCACCAAACCGATGGGGGTTCCCATGGGTTCCTGCAGTAATTCTACCAGTGCAAGAACTCCTTAGAGCGACTGGCAACTATTGGATTCTTTTCTGGTGATTGGATGTGATGGGTCCATATGAAGACCCTTGTCACAGTTTCATGGCTACATCAGATGCTCGAAGGCTTTGGCCATCCATATGCCCCTTTTCTTTCCCCTTGGAGGGCGTGTTGTACATATGGTGCTGGCTGTGGGAATCCCGAAATGGTATGTTGTGCCGGGGCGTTCCCCGCTAGCCACTGACCCCACGTGGATTGGTTCGAAAAAAGGGAGGGAAGGAAATGAATTTGGAGGAATTGTGTGTGTGTGTGTGTATATACACACACACACATATATATATATGCGCGTGTGTGTGTGTGTGGAATTGTACATACATGTATATACTTATCCCAAGCAGCAGTTCTTAGTAGCTTAGTGATGCTTAGTGATCTAAAGTTAGGAAGTATGATTGTCCGAGGGACTGGCTGGGACCATCGCCCAAGTGTTGCGAAACGTCTTCATATCTTGTCACTCTTAGCTTCTTTTCTTTTTTATTGTTTTCAGATCTCGTTCGTACATGCACCTGTATGGGAGTATGAACGATGAGTTGCAGGAGATGCAAGGAAAGGCCGGGCAAACGCCCAGAGTAGATAGAGACTAGAGGGTAGGTCCGAATCTACGCTTCTGTATTTCTATTTGGAGGCTTCCTAAAATGGAGGGACCTCCAAATCATCCAAAAGATTGACTATTTCAGTATTGAAACCTATGGTTTTGGGGATGCCCCATCTTAAGAACCCCCGCGGAATGTTGAGCGTCAGGCCGGTGCTCAATCGCTGGCTGGGTGGTTTCGAAGCAGCAACCATGAAAGGCGGGCGCAGTGTACAGCTGCAGACTTGAGATATTTTGAGATCATCCGATGCTGCAATGTCTGGGATGTTTGCTTAGATTTTGAGTGATTTCGAACTGCCAGCTATACCATACATGGGGTTTCCCAAAATGGCAGGCCGGAAAGTAATTCAATTCTTGTCTTGGGGAATTCAGCTGCGGCTTGCAGCGCTGCCCTGAAGATCGGCCGCATGACAACCGAAGATGGCCCACATCCATTGATTCATGTCAGACAGGAATTTTCTGGATGGTAGGGATGGCACAATCACATCATAACACATATGTACACACACACACATAATATATATATATATATGCATACACACACATATATACACACACATATATATATATATATACTCATATAACACTATATAATATAATATAATATAATAATAATGATAATTATATATATATATATCTCATCTCCCAATGGTTGGTGGTAAATCTCCATGATGGATGCGTTAAACAACACATATCAACACCATTGTTCATCATGACATGTGAAACATCTGTGCCAGGCCTGGAGGAGGCGCAGCGTCCTGTGCGCATGGAGAATTTGAAGATCTTTCAATGGTAAGCCATTCGTAAACGGCTGATGGTAGGCGGTTTCGCGGATGTTTATGGGTTTTTCCAATCAGTCAATCAATCAATCAATCAATATATGATAATATATGTGATTTTTATCAAATATTAGATGGCCAAAAAGGGCGGCTTTCCATTCAAACAAACTCCCCAATTCATCCTAATTCAACATGTCCACATGAATTTCCGAGTCAAAAATCCATAGATGTCCAAGCAAATTGCCTAACCCATAGGATCCATGTATGGTATATATGCTAACATTTGGGGTATATTGATGGTAAATGTTACCATATATAGCATACATGGATCCTATGGGTAAGAAATCCAATTTCTTCAGGTTTTCACAGGGATTTTCCATTTCACCTCGAAACATCGCATCGCCAGGCCCGTGCCAGCGATCTGGTGAAGGCCGAGGATGCCTGGCGTCAGATCAGCGTTGGCAGGTGGGCCTGAAACAGACGTGTGATGGGACTAAAATATGTGATATATATATATTATTATTATTATTATTATTATTATTATTGATATATTGTGAATATAATATATATACATATAGATATGGCATGATATGGATCTATATGTCAGCATTCATATTTCTGATATATTAACTTATATAAATGTAAAACAAATGCACTCATGAATAATACACACGTATATACATGTATGCGTATAGCCTGGGAGCAAATATAAATCTCAAGGATGTGTATATATACATATATACATACATGCATATATAAATATATATATATATATACATATTTACAGATATATGAGTGTGTCCTGTGCATATAATTTGCCTGAAATATTCTGCAGGGAGAGAATTCGGTTATTTATGTACATATATATATATATATATGTGGCGATGGGGAGAGAGAGAGAGAGATATATATATATATATGTATACATAGATGTATATGCATAATAATTTGCAAATGGATAAACCACGAACACATCCATTATACACATATATGTATACAAATCGCACATGACATGCTATATAAACATATTTGCATTTGCGTTTGTTTGTCCAATTATTGTGAGTCTGAATCTATAAGCAGAACGTTGTGTGCGTGATAGTGGCTAGGTGGGATTGGATTTTGTTTCGGATACCATTTGGCCATCAATCATGGCAAGGAAGTGTCACTGTTATAGCAAAAAAAGCGCAGGAGTGCCCTTATATTTCCCATTCCCATGTTTGTTTTCCGGAGAGACATTTGAGGGGTACGAGTCAAGAAAAGGGCACCACCGGATCCACATATTGGATCGGGTAGCCGCCATATTTTCAGGACTTATAATATCAGGTAACCCATGGTAGAAAACCGATGGCAAAACTATCAAGACCCTCACGAAGATGGTCCCGTACCAGGTGGTCTCCCCTTAGAAAAAATGTTTTTTCAATCCATCAAACTGCAGTCATATTTGGCATATATTTAACGTCATGGCTAGCCAACCTACTTGTAAACCAGCTTCGCTAACTACAAATGGTATCAAACCTATGACCTATGAATCCCCATGAAATCTAGGCAACTTACCATGATTTACCAATGATTAGGTCTTCAAACCCTCCCCCATTTCCCTTGGCACTGCAGCCTGGTGGAGTACTCGCGCGAGGGCCTTCCGTCTCTCAGGGCGGAGGTGCTGGTGTGCTGGTGAAATCGGGGTTCGCAGCAAGTTATGGCAGTTATGGCTAGGAGATAGGAGATGGGGAATTTTAAGGATGTTGCCCCACAAATATGATCAATTTGATGACAATTTGATGCCTTTTGGAGGGATTGATCCATATAATAATTGGGCAGTTTGACTCATGGGCCCCAACTTTTGAGGGTTTTGATCGCATGTTATTTCTGGGGTTTTACTATGTTTTACTACCTGGCCCAGGGGATATATACTAACCACCAGGTTTTTCATGGCATGGGATAAGATTATTTTTTATGACCCAAATGGTGTTTGGAGCAACCAACATTGGGTTTAAGCACACAGATTGGATGTTTACTCCCTGAAAAATCCTGAAAACTGATGTAGGATCCCCAAACTATGGAGTTGTAAGTGTTTTTTTGGTGGCAAACATGTGGGAGCTAAAGCGAGCCCAGATATCATCCAAAATCACAGGCAAGTCAGCAAAATCATGCAGCAATATCTCATCAAATAATCGATCTGCCACCATCACCAAGCAGCCTTTCATAGCCTTTCCTTTGCGGCAGGTCATTGCGAAAGAGGAAGGCACCTGCGATTTGTGGTGGCCTGGGCCCTCAGGACCGGAGTGCCCCCGCTTTCAGAACGGAAAGCCGACGCCAGGGATGTGATTGAGTCATACGCACATCTCCTGCGCTCTCTGTATTTGTTTGTGTGTCTAAACAAGAAATTTACAAGTAACTTGGCATAATTTGGCACTATTTTGGTAGGAGATGGTAGGAACCTACTTTTCTATCTTAGGGGTTATCCATGGTAGTCGTGAGGTGGGAGCCCAGTGGCATGCGCCATGGCCGCTTTCAGGAGACAGAAGTGGGCTAAGGTTTTTTCTTTTTCTGTTTTTCTTTTCTTTTTTCCCATCTGTTTTATAATACCCTCTGGTTATTTAACATAGCCATGGGAAATGACCCATTTATAGATGGTTTACCTATTAAAAATGGTGATTTTCCATGGCTATGTTAAATAACCAGATGGTAACTTATAATACTTACTTCAACATACTACATGCTTGAGTATTGTTTGAGTATTGTTTGAGTATTGCTTGTACGTGCATATGCACGGTACGATTCACATATTTGTCGATTTAACCTATATGTTGAGATTTAAGTTTCAATCTAAATGACTATAGATAACTCATATGAATGTAAATATGACAACATATCTATATGCTGCATGCTGCCAAGTGGATAGATACAGTGGAATGCTCTTCCAGGCTGCGAATGTCTCAAAGATGCAGGCAGGAAGTGGATGTTCGGCGGCGGAAACTATTACATACTATAGACTATATATATATATACTATATATATATATGGGTAAATTATAACGACCTCACTGTTCTCCCTCACTGGAATCATAGTTAATCATAGTTAATCATCCCCAAATGGGCCTTAATTCAGGTTAGTGAAATATTATAATTTACCCATATATATATACTTTAATGGATATAACCACGGTGGACTAAACTTCCAAAAGTTGGGATACAAAACCTGGTGACCTGGTGGTTGAGATGCCCCAGCAGCCATACAGCCATAGCTGGACAATGCTGGACATGTTTTTTTTTCAGAGGACAACTTGGACCGGTAGTGGCCAGTTATTGCAACAACAACTCTTGGTTTACAGTAGAGGCAGTGAGAGGTGGTTGACTTTGCTTGGCGATGTGAAAGGGCAAGGCCACAACAAAGGGTTTTTGTATGTCCGGTCTTCAATATCTTAAATCGATGGACTGATTTGAGGGAACGCTGCCAGGAAACATCGAAAACTACTGTTTTTATCATGTTTTATCCTCCAGTTTTTTTAACGGCTTTCCTATGTGTCCCCGCCACTTCAAGCCATACGTCACGTCGGCTCAAGTTTTGGCTCCCCAGGGTTTGCGAGGCGCGCTCCCTTCGGGGAGGTGTCCAGTTGTCGTTTTGTGGCGTTTTGCATAAACATGACCGCGGCTGCTATCATCTCTTGTCACTGAAATCTAGTGTGCATGATTCATGATGTGTTGTTTTTGCAACTTTTCTTATGCTTCATGGCACTTCAATGATCTTCAATGTCAAGCGCTGCGTCCAGGTCATATCCTAGCTGTGGGGATGGCAAAAGTGCGCAAGGTCAGGGACCTGGAAGTGGAGGTTGTGCCATTGCTCCATGGTGCCCACGGCACCGAAAAGTCCTCGCAAAACATTCATCCCTGCCATGGGGACCCAGGGGGCCCACAAGAATTTACCATCCCCCAATCATCAACATTCATCAACCCATTCGGATCCATTTGGGGCGAAATTATCATCCCAAGTAGGGGCGTACCCAATTGCTTCAGACCCCCAAAAAATGGGTATCTCTGGCATTTCTTGCCGGATGCTCGCAGGCGTCGTCGACGCCAAAAGGTACCCGAAAGAGTCCAGGAACTCCCAAGGTGCGAACCCTGGAGATGGAAAACCACCTGCAATGGAAAGATATTGAAAACTCCCCATGGATCATAAATCATCTATACAATGTCTATAGCCGGATATAGAATGGTTTATAGACCAGTTCATAAATGATCTACAAAAGAAATGTTTTTTGCTTCATCTTTTTTCCAGGTTTTCCGGCCCACCGAAGGATCCAAAGCGTACAACCATGTACCCTCTGGTAATTTAACATAGCTATTGAAAATGGCCATTTATAGTGAGTTTTCCCATTAAACATGGTGATTTTCCCATAGCTATGTTAAATTACCAGAGGGTACAACCTGTTGCCGAAGTGAACTTTAGCCACCTGCTAGGCTGCCACAGCTGCATCAGCCAGAAGGAGTCCAGGAACTCCCAAGGCTCAACCCCAAAATAGCCAGAAAAGGTGGACCCTTCGAAATTCTGAGTTACCCTCTGGTAACTTAACATAGCTATTGAAAATCACCATTTTTAATGGGTAAATCCACTATAAATGGCCATTTTCAATAGCTATGTTAAATTACCAGAGGGTAAACAGATGTGAAAAAAATGGAGATTTTCTATCTTCAATGGTTTTTGTTGGCTCCATCCGATTGCTTCAGATTTTCCGGCATCTCGGATCCCTCTTTGGACTGGCAACTTGGATGTGCACCCCGCAAATCGTAAGTGGCTCGGTAAATATGGGTACATGATATATATATATATATATTTATGATATATATATATGTATATTTATGATATATATATATATATATTTATGATATATATATATATATATTATACACATACACATATGATATAATGTACAATATATATATATAACATATATTAATGATTGATTACTGACACCATCCACTTAAGAATGGTAGAATGATGGGATCTGCATCTCTCGATGCAGGCTGCGGCATCGGTGCCTTCGAGCCCGGATGCACCGTCACCAGGGCAGAGGAGCGAAGAATCTCCGGTGCCTTGGCTGTGGCTGTTTTGCGAAACCCTAGCCATCCTCTTAGAGATCTTGGAAGATCTTGGAAGATCTTGGAAGATCTTGGAAGATCTTGGAACAAGAAGATTCTAAGATAGTTCCTGGATGTCTTAATTTGCCTTAAATTTTGCAAAAAAGTTTCATTTAGTGGACTAATCTGTAGTCCACTTCCTTTTCGATGGGTTTCCAACCCCCAGTGTTGGTTTCCAACTCCAAAGTGGCTCAGGTTGGGATGACCGACACCTTGTCCGACCCCGCTCCTTGTCTGACGGGGGGCCTTTTTTTTGTCTGCACTCCCACGGAGTCCATTGCCCCGTTGGGCAACATGAAACGACTAATCGTTCTGGATGGCTTGTGGTGTATACGGCAGATATATTTCTATACCGATATATAGCGCATATATGTATATATATACATATATATATATATAACCAGATAACGCCTAAATGCACATGAATATCCAATCATGGACTGTTGTTTATATAATGGTGGATCCATTACCCAGGAGCCGCAGCCTGCGACCTGCAAAGCAGACATGTGCCTCAGCTGCGAGCCGACATCTTTGAGTCCCTGCCCAGTCAAAATTCATAGCCGAACAAGGGAGACGAACACGATTAATGTTAGTAAAGCAATCATAAACCAGCCATATAAATTGATGGTTTTGTACCACCTATTGATGGTAAATTGGGGTTGACTAGTTTACTATTGCTTCACTATAGGATTAGATCCAATACCCAAACAAGCTTTTCTAGGGGAGCATTTGGTACTAGAGGGAAGGGATTGGTGAAATCAAGGGGAGCCCTCCAGATTTAACATGCTGTAGAGGATGGCTGCGAGAATCTGTGAGACCCACAGAAACACCAGCAAAGAAGTGACATCCTAATTATCCTCGGCAGTGCAGTATCGTATAGTATCGTCAGTGAATTCCACATTTTAAGCTATTCATGATCACTCCGACCTTAAATCGGGTCGCTGCGCTTTGCAACTGCATTTCCCTATCTGGCATTGACTCAGCCACGCAGGGCATCTGCCGACGGGGAGAGAGCGGAAGGCGGCGCAACGATAGCTGGCCGACCATGGCTATCAGCCATGGAGTTAATGTGAGACATTGTGAGACCAATCATAGTGAATAGCCAACTGACCCGGTTTTCCGAGTCTTAGAAACCAGCAATAAATACCGGGGAGTTCTGATTGGCTCAGCTTTACCACATTGTGGAAGCCCAGGGAGCCACTTGCTGGGGCTTCCTGGGCAGGCAGTGCTTTGTTGATGTTCTATGAAGATAATTCCAGTCGTTCTCATGTAAAAGAAAGATATTGTAATTCCAGTCATATGATAGGTATTATTTCTGGTATAAAACATATTTCCATCTCATGATGCCTAAAGAACTGCTAGGTTCTCCTTTCCAAAATCCAAATCGTCACCAGTCCATCCGCCAGGTGCCGAGGGCAGCGAGCCTTCAACGAGAAGGCGAGGACCTGAGAAAACGGTCTATAAATGGGACACAAATCGTGGGAAAACCTCATTTGTTCAATTCTTGAGGGAAATTGGCGAAATTGGTAGAGGAAAAACATCCAATTATTAAATAAATATATATATATATATGTAAATTAATTACGTGAGAACATTCGTTGAAAAAAAACACGAGTATTTCCTACATGTCTGTATTTTTTTTGTCCTGCAGGTTGTTTTTTTTGTCTTTCCAAGCATCTTGGAGAATCTTGGAGATTTACAAAATCACAGGTGGCAACATGGAGCTCCATGATTTTGAATCTTTCAAGATCTTTTAAGCAGTTGATGACCTCAACATACCCTCTGGTAATTTAACAGTTCGCTATTGAAAATGGCCATGAAAATAGTGGATTTTCCCATTAAAAATGGTGATTTTCCAGTTCGCTATGCAACAAATTACCAGAGGGTACCTCAAGCTCTGCCAGGTATTTCCGCGTGGAAGGCCATCTGCATTTGGGGCTGAACCTCACCTTGCGGAAGGTCTATTCCGAGTCCGATCTCGAGAGGCAACCCCCCCCCTTAAAGGTCCCCATGATCCATGGTGGTTGAGTGGCGACCCTCGGCATTTTTGGGAGAAGATCTATATAAGTGATATCAGATTATATAGTATTATATAGTGTATAATTATATAATTTATATATATATATGGTGTGCATATGTGTATATATATACATAATATATATATATATATCAAATGATCAACTATGATGAACTGGCTGATGACTTCACCGCCAGGAGGTGTAAAGGAGACAAAACGAAGCTGGATCGACTTCAAGAGCCTCGGCCAAAAGGGCCATGGTTTGACTCTGTGGAATCATCCCATTGCGGTGCAACGGTGACCGTTTACCCAACAATAAGCCCCAGTGGGTGAATGGTTTTGTATGGTTTTGTCATAATTATTCCATATGTATCCCTGAAGTATCCCACAATCATCCCATCATTGTCCCGTTGTTCTTGGGTTTAGCTCATTACATCCATAGCACCCCAGGAATCTCCAGGAATCATCCAGCTTTATCCAGAATTGCCAGGGGATGATGTCCGGAGAGGGTGACTTGTTAAGAGAGGTGGCGCCACCTCCAAAGCCTCAGAGCAGTGGAGGCGTGACGCAACTGATCGAGCTACAAACCAACTGGGTAGCTCGACTATGCCCGATTGCTCAAACTTGGATGCCTTTTTTTTGCAAGTCCAAGTGTGGACTTCCGGATCTTGTTTGAATTGTTCTGACACCATGACTTGGCAGGCAAAAGGAAACAAGATGAGTTCCTTGGAAGTAACGTTGTCATCATGATTTGGGCACGATCTGGGTTATTTCCAACTCTGAGCCACCTTTCAGGACCAAGTTATCATTCCAAAGATCGAACATGAAGTTTTTCGCTTCACCAGATCCCCCATAGAGACGACCATTGCCAGAGGGTAACCAACCAGGCAAAAACCCTGGTCGTCATAGGCTGGCTGCAGGCTGTCCTCAAACACGAAGGAATGTTCTGATCATCTTTTCTGGGCACATGTAGGTGTACAGGACCATCAAAAAGATAGAAAGATAATGAAAGGTCTTAACATATGTATATATATATATATATGATTCTATATGGAAATAAAGTCCAATTATTAATATATATATATAATAGTCGTAAATTATTGCTAAATTACAGCAAATTATTTTTCTACATCTTCGTCTTCAGGGCTACTCTTGGGGGATCTCACCGTAAAAAAGGCGAGTACAGTAGGGGAGCCCACCCAACCGAGGCTGACCCCTCCAGATCGGCCGCTCGAGGTTCGGCCGGGAGACAACTTCCCAGGGGCCCCAGGGCCCAGTCCTTCCCTGGCTTCAGGAGAAGGAGAGAGAGAAGCTGAAACGCCGTGCCATGAGCCGACGCATTTGTTTGGGCCAGCTGGTCTGGGATTGTTCGCAGCGACCACCTCGTGCAGCCACTGATCTCGCTTGGAATGCGGGATGCTCACGATTCCTACGGTTCTTAGATGTTCTTAGTTGCTTAATGTGGATATACTTGGTTACTTGGATATGTGGGTTGTTTGCGAATGAAAAATGCAGGAGCGGTTCAGTTGAGTGCGGTCTCTTTCTCACCTTATTTTCCCGATACTCGGGACTGACATGGGCTGGGAGGCAATGGCTATATACGTGGTAAGTCGGCCATATCCATAGAATAGCTTCCCCTGACATGTAAGGGGATCACCCCGGGTCTTAAGGGTCCTTTTAGAAAGAAAAGATGCAGAACCTGTCAGTTGATATTATTTGTCTTCAATTCAGATTGCAACATCACACACTTATACACCACAGTCAACACCAGCCCTCGCCCCTAAGGCGAAGGTGACGGCCATCGCGGCTGAGCGACAGGAGCCCTTTTTGATTCGTCATTTGGATGCCCCTAAGGGGCCCAGCAGGAGCTCTTTCAAGGTGTGGAAACACCCCCAACATCCCATGGAGTGTAGAGAATTGTTTTCCTTATTTGATCGCTATTTGGGGGTATACCCTATTCTTCAGTGGACCCGCAGAGGAAGTCGTGCCAGGGTCACAGGATGCAGACTCGTGATGTAGTCGCATGATCCAAGATGTAAGGGTTTGATTGAAGGTGCCCCCTGCCTTTTGACATCTTTTGACATTCCCCGGCATCCCTGGGTATTCCTCGCCATGCAGTGTCCCTTGGCAGGTTGGCGACGAGGTAATGGTTCATGACCGGGTTGGCATTTGCATCTGGGACGGGCGGCCAGAGCACCAATACGCGAGGGTCAGATGGGATGACGATGGCTCTGAAAGCGAAATTCTGCCTGTCAGTCAGATCACTGCTGAGAACAGATGCCTGGAAGAGGCCAGGGGGCACCATTTGATCTAAAGAATCTAAAGCCTCCAGCAACTTGAGAATATGAGCAGCAGAATTGAGCAGACCTTCGTGTGCCCAACAACCCCAGTAGAGTCAGTAGAGGGGTATAGAATATGTTATTGCTGGGCAACTGCAGTCAGACCCCTCAGGCCTCCCAGAAATTCAAGCATGGGACATTGTTGATTGTCATTTTGAGCCGTTAACCAGCCAAGCTTGGGGTACTGAAGGGCTTGACCTGTAGATTTCAGCTGACCTCCCGCAATCCAATCACTTCCAAGAATGGCATGCCGAGTTTCCAAATAGAACGATCATTCTGCAGCCCCAGGGTTTTATTCTATGCCATTGTTTGAGTTGGAAACACACAGCATGCACATGTGTAACATATGTATGCCATTTCTGTGCCATTTGGATTATATAATGTGGTAAACTGGTCAGCCCAAAACCATGAACCATCATCTGCAATTTCTTGCCATTTGGGTGGTATTGCTCTACAGGCGAACAAATTACTGTAAACAAACTATACCACCAAAAAGGACCATACTCCCTTATCCCCACTTTTTTGGGCCAACCCCCAATGCTATTTCAATGTCTGGGGGATTAAGTCCCTAACGGTATTATCATAATGTATCATAATGTATAATTCAAAGATATTCGAAGTTTTATGAACTTCAATAAACCCCCAGCAAATCTTAATCTCAGAAGGGATAAATCCCCAAGCCACACCCTGGGAACCGGGCGAAACGTCAGCAGGTCTTCGTGAGCGACGCGGACTTGGCGCCTTTGGACCTCAGCCATTTGCTGCACGCCGCATCGAAGAAGGCGGGGACAGGGCTGGGTGAGGTGAGGAGCTTACAGAGACATGTGGATGTACAACGATGTACTGCATACCCATATATATATATATATACACATATTAAACACACATACATTCACGCATGAACATGTGCATGTATATGCATAATTGTATATGCACACACACACACACATATATATATATATATGGTGCAGCGTTGGCCACCCCCCCTCCCCCCCCCCACCAATGGGTATGGGTGGACAGTATAGTCTGGTTCTTCTGGTCCCCCCCCCCCTGTGGCCTGTGGTGGTGGTATGGTTCTTCTGGTCCCCCCCCGCTGTGGCCTGTGGTGGTGGTATGTTGGTATGTTGGTATGTTGGTATGTTGGTATGTTGGTATGTTGGTATGTTGGTATGTTGGTATGTTGGTATGTTGGTATGTTGGTATGTTGGTATGTTGGTATGTTGGTATGTTGGTATGTATGTATGTATGTATGTATGTATGTATGTATGTATGTATGTATGTATGTATGTATGTATGTATGTATGTATGTATGTATGTATGTATGTATGTATGTATGGAATGTAAGGTAAGGTAATGTAAGGTAAGGTAAGGTAATGTAAGGTAAGGTAATGTAAGGTAAGGTAATGTAATGGTATGTATGTATGTACGTAGGTATGTAGGTATGTATGTATGTATGTATGTATGTATGTATGGAATGTAAGGTAAGGTAATGTAAGGTAAGGTAATGTAAGGTAAGGTAATGTAATGGTATGTATGTATGTATGTACGTAGGTATGTAGGTAGGTAGGTAGGTATGTAGGTATGTATGTATGTATGTATATACACCACCACAGGGGCATCATACCCCCCCCCCATCCCATGGGGGGGGGTGGGAACACGGGACACGGGACCATATATATATATATATATTTACGCACACACACACACACGCACACACACATATATATATATATATATACGCATCCAGAAGAAACATGATACACATGGATGCATGTTCTATTAGATTGTTTGTTTTTTTATTTTCATATAAGTATTCCACAATATTGGGCAACATCATCTACATATCATATTTATGTATGTAATCCCATCCCCCCAACATTAGATTTAATACCTTGGAGAAGGGTGCCCAAAAAGAATAAATCCAGTACAAAACCATGATTTCTGGGCTTGTATTTCATACTACGGGGGAAGGGGTTATTTATATATAATTATATATATAGAGGCATGTTTCATGTTTACAGATTATTCTAGAAACATTCGAAACCCATTTCAGGGTCAAAAACTCGCCACAAAATGGGGTTGATCTGTCACCTTGTTGCCAAAAATCAGACAGGTTGAACCCATTTTGGAGCCTATTTGTGGACCCAAATGGGGTTGTTTCATTGACACTTTTTGGCGGTCGGTGTTTGCTTATCGAACAGTAGCTGAGTCTCAAAACAGCACTTGTGGGTCTGGGTTCGATATATGGGGTAACACCTGGTTTCAGTGTATAAAGTGACTCATTCTGGATGGTTTGGGACATGACTTCTGAACCCCAAATCTCAGTTTTTTTTGGTAGTCAACTCAGTTAATTCCCTCTTTTTGTTGCTTAGATTTCAAAACCGCCCGCATTTCGCCATCTCCAAACAGTCCGAGGACAAAGATATCGTTGACCCCTTGGCTGAGCTGTGTGGACCCGTCGCCATCCCACCACCCAGGGAGCTGATGGTCAGGTGGGTCGGCAATTTGCCGACCTAAAAAGAAATGTCTGGATTTATGGCTTTGTCAGAGTAATCCCAACCAGGATCATTATCATAGGAACATATAGGAACATGAGTTTTCTGGGAGGTCCAGCAGAGATACACTCTTTCAAACACATATCCATATATGATATATGCCGTATGCCATATGTCAAGGAAACATAGAAAACATGTTTCAAAACCAGCTGAGGACAAGTTTGGAAGCGCGTCCAAAGAAACAGACAACTTGCGTGATTTTGTTGAAGAAAAAGAAACATCTCAATGACTGAGCTCGAAGTGACACTCGAAGCATTTTTAGGTGTTTTCGCCACTTTTTTCTTTGGGTTTGCTGGCAAGAATGGTGAGAAGGGGTAGTATTCCCCCTTCGGCTAGGAGCTCGGACACCAGGGAAAAGCTTGCAGTCGGACAGGCCCAGGGGCAGCAACTAACACAGCTCGAGCTGGTTTTCATAGGAAACTGATTTCAAGATAGATGCTATTGGGGTTTCCCGGATATTCAACTTGGGGCCTAAGGTTTGCACATTTGCTTCCTTGCTCCAACCCCCTAAACCAGTGGAAGGATGTGGAAGGCCCGTCCTGCGTTGCATCCAGCATTGGTGGCACGATCGCAGCCAAAATGGCCCAACTTATCTTCTTGTTAACTGTTAACCAACATCTTGAAAAGATAGAATCACGATTCTTCCCCAATTTTTTTTTACAAGAACCAGACCACTGGGTGTAGGTTTTGAAGACTCCAATAGAAATGACCAAACCCTTCAGGTGCAACCATGCCCCACCACTCCATGCAGGTGGCGTGGTGCCATCAGAAGTGCCGGCTGCCCTGGCCCGCGCAGCTCCTGTCCTTCACTGAAGGCGAAGGGTCTGGGAGTGCACCAACAAGGGAAACATGTCACGTGGAAAAACATGGCAGTTCATCTTGAAAACATGATGGCTTTAAATGACTTTACAATACTTTACATGACTTTAAATTATTTTTTGGGGTTTGAGTACCTGGTGTAATCTTGAAATTAATGCCAAAATAATTGTGAAAATCAGGTGACTTCAAGACTTCTGCAGCTTGATCTTGTTTCCAGCCAACCAATGGTGATGCGGATGTGTCACACACCCACACACATATACGTATACAAGATTATACAAGCACATATATAATCCTGTTGACAATGGGCTTCGAAGCAACAATAGTGGGTTGTTTAAGCGATCCAAATGGTGCTTGAACCAACAAAAGCAGTTGGACCACCGACCATCAATCCACATAGGTGACTGCTACAGTAATCATCGTAGTGAACGCAGGCAATGATAAATGATGATAAATGTAAAAGCCTTGGAAACCGGAAGTTTTCACTATATAACCCAGGCTTCTTAACTACTTGCGGTCCTTGGGATGGTCATCCAAGGGTCAGGATGTCATGTTCCCAGCTGGACCTAAACGCTTTCAGCATCGCCGTGTCAGGCCAAGATGCCCCTGAGCTGCATGGGACGGTCATTTTTCCAGCTGATCTGTTCCACTCGTTGAAACACACAAGCGCCCGTGATACTGTGACAGTGAGAGATTTGTTGATTCGAAGGCCTTCACTTCTGTGAATGGTTCAAATCAACAGCTGAATACACCGACATGCGTGCATGCAAACGCAAGAAACATATGTACGGAATCACTTAATCGGTTTCAAAATTTTAAAGTCACCGCTGCCTTCTGCTACGCAGAATATCACAGGGATCACATCAGATTTCCGTTTCTTCGGATTCCATCTCACCAAGGACAATACCAACTCGTTGGGAAAGCTGGTAACGTACCAAAAAAAATAAAAAGGTGATGTATCTAGGGAACATGAGCGGCGCGAGTCGCAGGTGATTTCAGAACATCTTTGAGTTTTTCACTTCGAAAGCTTTCCTGGATGACTATAGTGGCCCTCTCATAGCGTTTGGAAGATCTTTGCCCCAGGCGCGCCCTTCCAGCCGCGTTTGGACTGTGAAATATTTGGAATGCGAGACCGAGGTGCTGAGGGTTGTGCAACGCCGGATGAAGACTTCCCCTGGTTGAGAAAGAAAGAAAGAAAAGAAAGAAAGAAAGAAAGAAAGACAGAGAGAGAGAGAGATGGAGAGAGAGAGAGAGAGAACGAGAGAACGAGAGAACGAGAGAACGAGAGAAAGAGAGAACGAGAGAACGAGAGAACGAGAGAACGAGAGAACTAGAGAAAGAGAGAAAGAGAGGAAGAGAGAACGAGAGAACGAGAGAAAGAGAGAACGAGAGAACGAGAGAACGAGAGAACGAGAGAACTAGAGAAAGAGAGAAAGAGAGGAAGAGAGGAAGAGAGGAAGAGAGGAAGAGAGGAAGAGAGAAAGAGAGGAAGAGAGAAAGAGAGAAAGAGAGAAAGAGAGAAAGAGAGAAAGCAGAGAAAGACAGAGAAAGACAGAGAAAAAGAGAGAGAGAGAGAAACAGAGAAAAGTATCAAAAGAGAAAAAAATAAACATAGAAAAAGAGACACAAAGAAACAGAGAAAAGAAACACAGAAACAGAGAAACACATAAAAATAAGAAAAGAGAAACAGAGAAACAGAGAAAACTAGATAAAGAGAAAAAGGGAAAAAAAGAAAAGAGATCAAGAGAAACAGAGAAAAAGAGAACAGAGACCAAGAGAAAAAGATAAAAAGAGAAAACGAGAAAAGAGAAGAGAAAGAGAAAGACAAATAACAGGCCATGGGTTTTGTATTTAAGATCTTAATTGCGGATGGTGAAAAGCGAAGACACATTTCTGCTAAATTCCCTCCCTGTTTTGTTCTTTTGTTTTGGAACCCCAGCCATTTCTTGCGAATTGCTGCGACCAGACCTTCCAAGTTGTTCTTGACTTGTGACATCTGAACAGGGTCCAGTCCAAACTGACCCGGAGATTGGTGTACTGGGATGGTTATACTGGGGGATCATCATCAATCAGCACGTACCAACATTCCAATCGTGGTTGGATACTTGCTTGTAGTCCTTTCTCTATGATTGGCTAGTGCATGCCCATATTTCTTGATTGAAGAGATATATCATGTTTGTATATATATATATAGACATAATTTACCACTATTTCAGTAGGATCTGACTTTTCCACTCAGGGAATTTTTCCAGTCTGTGGGGCCATGTGGGGCCGCTTTACCGGTTGCAGGAGAAGGTCTCGGCCACCAGACTCTCTGCCTTTCTTCCAGGACGGGGTTTGTCGGGAAAATCATGGGGGAAAACATGGGAAAATTACATTTCTTCGAGTGATCACCACAATTTACACACTATTCTGACACTGACATAGTTTCTGAATGTTTCTGACATACTCTCTAGAGATATTTGTGGCATATATAAAAAATAAATGAATGAATAAATAAATAGATAAATAAATAGCTTAAATAAATGAACATACATAAATACATAAATGACTAAATAATACTAAATATAAATATAAATTATAAATGAATAAATGAATACTGCAAATGAATAAATAAATGAATACATAAATAAATAAATAACTAAATAAATAAACAAATATATATATATATATAAACATATTCTGAAATTCTTTCTGGCATATACTCGTGCATTCTATCTGACATTCTTTTTGGCATCTATTCTGAGTTCTTTCTGGCATTCTATCTGGCATCTATTCTGACATTTTCTCTGGCATGGGCAGTGCCCACTGAGATCTGGAGCTCAGTTGAGGAAGAAGGAGGAAGGAAGGAAGGAAGGAAGGAAGGAGGAAGGAGGAAGGAGGATGGAAGGAGGAAGGAGGACGGAAGGAGGAAGGAAATAACCCTGATGAAACCTAGAGACGCTCACCTGGCAGGTGGGGAATCAGGAAAATCATGGGGAAGGACATGGGGAAAAAGGCACAAAATCGCATGGTTGACCATCATGTTACTTATTGAAATGGACATTTTGGGGGGTATTGCTGATTCTCAGACACACACACACAGACATGTAAAATCCGGTGACATATCACAGTGGTGTTGGGGCCAAGCACAATTTACATCCAATTATATACACTATTGTCTTGCTACCTCATGAAAGAGTCGATCATTCTCCATTTCTATCATCTCTATCGCATCCAGTATGTGTTGACAAGTCAGACTTTCATGTAACAAATTTTACTATCTGTCAGTGGATTAGGTGGCCACCATTCATCAGTGATCCTTCGCTATGAGGAGATGCTACGGCACTGGCAGAAGTAGCACAAGTGGCAGAGCGAGAATTCCGCAGCTCAGCTGTGACCCATAGTGAGCCACCCTTGGTATAACTCAACCTGGTGGATTTATCCTTTGCCATGTATATAATGGGGATTATGCTGATAAACCCGCAGTATCCTATTTTCAATATACTCGGACAGGTGCAGTAGTTTTTTTTGGTTTGCTGAGCAGCCAAAAAATGTCACGAACCAGCAGCAGTTTTTCAACATGTATACCAGTCGTTCACATGCATATACCGTATATACACACACACACGCACGCACGCACGCACGGACGCACGCACAGACAGACAGACAGACAGACAGACAGCCAGGCAGGCAGGCAGACAGACAGACAGACAGACCTACATACATACATACATACATACATACATACATACATACATACATACATACATACATACATACATACATACATACATACATACATACATACATACATACATACATACATACATACATACATACATACATACATGTATGATACACACATGGTGAGTGTATACTGCGTATATATATATATACATATATGCCGGCACATATATATTTTATCTATAGATGTGCAGAGTAAGCATATACACGTGGATATGAACTACATACATCCACATACCCTTTTGCCAGGCTTTCCCAAGTTCTAGGGTATTGTCCACGATTTTCCCGTCCACAATTTGGACTTCCGGTTGCCAGGTTAGATGGTCAGTAATGTATATATATATATATATACACATGTTTACCTGTACATATGCACATACACACACACATTTGGATGAATTATAGCATGGACATCCCACTTCACAAGGCCTAATGGTGGGACTGTAGCAGTTCCATTTGGGGCCCACCATTTCCTACACAAATTTATAAATTTGATTAAATTTGCAGGGGTCCCTGAAGTCTCATGAAATTCCCGGATACATAAATATAACACCAAATATCCTAGAATTTGATAATGGGAAAATCTGGGTTAAAGAACCCTACAATATTGGGGTGTAACTTTGACATGGGTTTCCTGCAGATGTTCCCTCAAAACAGTCAACTGAGTATCAAATATTTGATGGCGAAATCGCATCAAATCCCCATCTTTGATGGTAAAAAGAGAACAAATTTAAGGTGTCATCAAATCCCAGTATGCGGAAAACACGCAGGGCCTCAACGTTCGCCTTTCCACCTGAGGCACCAGCAGCGCGTCTCTGGCGGAGAAAGCTGCCAAGGCTGCAGCGGCCGCTGCTGAGGCCGTGAAGCAAATGGCCAAGGTGAAGGAAGAGAGTGACCTGGAGTTCACTTGGAGTAAAATTCAAATCATATCAAATCCAGATTTTTTTTGAATATTTTCTATTTATTTTTTTGACATGATTTTTACCATCATTGGGATTTGACCCAACCCGAATGGGATTTACCTGTAAATTAGCCAAACATCAAAGAAACAACTTCAACTGACTTGCTGATTTACCCATGTAGGGTATTGTAGGGTAGGGTTAAGGAGACCATTTGCTGCAGGCATTTTTTTTTGTAATGTTTTCCCTCCCAGCATCTGCCGTGACTGGAACTACCGCCACATCTGAGGTGACGTTGATACCAATCCGCCACTGGGCGCAGTTTCTGCCTGAGGGCCGGGTCCAGGTCTAGAGGCGAAGGCTGAGACGACCATGCTGAGATCACAAGAAAAATAGCATTTCAACGAGGAAGCAAAAGTGAGACAAAATCGGCTATATACATCAGATACCCAACTTGATTCGATATTTGGGTCTGTGTGAAAATGGGGTATACCTCCAAATGGCCATCAAATAATTGAGAAGACTATGAGAAACCATTTGGGTTTGTCTGGAAATGGATGATTTCCCCCCAAATTCACGGCCATTTTGGTTGGGGAAAATGATGGTTCACCAGTGGATGGAACGGGGTAGCATATTTTCGGACAAACCAGTGCAGGCCGACATGATTGTCAGCCATCCAGGTCAATCCAGCTTCCGCTGTGTTTTGTTTAGAGTTCAAATAGATATACATATATAATATATAAATATAGATGCAATTATTGATTTATTATACATATATATATATGTTTATATAGATTATATATATATATATACATATTCATCCATGTTTGCACATTCAGATATGTATATACTTTTTGCTATATATATTCATATACATACACATGTTCATTCATATTTGTATTGTCATATATGTATATGTATATATTTATTCACATGTATATGCATATTTATTTATTTGTTTTAATTATATATGTGTATTCGTGCACATATACATATCCTTTATATATATATATATATATCCATAATTGTATATGTATATGTGTATATATATATATATCACACACGCACACACGTCACACATACTGTACATGCACGCATATGGACAACTACGCACACGCACACAGATATACGTGGATCGTATATTGATAGATATCCATGATATCCAATGGATTCTAGTGCTGCAAGCCTTGCTGCCAGCAATGGCCTTGTATGTATAGCTCTGGCGGTGCTCGATGCTCACATGCTCTTCATGCCTGGGGTTGGTGCAAACGACTCTCCCATGGCAGAGTCAGAAGCCAACTTGCGGGGCTGAAAAAGGGCGCTGAGGGATTTGCAATGAGGCGGTTCAGACCAATGAGCTTCTAGATGCCCAAAGTCTCGGGCGTTGATGGTTACATCGTTACATACTTTTACTTCCTAGATCTTACTAGCTTATACTAGCTTACCCTCCAACCATACATACAGTCCACTTGTGGAAGATCCATCCGCATCTACTGGGTCGGCTGTCGCCCATAAATCCGTAGCCCAGCCCATCTCGGTCCATCGGAAGGTGAAAGATCTCCAACGGCATACAGGTCGTCGCAGCAGCCGCCGTACTAGCGCCATGCTTTGGGGACGAGGGGACTGTCAATGGTTGTTTCCGCCTTGGGCACATGGAAGATCTCACAAAACTATCTACAAAACTGGTTGGTGGTTTGTGGTTTCCGGTATGTCTTTACTAGTCTTGTTCAGGAGGACGCCGACCTCCAGCCAGAAAAGTTTGGATATAAAAAGGAGGAAACAAATCAAGAGGATGAGAGCAGGATTTCAAAGCTTTGGTTTGTGGACTGCCCAATTTTTCAAGAGCTTGGGGTGCCAGCAGGTTGACATCCCAGCTCCAATGTGGAGTTGGGCCAGGTTCGTAAAATGGAAACTGTAAAGCAGTAGGACGCCAGATGGGCATGGATCAAGAAAGGGGGCAACCAACAAATGGGTGGCATTAATTTGAGCATTAACATGTCATAGCATGTCATAGAATTTATATAATAAAAATAGGACAGCAAAAGTAACCTGCCATCGGCGCTGTCAAGTGTGCACCACAACCTCTGTTACACCCCCATTGTTTTTGTCAACTCCTTGTTTTGTTCATGGCTAAAAACATGTACTTGACAAATGCGCATAATTTTGAATGGCAAACAAATCAACATGTGGAGGGTTGAGCTAAGCCTAGAGATCCTGTCATCACCACTGGCTCCAGCGGTCGCGGCGCTGTGTGGCTGCGCGAGTGCGCATGCCTGCGGCGGGGTTGCGGCGGCCGGGGTTCCATTTTCCGGGGGTGGATTTCAGCACAACCAATTGCTCGTTAGACATCGGTTATACATCGACTTGTGTATGTAGATAACTATGATAATATCGGATGCATGTGTTTGCATAGCATATGAAGTCTCATCAGTTGTAATCGTAGCCTCCACTCTATCACACAAGCATGAGACAATCAGGTTAGCGTTTTGGATGTTTGTGCCACTAGCACACAAAAGCGAAATCACCAAGCAACCAACGATCATTAAGCTAACCAAGCAATGATCGATGATAAGTAAGCCCTCATTGTGGGTTTGTTGGTGACCTTGATAAGCCCTGAAGAAGCCCCTTAGTTTGGGGGTCACCAAACTGGGGAGATGGCGGAGATGGCTGCCGTTAGGCCGAGCTTCATGCGCCTCCATCGCCTCCTGTGGTTGTGGGCTGCGGTGCAGGGCTTCTCTGTAGAGCTAGACGATGAGGTGCCACTCCGCCGGGGAGAAGAGGTTTGGTGCTGGAGCTGAAGATGCATCATAGAGAGAGAGATTATACATATATATATATATATATGTGTGTGTATAGATAGGTAGATAGATATCACTAGAAACATTATTGATGCATAGTTCTAGGCATGAAAAATTGTCTAGATCTATGATTTTTGATGTGTTGTGAGTTTGCTTCTTCTTTTTTGGTCGGAACCTTGATTGGGGACCAGTTGCCCAACGATGGCAACGATCCCCCAAAGTCCCAGAAAGAGAGCCCGGCCCCACGGCCCCATCCTCTGCACGGCAGAGGATGATGCACTCATCGTCTACGAGGGCGGCATGGCAGAGGAGGCGCAGTGTACTGCACCACCTGGACCTGTGTTGGTGAAGGTGGGAGGCCCTGGAAGTGCAGTTCTGGCTGGAAGTGGATAGGTTTCACCAAGTGCCAAGTTGGCGTATATCACCGTATATCATGTTATATCCGAACTTATGGGAGTTTTAGGATGTTTTAGGCCTATGGGGTTGTATCATGTTATATCCCAACTCATGAGATTTATAAGTTTATCCCCAAGGCTATGGCCATTGGTAACCCCAACTCCACAAACCCACGGAAGAAATGTCGGGATATGTCGTGGTATGATGAACAAGGGGATAATTTTTCTAGCAGGGAAATTGATGTAAGTTTGGGGTCATATAACAACAATAGAATCATAATCGGATGCAACCAACTCTATAGTATTATGCAAGCAACTTAATTCAATATTATTCGGAGGGTGGGGATGTTACCATGAAAATACCATGAACAATTGGGATTAAAGCATCATAAACACTTGGGATTTAACCAGCCAACAACGAATTTGCATGAATGGAGATATAAAAAGGGAACATAACCCACTTAATCTAACACTTGGGTCTTGCCTGGCGATTTCAATGGGGAAAATGATGATGAACCATCAACATCAAATGTCAGGTGCCCTACTTTTATATTGTAGGTGCCATTTTGAAAAAAAATAAGACCGAAACAGTGCCAGGAGATGGTCGTTGTTTTGACTTTAAAGGGAACACAAACCATTTCTAGGCTCAGCTGTCAACCGCATCCTCAAGACTCAAGACCTTGGTGGCGGCCATTGTATCCTCATTCGCATGTCCCCGTTATATATTATCTGGGTAAATTATAACGACCTCACTGTTCTCCCTCACTGGAATCATGGTTAATAAGGGGAACCATCCCCAAGATGGCCGCAAGATTCAGGTTGGTGAAATATTATAATTTACCCAGATATTATAGTCCCATGATGACATCCTCCCATCTAGAGAAGACCTTGTTTTCAGCCCCGGTGTTACACACCGGTTTAGGGGGTAGCCCCCAGGACGTGGTGGCGGAGATTGGCCACGATGTCAGCGAAGAGGCTGGGAAATCGTGGCTAATCATATTAGTGATTAATGTCTGGTAAATTAACATAACATAGCTATGGAAAATGGATGAAAATGGGCCATTCATAGTTGATTTACCTATTTACCTATTAAACATCATGATTTTCCATTGCTATGTTAGTTTACCAGAGGGTAATACTGGCCACAGTAATAATGGTTACCCTCCGGTACTCACAGATAATCAATGGGAAATCCCCAGCTTAAATGAAGATTTCGAGCTGGGAAAATCATCTATTGCCATGTTTGATTTCCGGAGGGTAAGCCATACATGGTCAAGCTACCGCGGTAAATCCAATGCCCATAAATTCCATAAATCATCCCATTCACCAACTATGACTGGGGGCTATTCTAAAAAAAACATTTCGGTATACCGAACAATAAACCCCAATTAGGAAATGGTTTATTGGGTTTACGGCTTACCTCATTATATCCAGTTTGCACCACAGACACACACACACACAGACACACGCACCTGACATATTGTGGATTGACATCCAGGCACACAAAACACATAGTAAAGTAGAAACATAAATAAACTGAACAATTGAATATACTATACTGTTGACATTCTACGAAATTCTTCGATCGTACATTATCCTCCAAATATGTCTATATATGCAGACATATCTTCCCATTGATAGATATTGATTCCTATAATAACTATTATGATTTTCTTCCATCAGAGATTATTAATAGATCCCCTAGGGCAAACTGACATAGATGTGGAAAACCCATCATTTTCTATAGGTAAATCATTGAAGTAAATGGGCCATGGCTATCCCATGGCTGGTGTTTCCTCTGCAAAAAGGTGATCTTCCGAACGCTGAACGCCTTAGAAGCAGAAGGGGTGGTCCTGGGGCCCAGCCAACCTCTGTGTTTGTTGACAGTTGCTTGATGGTTTGTGTGGGGAATGCGTATATATAAATTATATATATATAATGATTATTATACATGTATGTCATGTAATGAAATATGATGTGAATGTGAATTTAGACTTGAATGTGAATGTAACGTATAGATAGTTAGTTAGTTAGTTAGATAGATAGATAGATAGATAGATGGCAAAAACAATCAACATATCGATGTTTATTTTTTTTGGATTAGACGTGAGACAATAGACATGAAAAATAGCACAACGTTGTCGCTCGGCCATACACTTTCAATGCTGGTGTAATTTCTACCTTTGGGGGGCAGGGGCTCATGTAGGTATTGTAGGATCTAAGTGACCTCCTGGATGGCCCCAGTGATTTGATGTGTGCTGGAGAAAGGCTTCGTAACAGTTAGAAGCATGAGATAGCATGAGTAACTGTGCAAACATCCGTTGCTTGCCTTGTATGAGTCACTGTATGTCCTGATGCCCAGGTCCAGACGCGACAACTTCTGCAACTCTACCCACAGGATTTTGATGCGGTGGTCATGCCATTACTGCTGAAGAGCAGGCGGGGGCCTGGCCCAGGTGACTAGGGACTTCGCAAAAAAAACTGGCAACTGGCTATCCAATTCTCACAGAATTGGTGGGAAAATGTGCAGGAACACCCAATTAACTGGGGAAGAACCCATGGTTTTTAGGTCGATTTTCCTTGGAAAAGCAATACCGCCAGGTTGCGCCGAGTCCGTGAGCGTGGCGGACGGATTCCGGAGGCCCAGTGACGATTCTCCGGCCATGGCAGCCATGGCAACAGACAAAAAACATCTACCAGTCCCAGAGATTTTAGGGAACATCAATGGTTATCATGTAGGTGGGATAGAATGGGGATATTACTGGGAATGTCATGGAATGTCTAATATGGAAATATGGCTGACCAACTATGGTTTTGTGGAACAGGATGATGGGAGAATTTGCACTAGTTAGCCTCCTTTTTCTGGTAGCAAGAACCATGGTAATACCATCGTATAACTTAATAATCATGGTTTCCGGTTTCGATTGACCCTTAAACCAACCCAATGAACATGGCCAATAACAACCACCTGCACATTGGATTTCATTCTAATTCCGTCAGTGGTTGATATGGAAATTTCATCATTTCTTTATAGATGATTTTCCTATTGAAACATTCAAGTAGAAGTGGATTTCCCATAGCCATGTTTGATTATCGAAGTCCCGATGTCAGTTGCAAAGGACCTCATTGGCCACAAGAAGCCCGAAGAAGAGGAGGCCCAATCTGGTAGAGAGGGGTAGGCGGCCAAAATTTGTTCCATGGGCGCTTTTCCGTGCACGATCATGCCAAGAGTTGAATTGATTCATGGATATTAGTAGTTCCGGTATCCGATTTCCGATTCTGGGTGCTTTCTGATTTGCAAGTGTTATTATCCCATATTATCCCTATGGACATACAACCTGAAACTAAGCTGCTCTACCCTCTGGTTATGTCAAAATAGCTATTGAAAATGGCCCATTTATAGGTGATTTACCTACTATAGATGGTGATTTTCCATAGCTATGTTAGTCATTACCAGAGGGTACCTTGGGGATTTCTTGGGTGATCCGAATTTCGGAGCAAGGTATGTCCTTAGCCGAGCCTTACTCACTGGGATGATCCTCCAAGTTTTGAGCGTTATCCCGGAGTTGAAACATGGCCTTTTTATGCCTTTTTCAGAAACACACTTAAATGGAACATAATGGAACGCTTGTTAAAATATAAGAAAAAAAACATATTAATCATGTTCATCATGTTCTTCATGTTCATCATAGTCTATCCACTTTGATTTTGGAGCAAAATCTTGAAGCCTGGCAGCATGGCAGCCCAGGCTGCGGATGGTTGGAGTCTCAGCATGTCACTGAGACTGTCCTGCAGGTATCACCATCATTCCAGCAGATTCCAACTAAATCACTTCGATAAATTCGTATGTCATTCGTGGAACAAGTTGTTCGAGGTTACAGATTACTTACAGTGTATATGCGCCCCCCTTTTTTTCCATGGCTTGTTGGGTTATGTTGGATTGAAAATCACACAGAGGTTCCAATTCAGTGCAGACTTGGGAAGTTCAGTTATCCAAACATCTGTGAGTTTGACTTATTCTTGCCATGATCTCAATTTGGATAGAGGCTCCATTACCATTTGCATCCATTTGCATATGGTGCATCCATTCGCGTATGGTCATTGTAGGAATTGTAGGCCCCAACAAGACTGCCAAGACTATATCCATTGGGTATAGAGAGGATATAGGGGGGAACCCATGGTTGTGCGCACCACGTGGCACAACCATAATAGAATCTATAGATTATTTTGCTGTCATTGCTTTGGATTTCTCGTAATTACTTGTCATCGCCAAACGAACATTTCGCGAAATTTGGGAAGCCTACAGGAAGGTGTTGTCAACATTTGTCAACCATCTGGATAAATTATAACGAACTCACTGCGACCTCACTGGAAATCATGGTTAATAAGGGGAATCATCCCCAAATGGCCGCAAGATTCAGGTTAGTGAAATATTTTAATTTACCCAGATACCATGATTCATGGCATGCCGCAGCTTGGGAGCTCCATATATATCGTTTTCGCAGCGCTCGGGTCCGGGAAGATGACCGGTACCTCGGCGCCGCTGGTTTTGTTGAACCTCAGATGGTGGGTGGTTTTGACTTCTATTTTTATGATGGATTTTCCCATTAGGGATAAGGGATTTACCATTGAAGATAACTATAATATTTCCCATATTCATACTTATTTTTTCCATTCAAGCCTCCATTTTATAGGGGATTTCTCATTGCAGCTTTTAATTACCACAGGGCATGTCGACCAAAATCCATGGGTGGAGCCATTTGGCAGCCAGTCTTGGTTGGTGGAAGCCCAGTAATCGTGGATCCTGAGTGGGATATGGATGGGTGATGAAGCAGAAACAACATACTGATAAATATGTATATATAAATATGTGATATATATATATAATTACACAATCACCATCGTCGCCAAATAGGTGGAATAGGGAGGCTGTCTCAAGCGGTACCGAAATCTGTCTATAATATATTTGCATGATTTTGCATGCATATATATATATTTACACGCATTCATATATATATATATGTACACATACATGCATACATAACATAACATAACGTAACGTAACATAACATAACATAACATAACATACATAACACACACACACACACACATAACACACACACACAAAAGCATACATAACATACATAACATACATAATTAGCATACATTACATACATAACATAACATAACATAACATCGCATCGCATAGCATAACATAACATTACATAACATAACATAACATTACATTTATACATTTATACATACATACATGCATACATGCATACATGCATACATGCATACATGCATACATGCATACATGCATACATGCATACATGCATACATGCATACATGCATACATCCATCCATCCATCCATCCATACATACATACATACATACATACATACACACATACACACATACACACACACACATACACACATACACACATACACACATACACACATACACACACACACATACACACATACACACATACACACATACACACACACATACACACATACACACATACACACATACACACACACACATACACAGTATACAGTATATAGTATATATATATGTACACATGTGCCGTCTTTACCAATAAATACATAAATGCATAAACTGCTCTTAAAACATATAAATCAATAAGTAAGTATATCAATATATATATATAATATTCGTACATATGGGTATATGTTTAATGTATTTTTTATAATATATATATATATACAATATTTTATAGGCCTAGTTGGGTATGGGTCGAGTCAAGCCCTTAGGTCCTAGATATTTTAACCACTGGAATGAGTGCAGTTTATCGAGGCAGCACTTGAAATCGAGGCGGCCTATAAGGAGCGATGAACATCCCCAAAACATCTCCATACAATTGGATCTAGTTGGGGGTTTCTTAAAATGGAGGACCCCCAAAACCATGGGTCTTAATACTCCAATGGCCTAATTTGGATGATTTGGGGGTAGCACTATGACTTAGGAAACCTCCATTTGGGAAGCACAATTAGCCAAGACATGTTTGCCATCTGTGAGGTGCTCCCACTGCTGGCCCATGCATGCCGGGCAATTTGCTCGCCATTCTTGGCACCATCACTTCGGCCCTGACGGTGCCACTGTGGATGCAGTTTTGCCAGTGAGCCATGCGCGTAGAGCGTTTCTGTGATCTATTGATTTCTCGATCTTTTGTCATCTTCCGTATAATAATAGCATGGCAATTTCGCAACTGGTGACCCTTAGTTGCCTGACCTTGTCATTCACCAGAAACCTCAGAAGCGTTTCGCCAGGTGCTGATTGGCCTCATCTACGTCTACAATAAGCCGCCATCGTTCGAATATGTTTGGTCTGACTGCACCTGGACCTTTCCTGACAAAGAGAGCTACCTGGCTTCATTGGATCGAAGTTAGCCATCTGATACCCTCTGCATTGCCGGTGCGTTGCATGTGAGGTACCGACTGCAACATGAAGTGGCAGAGCAATTGGGGCACCTTGGAATGGAACATCACCAAGTTGCGAATCGGCAGGGGTAAAGGGTTGTTGGTTGCTGGTGTAAAGTTTTTTCCATTTTTTTTTCCATTGCCATCCCGTCGTTTGGTACGGGCATATTTCAGCGTATTTCAGCGTCTCGGTTCGCATTTGCATTGTTTAAAAGGGGATGACGAACTCCTTGTTTGGTTCAAGCCTTGAAGTGGGCCATAATTAATTGTCTGATCAGCACCCATCAGACCCAGTAAGGACAAATATGGACAAATGAGCTATGATGGGATTTGTTGTAACCACTTCAAGTGTCTCCGATCTAGGACCCACAAAATCGCATATTATCGGCATTTTGCTGTAGGAAGAATTATTGGTGGATTGAATTGAGAAGCTGCATGCTGTGAGATCCAGCCCCCCAAAATTTCAGCGTCTTCACCTTACCCTACTGCGAATCGAAAATAGGACTCACCCATATCCGCACTTGGCGGGGGCCCGTGTTCCGCTGAGACTGTGAGATTGGTCATCCTCATTGGCTTATCACATCTTACTCAAGTCATGAGTCACCATAAGGGAGCTCCGAATCATGGCCCCACACAGCCAAACATCCATTCCGAAATGGTGAAAACTTCCACCCCACTGTTTTGAGACATTTGCATCATTTGCAGACAATTTTTGGGATCATCCGCTAATAAATATGAATACCAATAGTACCGCACAAGGCCGTGGCGGAAGTTTCAAAAATAGGAAACCTATAGGAGAGGTTGGTTGTTGTGAGTCACGGATGGCCGAGCGAAGCCACTGATGGACCGACAGGTGGTTGAGGTCTCTTCTCTTTCTCTCTCTTTCTTTCTCTTTCTCTGACTATCTACCTACCTACCTATCTATCTGTGTATCTATCTATTTATCTATCTATCTACCTATCTATCTATCTACCTATCTATCTATCTGATACCCTCAAGATCGAGGTGTCTAGAATCCCCCCCCTGGGGTTCCTGTTGAAAGTTCTAAAATCACCACCACTATGATTTTAGAACTCCAAAAGGCTATCAAATTAGAACCCTGAAAGTTTGGATATATGAGCCTTGTTGTGGTATGAATTGATTCCAACAGACCACAAGAAAAGGTCATTGTTTCGGAGTGCAGAAAAAGGAACCAAGTCGTGATGAGGTCTCTGCACGAAGGTGCAAAACATGTTTGGAATTAGCATCCCTGGTTTTGGTCGATCAAGATTTCCATTTTCAAAACCAGGTGGTTTCAATGTCGCTTGGTTTGAAATTTCTGGAAAAAGGAGGTTAAACGGTGTTGAGCAGCTGCAGGTGCTGACCCACAGGTGCTGACTGATGGCCAGCTGTAACCCAAACTTAGCCATTTTGTCACATCGCTTCTGCATTTTACATCCGTCTGCAACACATTTGATAGAGAATTTTCGGAGAACAAAGGAGGGGGAGAGACTGATGGCCCAGGAAGTTTTGAGACTGGTCATGGGCAAGGCAATCTGTCCTTCAATGCGATAATCTTGCCAGACTGTAATGCGGTAAGATATGTTTTAAAAGGAAGAGGGTGATTTCAAAAGATGACTGGACGACGCAGTCTTTGGGGGGGGAAAGGGGGTCAAAAGGTTGCAATCGATTTTTCCATCCATCCCGACCTTGCTTTAAAAAAAGGTGCTGCTTATATTTTCCGGAAAAGGTGGGCCTGACGCAGCCTTAAAAAAATCATCCAAAAACAGAAAAATCCAAAACATTTTGATGACCTGAACCGTGCAATGCGTACGGGAGGACAAAAACTGTGTGCAAATGAAATGCAACATTTTGCTTTAAATCATAACAAGGAGATTTCCAAAAAATCTTGTCAACTTTCCATGATTTTAAAGCTTACAAGAACATGATTCTAGAACCCTACCCCTCCGTAGACTTTGGGGTTCTAGCATGCTCTCCGTTAAGAGATTTGAAAACCTTGCGTTTTTTAAAGGAACACCATTCTAGACCCCAGATTTGGGGATTTAATTTGTCGGACAAGGGGGTTTGTTTGATCTTGAGGGTATTCTATTTGTCTATCTATCTGTCTATCTATCTATCTATCTTTCTACCTACCTATCTTTTCTATCTTATCTATCTTATCTATCTAATCTGTCTTATCTACCTACCTTATCTATCTTATCTATCTTATCTATCTTATCTCTCTTATCTATATTTATCTATCTTATCTATCTTATCTAACTTTTCTATCTAAACTATCTAATCTAATCCATCTAATCTATCTGATCTATCTAAATTATCTATCTAATCTATCTATCTAATCTATCTAATTTATCTATCTAATCGATCTAATCGATCTAATGGATCTATTGATCTTTCGATCGATCGATCTATCTATCCATCCATCCATCTATTTATTTATCTTCGTACCCATCTACCTATCTACCTATCCACCCATCTACTTATCCATCCATCCATCTGTCTGTCCATCCATCCATCTGACCATCTTACCTATCTATTTGTCCCAAAGCTTTTGACCCCGGCAGATTGCAACGTGACCAGTGCGGAGGATTACCATCAGAAACGACAAGTACGAAAGCTTGCAAGAGCGGAGTCGTCATCGAAGCAAGGGGCCAGGAAAATGGACACACCGCTGTTTGTTTCGTGCTGTCAGAAAAGACTGACAAGACCAAACGGCATCGGTACGGCAATGTGACACTGCACCTTTGTGCTGTCAGAAAAAACACACACTGACACGGAAGGCTAAGCTGCTGGAAAATGAACCGGTCAGAAAAGACACAGTCGCCTGCTTTCGCTTACGGTCCGGATGATCAAACCCGTGTGCCACGTCGCCACGGAAATCTTGGAGGTGCTTGCGTCTGGCGGCAAAAACTTTTGGCGACCAGAAAAACCCACCTGGAGGCTAAGCTGCTGGAAACTGAACCGTTCCGAAAAGACACAATTCAGCGAGACTTCCTCATGTTTTTGTGTTGACAACATCAAACACGAAGCAATTCTGCGAGACATCCTTCAAAAATGGAAAGTTGAGTGCAGAGTTGACGGCCTCGTACCAATGGGTTTTGCGATTTTTCCACCTGTCTAAAGTACTGCGCCTGCCACGAAAAAGTGATGCCAGGTCATACGAAATGCTGCACCTGTCACGCAAAATCATGTTCCCAAAACTGAAGACCTAATGCTCCAAAATGCAACCCTCTCAGGAAATCAGCGCCCTGACCTCCTAACAGCTCTGATGAACATGTCTTTTGTTCTGCGCCTGCCACGGAAAATGCATCTTTGCAGATCCTCTTCAAATGGGAGGGCTAATTATTTTAGGATTTTTTTTTTGATCAGGTTTAGGAATTATTTTTGGATTCCTGCTTCTCTGCTTTTCCTGCTTTTCCTGCTTCTCTGCTTCTCTGCTTTTCCTGCTTTTCCTGCTTCTCTGCTTTTCTGCTTTTTTGCTTTTCTGCTTCTCCTGCTTCTCTGCTTCTCTGCTTTTCTGCTTTTTTGCTTTTCTGCTTCTCCTGCTTCTCTGCTGCTTTTCTGCTTTTTTGCTTTTCTGTTTTTCCTGTTTCTTTGCTTGTTTTCCTTTGCTTCTCTGCTTTTCCTGCTTTTCCTGCTTCTCTGCTTTTCTGCTTTTCCTGCTTCTTTGCCTTTCTGCTGTTTTGCTTTTGTGCGTTTCCTGTTTCTTTGCTTCTCTGCTTTTTTGCTTCTCTGCTTTTTTTTTTTGCTTTGCCTGCTTTAAATACTTGATTTTCATGTAAGATGCATTTTGCACAGTATTTACATCCCTGAGTATCACATGACCAACCTTCTCTTGAAAACTAGCAACGTAACATGTGAGAAGAGGTGCTTGCATTCTGCTTTGGGGGGAGGCGCTGCGCCCTCCCCCAATCCCCCCCTCCCGCTTTTTTTTTATTTAAACTTAAACCCAAGTTACATTAGTTGGTTTTTGCGAACTAACCTTCTCTGGAAAGCTGACAGGTTTACATGTGATAGATAGATAGATAGATAGATAGATAGATAGATAGATAGATACATAGATAGATAGATAGATAGATAGATAGACAGACAGACAGATAGATAGATAGATAGATAGCTGATAGATAGCAGCTAGATAGATAGATAGATAGATAGCCAGCTAGAGAGATAGATAGCTAGATACCTCGATAGATAGATGGCTAGATAGATAGCTAGATAGATAGATGGCTAGATAGATAGCTAGATAGATAGATAGCTAGCTAGCTAGATAGATAAAGAGGTAGCTAGATAGATAGCTAGATAGATAGATAGATAGATAGATAGCTAAATAGATAGATAGATAGTTAGCTAGATAGATAGATAGCTAGATAGATAGCTCGATAGCTAGATAGCTGGATAGACAGCTGGATGGCTAGATAGATAGATAGCTAGATAGATAGAAAGCTAGATAGCTAGATAGCTAGATAGATAGTTAGCTAGATAGCTCGATAGCTAGATAGCTGGATAGACAGCTGGATGGCTAGATAGATAGATAGCTAGATAGATAGAAAGCTAGATAGCTAGATAGCTAGACAGATAGTTAGCTAGATAGCTAGATAGGTAGATAGATAGTTAGCAAGATAGCTAGATAGGTAGATAGATAGCTAGATAGATAGATAGCTTGCTAGATAGATAGCTAGCTTGCTAGATAGATAGCTAGCTAGATAGCTAGATAGCTAGCTAGCTGGATAGATAGCTAGCGCCCTCCCTCAATCCCCCCCACCCGCTTTTTATCTAATCCCAAACTTCCGCATCTGTAAATATTTGGGTGAACATGCTCACATGTAGAACATCCCATGCAAAATGGAAGGTGAAAATGCCAAAATGTGGCAAATACCATACAAAATGGAAGGTGAACATGCCCACATGTAGGAAATCCCATGCAAAATGGAAGGTGAACATGCCAAAATGTGGCAAATACCATACAAAATGGAAGGTGAACATGCCCACATGTAGTAAATCCCATGCAAAATGGAAGGGGAACATGCCCAAATGTGGCAAATACCATGCAAAATGACAAATTCAAGTTCCAAACCGTTGCAAACACTAGGCAAATGGTACCAGCCAAGAAATCCAAAAAAAATTCCCAAACCTGTTCAAAAAAAAAATCCTAAAACTATTTCACACCAATGTCCCACTCCTGCTATCTTTTTTGAAATGCTACAGAACCCTCACGTTTTGCTCACTTTTGACAAGGTCCACAATCCCTTGCGCCTGCCACGCGAAACAACATCTGAACGTCCAAAAGTGATCCGACCCCCTGGTGTTTTTCACATTTTAACTTCGGAATGTGCTTCGCACCACAACGGCGTGCACTTTTTCGACATCTCAACTTCCAAAAGTGGTCCGCACCCCTGGTGTTTTTAACGTTTTGACTTCGAAATTAATGTGTTTCGCGCCACAACAGCGTGCACTTTTTCGACATCTCAACTTCCAAAAGTGGTCCGCACCCCTGATGGTTTTAACATTTTGACTTCGAAATGTGCTTCGCACCACAATGGCAATGGCGCGCACTTTTTCGACATCTCAACTTCCAAAAGTGGTCCGGAGCTGAGGTGTTTTGTGCATTTTGACTTGGAAATGTGCTTCGCGCCACAACGGCGTGCAATTTTCAGCTCTCATCTGGCCAGCTGGCTCCGCACCCGCCGCTTTAGCGAGCCTACTTTTCGACCCTCTGGAGCCACAAATCATTGGAAAAACGCAATGTTTCGCGACTTTCCTACCTTTTCGCGCACCTGCATCTTCTTTCTTCTGATTCTTTCTCTTCTCTGATCTTCTCTCTTCTACTCTTCTCTTCTCTATTCTTCTGCTCCACCTCTGATGCTTTTTATATGTCCATATTGTCGGAAGTTTGACTTATTCTAAACTTCCTTCGGTCATGAATAGATCAATAAATCTTGGAAAAACATGGGTTTTCCCGTTTTTCCCCGGATTTTTGTGGGTCATGTGCTGACCGCTTCAGCCCCAGCCCCGCCCAGGCGTGATGTGCGTGCTGAAATACACCCCGCTGATCTTCGGCATCCTGGGTTCAGCGATGTTCCAACCTGGCATGATGCAGGCCATGGCATATTCATTTGGGGGGGTACTCCCTAAATAGTGATTACCTGGGAATGGTACCCCCCCCAATGAAAAACAGCCGTTTGGGGTTTATGAATCCAGGGTTGGAATGATACTAGTGGTAAGTGAGATGGTACTGTTAAGTCGCTGTTCAGTTTTTTGGGGTTGCAAAAAGAGACAGGGGGCTGTAAAGGCTCAATGGAAAATGATGGTGAATGATTCGTCAATTTGCTGATTTGTTTTCTAGAACCCTTTGAAATAGCTAAGTCAAGACCCGCGCTGCCAGGTGGTGGGCTTCCCCCGCAACTTCTTGCAGTACGGTGTTTCGGCGGCAGAAGCGGGCTTCAACTCCCATAGATTTTTGAGGGGAAAGCCATAGAATCTACACATTTCTGGAATCTCTCCTTTTACACTTTTTTCTTTGACAGGAAGATCACCTAAAAAGAGATACTGTATTTCCATGGGGGGTGTTCTAGCTGGCCATACTGGAGAGTTGGAGGGTACCTTAAGTTTTGCCAAGAAAATTCCAAAAATGAGGAGAAATGCAGTTTCCAACGTACGCAAGCAGGAAGGTTATTTTTAAGATAATATATTTTGATTCACCAACTGGAGTTACGCGATTCTAATCAAATTATATGTACATGTTTTTTTTTTAAACGCGCATGTTCAATCATAGAATCTCTCAAGGTCACCAACCAATTTCTCCAAGGCCTTTTCCTGTGGCTTCAAGGCTTCTACGGTGACATGGGATACTGTGGGAAGTTTTTGGGCTGCAAGTCTCAGACTTTTCACAATGATTGGCCCCCATGTAACTGGATGGTGTGATACTGATACTGAAAAAGTCAACCAAAGCAGATTCTGTTATTTTGAGGTGTCTTTGGCCCCTCATGATCTTACCATGGTCACACTGAGAACTGATAGCAGCAGTTGGCACTTTAACATCCTGTAAAAGGTGCCATAGGAGGCTGCGTGCTGCTGCTGAGGCTAGGTGTCATCGTTGGCTTCCTTAGCTGCATTGTTGGCACCATTTGTGGGGACTCCCATGGGCACCGGAGGTGGAGTGTAGTGATGCTGGTCATCCTGGGGTGGGTAGGAGAATGAAGCTGGTGGATGATGTGCCGCTTCCCTGCCTCCAGTGTTAGACTCACGTGGTGACCTGTAAGGCTAACCACAGATCCGTCGTTGAAACTTCAGCATTCCCCCCCCCACCCCCACCCACCCACCCCCCACCAACCCACCCCCACACCCACCCACACACCCCCACCCACCCACACCCACCCACCCCCCACACCCCCCCACCCACCCCCACCCACACCACCCACCCACCCCCCACACCCCACCCCCCCACCCACCCCCACCCACCCCCACCCACCCACCCACACACACACAGAATGAATTCAATGAGGTTTGGCAACCAATGCTTTACTTCTCAAACAGCGGATTTTCACCTGCCACGGTTTTCCCCGTCATCGAGACGTCTGACCATCTAACCTCCCTTGGAGAGGCTTGGTGGCATCCCTCTTTGACCTCAAGAGCTCCAGGATGATGCGACTGGAGGAGGAATTCAAGCACATGTACGTGGAGGAGGAGCCAGGGATGGAGTATGCCTCTGAAGCTTGGACCAGAAGTCGGCTGGGGCACGGATTTTTCTTCCTGATGCAGAAACAACCCGCGGGATATTCATGTTTTCATGCATACAATATATATATATATATATACCTAGAGAATCTTCTGGCAAATATTTTTGCCTGTTTGGATTGTGTACTGGATTTATGCCCGCACGACCTGGAATCGCCGCGAACTGAAAAATACTCAACAAGATCGCCGGCACTATCCAAAATTGCCGGAATTGATACCATGTGGTAAGTTGGAACATACCATTGACATAGTCAACACCCAGTAGGAATTGTGAATTGGAATGTTACCAGCAAGTAGTACGATAATTTCCCCCCAACTAGCCATTTATGGTCCCATGGGTATTTCACTCGCAGCAGCCTCCTCGCCACACTCAACATTGCAGACAAGTAGCATCTTGGCAAGAAAAGCCAGGGAAAAAATCCTTTAAGCATGGTGGATTAGTTTAACATAAAAATCCAAATATACAATATACAATATAATATATAATTCGTGGGGGGGTCTTTGCAAAGGCACTTGATATCAATTGATATTACCCCAAGATTAAATCAGAAACATTGCAGCTGCAGGGTCTACATTCCAACAAGGAAGAACCATTCCCTGTGCCAATGGCTTCCCCATTCCGTGCTTCCTTTTTTTCAGCCACGGCAGCTATATCAACTCAGAAGGGGCACCCAGCTTCAAGACAGAGTTTTTGAGGTCAACGCCTCATGTGTTCAGTTTACTTTTTTTTCTTTTCTCCAAGTGTCTCCTGAACAGCGCTTTGGATTTGAGTAAGTATCTTTGAGCCAGGCGCTGGCCGAGCGTGCGTGTAGCCAGTTTTCGTGAGAGTCGGGCCACGTGCCGGATGTGGTCTTCATTCATCTCACATGCCCAAATCAGCACATTGAGCAATCTCGGGGTCTTTGTTTTCAAGCCTTTACGGATTTCAAGCGCCATGTGAGCTAGAGCATGCAGTTTAGGTTTCAGTCTGTAGCCCGGCAAGTGTTTCTCTAAGCAGTAAGCAGCAATTTTCTTGTACCCCCGAACCACGACCATAATGTGAAGATACAATCTTCGAGCACAATGTCTCCGTAAGAAAAGGTTGTGGGAGTACACCAAATCACACATGGAAATGCCATTGTGGATGACATCACGCACGAGCTGCAAATGTAAGGCATGGGGTTGAACTGCATCACACGGGCTTGACAAAATCAATCCCAGATAAAACCGCAACCAACGCAGTAGTATCATGCTATCACTTCCTTTCGAGTTAGCCCAAGCAGAATCTGCATACACCCGAGAATTCATGAAATGTTTTGTAAAGCTTCGTAATGCTGGGGAATATCCTTCAGTGAGGGCCCACAACTTGAACTGGGTGTGGGCTCTTTCCAGGCGGTCATCTAAATTTTGAGTTCCATCTTGAAGATCAAAGCAGCCCAAATGGCAAAGCCAAATAACGGTGGAACCAATGATATCTCTGGCCAAGCCCACTTTGAAGCAATGGAAGAAATCGAGCTTGTAAAGCCGTTCTGGGTGTAGATGATCATGGGGTACCCGGGTGAAAGGTGGCGCATTGCCCTGTTCCCATGGACGGTCAAAATACATCGTGTGCTGCCACCCAGGTTCCACATTGACATCCTCCATGGGACAGTCTGGGTCCCCAGCTCTGCAGAGTGAACACATTCTGATTTGGTTTATGGTTCCCATGTTTGCATAAGAACGCGTCATGGACGCAATGGTCGGCGCTTGAAACTTCAAATCACCTTTGGATCCGATCAATGCTGCATAGAATACATCATCGTCTTTGCGAAAGCCAGTGTTGAATAGATTCACAAGGTCATCAGCAATCACTTCCAAATGTTTCTTGATGATACCCGGCTCAGTTTCATATACGAACCCGGGCAAGCCAAAGAGGAAGTGCCTTTTCAAGTAAGAATGGCCACGGTAATTGGTTTCAATCCGGTCTACAGAGTCAAGATGGGGAGTATCCCGAATTTGTGAGGGTTCAGCTGGTAGCCAGTGAGCAGGCAATGACTGCAAACAGTCATGACAGTCACAAGTGACGTCCTTATCCCACAGCCCCAGCGGGCATTCGATTGTCCCCTCCAAATAATGGCTCCGCCGTGGTCCTCGCCCTTCATCTCCCCAAAAGCAAAGGGGAAAGACTTTTCCAAGGTGCTGGTTGTGGATCGCAAAGACGGGGTGGCAAGGATGGTGAAACCGATACAATTCCCAGAATCCGAGCAATGTACTCTCAATGGGTGAAGTTCCACCAGCTAGCAAGAATGAGTACTTCCGCACCAATAGTTTCAACCAATCTGATGGGTTGATGTACTCTGTGACCCCAGTTCCTCCATGAGAGTGTGTGCTTCAATTGTCTAATCGGTATCGCCAAAGAAAGACCAAGCCTACGGAAATGTTTATGCAGATCCCTTTCGGCATTGGTAACATTTCTGCGTTTTTCCTCATCCTCCATGGCCTCTGCCTTCCGTTTGCCGCTCAGGTCATTGATGGCACGCATGGCCATGTTCCGCTTGATCTTGCAGGCATGGTCCTGGGCAGCCATGCATGGGCAGAGGCTTGACCACAAATTTGAGAAGTTTCTTTGCTGTTGAAAATGGTAATGGGAGGACAACATTTTGTCTATGGTTTGATCACCCTCTCCAAAACAGAGCCCCATTCGACTCCAAATATAATTCAGCTAGGGCACACCTTCCCCCAAGGACTCTGCCCAGTTCAACTGCTCAGGGTCGTCTGACTCACAGGGGATGCCTGCCCAAGAGTTGAAAGAGCAAAGTCGGCCATTGTTGGTGGCTAGGTGTTTGTGTTCTTTAAGACAGCGATTCATGTAACACCAGGTCCAATGGAGGCTGCATGCAGCAGTGGTTTTGGCGGCATTTTTGTCAGATCCGCAAAGATTCAGAAAGCAAAACTTGAAGCACATGTGACGCGTGCCCCCCAGCAGCGTATGGAGACATACGCCCAAACATTTGATAAACCTACTGAGACGTATGCTGCAAGGCTTCGTTGCAGACGTCAGCACCCCTCAAAAGCAAAGGTTAAAATTGGCTACTGGCCCCCTCGCAGCTAAGCCTTCGCCTTGCCCTTTCCAGAAGCCTTTGCTTTGGGCGTCGAAGCCGCCTTGCTGGGGGCCTTCTTGCTAGAAGGCACAGAAGACGCCTTTGGCTTGGGAGTTGTCTTGGCCTTTGGCACAGTAGGCCCCTTGCTTTTCAAGACATGCCTCAGGAAAGCCAGAACTTGGCAAATAAATGCATCGATGGAAGGTGTTGGCCCAACACTGTAGGAGTGGAATGCTTTCAGACGTTCAAAGCACCATGTGTTGACAGGAGGATTGCGAATTCTCTCTGAGAATCATACTTCAAACGCTCATCCAGGGCATAGGACTCAATGGCCCTAAGCAACATACAAGCCAATCAACATTCAACATTTGAAGAGGAACTGCAACTATGGACAAGCCCAGAGTCCTAGAGACAAACATGTGAATTTCAAGACGACCTGAGTATTGGGCTTGCGCTTTGCCTCCCCAAACTGGGCTTTGATGACCTTCATCGACCTGAATCGCAGAACATGTTGATGTGTTTAGAGCTATTTCGAAACTTGGATTGAGGCATGGACGGTCGGTCAAACCCATCCACCAAACCCTTTGTGTAGCTATTCCCGATCTGTTCAGCCAGGCCGGCAAGATCCTTGATCAGCCCCTGCACTTTGGCGTGCATCCTCAGCACGGGGATGGCACTGGTAGCGACGATAAAGACAATGGAGGTAACTGGTTCATCTTGACTCTGGACTTCTCAAGTTCACAGTATTCAACCAATCGGATTGGCTTCAAAAAGGTTAGGGCCCCCACTGCTGTTGAACGGACGTTTGCTTCTCAACGGGCGGAAACTGGGTCAACTGAAGCTCCAGCTTTGTCAACCTCTTAGAGATGCACTTGTTGATTTTGGGGCACCAATCTGCACTGAAGCTGCCCGTCTCAATCTCTGGAAAGGCCAAAGATTTGAGTACCTTCTCTTGCTCCTTAGCGCCTTCGTCAGAGGAGGCTGTGGACTCGTCATCTTTGGGAGAGTCGGGGGATTCCACCGACTTGACAGACGGAGCAGCGGACTCACTTTGATTCTTCTTGCTCCGCTTTCCTGGCAGAGACAAGCCAACTTGAGACTTGTGAGTTTAGTAAGAATTGCATTCCAAATTTTCGGGACCTATAGGTAAACCCTGCACCCCACCACAGCATCCCCCATTTGGGCCTTCCAACAGGTCGAAGGAATCTCGCTTGACACGTTTCGGTTCCAGATTCGGCGCATCCTCTTCAACAATCTCCCGGAAGATGTTCCGCTTGGTTCGCCTTAATCGGTTGCCCCCAGTACAATGGATGTAAGCCAGGTATCTTGGTTGAAGTGACTAGTGGTTGATGGTCCAGTTCCTTCCCTAGGTCTAGAGTCTATAGTGCTGCCTTTTCATGTGGGATAGCTTCAGTGAGGAAAAAAATGAGGTTCAGGATTTTGAAGTATTGACCAGCTGCCGCAAAGCCACTTGAGAGATCCTCGCTTCTTTACACAAACCCAATACATCTTGCCTTCGCCATATTCAGACTTCCTCCGAGACAGGGAGACTATTTTTTGGTTGTTTTTCAATGCCGCTTGAAAATTTACGAAAGATGGTGCAATGGGAATATCACACGGGACAAGAAGGACCCCCCAACTCTTCTAAAATTGGCAGAGATGGGTGTGGAGAACTAACGCTACACAGAGAATCCCAAAAGCAAGTGCTACAATAGAAGAACCTTCCCAGCAACCGCTCGCAGACCCCGTGGATCCTGATGTAGCCTTCTTTCTGTGCACAGGTCTTCTTGATGCTCGCGATCTTCTTCCTGAGCTGGCAGCTGCGGTTCAGAAGGTTTGGCCAGGGGAAGGAAGAGCAGGGCTTTCAAGGGCTTGAATTTTCAAAAGGCTGGCCAGGGGTAGTGAAACTAGTTTGTTTTCTATGCCTCCTAATATCTCAGAAAAGGGTGGAACCAGGGACTTCATGTCAGCTTCCGTCATGAACTCATAATCATCCTCGACGTTCTGTTCTGTCACTTCTTCGTAGATCTTGCAAACGCGCTTGCGGAAAGCTTCCTTGATCACATGGAAACAAAAGGCATCAGGCTTTCGGTGGTGAGGATGTCTAAGACTGTGGTGTGAGGTGTGTTCAAAATATACTTTAATATCTATCTATATATATGTAAATTTACAAAGATATCTTATAATATAATATCGGCTATTATATAATATGGGGATCAATAAAATAGCTCAACCATCTTGTCATGGTACAGGGCAATGCCCGCACTTCTGAAACATGCTCTTCAGCGAATCCCTCTTGTCTTTGTCCTTCCACATATCCACAGCTTCCTTAGGGACGAGGTAGGGGCCATCAGATCTCGGGGCCATCACACGCCTCAAGCGGGCTTCAGAAGCTGCCTTGGTCAGCTCCTCGGGAGGGGGCTGATGAGGCACAGCGTCGTCCTCATCCTCCTCACCCTCTTGGGTCTGATTGGCGGAGGCAGGCTCTGTTGGGGAAAAGATCGGGGACCTGGGTTGTGGAGTCTTGTTCCCACAACTGGTACCTTCCGGTTCTTTCACCAAGTTCTCACTGCCATCATCATGGGGGCCATCAGCGGGAATTGGAATTTCTTCAAGACCTTTGGGGGTTGAATCTTCCACAGCAACAACGACATCCGGGGACTTCGGACCATCATGTTCTTGTGGCCCTTCAGCAGCAGGTTGAGATTCTGCTTCCTGAGCCAGGCAAATCACCCTAAGAAAATTACTTTACTTCGAGTTATCCCCACCATGACATCTATACGTTTTGTTACTGGCAAATCTTCTGGCATTCTATCTGACATATCTTCTGGCATTTTATCTGGCATATCTTCTGGCATTTTATCTGGCATTCTATCTGGCATATCTTCTGGCATTCTACCTGGCATATCTTCTGGCATATGTTCTGGCATATCTTCTGGCACTCTATCTGGCATATCTTCTGGCATATCTTCTGACATTCTATCTGGCAAATCTTTTGGCAAACGTTCTGGCAAACATTCTGGCATTTTATCTGGCATACTTCTGGCAATCTATCTGACATTCTATCTGGCATTCTATCTGACATATCTTCTGACATTCTATCTGGCAAACATTCTGGCACTTTATCTGGCATTCTATCTGGCATATCTTCTGGCATTCTACCTGGCATATCTTCTGGCATATGTTCTGGCAAATCTTCTGGCTTCTATCTGGCAAACATTCTGGCACTTTATCTGGCATAACTTCTGGCATTCTATCTGACATTCTATCTGGCATACCTTCTGGCATTCTATCTGGCATATCTTCTGGCATTCTATCTGGCAAACATTCTGGCACTTTATCTGGCATATCTTCTGGCATTCTTTCTGACATTCTATCTGGCGTTGTATCTGGCATATCTTCTGGCATTCTATCTGGCCGTTGAGGTCCAGCGGTGCTCACTGAGCTCGGAGGGTCCCAGGTTGAGGTCCAGCGGTGCTCACTGGGTCCAGGTTGAGGTCCAGCGGTGCTCACTCCAGTGGTGCCCAGTGCGCTCAGACCCTTGCAGTTGAGGTCCAGCAGTGGCCGCTGCGTGCGGAAGTCGGAGAAGAGCTTGGCGAAGAGTTGGCAAGGCGGAAGTGGACATGGAAGTGGAGGCAGAGGTGGTGGAGGAGAACGAGGAGGAGGAGAAGAACAACTCTGATAAAATCTAACAACCCTCACCTGGCAGGTGGGGAAAAAACTTTTGGGTAAACTTTTCAACCGTTGAGTGGAGCACAGAGTGAATCAAAAAGGCCGCCCCAAAAACATTCAGTGTGAGGATTCCATGTCTGTTGGATGAGAGAATCAGCCTACCTAAGGACATGCTGACCGCCAAATCATGTGTAGACATTGTGGTGAACCCAACCCCCAACTGTAAGTTATTGAATCAAGAATCCCCACAGCAAAACTGAATGACACAATACTTCATACCTAGCTTTGCCACCCACAAGTTTCAGTGAGAGCCTAGGTACGTACATGGATTCAGTGGGCTGGGCACCTGTGTCACACCAGGGGTATTCCTCCAAGTTAATTTCCTTTTTCTTCTTGGTCGCCCGTGAGCCATCCACCTGGGCCCTCATCAGGAGCTCTTTCTTCGCCTTGGCTAGAAAGGAGGACAGACCATCGGCATCTGAGGGTGTGGGTGGTTTGGGATACCCTGGCACGATTGTTCGTGCTAAGAGCCTTTTGGCGAAAAGCTTGATGTCTTTGATCGTGGGGGGCGTCAACAATTATGTATGCGCTATGCACATATTGTAAAATAGAAGGATTGCAATTTACAACCATAATGTGTTTTTAATCTACGATCTTGAAACTTGATCTGTACACATGAAACCATATATATATATATATTGTGCATATATAATTGTTATACTAGGGGGAACCACCATACATACTATTATCTAGAATAGATATACTTTACTTCTTTTAAGCATCACTAACATAAAAACATGTTTAGTTGATCAAGCTCGAACCAATGTGTCAAAAAACTTTTGAAAGAAAGTAGTATACATACAGATTTCAGACCATAAGAAAATATACGTCCTGGGAGAGATGGAAACTTTTGATGGTATACTTGAACACAGTGTAGGGGAAAACTGGAAAACAATTGGTCACAATAAAAGGTTGAGCACCCACCAAGTCACCAACAAAAGATCACGCTGTTCTTTGAGGGCTGCGTACTCAGAATCTCGTTCGATCGACATGGTTTGTGATCTAACAATCCCTGCACCCCGAAGTAAAGTCTCAGAAGATAGGGTCCTACTAGGAAGAGATTGCATCCCACCAACTTGAAGCCAAATCTAACAGATATAAAGGCTGTTTGCACTCCCAAAAAATTACCCAGAATCTGCCTACGGGGAATTACGCCGGATTAACGCGTAATTACGCCGGAATGACGGGTAATTACGCCGGCAACAGTTTCTGAAATTTTGTGAAAATCTCAGAAAAATGCAAAATGCAGGCATCTTTGCGTTCATGTCAGTTGTTTTTTGTTTGGCTGTTGCGCGCAGGCAAATGTCTCGGCTAATTGCTGCACTGCCTGGAGTCAGGCAGAATCTTGAATTTGGAATTGCAATTCAAGTGGTTTTTAAATAGAATTGGGAATGACAGCACGGTATGAATCTGGGAGCTTCAACAGCTTGGATCCACGGGCATAGACGATTGCCGGTTTGAGAGCAGCATCGATCCACTGATCTCCCCCTTTGTCCATGGAAGCTAGCAATTGAGGAAGTGGGGTAGCCTCATCGACCTGTACCAGGGACTTGCTAAGAACACACCCGCTATGTGTTGGATACAATAAACTTTAGATTTATCCCCAAAGGTGAAAATCAAACATCTTTTGGCCAGCTAAGGACCCGGGGTTCCCATCCACCACCTTTGGAACTTTGCTTGCCGTGCTCCGCAAGGCTCGTCGGGCACGAAGAACTGCAGCTGCAAAGAGAGGACTATACACCCTGGGCAGCAGCTGGGGAGGGGAAGGGATTGGTGTTTTCTCCAACCCTCCAATTTAATTTGATATTTTGGGGAGTTGGGTGAGTCGAAACATTTTCCAACTACAAATAAAGTAGTCACAGAAACCTTACCGACACCCACTGCTAAAAAGGAACTGTGTACTCTTCAATGCACCTGTGCCTTTCCACCGACGCACCCCTTTGGCATCCGTATAGCCCAAAGCAGTTTTGATTGTTGATTTTCGATCCTTCTTCTTGAGCTTAGCAGTCTTGAATACAGACACAGCCCATGACCAACTGAACAATTTGGTTCTTTTTGCAGTCTTTCCTCCCCAGTGCTTCATCCAGAAAGAGCACCGATACATCTTAGTGGGCAAAATTCGAGAAACTAAGCTGTTGACTATAATATTTTGGGGCTGGACAAAAAGCACAACAACCTAATAAACAGGGTTACAAAACGAACCCAATTTGTTTTTTAGACATGTGACTGGAAGCCCCATGCGTCGTAGTTTCCTAGCCATCCATCGGAATCTTCGCTGCTGGTTAATGAAGCTGTTGTCAGGATTTTCTATTAGCACTGTCCCGCGGCAACAAATTGTGAGAAGAGCCAACAGCATTGACCTCCAGGGTGTTTTGGGAACACAAGTAACTGACTAGCTCAACTCAAAAAAGATTAGGGTGTCTTATACTATACATGCCCCATCATCCAAAGCCCAAGTGTTTAAAAGCGGCTTCTGGGCTCTTGCCCTAGGCAACCTTTAACCGAGGTGAACTTTTTCAGCCAGCACCTGGCAACGAGCAGGTTTGAGTTGAAAACGGAAGGAAAGCGAGTAACACCCTCTGGGGTCAGCCAATCTCTTCCAGACGTACCCGAATTTATTTGGACGAACGAACTGCAAAGAATGCCCATCATCAGGGTCAGGAAAGAATACCTGGAGCTCAATATACAGTAAATCGCCAACCTTAGATGGCATTCCGACTTGTGGGAAAACATTCCAGTTTTGGGGGGTAAACCTGCCCAGGTAACAAAGTCTCAAAATAGCATTCAACTTGAAATAAACAACAATTTCCCGAAACAAGTACCAATGAAACACAAAGCCAGCATTGTCAAGAAGGTCGAAAGCTGACTTCTGACTGCGGTCGAAAGAGATATCATGTCCACATGTTGACAAACCAAGCGCTTTAGCCAAGCGAGTGATTCTGGCGGCTCCTGCATAGAGCTCCATCACTTCAAACTGCGGGTCGTCATCCCACAGGTCGAGGTATGAGGTAAGTACCACCAATACCACAAAAGCCTTAGCTGGTGGGGTAACCACCACCACTTTCACTTAACAGTACCAAGTTCATTGGTCAGACTCATAGCCACTCGTCATCCCTCATGTTTTGTGCTGGCAGGACTCCCAGGGAGCTTTGCAATGGATGAGGCGCCGAATGGTGAGATCAATTTGGGACCGGTTCATGGCGCCCCACCGAACTTCAAACTACCAATCCTTTTGGTGAAAAAACTGCAGGTGATGGGTTTACAGAAATTGCTCAGCATGGGAGCCAGCAGAAACCAACCCTCGCAACATCGGCCCACGCATCTGCCAGGCCAGCCTTCGCCGTCATCTTGCGAACACCGTGACCCAAGGCGGGCATAGACAGAGAGGATGGGCATGTGTCAGTACCTGCGCAGGGGAGCATGAGGCCAAAAGGAACAATTCAGTTTCATGGGTACGCCATAGTGACACGGTGGGGGATAAGCATGAATGTAAGTTATTTTGTTGTGAGTCAACCATCATCATCAAAACACAATGGGGCCTTGTTGCTTAACATTTTCCCCGGGCTTCACGCTGTCATCTCTCATCCAAAGGCACCGGTCCCGATGTAAGGACAAAATGGTACGACCTCCAACGCCCAGACCCCTGATTCTCAGGGCCTAGGTTTCCTTCAGGAATGCATCAAAGATTTTATGGAAAGCTAAAAAGCTAAGAAGGCAAACAGATAACAGTTTCTGTTTCGAGACATTTGAGAACTGAACATGATTGACTAAGGAGCTGTTGGCATTCCTTTCCCCCCAAGATTTCTGGAAGCCAGCATCCAGTTCCAAACGGGGCATTCTTCTAAGCCCATGGATGGTAGAGAGCGCTCAGACGCTGTAGGTGTTAGTCCACCTTCTGACCTTGACAGTGGGCTCGGAATGAACTTAGATTTAGTGATGTTGATACAGAGCGCTTGTCATGATTGAAGGAGGATTGGATCTCAGCCAAATGAAAAATAAGGGATGAACGTTTCAACAAAGACTGGTCCAAATCATTCTCGAAATCATGGGCCCACTGTGAGCAGCATTCCTTGTACCGACGGGGGCTCAAGCTCTCCTCATTCTCAAATTGCTGGTTGCAATAGATCAAGAAGGGCTCCTGATAAGCTGTGGCGATCAATATGTTTTAGAATTTTGTGATAGGTTTTAGCCATCCATACCAGCACCACAAACAAGTACAGTGAGGGCAGTCCTCATGTTTGCTGGGGCACTTCAAAAGCGGCTGGAGCTCGGATTCAAACACACCACGCACTGCAACATGCCAGCTCTTGGCTGGCTCTGACTTGGGACAATTGCGGCGGGCAAATGTCGCTTTAACCTTGTCCTTGGGCACCTCAACCTTCGACCCTGGCACCTCCTCTGCACCTTTTGAGGGTTTCACCTTCGCCTTCCCTTTGGCCTTTGCCTTTGGGGTGGCTGCGGGTTTGCAACTGGTCTTAGCCTTTCGTTTCTTTGTTTCAGCCTTGCCTCTGCCTCTGCCTTTTCCTTTTCCCCGCCCAGCCTTCCTACCCTTTCCCTTGCCCTTGGCTTTGGCCTTTGCCTTAGGCTTTGGAAACTCGGCGATCTGCTTGTGCCTCGAGACATCCACCTGATGGCAATCAAAGCGACAACCTGCCAAACAAGCAGTTGGAAACAAAACAAGAACAACCCACACCATGCCTCATCCTCCAACAAACCAGCAGATGTTTCGGAAAGTGGGCCTGCAGGCAGCTGCTTCCGGGCACGTTTTGGGATGAACGAAGGCGGCGGCATCTCGGGGGTGGATGCTGCAAGTGGGCCAGGAACCTTTTCCACATTGGGATCTTCAGGGGTTGTAGTCACATGGGATGCTTCTTCAATTTGGGCCACAGCAGCTTGAACTTCGTGGGCGGCTTCTTCATGGTCATAGGGCATGGTATCAGATTCAGGTCCACAAGCACCTGAAACAGGTAAGACAATAAAAGTGAACGATAGCTGATAACCCGTAGTTCATCACTGAGATTTCAAATGGCATCATCCTAATACCACACCTGAAGCATCAAGGTTCCAGCTCGATTTGGCTTTCTGCCCCAAGAAGGACAACTTTCGCTGTTCCATTTCATACCTTGGGTGCACTTTAAGATGTCACAGAGGAACAGGTAAGAAGAACCAACTGGAACCCTAAAGACTGACTTTGGGGGTATTTTAACAAGTGACCTGAAAAACATGTTTTTGTGCTCCAAAAACCTGTCTATAGGACACTTGTTGATGGCTAGAAAGTACCTTGGTTTGATTGGGATGGAGCCTAGATACTCAACTCGGGCAAGCTCTTTCTGGACCCATTCCCAACTGTCCGCGAGAGCACTTGGTGAGGTTGGCGATCCATGTCCAGGGCTTGGAGCCCAGGTTGGGCCAGGAGACGGGGTGGGTTTCACCATGGACTCACCCCCCATCCGAAATGCCAAAAGCTCATTCATGGGGTCATCATCCCCTTCGAAGCTCAAAGTTTTCTTGACTGGTGTGGTGGGGCAAGAAGGGAGTGCCTGGGGAGCATCACCATCAACAGGCTCATCATATTCATCATGAGTGGGCGGTTCGGTCTCACCACCTTCCCCACCTTTCTCCCCAACACCTTCCTCACCCTCTTCCTGGGCGACCTCTCCCTGAGTCACCTCTCCCCCTTCACTTTCCTTGAGGCCCTCTCCTACAGCCTCTTCCTCCTCTGCATCACCCAGTGCCTCCCTGGAGCGGCTGTTGTTGGGGCGAGTGGTGAAGAAGTCACCAAGGACAGCAAACAAGCTGGCCAGATCCCCGTCCTTAGAGAAAACAATTTGCATTCTATTTTTTGGCAAAAGGAAACGTATAATATACAGATGATATGTGCAATCTGTGGGATCAAGATGTTATGTATGTACGGGGTTTCCATGTAACATGGGATGCGATTCCATACTCACATTTTGGAGTCTAGCAACTCGTCGTTTCGACCCGTCATGCCGACGAATGAGCAATGAAACCATAGCTTTCAAGGCATGGGCTTCGCAGTGCACCAGCGCACCATTCTCCGGTAACTCCAGCGAACGACGGAGTTCACGAATCTGACATGGCAAGCCAAAAAGATCACTTCAGATTTGGGAGTAGAAACCATTGATAGTCGATAGTCACTGATGTTCCAAAGACAACAGCCCTGTCCGCCTGAGGCTTGACAAGCTTGATCGGAACCGTCTTGCGGTCCTGGGCTTGGGGGCACCAAAAAGAAAGCAAATGCTCTAGCACTTGGCGATTCAGTTTCAGCGTTGGGAAGTTCACCACTCCAACCGTCTCTTTGGTGGACCACCGAAGTAGCTGGCCCTCTTTGAGAACATATCGGCGAATAGATTTGGTTGATTCCCAAGCCGTACCCAATCCATGCAACGTTCGGTTCTCACCAAGTATGGGCACAGGATCCCCCATGGCAACAGGTTGACTGATACACGTACTTTGCTAGGGCCAAAATGCTTGATACATTTTTGAAATATCAAAGCATCTTGAGTCTGAATGTTTTTTACATGACAATGTTCTTCACGGAACGTCTTCTGTAAGAAGTTGACATTGAGCAATGTCCAGCCCAGGTCGGAAAGGGCACTTGTCCAACGCAGAGCCCGGCACCTGGCACATGTCCAAATTAAAAATCACACTATCACACTAGGGCTGGAGGACTGCTGGACTTGAATTGGATTGGTGGACCTGGCTTGGCACAAAACAAAGGAGGGCAGACCTTGAACTCTCGAAGAACACCTTTTCTTTCCGGTGGCCTTGCCAAAGTGGGAAGCCATGAAATATACAGCATCGAATTCAACTAAGACTCACCATACCAAAGTTTCTTAGTCATGGGCTGGCCTCCAACAAGCAACTTTAGCTGCCACATCCAAGCTCCTCAATTTGGTGTAGATGTACCTGTGCCACCAAACACGGGGATAAAACAGGCAGTGGCTGCTCAGAAGCTACCGGGCGCACTAGCTATCAGCAAGTAAAGTGTCGACATAGAGAAACCTGCGTTGGGGCAGGATGTTCAATTGTAAACATGCTTGTACGTTGAACACCGTGCAGGCCCATAAGCGCCTACCTCATTTTTAAACTCCTGCTGCTATGCCATGGGAAATCAGTTGAGGTCAACTTCTTATGAGCTGGCGGTGTCCGGCTGCGTGGCCGGGATTTCAGTTTCACCAGCTCCCGGGGTCATCTCTTCGCGCAGCTTGTCACCTAGGACAAGGACATTAGCACGAAAGCCAAACATTGATAATCTATAGTCATACCATGCCATAACGAAACATTACTTTACTTCGTGTGATCCCCACCATGACATTTATCGATTTGTTACTGGCAAATCTTCTGGCATTCTATCTGACATATCTTCTGGCATTCTATCTGACACATCTTCTGGCATTCGATCTGGCATATCTTCTGGCATTCTACCTGGCATATCTTCTGGCATATGTTCATTATGTTCTGGCATATCTTCTGGCATTCTATCTGGCATTCTTTCTGGCATATCTTCTGGCATTCTACCTGGCATATCTTCTGGCATATGTTCTGGCAAATCTTCTGGCATTCTATCTGGCAAACATTCTGGCACTTTATCTGGCATACCTTCTGGCATTCTATCTGACATTCTATCTGGCATACCTTCTGGCATTCTATCTGGCATATTTTCTGGCATATGTTCTGGCATATCTTCTGGCATTCTATCTGGCATATCTGCTGGCATATCTTCTGATATCCTATCTGGCATTCTATCTGGCAAATCTTCTGGCATTCTATCTGGCAAACATTCTGGCACTTTATCTGGCATTCTATCTGGCATATCTTCTGGCATTTTATCTCAGCGGTGCTCACTGACCTCGGAAGATCCCAGGTTGAGGTCCAGCGGTGCTCACTGAGCTCGGCTGAGGTCCAGCGGTGCTCACTGAGCTCGGAAGGTCCCAGGTTGAGGTCCAGCGGTGCTCACTGAGCTCGGCAGGTCCCAGGTTGAGGTCCAGCGGTGCTCACTGAGCTCGGCGGGTCCCAGGTTGAGGTCCAGCGGTGCTCACTGAGCTCGGCGGGTCCCAGGTTGAGGTCCAGCGGTGCTCACTGAACTCGGCAGGTCCCAGGTTGAGGTCCAGCAGCGCCCACTGCGTGCGGAAGTTGGCGAAGAGCTTGGCGAAGAGTTGGCAAGGCGGAGGTGGACATGGAAGTGGAGGCAGAGGTGGTGGAGGAGAAGGAGGAGGAGAAGAAGAAGGAGGAGGAGAAGAACAACTCTGATAAAATCTAACAACCCTCACCTGGCAGGTGGGGAATTAAATGTTTGAAATCTTTTTCATATGAGACAGGTTGCATTCAGCTTTCCACTGCCAATAAAATTCATGAAGGGTGAAGACGGCACCCTTAGCAGCAAAATTGTCCACCAGCACCTTGGCCTTGTTGACATCCAAAGGATCCTGAGACATGCGCTCTGGGTTCCCGTGGGTTTCCTCATTCTAGGCGGGAATGACAACTGCCTGGACTGTGGCTTGTACTTGGGTCTTTGCGGAAAAGAATCATTTGCTTCGCTCAGTGGCCACAGCGCACGCCGGGCCTCCTTGAAGAAACCGTCCGGCATTTTGGACAAACCTCCCAGGATAACCATCTATAATCTATACAGCTAGTGTAGTATAGGAACTTGATATCACATCCTTGCTCTAGTCAGCAGTCTCATCAAGCTTGCCTGCATCATCCAAAATCTTGTGGACTTCCGGATCCATTTTGAAAATGAAATGAGAGATCGAGGGATGATGCAGCCAAAAATGCTGCGAGCAAGCTGAAGATTGAATACTGCAAAGCAAATTTCTCAAATGCAGGCATTGGTCACTGGCAGGGAGGGGGCGTACCATTGAAGACTTCAGTAGATGGGCCATCAACCCATCAACCCTGATTGAACCCTAGAACTGCAGAAACGCCTGCAAGTTATGAAAAACGCCCTGGGGCATTTTTATCGCCTCGATGTGTTCAAAGTCGCTTTTTTCAAAACTGGCAAAAATAAAAGGTCATTTGGAGTTTGCAGGTATATATATACATTGTGCCCGCTGTGCGGGTAAGACATTTCCAGCCGCAGACGAAGACGAATTCCGAAGACGAATTACGAAGACGAATTCCCCGAAGACGAATTCCCCCCCGAAGACGAATTCCCACCCGAAGACGAATTCCCCGAAGACGAATTGCCCCCCGAAGACGAATAATTCCCACCCGAAGACGGATTCCGAAGACGAATTCCCCGAAGACGAATTGCCCCCCGAAGACGAATTCCCCCCCGAAGACGAATTGCGAAGACGAATTCCCCGAAGACGAATTGCTCCCCGAGGACGAATTCCCCCCCGAAGACGAACTGCGAAGACGAATTCCCCGAAGACGAATTGCCCCCCGAAGACGAATTCCCCCCCCGAAGACGAATTCCGAAGACGAATTCCCCGAAGACGAATTCCCCCCCGAAGACGAATTCCCCCCCGAAGACGAATTGCGAAGACGAATTCCACGAAGACGAATTGCCCCCCGAAGACGAATTCCCCCCGAAGACGAATTGCGAAGACGAATTTCCCGAAGACGAATTCCCCCCGAAGACGAACCGAAGACGCGAAGACGAATTCCCCGAAGACGAATTGCCCCCCGAAGACGAATTTCCCCCCGAAGACGAATTGCGAAGACGAATTCCCCGAAGACGAATTGCCCCCCGAAGACGAATTCCCCCCCGAAGACGAATTGCGAAGACGAATTCCCCGAAGACGAATTCCCCCCGAAGACGAATTCCCCCCCGAAGACGAATTCCCCGAAGACGAATTGCCCCCCGAAGACGACTTTTTCACCAACGACTTGGGAGAGAAAGCATGCATACACTCAAAGCCTACATGCATGTCATATATGCATCTAGTTTTTATTTTGGCAAACCGTAGGGACATTTTTTTTGTCCATGGTGGGTTTTCACCGTATAACGGACGTCTTTGTTTGGTTCACTTGCATATTTTCCCTACAAGGGCCTGTCATGTTAGGAACTGGGCCCCCAGTTCCAGGAACTGGCGGAACCATGGTCACGGTTTGAAGGGTTGGTTTATGGACCCCAACACCGATCATGATGACTATAACGAAGGAGGTAACGAAATGAACGACATGGAAAAAAGGAAGAGATAAACAAACCGCATGTAAGACTTGAAAAAAGGAAGGAAATAGCGACATGAACGCATTGACATGAAAGGAAGAGGTAAATGAACAGGATGGAAGCGTTGAAACGAGGGGGAGGAAGTAGCGAACGGAAGGGAAGAGTTAAACCGATTTAAAGCGGAAGGAACGACGTATAGGGAACAGAAGGGAAGAGTTGAAACGAAAGAAGCAGCGAACGGGATTACAAAGAGTTGAAACGAAAGGAAGGAAGCAACGAATGGAAGGGAAGAGTTGCAACAAAAAGACGGACGCAATGAAAAGGACGAGTTGACAGGAAAGGAAGAGCAGGAAGAACAGGACAGAAGATTTGAGCGAAACGACGGACTTCGCGAAATGAACGCCTTTAAATGAGAGAAAGAGGTGAACGAATAAGATGAAACAATGGGGAGGAAGTAACGAACGGAGCAGAAGTTAAAACGAAAGGAGCGACGTAGGGAACAGAAGGGAAGACAAAACGAAAGGGAAGAGTAACAAACGAAATGCTCTGGATGCTATAGCCTCTGGGCTTGCTCTTTGAGATTTTGAAAATTCTTTTGATGCTACGCTCTTGGCCTTCACCTGAGGCGTTTCAGCACGCCCTTGACGCTACGCTCTGGAGACGGTCGCCTCTTGAATGCTATGCTAATTTTCTCTTGGAAGTTCGAACAAGCCCTTGGTGCTACGCTCTTGGCTTAATCTTGGGTTTTCCGACACGCTTTTGCTGCTACGCTCTGAGCATCTCTTAGCTTTCTCCTGGGCCAGTCCGGCAAGCTCTTGATGCTACGCTCTTAGCTGTCTATTGGAACTTCCAACACGCTCTTGGTGTGTTTTATCTTCCAACACTTTCTCTTTGCCTTGTCCTGGGACGTGCCAGCACGCTCTTGACGCTACGCCCTTGGCTTCTCTTGAAGCATGGCGCGCTATTTTTGCTTTTTTTTTTTGTGACGCATTGAATTAAAACACGCTCTTGATGCTACGTTCTTGGCTCCGGCTCTGACACTCTCTTGATGCTACGTGCTGAACCTCGTCTTGGAACAGTCCAAGATGCTGTTGACGCTACGGTCCACCACAATCGTGATGATACGCTCTTATAAATTTTCTTGGAACTTCCAACGCGCTCTTGTTGGTGCTACGCTCCGCCTCTTGACGCTGCGGTCTGGAGAAAGTCACGCTCTTCCTGCTACGCTCTTAGCTTTGTTCTGGAACACGCCAGGACGCTCTAGTTGCTACGCTCTTTTGTTCTTCGCTTGATGCTACGCTCTGACCTCCAACACGTTCTGGATGCTAGACTCTTAGGTTTTTCTTGGTCCTTCAACACGCTCTCCTGGTATTATATTGCTCGCTTAGGTTTCTCTTGGAACTTCCAACACGCTCTTGGTGCTATGCTCTTGACTTCCTCTTGGAACTGCCAGCGTTCTCTTGATGCTAGCCTCCTGTGCTATGCTTTTAGCCTTGGAACTTCCAGCAGGCTCTTGATGTTACGCGCTCAACTCCCGCATGTTCTCAATGCTACACGCTCAATACTTTTTCATTGAACTTCCTGAGCTTTCTCCTGGAACACTCCGGCGCTCTCTTCGTTTGGGTTTGGTAAGAAGATAAGAAGGTTCTACTACTTCAACTTAATGATTGATCCTTGCCTCAAGGATCTTCAACTGAGGTTGCAAAAGCACGCCACACGATCTTGATAATTACCTCTACGCTTTATATTTCGACATAACCTAGCCTTGGTGGTCAGGCCAAATCCCTATCTGCCCTCCGGCTCCTCTTCCTCTCTACATTCCTCTATTTATCTTCCCACATACAAAGAATACAGTACGCCTGCGCCCTTGCTCGTCATGCCTAGCCTGTCAACAGGCAATGTGTCGTCAGGCAATAATATACGCACAATGCGTCGTCAGGGGGGTAATGCGTTGTCAGGGGGCAATGCGTCGTCAGGGAAAGTGTCGTCACAATGCGTCGTCAGGGGGCATGCGTCGTCAGGGAATGTGTCGTCACAATGCGTCGTCAGGGGGCAGGGGGCAATGCGTCGTCAGGGAATGTGTCGTCACAATGCGTCGTCAGGGAATGTGTCGTCACAATGCGTCGTCAGGGGGTAATG